TATTAGAAAAGTTAAAATATTTTATTTTTCTCAGTTGTTCATCTAGTATTGCCCCCGTTAAAACCCATTAAAATTTTGAGTTCTTTTCAACAACATATATCCTTCTTAATTCTTATTATCTCCATATTTTTCGTCTTCTATGATCGCAGTAAGTAGACATACGAAGAGCTCTTCCCAACATTCCAATTGCCCACAACAAACCCTCTAACCCTAAAACTAAAGCTTTTCCCCTTAATTCGTTTGGTATTGAATTTAACAACTGGTATATCAATATTAGTTCTTCTTTTTTTTTTCTTCTTGGTAGAAAAATAATCCTCCTTGAATTTTGCAGCGATCTATATAGTTAAATTTAACCAGACATGGATCTTAGTGATACAATGCAATTCCTGTCTATTAAATATTTAAATATACCATAAAAAACGCTATATCATTTTTTTATTATCATAATTCAAAATTCACCCAAATAACAAATTCTAAAAAACATTTGTTCAAATTTCAGTATAATATTCAATTTTCAGTTTGTTAGTAAACAAAAGCAAAATATGTCAGAATGACAAACAAAATAAAAACAAAAATGAAACTTGACTATTTCGCAATCCGTGCTGTTAAATTTGTTGACCTAAGATACATGTAGATATATATACACTACAAATGTATAACATATTGGCGATTACATATATAATCTACCTCTAATAAAAAAATCGTCGGTAAATTGACAATTATCAATGTAAACGACGGAAATTTTATTCATTAGTTTTAAAAACCATAGACAGACAGTATTTGTCTCTTTTGACTAAATATAAAGGGATTTATTTCAATTCGATTTTCTCCTGTGTTTGCATTCAGTCATTGTGTTGATTCATCCGATTACACAACAAAGGAAGATTTGTTCTTTCTTGCAAATATATTTCTTATCTAAATTAGGGGTTGAAGATAAGATTCCCTTTTATCGTTGAATCGTGGCGTGTGTTGCAGTCATAGATTCTTTAGTAGTAATGAATATACTATAGGTTTGGTGGTTATTGTGGATTTGTGTGTGCGTATGAGTGAGTATGAAAGATAAGGGTCTTTTTTAGGTGTCCCCATGAAGAGGTTTGTGTCTATGTAAGATCCAAATTTTCATCCTTTTTATCCACCAGACACCACCCACCATTTCATCATGATTCATGATATTGTGCACATTAAAAACAATTGTTTGTAAACAATTACATATATCATGGGGGTTTAGCTTCGGATGTTTTTTTGGGTAAAATTTTTAAATTCGGATGTTGATATTGTAATTACTAACATTTGTCGGGAAAAAACATTCGTCGAAACGATGATCCTACATGTCCAAATCAATATACATTGACATTATATATACATTTATGTGTATGCAAATCTACATATGTATAAAGTTATAATTGTGAATCAAAATCCGTCTCACTAGAGCACGCGAATGAAATAAAATATTGACTAGCAGAAAAGCGGGTCTCACACTTTGCATCCACAGATTGCAGGTTTTCGTGGGTTGACGTGTGCTATCCATATAGAAATATTTGCATTTAACTATATTTATACCGTAAATAATTAAGATTTTGTCGAACTTAATTAGAGCTAATTAAATGATGTGGGTCTATAGCCCGGCCCGGTCCGGCCCAGCCCAGCCTTCTTACAATGTCCTTGGAAGCCTTCTCATGTGATGTGCGAAAACTAAACACAAGACTTGAGCCGCTTCGCTGGAAATGGCGCCAATGTCCTCTCCGATAATACCAGAATAAGAATATTATAGATTTTCCATTAAATTCGATCGGTGTTACAAATATTGAGAAAACTGGAAGAAAAATCATGGAGGCTAAAAATTAAAAAACCACACACGTCGCAGTTTTCAACAGCTGTCTCTTAACTGTTCTTGAGATTTCTTTCTTCTTTTGTCTTATAATCTAATGGTGTTGTATCTTTTTAGTTTTTATCTCTTCTTTGTACATTGTCCCAATTTCCACAGAGTATTGTTATTATATGTCAATATGCACCATGATAATAACGTCGATGATGCAATAATCCAATCTTACCAAATATAATAATATTCCCAAAAGAAAGAAAAAAAAATCTGTCTGTCTCGTAGTTTTCCAAATGTCAGGTTTTTGAAAACACAACTTTTGTCAGAAACATAAAAAAAATGGAACACCAGATCAGAAAAAAATAAACAAGTACTATTAAAATAGCACAGACAAAAGGCGGTGGTACTCGTTACAAGCCAAAGTTATTAAAACACTGCAAAACACACTCTGGTATTTGGGGAAGAAAACGAAACTAGAGAGAGAAGAAGAATTAAGAAGAGAGACGATGGAATTGAACGGAGAGGGAATGAAAACGACGACGTATTGCGTGACGGGTGCAAGTGGATACATCGGTTCTTGGTTAGTTAAGTGTCTTCTCGAAAGAGGCTACACTGTTCATGCCACTCTCAGAGATCTCGGTATAACAATACCAATTCTTTTTTTTCTTAACTATTCGGGTAATATATGATACGTTCTTGCATGGGACTGAAATTCTTTGTTAATCTTAGTGCGAATTAAACATAAGTCTTAGTTTGTGAAAAAAAAATCATCGAGTTTTAAGTGTCTGTTTAAATTGAGTCCCAGGTACTTTACAGAGATTATTAAAGTACATATGGAATCATTGGTTATGTTAACTAAAATTTGGACTGTTTTTGTAAATTAGCTTGAAGACTTCATAGCTAAACAAACCTAAAGCCCTTCTTGCTCTAACAGAAAAATCTCAATATTTTCAATCCAAATGGAGAGGAAATGAACGGCTTAGATTATTCCGAGCGGATCTTCAAGATGACAGCAGCTTTGATGACGCCGTTAAGGGATGTGACGGTGTCTTCCATGTCGCTGCTTCCATGGAGTTTGATATCTCACCGAATCACGTCAATCTCGGTACGACCTTTTCGTTGCATTGCACCGTTTTTTTCTTTCAAAATACCCTAACCACTTTCAAGCAACGGGATCAAATTGTTAATATTGCAATATCTATCTTCGGTTTAGTAGTAATCTTAGTATAGTAATATTAGAATGTTATTATAAATCAACTGAAACCATGACCATTATTTGGTGAAACATCAATGTAAAATGCCAATGATGGAGAATGTATTACGTCAAGATCAAAGAAATGAGCTCATCGGTTTGCGTCAAGATCAAAGAAATGAGCCCATCGGTTTGGTCTTGAATTTAACTTAAACAAACCGGATTTTATTGGAGTGAATAGCAGAGAGTTATGTCCAGAGCCAAGTCATAGATCCGGCGATAAAAGGCGTACGGAATGTACTTGCTTCTTGTCTAAAGTCAAAATCAGTCAAAAGAGTTGTCTTCACATCATCCATCAGTACTCTCACAGCCAAAGATGAGAATGAACGATGGAGATCTGTCGTGGATGAGACTTGCAAGACTCCCATTGATCATGTCCTTCAAACAAAAGCAAGTGGATGGGTAAAGTACTATATAGTATTACAATGGTCTATGATTCTTTGAATTATGCTTCACAACTTAGATATTCTCGGCGTCATTAACAGATTCGTTTGTGGGCTACAGATCTATGTATTATCGAAGCTCGTATCAGAGGAAGAAGCATTTAGATATGCAAGAGAGAGAGGAATGGATCTTGTTTCAGTCATTACAACTACTGTCTCGGGTCCATTCCTTACTCCTTCTCTACCATCAAGCCTTCAAGTTCTCTTGTCACCTATCACAGGTGTGCTATGTATATATATAATCTTTTACATTATCACGTACATTTAGGTTACGAAAAAAGTGGGCATACTTAACCATTTAGGTTTATAAATGATAATAAAACAGGTGACTCAAAGTTGTTTGCGATACTATCAGCAGTGAACAAAAGAATGGGTTCGATTGGTTTGGTACACATTGATGATATTTGCAGCGCTCATCTGTTTCTGATGGAACAACCAAAAGCTGAAGGTCAATTTATATGTTGTGTTGACAACATTAATACGCATGAGTTGATGGCTCATTTCTTTAAGGAGTATCTGTGTAAAGTTCAAAAGTAAGTTCCTGAAACTTTGCAATCTGATTTTTAATTTTCTAAGAAAATTATTATCCTTGATTTTATAGGGTGAATGATGATGAGGAAGGGAGACAATGTTTGATGAAGCCTATGATTTCTTCAAATAAGTTAAGAGAATTGGGGTTTCAATACAAATATGGTATTGATGAAATTATTCATCAAACGATTGATGCTTCCATCAATTTTAGGTTTCCTACCTTGAATCACAAACTCAAGCAGTGAGATCAACAACAATTTGTCCATTTTTTTTTTTTTTTGCTTGTTCTCTTGATCAGACCATTGTGAATTTATTCTAAACATCTGGCAATATTTAAGCTGAAAGCTAAAGAAAATTGATTATTTTGCTTATACCCCGTTTATTCCGATGATGCCTAACATCCACAACTTTTTTTTTATTATTATTATGCCCATTTTGCTATGTTCATTATTTTTCTCCGCACATAGTTTCTTACATGATGTAGGCAAAAATAACATAATAGGCATAATTTATCAATTTGTAGCTCTTTCCCCAATAATTTTTAATTTTGTTTGCCAGTTATCCTCCACCCGTGAAAAAGGCTTCTTTCTGACACTCTTCAACCTCCATTCTTTTCATTTTGTTCATTGATCCCATTCTCTAGTTCACAATTCACATGCGTATAATAGCCAATGATATTTAATCAAACACTACGAAGAAAAACATTCTGTGTGTTTTCCACTTAGAGAAACAAGCTTATAAAAAGGTTTACATTTTGAATTTGACCTTTATATACGTCATTAAAAACCTAAAGACTTTCCTACCATGTGGTTTGAAGTGAAAATGCCCAATTTTGCTCGGTTTACCAAACCAGCCTAAAAGTCATTCATTTCTATTTTATATATCCAAAAGCAATATCAAACCCAAGCAACAAAAAAAACCTGAAAATATGCATGTCAAAGATACATTACCCTCTTTGAGTAAATCTTACTCGAAAATTTACAGTTTTGCTTGAACACAATTACAGTTCTGCAAGCTAAACACTTTGATAGTGAGATCAATATCCCAAATTTGTAATTTCGATTGGTACCACTAATCAGCACACAATCTACCAAAATTTCCCAACTTTTTAATTTTTAGTTTCAGGGTTTGCAAATTACCACAAAACAAGGAAGCAAAGCTCGAGAATTGAGCAAATAAAGCTCTTCAACATTTGTGTACAACCCAACTTTACCGGCCAAAGAATCAAACCCATTTAACCAACCCGTCTCCTCTACATTCTCCACCGGCCGATGAACCCTCCCGGCGATAACCCGACACACGATCAACGCCTTCCTTTCCGTCTTCCCTTCATCACCGGCGATCGCGATTGACTCGAACGCCCTCCCGCTCGTCGACGCCGTGAAAACCCCGATTCCGTTGTTCATCTCCCGTTTCGCCGAGAACCCGTTTCGTATTATCCGGCAAACGCAGCACTTTTCCGACGAGCATAGGCTCGTTGACCCGTTTACTCCGAGAACGCACGCGACGGTGGTGCCGTGGAACCTGAGCAGCTCGTTTCCGTCGGCGATACATCTCGGGTGTTTCTTCTGTAGCTTGCTCGCTCTGCTCTTCACCGTGTCTCTGTATTCCTCGAATCTGGCTAGTGTTTTATGCATGTTGTGCACTTTCAGTATCCGATCGATTCTCTCGCCTTGATTCTCTGACTTTGACCAGCTTGTTCTGCAGATTATCTCCACGATTTTCCGGGACGAATCGCCATCCACGAGCTCAGTCACTGAAAATTCGGGTAAATTCAAATACTTTGATAAAGACACCACTCTGTAGCCTAAAGTAGGAAACTTTGGGGAAATTTTGACGGAAAGTAGGAAACTTTGTAACGTAATTGTGAAATCCGAGGAAGAGATTGATATGTTGTTAATGTGATAATTACCGGCGTGTTTGGTGAGATGATGAGCTTCTGCAGCTTCGAGTTTGCTAAACTTCTCGCCGCATTTATGGCAAGAAACAGAGGAACTGCCTCCATTGATGGCGGAATCTCTCTCCAGAGAAGCTCTCCTGCTCGGGTGAATCACTAATCCTTCCCTGTCTCTCTCCAACACAGCTAACGAAGCCTTTCTCGACGTATGGCTCCTGTACGAGCATGAGTAATTCAGCGGCGTCCCTGGCCTAAGAGTCCCCAAGAATTCCCTTGCTCCGGTGGGGGAGGATATGTCTCCGGCGCCGGTGATCTTGAGCTCGGACGTGGAGTTGCTAAGGATGACCTCGTGAGTTATGGGATTGAGAAACTCGCTGCTTCCGATGGAACGAGGACTAGAGCAAGGCGGCTTCTCCAAGTGCCGGTTGCTTCCATGGATTACGTCTTTGAGATTGGCTATGGATCTTGAACAACCGGACCGGTAAGTTGTACTTTTGGTGGATATGGTAGCAAGCTCTTTTCTGGATCTCGGGTCGTGGACATCGGAGGGATCAGATTTGCAGTAGAGAGATTTCTTCAGTGAAAACCAAACACTAGGCAGCTTCTTGTTCTTTTGACTATTGCTGTTTTCTCTCTCAAGCTTCTTCTTTTCGCTTCTTGTGCGTGAAGCTTCCATTTTGTTATCCTCTCTCAAGTGTTTTGTCTCCTAAAGCAAAGTATATACATATGATGAGAACGAAAGAAGCAAAAGGAAAAATAATAATCTGAAATGAATGTTCGAGAGTTTCTGCTTTCAGGATTGGTGAACCTTACTTTCTTGAATTTCAGTTTTCCAATAGATAGTAAAGGTAGTGTGACAATAAGATACACCAAAATATAACAGGAAATTACTCCCAAAGATCTATTATGGCTCCAAATGAAGACAAGTGCAGTGCGTGGAGCAGAACGGGATGGATGTATTAGACATGAGAAGACTTCACCAACTTCCCATGTCTAATAGGATGATGGACGCATAAATATTATCAAAATTCAAATTATAATGCGCTATGAATACAAATACATACAATATTCTTTATTAGTATCTTCCTGGTATTTTGAATAACCATAAAGAAAAATTGAAATCAAACTGTAGTACTCCATGAAGTGAATATGTATGATTTTCTTTAAAAGAAGTTTAACATTTTTAAAGGGAGCATTTGAAAGACTTCATATTAGGTAATGTTACTCATAATTATTTACCGCATGCAGTACATATTTAAAATTTTGTTTTTTTTCATAATTTAAAAGTAGTGAGAACCATCCCGCTCTGGATGCACCACTCAATACTATTACTTTCCTAAAATTTCGTATGATGTGCTTCTAAGAATCTCCTTGTGTTGTTTGATACCTAAATCACCGCTGAGTTGTCAGGACAACAATGATCGTACTTCGGTAACCATTACTATCTATGGACCATAGACTATGGTACTATTTGACTCACGAGGCCACAGTGTACATGATTTGGTTGTCTCCTGACTAAAAATACGCTTATGGACAAGTACGACCTCGCATTACCCCAAATCTAATGCTTCCAATATTTTTGGATAGTTTTGCGTTTTGAATTGTACATAAAATAACTGTCGGACCAAAAGGACACTTCCACACTATGTGTTGTCCAACCATTTGAGTGAACAAACAAAAACCGGAAGACTTGATTTGTCAATAGTCAATACTGGTTTAAAGATGAAGTACTTTTGCATTATTTTCCAATCCGGACAGAAGATTCTGTATACAATTAAAATAACGCTAACCAAATTTTTTATACGAATGTTTTTTTTTCTATTTCTTTTTGATACAGTTATTTTCCGTGTATGATTTTCTTTTTGGTGATTATTAGGTCGATAACCTTTTTTTTTAATCTATTATGGTTAACTACACATACATAACATTAGTCACTAAGCAACATATACTTTAGCGCAAAATCGTATACTTTCTTTCTTATGTGATGTAAAATAAACTAAAACAAAACAAAGGACTAGTAAAAATCATGGACCTAGGCTTTATGCTTAGCCTGTACGCCAGTTGCCGAATACGAACCAATTTATATTTCAGAGACTAGGCAATGTGGCATCAGGCGTGGCATCAGTTGTAGAAAAAAAGGAGTTATAGAGGATTTCTCACTTTTAAGTTTCAACACATCAATATTTTTAAGTTATATATGAAAAGTAACTTTAGAGATTATTGAGCAAACAAAAACATTTTCCAAAGCGTTTATACGTTAGGGTTATGCTTAATTCTCATTACTATAGTAACCTTAGAAAATCGTCTGTTTTCATAAATTTCCAATTTATTATTATTTCTGAAGATAATGGCTGTGTCGTTATTTTCATGCATTATTGACACTTCTACATCCTACATTAATGAACAATTTAATACGTGTGATCCACCTAATTTTGTTTTAAGGCTTGGTAACATCATGGCCATCCCACCACCATGTTCATGACATGCACTCTACCGAATGTCTCTATTCAGTTTCCTAGCTTTGTTTGTTATCCAACTTTCGAGAGATTAAACGAAAAGTTATTTGAAATTCCTTTGTCCTAAAACGAATTACTATAGCTACATACACGACAATTGGTTACCCTTTAAACAAAAAAAAATGGTTACTCACTCATATAGAAAGTAGTATGAGCGCTTTTTTTGGGTTCAATGAATAAACATTTGTGTTTAGGAGTTAGCAATAAAATTTGAGATTTCTGCATCAAATGTTGAGACATTACTAAACTAGAGTATATTGACCAATCTATTCAACTGACTTTGGTACTACTACTATATTAGAGACCAATAGTTGTCAGCTTAGAACTAATTTAAAGTAAGAAAATTACTCATGAACGTTATACACTAATTAGAATCAGCTTTCGATAAAAAAGAAATTATCGGATGTTTGTGATACTTTTTTTTTTCATTGGCAATGAATATTGCAATTTTTTTTTTGTTTTCATTGACCCCAAAGAAATATGGGCTAAATAATGTTAAAATAAAAGGAGGGTTACTTTCGGGAAAAGTTAATAAGCCCAAATGAGCCCACATCTATATATCCATTGAAACGATCCGAGTTCAAGAAGAAACAAAAAATTATCCAACCGGGTGGGATCTAGAAACATAAATCTCATCCCTTAAATTTACAACAATCCAACGGTCAAAACTATCGATCCATGTACTATCATATCATTGGTCACCGATGCTTACTTCTCCGCTATATTAATAATATTCATGGCGGGTTTCGATTAATACTCATTATTATCATTTCCTCGAAAGAATTTCTCAATTACGCTTTCTCCATAACTTTTTTTTTTTTTAATCTCTAGAAAATTTTCTTGGTTGTAGAAAAAATGTCGGGTCGAGGAAAAACGCTTGGATCTGGTGCGGCGAAGAAGTCTACCTCTCGTAGTAGCAAGGCGGGGCTTCAGTTCCCCGTGGGTCGTATCGCTCGATTCCTCAAAGCCGGAAAATACGCCGAACGTGTTGGTGCCGGAGCTCCGGTCTATCTCGCCGCCGTTCTTGAATACTTAGCTGCCGAGGTAATCATCATCTTAGCCTGCTTGTCTCATTGATTGATCGTCTGTTTAATTTGCTTCCTTCTCTCGAAATGGATGGTCTTTATAGTTCTAACTTACATCTCGCGGATCTGGGTTTTTGATTATCCTCCTCTTGGTTGATTTTTGCTGATAAATCGAAAATTTTGATCGTTACTTATTAGTTGAATAACTCTGGCTGAGTTTTGCTAACAGATCTTGTTCATCACTTTTGAGCTGTAAAAATGGGTTCTTGTGAACTGAATTTGATCCAATTGCTTCCCTGTAGGTACTTGAACTCGCTGGGAACGCAGCAAGAGACAACAAGAAGACCCGTATAGTTCCTCGTCACATTCAGCTTGCTGTGAGGAACGATGAGGAACTAAGCAAACTACTTGGAGATGTGACCATTGCCAATGGAGGAGTGATGCCTAACATCCACAATCACCTTCTCCCCAAGAAGACTGGTCCCTCTAAGCCCACTGATGAAGACTAGGAGATCTATTTACAAAGATAGATAATTTCGGAAAATGGTTGATGTCAGTGAGTGATCAAGCAATGATTAGTCGAAAATGCTTAGGGATGTTGTCTTTTTTTTGGTTACTCTCTTATTTGTTTTTCTTTCCTCTGCAGCAATGGAAGCTGAGTGGTTGTATTAGTTGTAAGGATACATTGTTTCACTTTGTGTGAATATATGAAGAAAATTCTCTTCTTTTCGTCAGTAATCCATTGGTGTAGCACTGTGCCTTACTTTGCCCCTTGGTTCACATATTGCATGCTGTTCCTCAAATCAATTTCTATTTCAATGCGTCTTAGATAAGGAAGTAATCTATTGCAATACTCATGTTGATCTGGAGTAGTTTCAGTGATTGCCACTTTAACCCAAGTAAATATAAATTATATGATATATGATATCTGTCCCGTGAAATAGAATCTATGACATAAAATCAGGTTTATCATAATTTTTTTATGCTTTCAGGTTCTTTTATCCTCAAGCCAAGATATGCAATTGTTGAGCATATCTTTTACATATTTTTTCGATAAAGGAAAATAATAGTAAAGTCAAGAAAACTGATTCCCACCGTTTCCAAAATTTGAAACTGGAGAAGCCTCTACTCTCTCTATTAGATTGAGCATTTGAGCTGGAGCTCCAATGTCAGGAGATTGCAAGCGAGACGGTTATCATCCGTGAAAGTTTCTGCAAGTCCAGGATTCCATTGTAGCTACAGAAGCTCCTCAGCCATAGAATCCTGATCTATTAGAAACTGGAGAAGCTTCTATCTCTCCCTAAATTTTTGCTGGAAATCTGATATCAAGAGAGTCAAAGTAAGCCATCTAGTATATTTCCATCAGCTGGTACGAACCGAGGTTGAAGGGTTTCTCTTGTACTGTTATCATCCCAAGTTAAGTCATTCCACCAGTGTGTTTCTCCTCTTACTTCTTTGACTCTATGAGCATTACTTGAGCTAATGGGTAGATTCTTGACAAGATTGCATCTTATCACTTCCACATGTTCTAAACATCCCCATGACATTTCTTGGCTACATAATCTCCTCAACCGAGGGAGATTCCTCAGCTTTATGACACGCAGAGCAGGTACCACAGAAGCAGAGGCTGGAACTTCTCCAGGAGAATATTCGAACAGCTCCTGGAGCCTTTCACAAAAGCTAACATGTATCTCTTGTAGGTTCGGCAAGAAACAGATGAAGTTCCCTAACGAGAGAAGGCATTTGAGCCGGCTACATCTGCTGACTTCTAGATGTCTCAGTGTCTCAAATCTCAACCCCAGATGACCCACGAGCTCTCTAATGGTTTCCAGATTTACACGACGCAGATGAAGTTCTTCGAGGTTAGGAAGAAGATCCAGTTGCGCGACACATCCACCAGCGGGCCTTATACTTCCACCAAAACTCTCTACCGTTAGAGACTTCAACATGTTGAAGCTACTCGTGCTATCGATTACCAAGTTCTCCAGCATCTCATTGAGACCCCAGCAATGGTTCATCACTAGGGAAGTCGTATTCACTAGCAACCACCCTATGAATGCTTCTGAAACATTGAGACTACTTATTGTCACTCTCCGCTTGTCGTGTCTAGTAGGTAAGGAGTTAGCTGTTGGACCAATAAACAACTGAAATTTCTTTAACCTTTCTGTCCAAGAATTGGATTCAGGGGAAAGAGGTGGAACACACACGACTCTGATTGAGAGGACCGATAAACGATGGAGACACGCAATCTCTTCAAGTGTTGCTTGCCCCTTTTGAGTTTGTCCTTGGACGCCCCAGTGGAAATGACTAAGCGTCATGTCTAGAACCTCTAAACTTGATAACTGTGGGATGATTCCAGCTGGAATGCTTTCGAGGTTATGTGTTCGCGAGAGGTCAAGTAGTCTCAAGCTGTTCAAAGTTTCCAATCCTCTTGGCGATTCCCTGATATGCGTAGCACAAAGATCAAGAACTAGAATTTTCGTAAGGCCTTCAAGGGAAGGAACTTCTTCAAGGTAGTAACAGTCTCTCAAGATGAGAGATCGAAGCTCATGAAGCTTGCTGAGAGAGTTGGGCAATGACTTTATTCGTGTCCCACTTAGATTCAGAATCCGAAGTGCTGGAAAAGATAGCAAGAACCCATCCGGTAATTCCTCCAGGTGAAAGTTGCCTTGTAGCAGCAAAGCAGAGAGCGCAACACACTCTACCACCTGATTAGGGAGCTTTTTAAGCTTATTATTCATCAACGAAACTCTTCGGATAGAAGGAACGAACTTCTCTTCTGGAAACTCGCATAAGCCAGTACCAGACATGACAAGAGCGTGACTATCATCTTTCGAGGAAGACATGACCCATATGGCAAAATCGCGAACCACGTCATGCATCTTAACTGTATCATCATGAGCACCCTCTTCTAGCAAGCAAGAGTCTCTCAGATTCTCTACCAAGGTGATTCCTTGATTCATTAAGTACCCATGGTTTTGTATTTCATCTATAAATCCTGCGGCAGTCCAGTACTTCACAAGCTCGGCTACTTCAATTGAGTAATCCTCTGGAAATAAGGCACAGAAGAGGAGGCAAGATTTCATCTTTTGCTCGAGCAAGTCGTAGCTCAATTTCAAAGGCTGATAGATCTTTTCTTCAATACTCTTGACATAAGGCACCGAACTCTTGAGTTCCTTAAGGGCATGTTTCCACAGCTTGACCATCTTCTTCCCACGCATAGCCATGCCAACGGTTATGATAGCTAAAGGCAATCCACCACATTCCCGAGAAACTTTCTTCGCGATGGGTCTAATACGATCTGATCTGGTCACTTCTCCAGCATTTTGACAAAACAATTCCCAAGCTTCTTCTTCACATAAGCAATCGACTCTGAAGTTCATATCCGTCTTTATGCTCTGGCAAACCTCTAAGAATCTAGAAGTCAAGACAATCTTCGAACCCTTGTGTCCATCTGTCTGTGGAATCCCCAGCTGGTCTAAATCAATGGGTTTCCAGACATCATCAAGAATGAGAAGAAAGCTACTTACTTTCTCAAGCCTTGCAAAAATCCGTCTCGCCAGTTTTTCCTCGTTTTCGCCTAGTTTGATTTCCATATCCAATCTCTCGGCGATTTGCTTCTGGACCCTTGCCAATTCAAACTCTTTAGAGACTGTAGCCCATATCACCATACCAAAAGGCTGCGTCGCAGCTTCTTTCCATAGCTTATTGTTTAGTTCTCTGACAAGCGTTGTTTTCCCGACTCCACCCATACCCCAAACACCGATCTTTTGAACCTCATCGCTTCTCAGAAAGTTTACAACTTTGACTAACATCTCTGAAGCTCTTGTTTGATAAGGAATCGATGGCCCAAGGATTTTTTCAACTAGTTCAGATTTACCTTCCACAGAGAATATGTCGAGAAGCTCTACGCCTTGCTTTTCAAGCCTCTTGACTTTCTCAAGAATTACCACAAGTTTTTTGCTCAGCCTGCACTTCAAGGACAGAAAACATGTAGCACGTCCTTCGTGCATTGACTTTGCTTCGGAGACAATCTCTTCCACATCTCTTAGCCATCTCCTCAGTTGCACATGCAAGGATTTCCTTTTGATTTCCAATGTTTTGAGGTCTTTATTCACTTTGTTCTGAACTTCCATAAGGCCATCGAGCGCATTCTTCAGAGCATTGATGTTCGACTTGAACCGGATGGTATAAGTGGCTCGAGTATAGGTCGATCTCCACATGCTACGCCCTGTCTCCGCCAAGATCGGACCTAACATTTGGCCCAGACAATCCATGACAAAGAGTTTCACAGAAATATTAGAAAAAAAAAACTAGAAGGAAGGAGAGAATGAAAAAATTCTATGATCAAATATCCTCAAGGTAAACCACTACGAGGAAACATGGACTTCTTTATGATCTCCTTAGAATTAAAAAAAAAAAAGTCAAAACTTTGGTGTTGACTTTAATAAGGTCTTCATAAATAAATAACAAGACTTCGATGTTGATGGCTTTACGTTGATTTGGTCATTGATGAGTTGACATTTGAAGTTTCAAAGAATTAGCCCTGAAGACTCCTCCTCCATTTCGTTTTAAAACTTCTAGTAATTAGTCTTCCGGTATATTCATTGAAACCTTCTACTTTGGTTGTTACTATAATTGATACTCTTATTTTGGCTTTAATTGTCGTTCATAAATATTCCAATTGTCTTCCTTCAAATGTCATCATTGTAACCAATCTCACGTTCTATGAAGAAGAAACAGTACATACCATTTGCTCATCGACACTTCCCTGTAGCTTGCGCCATGCCGCCATGAAATTGTGTGTAAATAAGCGTCCAGCCACTGTAAAAGTAGGTAGTTGCAGTGTCATTACTAAGAACACTGAAAACAAAATCACCAAGAGAGCTAAACAAATTCCTGTTTTGATTAACCCGTTATCATCGTTCCAAACATATCTATTGCTTCTTAATTCATCAAGCGTTCGATTAATCCCTACACTATTAGCGTACACACAGCCTAAAGCGCTTTCACAATTGCGGAAAGGTTACAGCTTTTTTTACCAGACCCTTCGCTCAAATTCAATCAAGATTGAAGCTTTTAAAGCAAAAATGAGACGACTCTGATTGAAAGTCCATAACTTAGAGCTGAACTCGATCCGATATCCTCGACTCGAACAACATATTCAGTAATACCTACACAGGTAAAACAGATCAGTTGCGAGAAAACAAAGAGAAGACACAAAAGGAACTTATAGAGTTAAATTTGGGGTGTAACTTATAAGGTAGCCACTAGATTACATCTTCATGCCAAGATATCGGATATTACGTGAAATTTGAATTAAGAGAAACAGAGCCTACCTCATGGGACCATTATAGAATCTGAAACAACTATCCATTATTTCTTTCTTTTGGTTTCACATGAAATTGTGACATTTGCAAACATCTGAGACAGAATCGAAAGAAAAGATAAATTTTTGTATTTGGACAATTTTAGCCCATACCTACCCGTTTAGTTTTGGATCAAAGAAAAGGGTAATTCAGGTAAAAACAAAAAATCCACTTTTTCTGAAAAGAATCTATCTTCTGAAATTCCAAGTTGCCAACGTATCATATTTTACGGACACATGCGGTTAGCTTTCTTCCTAATCGTTACTATTAGGTAATTACTTTCACATGTATGGGCTAAAATTGTTGTACGTGCTAAATATAACAAGGTAGACTTTCTTGTTGTACGTACTAGATAACATAACTTTCCGACTTTTGAAAAAGAAAGAAAATCTACTATAACTTTCCAACAGCACTACGTAATAAAATGTATAGGTAGTTCCATACATGAATGTTAGATGAATCGTTAAATTTTACATCCAAACCAATCGATCAATTGATTTGGTTGTACGCCTACACAAGCTTTACATGAGCTAACTGCAATAATTTTCTTCTTTTTTTTTTTGGTCAGAACTGAAATTTTTAAATCTGCATTAAGTTTTTAAATCTGAAATTTCAAGAGTTATTAGTGGCGGCAACTGAATTTCAAGATTTTTTTTTCGGCAAAAGAAAAAGTAAAGAATGTTGGGACAATCCAAAGTTCCACATCGAAAGTTTAGACTAATATGATTTAATATATAAGTAATGTTCAACTCCAATTAGTATAAAGTCTTTTGGGAAAGAGTCCAAAATCAAATCCGTGCGGGTTTTTTCGGTTGAGCTCAAAACGGACAATATCATATTAATTGGGGAGTTGGACATAGGTTTAGAAAAGCCCAATAAATGGTATCAGAGTCTAAGTCATGGAAAAGTGGACCTGGAGAAGTTGGATTGGACTGAATGTTCGGTGTGAGAGAGACCCTCAAGGTGAAACCTTGCGATTAAGAAGTACAAGATGCATGATACTAAGTATCGCTTGCGATTAAGAAGTACAAGATGGTACTAAGTATCGCTGTAGGTTGAAGATCAAGAGTTATAGGATCTTTGGCTTGAGAGAAAGATTGTTGGGTCAATCCAAAGTCTCACATCGAAAGTTTAGACTAATATGGTCTAATATATGTAATATCCAACTCCAATTAATATGAGGCCTTTCGGAAATGAGTCCAAAACTAAATCCATGCGGGTTTTACCGGTTGAACCCAAAGTGGACAATATCATACTAATTGGAGAGTTGGATATGAGCTTAAAAAAATACTAACTTTTTTTTTTCAAGATATATTTGTATCTAGTGGGATAATTCACTAGATTTCGTCAATTGAAACTTTTCATTATAAACTAGCAAATGTTCATAAAAAAAAGTAATCTATTGCACTTGGAAATCAGAAAATATAAATACAATGTAAAGAGCGTTTGACCTTTTCCTAGTAATCCGAAGAGATGGATTCACAAATATAAATGCGTTTTATTATTTGAATTAATGTGTTTTTTTTTGTTTAAATGTTTCAATAACGTGAATGAAATAATCACATTTGCATTGCTTTCATTATTTCTTTCTTTCTTGTATTCACAAAATCTTCAATGTATTTCTCGCATTAGCTCGGTGAATACAGATCCAATCAACGGCCCCACATTCATCTCTCTCTGAAGAAACCAAACAACAGAAATAGAAGTAGCGAGCGACGGGAGAACAGAACGGAGAGACTTACCTCCATTTCTAAGCTAAGCCAAATAAACTCAAAGGTCTTCTTAAACTTCTCTAATGCCAACTCTCACTAGTTTCTTCAAATCTGATATTTGTTTTTTCCTATGAAATTTCCAATCTTTCACCGAAAGTTTCAACCTTTATGTTTTAGTCACTGAGTGTTTTGTTGTTTAGCTCAAAAATCACTGCTTAATTTGTTCTTTACACCAACTTTACTGTTTTGAAATTGAAAAACTCATTCACGGGTTTACATACTTTTCGATTTAATATTTTTCACCTCTTGAAATCCCTTTTCTTGTTTCTTAGAGACAAATCCGGAGTAATTAGGTACGAGAAAATAATTAAGCTAATTTTTGTTTTGGTTTTCTCTGGAGAAGAAGAGAAAATAGTCAAAAAGAATGGTGGGGGAAATGCCGAACGGTGGAAGAATCCGGCAAGCGTTTCCGGGTACGAAAGATCTGACGAGCACTGAAGGATCTGAATATGGTCCCGTTGAGTTTACCAGAGAAGACGTTGACGCTCTTCTTCATGAGCGGATCAAGTACAAGAGCAAGTACAACTACAAGGTCTCTCTCTTACTTTATCCCTGTGTGATTGATGAGGCAAATGGAAGTGCTCTTTTGGTTGGTTGGTGTCTGAAATCGAGATCTCTCAGTTCATGTAATTTACAAAAGTCTATCAATATGGTTTTTTGTTTTTCTTTCTTATTTATACTTCAGTGTCGACATTGTAGTTGCTAAATCTAAATTTATTAGTCTCTGTGGTGAGTAAGAATCTTGAATGTGAAATTGTGAATTATGGAATCTTGGTTTGAAAGAATTTCGGTTCGAATGTTAATCCTGAAATTTTAACTCCGGAGGCTTGGTTTTGCAGGAGAGATGCGAGAATACGATGGATTATGTAAAAAGGCTTAGGCTTTGCATAAGATGGTTTCAAGAACTCGAGTTAGATTACGCCTTTGAGCAGGAGAAATTGAAGAACGCCATGGAGTTAAACGAGAAGCATTGCGCGGACTTAGGTGTGTTTCAAATTTCTGTCAACCTGTTGGTTTGAATAGCTGGTTCTTCTTATGAAACTTTGGGATTTGAAAAAGTACTTCAATTTTGTGTGTTTGTTCGCAGAGGTTAGTTTGAAAGAGAAGGACGTGGAGCTGAATATGGTTATCGAGGAACTGAGGAAGAACTTTGCCTCTGTTCAGGTGCAACTTGCCAAAGAACAATCAGAGAAATTGGTAAGAAACTGCCAGTTAACTCGCGCGTCTAATTCACTTTATGCGTTTTTTTTTTTTTTAACTTGGCATTGTTCTGCTTAAGGCTGCTATTGATTCGCTTGGAAGAGAGAAAGAAGCAAGACTTGCTGTTGAAAAGTTGCAAGCTGCTCTCACTGAAGAGCTAGGAAAGACGCAAGGAGAGCTTCAAACATCTAACCAGAGGGTGAGAAAGTCTCTGAAAGGGAAATGATTAGTTTTTGACTTGTATTAAATGTTTGTTTTCGGGTTTTTTTTCGTTTCAGATTCAAGCTGTCAATGACATGTACAAACTCTTGCAAGAGTATAATTCGAGCTTGCAGCTGTACAATGGCAAGCTCCAAGGGGATCTTGATGATGCTCATGAAACTATAAAGCGAGGAGAGAAAGAACGGACTGGCATTGTAGAAAATATTGGCAACTTAAAGGGTCAATTTAAAGCACTGCAGGATCAGCTTGCTGCCTCTAAGGTGATTTAATGATGCCTTTATTTATTCAATCAACGAGAGTGAAGTATTTGTTAGATCAGGGAATGAGCTGTGTCTTGTATTCGTTAGGTGTCTCAAGATGATATCATGAAGCAAAAAGATGAATTGGTGAATGAAATTGTAAGTCTCAAGATGGAGATTCAACAGGTCAAGGATGACCGAGACCGCCATATTACAGAAGTTAAAAATCTGCAAGCCGAAGCAACCAAGCAAAATGACTTCAAAGACACCATTAATGAGCTCGAGGTTTATTTTCATTCTTAAATGCATTCCCAATATGTTCCAAAAATATCTATATGGAGGTTATTGTTTGTTAAGATAATGTGATCTTTTTGTCCAGAGTAAATGTTCTTCTCAGAAGAAAGCAATACATGAGTTGCAGGATCAATTAGTAGCTTCTGAGAGGAAACTGCAGGTCTCATCACATTCTTGAGTTTTACAGAAAGCAATGAATGAATATCTGTATATGAAAATATCTAAATTCTTGCTTCATATTTGTTCATTACGGTTAGGTGGCTGATTTGTCTACCTTTGAGAAAATGAACGAATTTGAAGAGCAAAAGGAAAGCATTATCGAGCTGAAAGGTCGCCTAGAAGAAGCGGAACTTAAACTCATCGAAGGAGAAAAACTACGGAAGAAGTTGCACAATACCATACAGGTTAAGACTTAAGATTTTTGTCCATTTCCCTCGTGAAAGTTGAGTAAGCTTGGCTGATTCGGAAACATTTATATGTAACAGGAATTGAAGGGAAACATCCGTGTATTCTGTAGAGTTAGACCTTTATTATCAGGAGAGAATACTAGTGATGAGGCCAAAACTATTTCCTACCCCATATCTCTAGAAGCACTTGGTCGGGGCATTGACTTGATGCAAAATGGTATGAACAAATCTTCTGATAAAAGCTCGGTTCTTGCGAAAAAAGGAAGAGACTCATTTGATATTTGGTATGGACAGGGCAAAAGCATTCTTTCACATTTGATAAGGTTTTTCTACCAAGTGCATCACAAGAAGATATTTTTGTAGAGATTTCTCAGCTTGTTCAGAGTGCTCTTGATGGTTACAAGGTATTTATCTTCTTTGGTTTTGTTTCATTCTCTGTTTGCTCATTTCTTCAATACATCGATTCTTCATATTAACACCGAACTATTTGGTAAATACTGCGTAAACCTTAAAACATTTTCAGGTTTGCATATTCGCATATGGGCAAACGGGATCTGGAAAAACATATACAATGATGGGTAGGCCAGGAAACCCGGAGGAAAAAGGACTGATTCCTCGATGTTTGGAGCAAATATTTCGAACTAGACAGTCTCTTCGATCTCAGGGTTGGAAGTATGAGTTGCAGGTAACAAACCTCCTAGAGACTAGAAGTGACTTGTTTAACACTCAATAGTATTATTGATTGGTTTGTATATATACATTATAGGTGTCTATGTTGGAAATATACAACGAAACAATTCGGGATCTCTTGTCAACAAGTAAGGAAGCTGTGAGAGCGGACAATGGCGTTTCTCCTCAGAAGTATGCAATCAAACATGATGCTAGTGGGAACACACATGTTGTGGAACTTACTGTTGTAGATGTTCGAAGCAGCCGAGAGGTTTCCTTCCTCTTAGACCATGCAGCTCGAAACAGGCAAGTATCTCTTTTTAAAGACAGGCAATGATTCTTGTTTGAGAGAAACCGAAAGCTGCTAATGATTCAGATTGTTTCTTTGAATTTGGTCCAGGTCAGTAGGAAAGACCGCAATGAATGAGCAATCATCTAGAAGCCATTTTGTTTTCACATTAAAAATCTCTGGATATAATGAGGTACTAATCGGGTTTCTTACTGCAACAACAACATTTAATAGTCTTTTGGTGATTGCTTCATCTAAACCAAATCGGTTTTTTTTTTTTTTTTTTTCTTGTTTTCTTACAGAGCACAGAACAACAAGTACAAGGTGTCTTGAACTTGATTGATCTTGCGGGAAGTGAGCGTTTATCGAAGAGTGGATCAACCGGTGATAGACTGAAAGAAACTCAAGTAACGTCTGAGAAAACAAATAAAACATCACGTTCTTTAGAGACAATTAATGATTGTTTTCTTGTTTCTGCAAATCTAATTTAGGCAATCAACAAGAGCTTATCGTCTCTAGGCGATGTCATATTCGCCTTAGCGAAGAAAGAAGATCATGTACCCTTCAGAAACTCGAAGCTCACTTATCTTCTTCAGGTAAAGAACAAAATTTATTATATGTTATAGAACAGAACATAAAAGATTCGGTGTTGTGATGAAACTTTGTCGAATTGTGTTATCAGCCTTGTTTAGGTGGCGACTCGAAGACATTAATGTTTGTGAACATCACACCGGAACCTTCCTCAACCGGTGAGTCTTTGTGCTCGCTCAGATTCGCAGCAAGAGTGAATGCTTGTGAGATTGGAACGGCACACCGTCAAGTTAACGCCAGGCCTTTGGATTACCGCTTGAGTCTTGGATGAGATTTTCTACTCCGAGGCCAGAAAGTTAAAGTTATGTTTATAACTAAATGTGGTCATTACTTGATGTTGGTTCTAGGTCTGTATATAGCTTGTATTAGCCTTAAGGGTCTGTTTTCTTCTACTTTTGTCTTGGATCAAAAGTTGTGTGTTGAAATTGAGAAAAAAAAAACATAATAATGTTCTGATTTATGAAGATCTTGCATAGACAAGCATTAGATAATTAAATTATTAATATGATATTATATTTGTTGAGTTATATCATTTTTTTTGTTGATCAGTTTTAGTGTTTACTTAAACATATAATTTTTATATCAATCTAATTTTTTGATATAAAGTTGGTGAAACTAATAGAAGGAAAACTTAAACAAAACAAGTTCTTTCGATAGACTTAGAAGAGGGTCAAACCATGATCTAAACAGAAGGAGCTAAACTAAGAAAGCATTGATCCTAAAAACATTATCTGAACTTAAACAAATTAAAACATATTATTACTATAGGATCAATGATATTGAATGGACGACAGACTTGGAAGAGGGTAAAACAAGGATCTGCGTTAGGCCTGTCCACAATTAGAAACTATTCCTGTTTTTAAGATCAATGCTTTCTTAATTTAGCTCCCCTTCTTTTGTCACAACAAGCTTTCTTGGATTTACTAACTAAGAGTAGTGTCAAACATTTTTTTCCGTTTTTTTCGATTTCTAAAAGTAACTAGGTAATTAGCCCGCACCTTATGCGGGTACAAAAATTTCATAAAATAATTACATCATTAAATTATTAACTTTGTTAAAAGAAAATCTTCCACAAATATAAAAACAATGTTAGACATTCGACCGTTACCATTTACTCGTATATTTATAATTACAGAAGGTTTTTTCGGACTATTTTTTTTATCTCTTCTTCAATAGAATTCTCTCCATTTTTTTGTAAATGTGTGTCATTCTAATCGGTTATTTGACGCGTTTTTCTTCTTCTTCTTAAACATATTTGGTTTATGTTTCTTCTTCTACTTAATCGTCTTTGACTTTGACTTATTTTTTATCATTTTTTTTCTTTTTTAACAATTATTCTTCTTCTTTTTTTGGTATATGATTGTCTTCGTCTTCCGATTTTTCTTTTTATCGTTTTCGTCTTCTCTAACTTTTTATTCTTTTGTTTCTTCTTCATCTTATCTTCAATCTCAACTTCTTCCGCTTCGTCTCTTTCTTCTTATTTTTTTAGTTTTGTTTATCGTCTTCCTCATATTTTTCTTTTCTCCTTTTCATCATATTCAATTTATTCTTATTATTCATCACATTCGTCATCTTTAACTCCTTTTACATATTTTTTCAGTTTTTATTCATCATCTCCAAATCCTTAACTTCCTCCTTCTTCTTCTTTGATATCTTGGTCTAATCTGCATTTTTATTCTTTTTACAGTCTTTATTTTCTTTGTCTTTGTCTTTGTCTTTTTTGTCTTTTCTGACTCTTTTTATCTTATTTTTTTCTTTTTGTTATCTTATCATTCTTCTTTTCATCATCTTGTGCGGGCACAAGAGTTTCATAAAATAATTACATCATTAAATTATTAATTTTGTTAAAAAAAAATCTTCCACAATAAAAACAATGTTAGACATTCAACCGTTACTATTTACTCGTATATTTATAGTTTAGAGATGGAAAAGTTTAGGGTTTTTTTTGTGGTACTCTTAAATTTTCGCTTTTTGGGTGTTTTTTTTTTTAAAATTAAAACAATAATTGAGATGTATAGAAAACTGTGGTCGTTTTTTTTAAAGTAGATTAAAGTTATAGTTTAGAGATGGAAAAGTTTAGGGTTTTTTTTGTGGTACTCTTAAATTTTCGCTTTTTGGGTGTTTTTTTTAAATTAAAACAATAATTGAGATGTATAGAAAACTATGGTTGTTTTTTTAAAAAAAGTAGATTAATAAAGTAATAATTTTTTTTTAATTAAAACAATGATTGAGGTGTATAGAAAATAATTTTCGTTTTTTAAAAATATATTAAGAAAATAATAGAAAATAATGGACCTTTTTTAAAAATATATATATTAAGAAACTAATATTTTTTTTCATTAAAAATGGTAAATTTAAAAAAATTATAGTCGATTTTTTATTTAAAAACAGATTTAATTTAAAGATAAGATTATATTTTAACTAAGATTATTAAATTTTAACTAAATTTAATATGAACTAATAATAACTAAACTTAATTTGAACCAAGTTAAAGGCTAATATAGACTTTTTAATGAGGGACATGATGATAATTAACCACCTCCAGAATCAATGAGAGAGCTGGAAATCAAAAATTTACTTCGCTTATAATATATATGATTTCCCATATATCAATGCGGTTAGTGTTTTTTTTTTATTAATCTATTTTCATTTTTGAAAGCAACAGCATGCTGCATGCATAACAGTTTATATATAAAAAAAAAAGATGCATAACCTTAAACAAAAAGAAAAACTTCTCTTTTATTACGGAGTAGTGCTAATTACATTAGCCTCAAACATCCTAAGCGCTTACATATTTTTTTATAAAACACACACGATAAATAAGTATGTAGTGTCAACATACATGCATCAACAACCACACTCATCATCGTGGCATATACACTTAAGGATTTGGTTTGGAATCTAGTAGTAGCGAGGACGGGGGATGTTGAAGGGACAAACGCTAACTTGCGGAACGTTGCAAACGTTAGGCAACTGCTTAGCGGTTTGGTAGATACGTCTGATCTCTTGGGGACGTGATTGTCCCTGTTGTTCCTGTTGTTGTACCTGGGATCTAACCGCTTTGGCCGCTTGTTTCAAGGTTGGGCAAACGCATTCTCGATCTTCCTGGTGAAGCTCATTGCAGCACTGCTGGAGTAGCTGCGGTCTCTGCTCTGGGCCCTGTTGGTTGTCCATGTCGAAATCGAACTCATCATAGAGGGCCCAGCTTGAACCACCTTGTTGCATTGCTTTCTGGCGCATCCACTGCTGGCAAGCTTGTAAGTGCTGCGCCTGCTGAAACTCTTTTCGACATTTTTGTTGTGGGCGGAATGGGCGGAATGGGCCTATTTGGTTGTCATCTTCGTCGAACTCGACAATGGTGCGGTAGATGGAAGCGTTGGTGAGGAGGAAGAAGAAGGCGAGAGTTGCGGAGACGAGGAAGAGCTTGTTGGCCATTTTGATGTATATTTGTGTATGTTTTCTTATGTTTTGGTTTGAGTGAAGAGTGAAGTGGAGACTTGGTTGGTATTTATAGGTGACAAAGAAGTTTTGCATGTGCATCACGTGTAACATTGCATGCATGTGCTTGTTTGTTTGTGTGAGAGAGAGATGCAATAAGGTTGTTGTCGCCATTAGGTGTTGGAAATTCAAAAGTGGAGGTGTGATGACAAGTCTCCGCGTCTAACTGCAATGCAACCTTAGTATGTATGATGTGTAGCTCATATTCTGACATGTCAACTTTTTTAATTAAAATGCACTTTGTAAAAAAAAAAAAAAAAACTATTGTGAAATGAAGGTTAAAAAACATGTGAAGTAAATGAAGGTTTCTTTTCCGAATATATCATAACAAAGTAATCAAGAACTCGAGATTTCATGAGTTCAATCGTGATTCGTGAGCTCATACGTCTCCGCTAGATTAAGTCTACAATTTACTATATGGTTTTTCATTTTCAGAGAGTTCGTAATATATAAGATCACAGAATTTTAATTACTAATTAGATGGTTTTAGATCATCTCTATTACTAGTCTCTCATCGATTATTTAGTATAAAAAGAAAAAAGTAAGTATTTCTTAAAAAGGAATTAATCAGAGCTGATTTTTCAAATGAGAAAGTATGAGAACCTCATGAGAAGCTCCTTATACTAGACACATATCTTTAATATTATGTGAGATTTAGGATTTTTGTGCTAATTAATTATAATCATAGTTTATGATCTTAATTAAATAGTTTCTATATAGTGTTAGTGACATATAGTAATTTTTGGGTGTAAATCAGAAAGTAAAATTATCTATTTATCAAATTCCAGTACTATTAATAAGTTTTTTTTCGATATTACTTAAGGTTAATAGAAAAATGTTAAACTAGTATTGTTTTTAGTTAATACAATAATTATATTTTATATATTAAAAATCTCAGATATGAAAAATTAAAAATTATATTTTAACTTTTGTGAAAATCATATATAATCATTATTTCCTTTCCTTTTATATAGACTTCATATATATGTTCGTCTTCTCATAAACCTTATTTCTTTTCTTTTATTACGTAATTTTTAGTATTATTTAATTTCTATATTGTTAATGTACTTTGATGAAAAATGAAAGAAATATGGATTGTTTTGATGAGGTTCTCAGTAATGGCGGTAAAAATTTATGATGAGGTTCTCAAAATAAAATACAGTGAAATGTAATGATAGATATATATACTTCCTAACTACGTTTAGGCTTTAGCCCAAACTAAGAAAAACTTTCTCCAAACCAGACCAACGGTTCCTTCTGAAATCTTCAGGCACACCAGCTCTTTTAATCAGAACCAAATATTTGATTGGTAACGTTTAACACTCTTGACCACAATGACTATCCCTCTTTACTTAACGGTAATGTAAATTTAGATTTTGTACGTCGCTTTTCCACTTAATCATATGTAGTAATTAATGTAAAACGTACATTTGGCTTGTCTCATCCTGTTGATCACGTGTTATTTCTTGTGGCCAACAAATAGCTAATTTACATACTGAGTTCATGCACAATGCTCTTTTACTAAGATGGCAACCATGGAGGGAAGTCATACAGAGCAATTTGAACGGTGCTTTTTGCATGTATTTATCAGTGGCGGAGCCACATGTTATTAATGGGGTCATTTGCCCCCAACAAAATTAGAAAAGCTGAAGTATTTTAGTAAGCTCAATGTTAATGTCCCCACTTATAAAATTATCCCCACTTATAAAATTATGTATACTCCTATTTCCTCCCAATGAAAAAATTTTTTGCCTCCGCCTCAGCTACCGTATGTATATACGAGTTAAGTTGATCCAGCCCGCAAATTTGGTTGGAAGATTTGCTTGAAAACTAGTACCCCGAACCACCTAAAGAGCATGTGCCACATAAAACTTAAACAAACCTCTCTTTTATTACGTAGTGCTAATTACATTAGCCTCAAACATCTTAAACGCTTACATTTTTTATAAAACACACACGATGACTATGTAGTGCCAACATACACCAACAACCACACTCATCATCGTGGTATATACACTTAGAAGTGGAATCTAGTAGGAGCGGGGGATGTTGAAGGGACAAACGCTAACTTGTGGAATGTCGCAAACGTCAGGCAAGTGCTTAGCGGTCTGGAAGATACGTCTGGTCACTTGGGGGCGGGATTGTCCCTGTTGTCCCTGTTGTTGTACCTGGGATCTAACCGCTCTGGCCGCTTGTTTCAAGGTTGGGCAAACGCATTCTTCATCTTCCCGGCGAAGCTCGTTGCAGCACTGCTGGAGTAGCTGCGGTCTCTGCTCTGGGCCCTGTTGGTTGTCAAAATCGAACTCGTCGTCGAGGGCCCAGCTGGAACCACCACCTTGTTGGGTTGCTTTCTGGTGCATCCATTGCTGGCAAGCTTGTAGGTGCTGCGCTTGCTGAAACTCCTTACGACATTTTTGTTGTTGTTGTGGGCGGAATGGGCGGAATGGGCCTGATTGGTTGTCATCTTCGTCGAACTCGACAATGGTGCGGTAGATGGAAGCGTTGGTGAGGAGGAAGAAGAAGGCGAGAGTTGCGGAGACGAGGAAGAGTTTGTTGGCCATTTTGCTATATTTGTGTATGTTTTCTTATGTTTTGGTTTGAGTGAAGAGTGAAGTGGAGACTTGGTTGGTATTTATAGGTGACAAAGAAGGTTTGCATGTACATCACGTGTAACATTGCATGCATGTGCTTGTTTGTTTGTGTGTGTGAGAGAGAGAAGCTATTAGGTGTTGGAAACTCAGATAAGTGTGATGACAAGTCTCCGCGTCCACATGCAATGCAGCCTTAGCATGTATGATGTGTAGCTCATATTCTGACATGTCAACTTTTTAAAAATGAAGATTAAAAAACATATAAAGTAATTGAAGGTTAAGGTTTAAACCCTTTTTTCGAATAAAGCCAAGCCCTTTATTACTTTGGTTTCAATGGGATCGGATGAGAGACTGAGAGTCAATATTGAAAGAGTGCGCTCTATATATGTTAAAGTTCTAAAATTCATTTAATAAATGAATAAAATGAAAATTAAAAGTAACATATTATACAAAAAAACACTAATCCAGAAGTTAAATAGAAGAGTAAAATAAAATCATCCAAAAATTAACTATACAATCTCTGCTTGTTTTAATTGTTAGTCCACTTTATCAATGAGACTAAAGAAAAATGATAAAACATTGGGTTATTCTAATTTCTTAAAATATCATAAAATTAGATGTTTTTGACCAATTCGTTGTATTTTCATATGAAAGATTATAACCATCAAACAATAGCACCGATAAATCAATTACAGGATAAAACTGGCCTTAAACAAGAGAGAAGTATAAATTACAGTATAAAATACGCCAAAACTCCGAAGTGTGTGAAGCCCAAGTCTACAAAAGACGTGTATGGGGCCCAAGCCCACTGAGAGGACAAGTATGAAGCCCAAAGGCCCCAAAAACACCAAGAGACTGAACATGATTTCAGACCAAAATATCTCCCATCTTCGGTTCTTCCTCTCATTACTCTCTCTCCACCGAAACAGAAGTTGCAGACTTTATCCGAATTTAGGGTTTCTATTCCTTCTTTCTTCTCCGATAATCAGATCCTCGAAACCCCACTTTTCGAATCAGGTAAAATTTTCCTTCTTCTATCTGCGTATACTATTATCTCTTTAGCGGATTACAAATTGGTTCTTGTTCTTTCTTTGGTTTCGGTAATTTCGAGGTGAAGTTTATGTTCGTTGCCCGATCCATAATCTGTGATTTATTGTTCTTTCACCACATGGGTGGTGCGATTTTGCAATGACTATTCGGTATTTTGCCCTGAAGATCGGACGCGAGATTTTGTTTTTGATATATCGGATTTGCTGCTGGCTTTAAATCTCCTGTGAAAGAACAAAATTCAAATTTTTAAGTTACTGGATTTATGTTTTTTCCTTACATATTTTTCGTAATTTAACTGGATCTGCATAACTAGGTTCCTGGGATATGGTCAACATATAGATGCAGATTGATATGCTATCTCAAATCTTCCTTTGCAGATGATAATCTAGAGTTGTTTCTTAGCCGAGTTGTAGTTTCCCATCTATTTTATGCTTTTTAAATCAATAATCTTTAATTGAACGTGGCTTGACTAGAATTATATGTTTTTGTTGTTTGTTATCATGTTATTTGTATCTCTCTACACGTTTCCTATGTTTGCTTTATGTCTTTAACTGTTAGCTAAGACCTAGTGAATAATCTTAGTGCCTATTCGATTGTGGTTTAAACACTTAAATCTTATTTGATGTGTTCTTACTCTTCTGAGTGTTTTAAATTCTTATGCGACCTTGGTCTCTTTATTCAGGTCTCAGCTTCTCTGTCGTTTGCCCATCAGATCAACAAAGTTTCATGTCTGAACTTGATTCCCAGGTCCCTACTGCCTTCGGTAAGTTCCAACGCTTAAAGCTTGATCCATAATCCATCAAAACACCTATTTATGCCTGCCTCCTAGTCTACTTAAACTTATTTCGGATGTTTGGTAACAGTTTTGAGATTTGGACCAAGGGCTTTGGTAAATGTTTCTCATTTGGATATTGTTAGGAGCTAACCAGTTTCTTTTTGGATTTTTTGCTGTCACGCAGACCCGTTTGCTGATGCGAATGCTGAGGACTCAGGTGCGGGAACAAAGGAGTACGTTCACATCCGAGTCCAGCAGCGCAATGGTAGGAAAAGCTTGACAACGGTCCAGGGGTTGAAGAAAGAGTACAGCTACAGCAAGATACTAAAGGACCTCAAGAAAGAATTTTGCTGCAACGGAACGGTGGTTCAAGACTCTGAACTAGGACAGGTGCGTGTTTTATATCTCCAAGGTGCATCTTTATAGTTGGCATTCTAACAATGGATCAAACGGTTAAAGACTAATTCCAAAGGCTAGCCGAGGGATTTTCAGCTTTGTCCTTTATGTATGGTTTTTCTTTCTTAATTGTGCTACTGTGTAAATGTGTAGGTTATTCAGCTTCAAGGTGACCAGAGGAAGAACGTCTCCACGTTCCTAGTCCAGGTAAAAATCACACTCTCTCAGGAATCAATGAAGTAAAAGACTGTTGCTTGATCTTATTTAATTTCCCTTGCTTCAGGCTGGCCTTGTGAAGAAGGATAACATCAAGATCCATGGTTTCTGAGCCGCTTCTGTTAAAATTTCCCTAGGCTGTTTGCTTTTCTGCTCTAGTGGATTATTACTGTCATCTTCCAGTTCCAAAACATTTCTTCCCCTTCGTGTTTGATCTCTTGTTACTGGTTTTATTTTCGGATTTGCTTTGGTATGATACTAAGATACTATCTTGTTCCTCTTAATGCTTTTGTAATATGAGATTTGTTAAGATTCTCCATTAACTTGGTCGCTTCTCTGAATATTTTTCTTTACAAAGACGGATCCCAAGCCATTTTAGAGTTTTACTAATGACTCTGGTTACTTCGTTTCTTCTCGGCAAGCAAAGACCTCAATGATCATTTTTCTTAATCAGTTTATGCAAAGTATGAAACCGAAGTCATTTTATAAAACATCTGAAATTGGTGCAGGCTAATCTGCCAATGAAAGACTCTTATAGGTCCAGAGGGTATGAATAAACAACGAAATCAAACCCGTCGCTTGTCTTCTCTATCGAGTCCAAGTTTGGAGCTCTGCAATCCTCGATCAAGTCGGTTTAGGTTTAAACAGAGAAGACAAACACTACAAAACGAAATTTTATTTGAAAAATAAAAAAACGCAATAAGGTTAGATTGTGAAAATAATCTGAATCGATCGTGTTTCAATCTCATTATCCTAGTTTGTGTTTTCTCTACAGTTCGCTCAAAACCCCTTTTTCGGCTGTATTCGATCGCAGGTAAGAGATGGAGGAGATTTTCGCTCTGATAGTCTCCATGATTCTCATAGCAGCGGTGATTCCTCTGTTCTTGTGGAAACGTCGGGTAGATGCTAGATCACGGGAGGAAGATGCAGAACCGCCACAGGTAATTTCTCCTTTTTTTTTTTGCGAAATGGATTGGAAGTTTTTTGATCGATGAATTATGATAATGGCACTGACGGGGCTATTCGTATGAAATTCAAAGGTTCGGCCGCGTGAAAACGTGGTACGTGCTACTGGTGGGCGTAGAATGCGTCGGAGACCTGCAGCTTCTGGTGCTAGCTCCTCATCATCCAATGTTCAAGGTTTGTGTTAAGCAGCTTCTGTGTCTCTTTTACGTTATTTTGAAAATGTCAAATTCTCTCGAAATCGTGTGTTTTAGCTGGATCAACTGGATTTAAAGGCTCCAGATTTTCGGAAAAGTTTGGAGGATTGAGTTTTGTTTTTCAAAGTATATACCGTATCAAATAAAAGACTTGGTTCTGCTACTTTCTAGTTGGAGACGACAACCTTATGTAAATGGGTGTTATTGGTCAAGAGTTTACTTTTGCCTGCGAGAGAGAACGCTAAACCAGAATAGTCAACTAGTTTTAGTTTGATTTGTCATCTAGCTTAGTTTAAGAATATGGATGGGTTTATAAAGTGAGCTACTGGTGGCCTTGGAATCATTATTTGTGTAAATGTGATAACAGAAAACATCAGTGGGAGTGAAGATGAAGATGAAGATGAAGCCGGTGGAAATCAAGCCAGAGCATCAAAGAAGAAAGAGAAGAAGCGACAAGAACGAGAAGCACAAAGACAGGTGACTAACAATCTCTATCGCCATTAATTCTTCTAATATTAAATTCTAGCAGGTTTTAGGATGAGAAATTCTAGGAATATCCGTTGACTCGTTACAGTCCTAACTGTGAAAGTTAGAGATTGTAGAAGGATAGAGCATTGGTCCTGGGATCAGAATAGTACATAAACTTTTGCCTGATTAAAATCTGTTTATGTTGCTGGTAAAGGCTGAAGAAGCGACACGCGAGTCAAGGAGTACAAAACAAGATTGGTATGCAGAAATGCGGAGGAAGAAGGATGAAGAGCGCGAGGCAGAGGAGAGGAAGTTGGTGGGTCAACTAATCTATCTCAAATTTCGTTATGCCTAGGCTTCCTGGTTTAGAAATGCTGATATTTGGCTAATTGCGACATTGTTTTTGTAGGAAGAAGAAGAAAAAGCACGACAAGCCAAGGAAGAAGAGGCAGCTGCGTTAGAGTTTGACAAATGGAAAGGGGAATTCTCAGTTGATGCTGAAGGTACGACAGAGGAAGTGCAGGGTGGAAATGAAGATTTGCTTTCAGAATTTGTTGAATACATTAAGGTATATCTTGATAACCCTTTACCAAAAATTTTCCGATCTCCCATTCTAATTGTCATTCTACGAATTGGAACAAACTAACGATGAAGTATAGATACAATGTTGAACTTTCCTTTTGCTGTGTGATGTGATTGCAGAAACAGAAATGTGTTCCACTTGAAGATCTCGCCGCAGAATTTAATCTACGAACTCAGGTATCATCTGGCTACACCTTCTAAGTTGCAAATAAATGAATACCTTTTATCCTTGTTCTAAAAAGTCCTGTTTATTTTTGTAGGAATGCATCAACAGGATCGCCTCTTTGGAGAGCATTGGTATTTTTCTCTCTATCTAATCATATTAAAATGAACATTCCTCTGTCAATATTGTGATTTATGATGGTTTATAAATAATGAACCCGAAGCAAAGCAGATGAGATATCGATGACTCTGTGTGTATACATGTGAAAGACACACGTAGTGGATCTCTTAAGATGTGAACGCCTTGTCTTTTTTTATTAAGGGCGGCTCTCGGGGGTTATGGATGATAGAGGAAAATACATTTACATATCAATGGAAGAGATGAACGCCGTGGCGGATTACATCAAACGTCAAGGAAGAGTTAGTATCTCACATCTAGCTAGCAAGTCGAACCAGTTCATCGACTTGGAGCCCAAAGTAGAGCATCATCTGACTGAAGATATCACTGGCATGGAAGAGGTCTCTGTTTCTTAGTTGCTTATTTGTTGTATTAAGAATATCCCGGTTTGAAATTTGACATTGTAAACAAAATAATTAATGAAATCAATCTTTGTTGGATTTGGATGGATACAATTTTTCACTTGCAGCAAAAATCTATATCTTTAATTTGAAAGATTTTCAAACTTCAAACAATTTTTTCAACTGTCGGTTTTTTGGTACATTTTGTTCAGGTCCGGTTCTACCAAATTTGACATTCATTTACATTTTTTATTTCCCTTTTATTTTCATTTGTGTTATCTCTGTTTCTCCGGAGAAGCAGGGAAAAACTAGAGGAAGAGAAACCGTTATGCTCTGCCTCCCTAATTCGCTTAAGCTTTTTGATCATCTCTCTTCTTTCTTCTATCTTCTTCTCTCTGTTCTCTTTCTTGCGTCCTAAGAATCTTAGGAAAAAAAGATAGAGATGAAGATACGTTACGTTCATCTAAACCTACTTATCCTCCTATTACCTCTAATCAATCTTCTGTTTCCGACATTATCTCTGGCTCAAGACTACGGAGACGATGCCCCGAAAAAGGACACTCCTCCACCAGGTCTGATCCATTGCAACGGAGTTTACATGTCTTACAACTCCGGCGACCGCGAAAAGTTATATCCTCGGACCAACAACGTGACGGCTCAAGCCTGGTCGTTCAAAGCAACGGCCATGATCGTGAACACGGGGATCGAAGAGGTCAAAGGTTGGCAAATGTTCATAGGGTTTCACCACAGAGAGATCATCGTTTCCGCAACGGGAGCTGTTTCAACGGACGGTGAGTTTCCTTACGACGCAAGCAACGGGACAACGTTCATTGGTTCTCCGAATACGGATCTAAAGACCTCGATCGAAACAGCTGGTGATTACGATAAGATCTCAACCAATATCGAGATAACCGGAACGCTTTTCGGCGGTAGAGGTACGGCTACGCCATTGCCTAAAACGATCAAGCTCACAAACGATGGATGGGAATGCCCTGCTCCTACTTCTAAAGGTAAACGAAATTCTCCACTTTTAGTTTCTTGTAACGGAAGAAATTATCGGTTATGACCGGTTTATGATTCTTTCGGTCTGGTTTTTGTGTCAGGCGGTACGATGGAAGTTTGCTGCAAGAGGAACCCAAAGTTCAAAGCTAAAGATAAAGCGAAAACCAAGTTCATGCCTAGAAAAAAAGGCGACCTGAATATAGTTTATGATGTTCTTCAAGCCTACACAAGCAACTACTTGGCGCAGGCAAGTCACCGATTCCATCAGTTCTATCGATATATAACCTCGAGAGAATCATATATATACATAAAATGATTTGAAACTGATATATTTTTTTTTTTTTTTTTTTGGAGCAGGTAACTATAGACAACAATAGTCCATTGGGACGGTTAGACCACTGGAACTTGACATGGGAGTGGATGCGAGGAGAGTTCATCTACACGATGCGTGGAGCCTACGCTGCCGAGGAGAAACCTTCAGAATGCTTACACAGCAAGGCGGGACAGTTCTACACGGATCTTGATTTCTCTCAGGTCGCTACTTGCCAGAAGAAACCGATTCTCAAAGATTTACCAGCTGAGCGTAAAGAAGATAATATCACCGGGAAATTGCCTTTCTGCTGCAAGAATGGCACTCTCTTGCCCACTATCATGGATCCCTCTAAGTCCAGAGCCATTTTCCAGTTACAGGTTTTGCCCCAAAACTAACCACTTCTATAATTACAAGACATAACAAAAACCCTTAACCGGTTTTGATGTGGTTGGTTTAGGTGTACAAGGTGCCACCTGATCAGAACAGAACAGCTTTCTTTCCTCCACAGAACTGGAAAATCGACGGTATAGTGAATCCGCAATACAAATGTGGACCACCTATACGAGTAGATGCGACTTCTTTCCCTGACCCGAGCGGTCTCCAAGCAACCACCTACGCAGTAGCCAGCTGGCAAGTCGTGTGCAACATAACCAAGCCTAAACCAAAAGCTGCTCGTTGCTGCGTCTCTTACTCTGCTTTCTACAACGACTCAGCCATTCCATGCAACACTTGTGCTTGCGGTTGTGGAGACATCGATACCGACACTTGCAACGCCAATGCTCGACCGCTTCTCCTCCCTCCCGACACGCTCTTGGTACCGTTTGATAACAGGACTCTCAAGGCAAGAGTGTGGGCAAAGAGGAAACACATGGCTGTTCCAAAGAAGCTTCCTTGTCCTGACAACTGTGGAATTAGCTTGAACTGGCATGTTAACTCGGATTACACTGATGGATGGTCTGCGAGGGTAACGTTGTTTAACTGGGGAAACAATGCAGTGGAGGATTGGTTTGCGGCTGTGGATTTGGGCAAAGCTGGTTTAGGGTATGAGAATGTTTACTCCTTTAATGGGACAAGACTTCCACCTAAGAACCAGACCATTTTCTTCCAAGGACTTCGTGGTATGAACTACTTGATCGGTCTCACAAATGGGTCGAACCCTGCTAAAGACCCGCAAGTTCCAGGGAAAATGCAGTCGGTTATATCGTTTAAGAAGCGGAATTTGGGGAGTTTGAATATCCCTGGAGGAGATGGATTCCCTAAGAGAGTTTTCTTCAATGGAGAAGAATGTGAGCTTCCTAAGTATTTCCCTAAAAAGAGTTATGGGGAGAGATTATCCGGTATCCGATTCTTTCCCTCGATTCTCCTCGTGATCACAACGTTTCTTGCGATCACGGATCGGTTTTAAGTGGTGTTTAGGTGCCTTAGTTATATATGTAAGTTGCTTTTCTTTTAGCAATGATCAAGGAACTTGAAGAGAACGTTTATATATCTCTGTTTTTCACAGTTTTGTTTGATCCAAGAAACTTGTATCCATAATCAAAAGGAACTACTGCAGATTGATGGTTCTCAATCTAAAACACTCTTGCCCTTTACTACAAATTGTGCTTCGGTCTAGAAGATCCGATCCTGCAATATTCAGTTGGGCACAAATTTTTTTGCATTCAAATATTTACTCTGTTTTTTTGTTTGATTCTGGTAAAATAAACAAGAAACCATAAATTATACGAAACACTTCTTACTCCAAATTTCAAATGTATTTCGTCTTTGTAGAACAGAAGATGAGCATTGTGAACTTAAATAAATAAATACAGTCTTTTTCCTTCTTTAGTTTCCCATTTGGTAAATTGAAAAAACACATCATGATTGTTCATATATATATGCAACATCAACTTTTATGAACAGCTTACAAATTGTGTTTTTTTGTGTGTGTGTGTATATGTTAGAGAGTAATTCAAGGCTCCAAGATTCTTCCAGAGTACTTTACACCCAAGGAATCGTTAGAAAAGACTATAGAAAACTTCCATGATATCACGGATTTAAGCCGGAGAATCATTGGATTGTTCGCCAATGCTATTTCTTAGCCTGCAATAAGAGAGAAGACAACAGAAGATAGACTTTCATATAAGCTTTCCAGAGAGAGAGTAAATATTTCTTGTCTGACAGAGAGAGATGCAACCCAGAGAGATGAAAGAAATAGAGAAATAACCTTTCTTAGGTATTTCTTGTGAATTTTGATGGCTCCAGAACATGTTTTCTTAGCATCCAAGTTTCCAGTCATGTCGTTAAGTATCTAGGGACATCATAAGGAAATGGGATGAGAAATGGATTCACCAAAATAAAAAAAAAGGTTAAAAAGAAGACGTATGTTTAACCTTAACAACGTCGTCGAGTCCACGAGCTTCAGTCATTAGCTTAGAACTCTTGTCTTTCAAGACACTGGCCACCAGGAAAACCGATATAGGCAAAGGACCTTCCGTGCTTTTTCCACCATTCCTCATGTTTTGCCTCTCATACTTTCCGCATTGTTTAATTGACTTCCGTGTACCTTTGGACTCCTCGGTTTTCTCACTCCCGCATTGTTGCGCCTCATATACGTAAAAGAGGTTGGGGTCGTACTCCAAGGCCCACATCATCTAAGGGAATAGAATTTGGCATTTGAGATCAATCAATCCAAGGATGATGAAGAAGAAGAAGACTATATGTAGAAGAGAGAGCGTGACACCAAGAATCATTACCTCCCAAAGGTACAAAGAGTCACAAAACGAGAATTCTCTTCGGAATTGAACCATTAGCATCCGAATCGCAAAGAGATAGTCACCTCCACCCAGTTTATCTGCATTTTTGAAAACCCCAAGCGAAGATTAACCGATGAATATATATATAGAGAGTGAGGCAAAGAAACTGTAGTAGCAGTAGTAGTGATACCTAAGTGTTGGTGAAGTTTGGGGTCAATAATCTGAGTAATCGAAGACAAATGAGTAAGTTGAGCTTCAACTCCAACAGATCTCCCGGTGCTGCGGAAATTTCCTCGCTTTTCAATATTCGAAAACACAAAACACATTTAATACAACCTGATTGCACAGAAACAGATGTAAACAAGTCCATACAAAACACACACAAATAGATATGACATTATGTGTAAAGTAAGTACCAATCGACGCATAAGCCTCTCAAAACACCAAAAGGAATCAGCTTCATCGTCAAGAAGAATAATCATTGGGGAACAAAGATCACTCATTCCTGATCAGAGCAGCAGTACATAGATCAGAATTTTTTCAGGTACCAAACTTGTTTTCGAACAAAGGATACAATGATATATATATCATTGGGTTCTACCTTGGCAATACCCAACATCTTTGTCTATCCAGGCGTAAACGGACAGAATATCCCAGAGCTTCGACAAATTCTCCTTTCTCTCGTAAAATACTAAGGCCCTGTCTGTACGGTTCACATCAAGACCTGAAATATATATTAAGCAACTCGGTCAAGAGGCGGATATTCAGTTTATTATGATAGCTGAAGATATATGAAGCCATAAACAATGAGTCACTAACCTATCTGGTGAAGTGTTAGCAGCCATTGAATAACTTTCTTATCGAGAGGTCCACGACTTGTGAGCTCTTTGAAGAAATCTGAACCATTTGAGTTTGTACCTGAGAGACCCAAATGAATACTTTAAATGCCTATTACAAGTTTTTGTAAAAGAAAATTCCGTTATGGGAAAGCAAGATTGTACCTAAATTTATTTCTTGAAGTACAAGAGGATCATGGTTGGGTTGACCATTTTCAGCAATCACAGGAGCAGTAATAAATCTTCCACTTCCAATCACAGGAAACATTTGCTTACACTCCTCCTTCCAAGAAGCATACTGCAGCCTGAAGGAGATATCAACTCATTAATAAAGCGATAGAGGATCGACGAAACAGAACTTACTGTTCATATGGGAGAAAGAATAGAGAAAACCATGTAAACTATGCCAAATGCAATATATACAGGAAATAACGACAAAAAAATCTATACCTTCTGCGTTGTCGGATTTGCTCTCTTTCCTCGAAAGTGCTCATTGGGTCATAACAGCCAAGTAGGAATTCCCATACTTCGCCTCTAATTGATGGATGGATTCCCTAAAGATCGATTGTAAGGGAGACAAAGTAGCAAGAAGTTCAGAGATTCAGAACAAACCAAATGGTAAAAAGACTTTTATAAAGAAACATACCCCTCTTCGGATTCGTCTTAGAGTCTTGCCAATATCGAGGGACCCTTCTTGAACAAATGCAGCCTGCCATTTTCTTACACTTAGAGTTTTACCAGGCTGCACAAACATAATAGAGATGACCAAATGTTGTCAGCAAAAAAAATTCCTGGCCTCAACATGATGCAATTCATTATAAGTAGGACCGCAAGCAATGGAAATGAAACAGGCTTTTCTGGCCTGTAATGTGTTAAGATTCATACGGAGAGAAACTACTAATTCAATCAACCGCATAACGGAAGAGAGACATATGTCTTACGTATCTTCCCAGATACTATTGTATGCCATGACATTAACAGCTAATGGACTCTGCATCTTTAAATATTCATCAGAGACTTGAAGTTTTCGGGTCAAGAGGTAACATCCTCTGAAGCTTTTAACATTCTTTCAGGAAAAAGAGACAATCAAGCATGTGATGATGCTACTTAGAAACTATCAATGATGGATGTGAGAACCTAAAACAGCTCCCAAGATCAGTAAGTCTTCATTGAAAAACAGATATATCAACATTAATGCCTGAGCTTGGAATCCAATGAGGTAATCGGATCTTAATAAAACCATGAACCCGTACACGAAGAATCTACAGAATCAACAAGTCGACAAAAGAGACAATGCAACAAAATTATGCAAAATAACCGAATCTGGAATCACATATCGTGTCCGTAATCATCGTTTTGTCAACAGACACGACCCAATGAAGAAGCCATTCTAAGAAAAAGAAGCAAAATTCAAGACAATTAAGATGAAGGGAAACGAAAGGCGTAACCTTGATTTTGAATCTGGTCTTGGGTACATCGGTGCACTCGGGACGGACTTGGTAGTAAGAATCTGCTGGCTCAGCTGCGGCTCCCCACATCTATGTAATCCCAACCAAAATTTCCCGGGAAAAATAAAGAAATCAAGGAAAAATCCTGAGGAAAAAAAGAAGAGAAGAACAAAATAAAAACAGAAACCAATACACTGGATCGGGACCCCCTCAATACTCAAAAAGATTGATCGACGATCAATGAAGAAAAGTTTATTTAATTTGTCGATATTTAGGAAAAAAAGGTTGAGAATTGATGGGGGGGACCCAGCTTCCTGGAGGTAAGTGGATTGGTCGTGTTTTTTTTGGTCGACGAGTATGAAGTTTCTTCTCTCGTTCTTTTCCTGGTGACGACGAGCTGGTCACACATTACACTAGTTGGTTTGGTCGCCGCAAATAACGGAACTGCCTCGATCATTTGTCTTCTCTCACGTTTTTAGGGAACGTTGGATTGTTCCTTCCCAAAAAAACTCACACTTTCATTTTCATCTTTAATCTCTTTTCGAATTTCGTTAGACTGTTGTCACTCAAAAGTCATTATATTAAAATTTACGAACAATCAGTTGGCTTCTGTAAATATTGAGCATTTTGTAACGAAATCTTAACCAATAACGGTGGTTGAGAAGAAGGCAAAGAGCAAGCGGCGAGGACGGTGGGCTCTTGACAGTTTACTCGTATGGGCCCATTCTGATATCGGTTTATTGAACCATCCATATATGGGCCTTTTGGGTTCTTATTTAATAAGTTAAGGCCCACAACTGAAAAACCCTAAAATGCTGACATATATATAGTCTCTTCAGCGAAAGCTAGACGCTTCAGCTGCTGCTCGTTCACGTTTTATTTTTCACTCGGAGCTTCGACCTTCCACAGCAACCGGCGGCGAAAATGGTAAGATATACATTTCTGATTCCCTTCTTCTGTATACTATTGGGGGGAATTGGAGTTTAGATGTTTGCAATCAAGTGGCGTTTATGTTTTTAACATTGACCACGATTTCATGTTTGTTTGTGATTGTTCAGGTTTTCAAGAGGTACGTGGAGATAGGGAGAGTGGCACTTGTGAACTACGGAAAGGATCATGGAAAGCTCGTTGTAATCGTCGACGTCGTTGACCAGAACAGGGTAAGTTGATTTTATTCATACATTATGGAGATCTTATGTATTTCTTGTGAACTTGGACTAGCTGCAAATCTGGTTCTTTGAATTTTTAATTGCTTAAGAATCTATGAACGAGTTTCGATCAATATGTGCATGGAGCTAATTGATTTGCTGATACATACAATAAAGCCATTACCTTTCATCGATGAGTCTTAGTTTGTGCCATAAGCTTGTCTATGTTCTAATTGTATAGTGAGTTCTAGTTACACAAGGCTTCATTTTTTTTGTTTAGTTGTCCTTATAGAATCCTGACTTTGTTCTTTGTCATTTAGGCATTAGTAGACGCCCCTGATATGGAGAGGATCCAGATGAATTTCAAGAGGTTGTCTCTTACAGATATCGTGATTGAGATCAACCGTGTGCCAAAGAAGAAGGCTTTAATCGAGGCAATGGAAAAGGCTGGTGAGTGATGCTGCTCTGTGTAATGGTTGAACTTTGCAAGTGTTACCATCTAATCCGGGATGTTTTTGCAGACGTGAAGAACAAGTGGGAGAAAAGCTCATGGGGAAGGAAGCTTATCGTGCAGAAGCGTAGGGCTAGCCTCAACGATTTTGATAGGTTCAAGATCATGTTGGCCAAAATCAAGGTCAGTATTTTAAATTGTCAGACCTTGAAATATTCTATGATCATTTTTGCGAATATTAAACTGAAATGTTAATTGGCTTGTTGGTTGTTTGCAGAAAGCTGGTCTTGTCAGGCAAGAGCTTGCAAAACTCAAAAAGGAGATCACTGCCTGATAAAATTGAATATTATCTGCAAGTCTGTTTTTTTTTATTTTGGGTTGGTAAATTAGTGTTTTTGCAAATCTCAGCATCATTATCTACTCAATTATCGGATGTTACTTTTTAAGTTTGAAACCTTGTTTGGAAAACTCGAGTTGCTATTTGATCTTGCTCTCATTTCTAGAGGTCCATTGGCTTTCTTATAACCTCTTCATTTCTTTTTTTTTTTTTTTGGGTCAAACATAACCTCTTCATTTCATTCTCAAGTTTGGAACTCGAAAGATGATGTTATGGGTTGTAAATTCCCTCGTTCCTTCCGGGAGCATTCGATTTTCTAGGAAAAATGACAACTCTATCCCAATCTCACGGTAAATATTACAAATAGTGAAACGTCATGAACTATTACGATTTCAACAAAACGGTGTTGTCTAAACGTGTACTTAGGGATCCTAATTATGTTCTTATCATTTAGGCTTTTGTGGATCCAAATACATGATCTCTTAACTGATATCGTGATTGAAATTAACCGAGTGCCGAAGATGGCTGGTGAGTGTTGTGGCCGTAACGACAAAGGTAAAGACTTACAGAGATACATCATCTATCGGTAATACTTGAACATTCAAAAGGACAATTTTCCGAATATATAATTTGGATTATTTGTCTCATCTGGTTGAGTAATTATAACAAAAATTCCGGACTCGTTACACAGAAACGAAATAAACCCCTTACGAAAAGCTTCAAAAGTTTTTACCAAGTTCAATCTTTTTCATCAGTGTCATCGTCTGGTGGAGAATAGAATCCAAGATTCCGGCCACCTGAAAAGAAGGAAATACTCAAGTCATACTCATACGGGATGTGTTAATGAATTATAAGAAAAAGAAGAGGCTTCTAAGTTGTCTCTCTATACTAACCGTGAAGACACCACCGATAATGGCGCATACGTTGGTGATGAAGTGTGAGAAGGACTTGGAGGTTTCTGTTATGAGAACCTGCAAACAAAAAGAAGAAGAAGAAGATGAGCAGAGACTAGGGTTGTTGTCTATCTACGCACGGTTCACCTGAAAAAATACAAAGACGAAATGGCCAGTAGGCAGCAGAAAGAATGTTGACGCCTACCTGCATTGGTGAGAGCTCGAAGTGAAACTTGGCGACTGGTAAATAGTAACTTTGAGCGACGCTGCTATGTGCTGTGTACTCATACTCCTCAATCAATGCCTGTCCATTGCTTTTGACAACCTCTGTCTTTACAATTTGAAGATAATGCTCGATCTGTCCATGAAAACAACACCTTAACTCGTGCTAATAAGCATTATTGGATGAAGTTTTAGTAGTAAATTTTTTCTGTGTAATACAAACTTACGGTAACATTAGGGCCGAGATCACGTTGATTTATGAAGGGGCGGCCGTCTAAACGATCATGGCTTCGGCCGAGATACGGTGACAAGCGCTTTAAATCAGCAAATGTCTGAGGCAAAATCCTCCGCCCAAATGAAAGATGATTAACAACATGAGACATATTCATCTGAGAAGAATCAAAGGAATGAGATCCTGAGCGAGCTGAAACCATTAGGTTGCCTGGAACCTGAAAAGAACATACGAAAGTAAGTTTTTAACTTTTTAAGCGACTTAAGGGGCAAACAGACAAAGCAAGAGTCATTTCTCCCAACAATGCTTACCTTCTTTACACGCATGTATCCTTCAATTCGACATCCTCCTGTAGAAGGTGCCTTTTTTAGAATTTTCGATGCATTGTCTGATTTATCCTCCAATGCTAGTCTTTGGGGCTCTAGATGGATTGGTTCAACCAGACCTATCACCATCTATAGGAGAACCTAAACTATTCAGAAATAAGCTACAAATGCTTGTCCAACCTTTTTAAGGGGCACAGAAAAGATGTTGAAACTACCTTCACCAAGCTTTCTGTATCACGATCTCCATAGTACGATTCATGATCGTGGTGTGCATTGTCATCCCTATTATGCAAGAGAATCAAGGAGAGGAAAGTAAAGTAGAGAAAAATTTAGGAGAATCGAGCAAAATGATGGTCATGCATTATATTTAGGAGTTATGTTCTCTTACCTAAGATCACTGCCTTTGCGGAAAATGCGAATGGATGGATACCCTTGTATGTGATTCCTGGAGATCATTTGCAGAGGAAACTTGTGAGCATAAATTATACCTTAAGCTGGTATAAGATTACAGAGAATGCATTCTGCTATAGCAAATGGAATCCTAAAGGAAGTCCTTAAACCATAACGTATGTCTCTCTTTGGTTTAACCATAACTTGCTTGTGAATAGGTGCATGTAATAGTTTACATAAGAAAAAAAAAATCATTTATAAGAAGCCAATACAAACTTATAAAGTAACTGACTATCCCTCCCTTTAGTTACGAACAGAAAATGCATAGACCTTATTTACGGAAAAATGAGTTAAAAACATCTCGTATAATCCCACATGAATCTCCAATACAGTACAGGCTCAAACTAGCCCATGCTCCTGGAGACCTTTCAATTTCAATTCCACTTTTTGCATAAATTTAAATGACGTATGCAGTGGAAAGGAGTCTAATAGCTTCTCTTGCAAATATTATGCACACTGAAGATGCTATGGATTTTACTTTTAGCAATGTAGGCGAAATTAATAAGTTTCCTAAATTAGGAAGTCAAAATGGAAAAATAGATAGATCAATAATGATAGAATATACCTCCGACAGAGATCACTTTCTACGGTGCAGTCAACTTTTGCTAAAATGACACGTCCGTCCATTTCTGGATCATATCTATCAAACACAAGAAACTTATAAGGAAAGATAGTATCGCAAGAATTTTCTCTAAAGAAAGAATAGTGGCATACCTCTCTTTTATTTGTTTTGCTGCTTTCTCCCATGATGGTTTCTGAAAAAGGAGACTAAAGTTATTGTCTTCGAGTAAGAACAGCAAAATGACCACTTTACTGAGCATAAATTATTCTACCTCAAAATTACTCTACTAAGTTTGATATTCGACCTCATGTTGATCATTATATAAGTCTAGTCTTCTATGAGGAAATTATCACGACTACTGCTAAAGAGCATTTTCAGGAAAGATTGACTAGGTTGCAGTAAATTGCACTCAAAGCGCGCCTTAGGCACCAAACATGCAGGATCTCCTCTAGTAAGAACGCTAATATGACCCTTTGCTAAGAGGCAGCAAAATGTGGTTTTGGATGGAAAATATGCTGTGGCATCTAGAATATATAACAGACGAAGACAAAAGATACGTGATTTACCAGGAGATTACACCAATAGCACCACGGTGCATAGAAATTAACAACTGAGATTGGAAATCTGCAAAATGTATGTTTCATATGTTGTCACCAGAAGCAAAAGAAACAAATACGTACTAGGAAATATTCATAGTATTGTTGCATCTATGTACGAAATGTGCAACACAGACTTAAACTCCTTACTGATGTAATAATGTGTCAAAGTTGCGGCCAGTAAGTGATACAGAATCTTCAACTAATTCTTCACCAGCTTCATCTCCATGATTAATGAGCGATAAAACTTCCCCGGAGTGAAACTCAGTACCAGTGGGTCTCAAATTCGAATCAATAGAAAACTTCCGAATTGTCTTCGTTACATTTAGCCTGTTCTGAAAACAAAAGCTAGCAAAATCAGGAGAGAGAACAACCGAAAATATTGAGAGACCAAATGGACAGATGTTCAGAAAGAATAACACTATTTTAAACCCCTCAGATACAATAGACTATCTTTCACAATTATGGTGGCATTTACTCCAAGAAACTATTGTGCCATCCAAACTTTTCGACGCACATAATTGCCATGAGTAAAATAAAATTAAAAAAAATAGAGACTTGAAATGAACTTATGATGAAACCAAACTTACAGTTCCTAATACATCACTGACGTCCACAGATGCGAATTCACATGAAAGTGATGGGAAGCTGCCAAAAAATCCCGTTAGCAATCAGATAGTTGATGAATTTTGCATGACTTTGATTGAGCCACACATATGACATTTCTGAAGATAGAAGGTATGCACTCAACAAAAAATGGGTGCGCAAAAGACAAATCAACGTTCTAGAATAAAGTAGAATAACGTTTATACACTCTTCAACTTGTCGAAAAATTTGAAACTATAAGACGCTTGTGTTACAAAAACAAAATCGAGTATAATGCACCTTATGTTAAAATCCATGCGCAAGAAGTCTCCATCGGAGCTCCTGTCAACAATGATGGACGTTGTAGTGCTGACAGCCAAATAATTATTTAATTCCTGTAATATGAAAATTACGAAGTCAAGACTGAGCATTAATCGAATATAGCAACGAAATGATCCAGATAAAAATACCAGAAAGTCAAGTGAGCATGAAACTTACCATTCCAAATAAAAATAGCATAGAGAGGGCTGCTACAATGGACAATCCAGCTCCAGAGAGAGTCGCCTCTGTCAAATCCCTCGGGATTTTCCTGCAGGCACGGCAACGCCAAAAGAACAACTATGAATTATTCTCTAGCCTAGAATCACAAATCTCAGATGCTATCGGACTTTGATACAAGTATCCCATAATCTACACTTAGCAACAAAACCGAAACAGAAATGCATAATGATCATCTTAAGCCCCATTAAAACACTTCAACAGTCCAATTTCACTAAGATCAAATGACAATGCTCTTACACGGAGAGGCAATACCTACAACTTCAGGATCGCTTCTTCACAGCTAAACCCTATCAGTAATCAGCATAAAAATCCACATAATGTAGATACTCCCCAGGATCGTATGCACACTAAACTATCAAAACAAATTCTGTCACTGCCTAGATCGAGAAATTCGAAGTCTATAACAGGAGAAGCAAGCTGGAAGAAATCTGCAGAACGAATACAGAAGCAAACAGAAACAAACCTGTAGAAATCAACGGATTTGATCTTGCTCGTGGAGACCATCTTCTTCGGATAAGGAGTCAACTGGAAAAACACGAGCTGCTTGGGGCTAATTCTAAAAGCTTCGGGACGGGACGAAGCACACCTCCCTCCTTGCGATTTATCTTCAGCGTTCAGATTTGAAACTCTCTCCCCCGATCGCTACAAAATTACAACACTAGTCCTCTCTGATTTGAAACCTTTCCCATTTGACCCAAATGGTTTTATCAAAAACAATTTCATACCTTATCGTCTCAGATGTTACAGTCAAAAAGTCATTTATGATATTCGGCGTAGGATCAGCCTACTGAAAGCAAAAAACTAGCCTATTCAATTATTCATGTTTGTAAGTTTTAACCTTCTGCGCTTTGTAATAGTATAGTTAAAATCTAATGGTTGTTTTTGAGTTGTTTTTAATTAGTTCCAAATTCCAAAAAATAAAAAAGCAGATATAGTAGTCTATAAATTAGAAAACGTAAAATAAGCCCCTTACTGTTGTTCTCAGTCTCTGCTTTGGCTACCAACCTTGCGAGGATCGTAGCATTGATAGATCATCGATCGTGTAAGATCATTTATCATCATTAGTTATTCTTCTTGTTATAGATTCTGGTTCAGCGTTTTTATCGATCCTCTCTCGGTTGACTAGCTTTCTTTTAGGATTCAATATGCATGAAGGTTTTTATGTTTTGGTCAAATTAAGCTACGAAAGGAAAAATCAGCTAAGTCAAGAACAGAACAGTTCGAATTTCTTTCAAGAACATCAAAAGTTCCATAGAACATTATTATTTAAGGGATACATTCTCTCGTTTTTGTTCTCTTCCTAATCCTCTGTTCCGATTTTTGGGTTCCCGATCAGAAGCAAGAACTAACAAACTACGTAAAAGAAAATGACAGAGTCTGAAAATGATAATATTCTTCTCTTTAAACTTCAAGATACTTGATAGCCGTCTGAACATCCTTATCGCCTCTCCCGCTAAAATTCAACACCACTCTGGTTCCATCGGGTAACGTCGGACAAAGCTTCTCGAGATGGGCCAACGCATGGGATGTCTCCAATGCCGGGATTATTCCCTCCAACCGAGACACTCTCTTGAACGCTACAAGCGAGATATCAAGAAAACACAATCTCATGAGATGTGAACAAAAACATATATAGAGAAAGAAATTGATGCGACAAGTAAAATACCTTCTAAGGCTTCCTCATCGGTAACACTGTAGTATTCAGCCCGTCCTACATCTTTAAGGAAACTATGCTCAGGTCCTACTCCAGGGTAGTCCAAGCTGTTAACATGAACATTTACTCTTTAGAATGGATGTTAAGGAAGACAAAAAACTAGCGGATCTGTCAGGGGGAGAAGAATCTCTTACCCGGCACTGATGGAGTGTGGTTCAATGATTTGGCCATCATCATCTTGAAGCAAGTAACTCATAGCTCCGTGGAGTACACCAACATCTCCTTTTGTCAATGTGGCAGCGTGTTTGCCACTGTCCAATCCAAATCCAGCGGCTTCCACACCAATCATTCGAACCTCTGAGTCATCGACAAATTCATGGAATAGTCCCATAGCATTCGAACCTCCACCAACACAAGCAACCAGAACATCAGGCTTCCCTCCCCATTTCTCCATCGCTTGTCTCCTCGTTTCTTTACCAATCACGGCGTGAAAGTCTCTGACCATCATAGGGTAAGGATGAGGACCCGCAACAGATCCCAATATGTAATGTGTAGTCTCCACATTTGTCACCCAATCCCTTATAGCTTCTGATGTTGCATCCTTTAAAGTCGCTGTTCCAGAGTGGACTCCCCTTACCTACCAAGCACCATATGTAATTAGATAAACGATACGAAAGCATCACGACTTTTTTACGAGGTTTATTCACAGAATTCACATCACCTCAGCACCGAGAAGACGCATCCTAAATACATTAAGAGCTTGTCTCTCCATGTCTTGAGCTCCCATGTAGATAATACATTGCAAACCGAAACGGGCACACACGGTTGCTGTGGCTACACCGTGTTGACCAGCTCCTGTCTCTGCGATAATCCTCTTCTTTCCTAAACGCTTGGCGAGAAGAGCCTGAGCCACCGCGTTGTTGATCTTGTGAGCCCCTGTGTGGTTCAGGTCTTCTCTTTTGAGGTATATGAGCGGTCCTTCACCGTTTTCTCGGCGGTAATGCTCCGTGAGCCTCTCTGCGAAGTAAAGAGGACTTTCCCGACCCACATAGTCTTTCAAGATCTCTGCCAATTCTTTCTACAGGTTCATCAAACACTAATTAGACCACTACAAACGATATAACCAAAAAGGCTTCCACATTACATCACGCAGAAGCATGTTCCATCTTGGTTCCAGACTTTTTTTGGCAAATGACAAACAGAACCGATTTCACCCACATGCCCTAAAAGGCTAAACTTTTGTTTGTTCTATGGATTTTCATTTCGCATCCAAGAAAAGTTCAAAACTTTTCGCCAATCATTGCAGTGATGACACTTAAAATCACAAAGCCACCAAAGCAAAAGTTCATTCGAGAGTTTCTGAATAAGACATTACAACAAAAGAACTAAGAAGCTTCCATTTTGCATTTCCAGATTGCATCACACAGAAGCTAGTATTGCTGAAAGATATGAACCAGATGCCCTTAGGCTGTTTTGCATAATTTCATTAAGCATTGGAAAGAAACAAATCCGTTTTAAACATTTTCCGACTCATGCCAATGACAACGCTTGAATCAGAAAACCGCAAAGCAAAAAAAAAAACACCATTTTTAATGGAAACAAACAAGATCAGAACAAAAGAAGTCGACTTGCCTGAAAATCGTCGTCGGTGGCGAGCGAATAGAAAGCCGTTTCGAGCTCGGAGAGGGCGTGCATAAGGGTCTCAGGGACGTACTTCCCGCCAAACTTCCCGAACCGACCGAACGAATCGGGTCGTTGCCACAGGGTCGAATCAGATCCAGCGACCTTTGTCTTCTCCGCCTCCGCCATGCGAACAGCCGGGTCCTTGGCGATGGTGCAGGAGACAGAGAACGACGAAGACGACCGCGAGCGAGACGATGGCAGAGGCGTAAATTGGGGGAGTTTGAAGGGCGATCTCAGATGGGTCGATTCGGAAGAAGCTGAAATGGACGGTCTGAACGTAGCAGCGGTGCCTGAGGTGGTCATTACTGAATCTTTATCTATTTCTCAAGACAATTTTTGTTTTTTTTTTGGCTCACAAAACCTTTGAAAGTGAGGGGATTTTTATAGATTCGTTTAAAATCAATGTGTCAGTTCTGTGACCAGATATTCAATAAAAATACAGAAAAGAATCGGTATCACAATAATTTAATAACAAAATTCAAGAGGAGGTTGGTAAGAAGAGGGCGGTGTACATTTTTGGGGGTTGGATGTGTTTATCACATGCTTTTTTTGGGCAAAATGATTTCTATAAGTTTCTTTAGAGTTGCTATTTTGCTAATAATCCATTACTGCATCTGCAGGATTTAATCATTTTATGTAATAGTTTGTAAATATTTCCTTGTTTTCAGGCTTTCAGCTTCTGATTATCTGATAGTTTTCGGAAGCTCACGGAATATGCATCCATAATTAGAATGGCAATTAGCAAATGAGACAATACATTTGGTAGGCCTAACAATTGGCATAAACCGCTCGTTACAATATAGTGACCACTTGACTTGACTATCATCATTTGGTTGATTTACTCCTTCGATTGTTTTTTTTTTTCTTTCTAGTTTTGTATTAATAGAACAATCATTTTGGATTTTTTCTAAGAAGTTTAAATTATTTAAATTAAAAGTAAAATGTGCTATTTTAGACAGTTATCCTTTTCGTATGATCATTACACTAATAACTTAATAGATACTTTAGATACAACGCCGGAAACGTCATATGTGATGACTTACTGGTAAGTGCGTCTAACCGGTTTGGTTGATCATTGATGGATTTGACCTCCCTTGATATTCGATTTTTAATATTTTTATGTTTCCTTGAGGCAGTAAGTCAGTAACACATTACACAGTTATGATGGCTACAGGGAAAACATAGTTGTTTGGTTTTATAAAAAACATAGTTATGGATTCAGTTTTGGGCCTGGTCAAAATGTGATCATAGGCCAAATCAGATGTTTGGTTAGCTTAGATAGAATTGAAAGACCATAGAACATGAGACATTGAGACGTATCGTGAGTGATTCTTCTCGATCTCGCTTTTTTATCCTTCCGTCTCTATTGAAAACACTGCAGTTGAAGTGGTCCAAAACGTCCAAAACCATACCGAAACACCGATTTTCCGCGACAAATGAAAAATCCGGCACTGAAAATATATTCAAAATTATTTATTTATCTTAAATTTGAAAAAGAAAAAAATTGGAAAAGCTAAATTGAAAAAACAAGCGACTCATTTCTGATTCCAGTCTTAACCGTTACACTTTCCAGTGACAGATCTCGTCTTTCTTCTTCAATTCATCTTTCTTCTTCTACGATTCAGCACTCCTCTCGTCGGCGATTCCGTAATGAGCACACCTACCACGTCTGGTTCGGCGGCGAAGCCGACTAAACCAGCTAGGTCGTCGAGCGTGGCAGCTAGGTCATCCTCCAATTCCGGCTCCCTCACTTCTTTCCAAGCAATGGTGGAGCTGAAGCAGAAGATCCTCACCTCTATCTCTAAGCTCGCCGATCGAGACACATACCAGATCGCCGTTGAAGATCTCGAGAAAACTATCCAGTCCATCTCTCCCGAAACCCTACCCATGTTTCTCAACTGTCTCTACGATTCCTGCTCCGATCCCAAACCCGCCGTGAAAAAGGAGTGCCTCCACCTCCTCTCCTACGTCTGTAGCTTACATTCCGATTCCACGGCGGCGCATCTCACTAGAATCATCGCTCAGATTGTTAAACGGTTGAAGGATTCCGATTCCGGAGTTAGGGATGCTTGCCGGGATACGATTGGTGCTTTGTCTGGGATTTATCTCAAGGGAAAAGAAGAAGGGAACAATACCGGTGCAGCCTCGTCGGCGGTGGGTCTGTTCGTTAAGCCATTGTTCGAAGCAATGGGAGAGCAGAACAAAGTGGTACAATCTGGAGCGGCAATGTGTATGGCTAGGATGGTGGAATCAGCCGCTAGTCCTCCTATTGCTTCTTTCCAAAAGCTTTGCCCTAGAATCTGCAAGCTGTTGAGCAATTCCAGTTTCTTGGCTAAGGCTTCCCTTTTGCCCGTTGTTTCAAGTCTATCTCAGGTTTGAGCCGAACCCTTAATCTCTTTGTCATGTGTAGACTATGCGCTCTATGCTTGCTGTGGTGAAAGGACGAATAGGTTGATTTTTGAACTTAATGTTAGTCTTGAGAAGAAAAAAAAGCATTAGTCAACATGTTGGAAGCTTTAGTCAATAGGTCAGTGTTTTCATATTGGGGGGCTCAACTGTATGTTGCTGTTTTCTTAAAAAGATGTTCTCTGGTAAATAGGGATATATATACATTTCATCACCGGACCTCACTGCTTAAGGTTCAGTCTTGATCCGACAAATTTTTTCTTGGTGTTGCTGAAGTTTATTGTTTTGTTTTGATTTAAACTTGATCTGGTGCATTTTGGAGTTTAAGCACCTCTCTCTTTACTTCTGGTGATTCAATGCCAGAAGGTTTAGTGATCTAACTTGTCTTTGGAACATGAAGTAAATAACAATAACTCTGGTTCAGGTGGGAGCCATTGCGCCTCAGAGCTTGGAGTCATTGCTAGAAAGTATTCATGATTGCCTTGGAAGTACAGATTGGGTAACACGAAAGGCTGCAGCTGAGACCTTGACTGCATTGGCATCACATTCAAGCAGTTTAATTAAGGACAGAACAGATTCGACTCTTGCCGTGCTTGATACCTGTCGGTTTGATAAGGTAGCTACGTTCTCTTTCTCTAAGTACTTTGAGGTTCAATTCAGAACAAAGCCAATTTCAGTACTACCGTGTTTGAAAGATCATAAGCTCACCAATTCCTTGTGAAATATCGTATGTCATCATCAGATCAGTCATTTTAATTGGTTGTTGATGGCGCTAGCGGGTCTTTCTCATCATTTGCTATGCAATTGAAACACACAAGCAAGTAGATGAAATTTCTCACAGAGCTCTTTCTTGTAATTGTTTACTGTAATCTGCATAACTAAAGGACTTTTCAGTCATTTTATCACTTTGCTTACTAGTGAGCGTTTTAATGGTGAACCTTTTGTGAAATGCCCCATATAAACTTAGATGGGAGTATATTTATCGAAAATATATTAGTTGGGTTATGTAGTGTATCTTCCCAAAACAGTTTAATGATGATATTTTCTTGGACAGATTAAACCTGTCAGGGAAAGTGTGACAGAGGCGCTGCAGCTATGGAAAAAGTGCTCTGGAAAAAGTGTAGATGGTGCACCAGATGAGTCAAAGAGTTCATCTGGTGAGGAGCTTGGATCAGAGAAGAACGGGGAGAAGAGGTCAAATCTAGCTGATCTAATGAAAAAGGAGGCATCCGATGGTTCCATACTCTCACCAGACACTGCTTCTAAAAGAAAAGGAGGTCTTCCTGAAAAAGCAGTAGTCATGTTAAAGAAAAAAGCACCTGCCTTAAGTGACAAAGAGTTTAATCCTGAATTTTTCCAGAGACTAGAAAGAAGGCAATCCGTCGAAGTAGTAGTCCCTCGTAGATGTAAAAACAACGATGAGGAAGAATCAGGACTCGATGATCTCAATGCCAGGGGATCTTCCAATCGCTCCAAGAACATCCAAGCAGATGATCATGGGTTTCCAGATTCCAAGCTCCGCAACTTAGAGTCAGCGCGTGATAAACAGGTAAAAAGTAGGTTTGATGGGAACGGATTACAGGCAGGGACATCTGGTGATGATAAGACTGGTGTTGTAAACGGGAAAGAGACAGCTGGAAATCACGCTGCTATCTCCAATACTGATAACCATTCTGAAGGATCCTTCACAAGTAATAGAGGAAATTGGTCAGCCATTCAGAGGCAGTTATTGCAGCTAGAGAGACAACAGAGTAATCTCATGAACATGCTCCAGGAGTTTATTGGTGGCTCACATGACAGTATGGTGACTTTAGAGGGCAGGGTAAGGGGTTTAGAGAGGATTGTTGAAGACATGGCAAGAGATCTTTCAATATCATCAGGTCGTAGGACTAATCTCACAGGTGGATTTGGCAAATATAATAGCTTTGCAAACTATTCTAGTGGAAAGTATAACGGCCGAGCTCCAGGAGACAGAGGCGCACAACCTGATGGAGCTATGAGGGGCAGGATGTGGGGTTCTGACGTGGCGGATGAGTGGTTTATGCCTCCACATGCTGCTTCCAGAAACGGACAATCCGGGCCAAGAAGATCACCCCGGTCAGAACAACACGAGAATGAGCACATGGGGAATAGCAGGAGAGGTTGGGATAATAAAGCAGGTGGAACTATTAGATTTGGTGAAGGTCCTTCAGCAAGAAGCGTGTGGCAAGCTTCAAAGGATGAGGCTACACTTGAAGCTATTAGAGTAGCCGGCGAAGATGGTGCAGTCACGCGACCAACCCGAGTGGCTGCTGTCCCTGAAGCTGAAGCCATGGGAGATGAAGAAAACGAAGGGCAGGAACGTGACCCGATATGGAGTTCATGGAGTAATGCAATGCACTCACTGCGCGTTGGTGACATTGACTCTGCTTACGCAGAAGTCCTTTGCGCCGGTGACCAGCACTTGATCATCAAGCTGATGGACAGGACAGGACCTTCTCTTGACCAGATGTCAAATGAGATTGCAAACGAAGCTCTTAATTTCATCGCTCAGTTCCTGTTGGATCACAATCTATACGACATCTGCTTATCTTGGATTCAACAGGTACCTCTTGTACAGGACATTGGTTTCCAAGAATCATATCGATATTTTGGTCTTAACCTATCTCTTGTTTTTGCCATATGCAGCTGCTGGAATTGGTTCTACAAGATGGTGCAGACACATTTGGAGTTCCAATGGAACTGAAAACAGAGATCTTGTTTAACTTACAAGACGCATGTTCCACGATGGATCCACCTGAAGACTGGGAAGGTCCCGCGCCGGAACAGCTCATGATACAGTTGGCATCAGTTTGGGAGATCGATCTCCAACAATTTGACAAGTAAACATGAGCTTGTGATAGATTCTTTTTATGTTTGTTTCTTCCATTTAAGAGTTTTCTTAAACGTGTATGTCGTATGTCTGCAAGGTACAGTATTGTTGGAACAGACCTTGGCTTTAGTACCGTTGTTCATAATTTTCGTACACACATGATGTCGACTTCGAAAGGTTTTTCTTTTTTCTTTTTTGAGATAAATCGTAGTAGGTGACTTGAATCGATCAATTATCTTGTGGATGTAAACCTGTTTAAATGGCTCTGATACTAAGTCAACTTTCTTCACGATTATGAGCTGCGACATATATAAACATAATCCTTAAAATGCATGTTCTGTATTTCGATATATGTCATATTATAGATGATCTTCTCGGTGGAATAGATAACATAGCTGAGATAATGAGAACGGTCGGAGATAAAATTGGTATAAGGAAGAGAACGAGGAGAGTGAAAGAAATAGAAAAAAAAAGTTTAACTATCAGAGCCAGGTTTCGATCCTGGGACCTGTGGGTTATGGGCCCACCACGCTTCCGCTGCGCCACTCTGATTTGTTGAAAGCTAATGAAATAAAATTATTAATAAATAAATAAATTCTATCTTCTCCTATCTCTTTCGTGAAGATGTATATTCAGTATTCCCAACCGGAAGAGAATTCCAAAAGATCAATAAAACATTGAAAGATGCGGCGACGACCAGGAATCGGAGGATTACAAACGGCCGCGGCTGCTCGGGTTTTGCTTCTAAACCAGATTTGATATTCTCATTCGTCGAATCTATTTGTTTCCATTGTCACATATTTGTTGATTTTCGCTATAACTCTATCCATCATCAAAATCAGGATCAGTACCGGTTATTAGGAGAAAATGTGGCCAAGCTACGGACTGATATGATGAAAGAGCAGCTCGCCACGTTCAAATCCCAGCTTGAAGAGTTCGCTCGTAAACACAAGGTCGAATTTTTTTTTTTGAAATTTATAATATTGTTCATTTGGTGGGTTTTCTGTTACATCATCCTCTCTTGATTGCTTATGAAGTACTATGATCACTCGGATTATGGATTAGTGTGGTTAATTTCACTAAAAAGGAAGCATATTTGCCTTTGGTTGCAGAATGATATTCGTAAAAATCCAGCCTTCAGGGCTCAATTCCACGAAATGTGTGCTAAAGTTGGTGTGGATCCACTAGCTTCAAACAAGGGATTCTGGGCTGAGCTCCTGGGAATTGGTGATTTCTACTATGAACTTGGTATGTTTGGTCTCTTTTCTGACATGTTCTGTCCTAGTGCCAGAGAAGGAATGCTTATATTGTTAGCTATGATTCTTAAGTCCATGTTTGGATAAGGGAACATAAAGACATGGAATATATGTAGATCTTTTTCTTACTTGGATTCGCATACGCCTTCTGTGATATGAGAACGTTGAATGACATTTCTCTGAAAAGTAGTAAATTGATCAAACAGGAGTTCAGATTATTGAGGTTTGCATGCTGACAAGGTCACTCAATGGAGGTTTGATCAGCTTGCAAGAGCTCTGTAACCATCTTCGCCAGAGAAGGAAAAAAGACCGTGAAGCTGTGACTGAAGATGATTGTCTTCGAGCTATTAGCAAGCTAAAGGTATTTGAATTGTGTTTCTCTTTTTAGACTTTCAAAAAAGGAAAGTTTTTAACAGTTACTTCTCGCTGGTATCTTTGGATTTTTTTTCCTTAGGTATTGGGTAGTGGATTTGAGGTTATCACCATTGGCAAGAAGAAGCTTGTCCGTTCAGTCCCCACTGAGCTGAACAAAGACCATAATCAAATCTTGGAGTTGGCTCAGGTTATAATCATTTATATAACAAAAGAAAACAACTTTCACATGTTTTGCATTATCTGAGAAGTTTTAACTGAACTTAACTTGAGAATTATGTTGCTTTGCCCACAGGGTCAAGGCTTTGTGACTGTGGAAGAGGTACAAAGACGGCTCACGTGGACATCTGGTCGGGTCATAGATGCTCTCGAAACTTTGTTAGAAGTATGCATGTGCTATTCAATTGATTTATGTGATTCAGTACATATGGTATATCCAGTGAAACTAATATGGTTCCTGAAATTTGTGTAATTTTAAAACTTGTTTTCAGGAGGGCCTTGCAATGATCGACAATGGCAATAAAGACGGAAAATGTCAGTATTGGTTCCCCTGTGTTTCTTCTGTTTATTCATTCGCTGGATCTGATACTTAAACTGCGACACTATCTCTTTTGTTTTTGGTTTTACTTACACACTCACTCTTTATTGCATATAAAGTATGGAAAAAAATTCTTATCAGTATATTTCATAAATTTTCTTGTACATGTATAGAATAAATAATTGTTTTTCATACACGGCATTCGGTTTGTAAAGATTGGTTATGCTTGGTTGTTGGAGATCTCGGTTTCTTCCGTCCAGTCGGAGTTTGGCTCGCTCCATGACCTTGGTCTCACCCCTAGCTGGAAATACAACACCATCTCCAATGCCTCAAAGACCTTACTTTCATCCAAAACCTTGTTCCATGCACCACTCACTATGCAGTAATTGTTGTTATACGGTGCTCGGTGATGTTCCGCGTGCTGTCTCCGTGAAACAAGCAGCCCCATGTCCTGCAACGCCACCACGAGAGGTGGAAGCTTGCTCTTGGTTCCATGAGCCCAAGCATGGAATTGCTGGCTAAACATTATGCAAAATGCAAATGTGCTCACAAAGCCATGAACCACAGGGTCATTAAACGCAAGGTCTATTGGGAGAACTGTGAAGGTTATGACCCGAGCCAGAGCGTGTAGATTGTTGGCAAATTGCCGTCTGGTGATTGTCCAAGGCAACTTGTGGTGACCCTGAAATGCTTCGATTTGGGTTCCTACTAGAGGCGTTGACTCATCACCGTAGTTATCGATGGCCCAGTGGTACACACCAGAGCCTAGATCAGCTAAGACATACCCTGCATAACCGGCTAAAACTGGTTCGAGCCAGAGATGAGAATTAAACCCTCCAATGATGGATTTAGCTAAAGAGGCAAACACGGTGGTGCAGCCAGCTGCAACCCATAAGCGGTGGGTCCATGTGGATTGCAGAGATGGGTCGTTGACCAGAGGAGGATTCACAAAGCGTTTCTCAACCACAAGCTTCTCAAGGTTAGGCTGAGGCTTGGTCGTGGTAGTAGCAGAGCACGTGACACGAACACGGAGAAGCGACGAACGGTGGCTTCTTGGAACGTTGGTGATGGGTCTTAGAGGGTACTTGGTTTGAAGTGATACAGCCATTGAAAGAGATTACAGGTGATAAGCTATCAAATTTCCTTAGTTTTTGTCGAAGCTTAAACCAATGATAGAGGAAGAGATTACGGCTCAAGTTATGTTTGTGGTGTACGTCAGAGATCGTGGGGCTATTGTGATCGCTCGTGAAAACTTATAATCGAAAAGTTGCAGAATTTGGATTCTTATTTTGTAAAAGTTACCAACTAACACCCAACATTTCAAAAGGTGTATAAGCCCCCTGAATACATCATTTGTACAAAATCATCACTCTGTTAACAAATTACAAATCACCTAACTATCCAATCTTAATCATTCAATGGTTCCGTCGACGGAAAAAAATATTCATTCAATGGTTCCACATGTTCAACACAGTTATAAACAAATAAGACTAGAATGTTCTACTCCTATTTATTTATTTATTTTCCGTAGTCGTAGATGTTTTGAGTATTTTGTGCTGACAAGTGTGAGTTGTCAAAGTAAATGATAAACCAATAATTCAATAATTTATGAGACTCAACAAGAAACCGAAAACCTCGGCACGTAAAAATGAAGAACAATATCTCATAGTATCAGAAATGAATACCCATTTTTCCATTAATATCCACTTAGGCCATTTTCCATTATTTGCCAACTTCTCCATGTTCGCGTCACGTGCTCTACTACAAGTCTACAACCATGAGCTAAACATTTTAGTTTTTTTTTTTGTGGGTGTTAAAGTGAACATTTTAGTTTTTGCAACCAACTAGTGGTATTGATAACTACTGTAAATTAGATAAAAAAAACTATATCTGTAATTAAATCAAACTCCATTCTTGTTTTATTTCTTTATGAGGTTGCAAATTTGCTTTCTGATCGGATCAATCAATTAGGGCGTAGGGAATGTTTCATTGGTTGGTTTTTTATTTTTATCTATACTGTGGGAAGAGACTCTCATGGAAAACGAATACAAAATCCGAATTTGGGAAAATAACACATCTTTACATAAGCCAATTGATCGGAAATCGTTTTATCTTCCAAGCTCCATGATATACCCATCTTGAGTTCTCCATATTGACACCATACCCTCCTTCATTGTTTCACTCATATTTGATGGTGCGCCAGGAATAAAATAATCTTGATATTTTTGTATATGGTGATCTGGTTCCTTTGATGGTGTCTGATTTAGTTATTTTTATATATTCGTAATTAAATTATTGGATTTTTTTTTTGGTTAAACAATTATTGGATTTTATTCCGTAACTTCACGTTTTCTATAAGTTTCACAGCTATAATAATGCGCTAGCGTTCACATTGCTCCATGCTGAGGAGTGGACACGCATCTCTAACGTACACGACCTAATCTATTCTTTTAACCAAAAAAAATAATTAAATAAATAAAGAATAGAAGAAACATGCATGTTCCCTTAATGATTTTTTAACTATGTCATAATCTCTTCCTGTACCGTTGTTTCTTAGCTTTGGAAAAGCCTACAAATTTGATATCCTTCACATTATCACATGTACTACTCTCTTTCAAATTTCAATGGCTGTAACTCTTCAAACCAAGTATCCTATAAGTCCCATCACCAACAGCATCCCAAGAACTCACCGTCCTCCATCGCTTCTCCGCCTACGAGTCTCTTGCTCCGTTACTCCGGCCACCACCAAGACTCAGCCTAACCGTGAGAAGCTTGTGGCTGTGAATCCTCATCTTACCAACGACCCAACTCTGCAATCTACATGGACACACCGCTTATGGGTTTCAGCTGGCTGCACCACCGTGTTTGCTTCTTTTGCCAAATCCATCATTGGAGGGTTTCATTCTCATCTCTGGCTTGAACCAGCTTTAGCCGGTTTTGCCGGGTACGTTTTAGCAGATCTAGGCTCTGGTGTGTACCACTGGGGCATAGATAACTACGGTGATGAGTCAACGCCTCTAATAGGAACCCAAATCGAAGCTGCTCAAGGTCACCACAAGTGGCCTTGGACAATCACCAGACGTCAATTCGCCAACAATTCACACGCTCTGGCTCGAGGCATAACCATAGCAGTTCTCCCACTTGTCCTTGCATCTAAAGACCCTTTGGTTCATGGTTTCGTGAGCACGTTTGCATTTTGCGTATTGTTTTGCCAGCAGTTTCATGCTTGGGCTCATGGAAGCAAGAGTAAGCTTCCACCTCTCGTAGTGGCCTTGCAGGACATGGGGCTTCTCCTTTCACGTACACAGCACGTGAATCATCATCGACCACCGTATAACAGTTATTGCATAGTGAGTGGGGCGTGGAACAAGGTTTTGGATGAAAGTAGGTTCTTTGAGTCATTGGAAAAGTTGTTGTATTTCAAGATCGGAGTGAGACCGAGGTCATGGAGCGACCCAAACTCCCAATGGACAGAAGAAACCGAGACTTCCAACAACCTAGCATAAATCAGTCTTTCAAGAAAAAATAATTTCTTAATACATATTTCAGCATAAATAAACACTCTTTTCCATCTTTTGTTTATTATATGTCATGTTGTAAGAATGTTCTTGCATACCGTCTCAACTTAATAAAAACACATGCAAACACGAAAATTTTCTTTTCTTCTTGTAAGCTCTCGATTTTCTGATTTGTTTCTCCATGAGGAAACTCTTTTCCCACAAGCTTAATTAATGGGACATAGTACGTTTTGCTGTAAAAAGATCCATAAATCAATATTTGCAAGGTGCATTGGTGAACAAATTAAATAAACTCTTAACGATGAATTAAGAATTTATTTGTTTATGTACAAGATAGCAGATTTAAACCAAACAAGAAATAAATTCTTGAGATAAAGCAGATTTACAACAGCGTAAACACATAAATCAGCATCTTCAACTCTCTTTTCCATTTTTGCGTTATTTTTATATTCCATGTTGTAAATTGCCTTGTTAAAATGGTACGAACACAAGGTTCTCCTTTCTTTGTTGGAATGATTTTCGTAACTTTAGATTCAAGTGTCCATTTTTCTTATTAAAAAATCATAGTTCTATTTACTAAAATAGAGAACAAATCTAAGTTATTCCATCACATCCAGAGTTTAAATAGTTGTTAATTACAATCCATACTGTGAAAATATATTGTTTAAATAATAAAGTGATCGAACATTCTAAATCAAAATTATAAGAAGATAGAAATACTAAAATACTAAAAAGAGTGAGAAATCGTCAATAGTGAACATAACTTAATTATAATGCATCACATCGATCAACTTTGGTTATGTCCACGAGTCCATCACTATTTCCTTCATTTTTTTTTTGGAATGGCATGGTGAAATCTTCATCAAAATCTAAAAACATAGTTAACTCAATTTATTATATTACAATTAAAAGAAAATTCACAAAGTTTAACAACAAATAACAATAACATTGGGTCTTGACTAAAGTGTTAAACCAAAAAAAAGTTCTGTAATTAAATCGACACCATTCTTGCTTAATTCTACTTGTATCAATAAATTATCATTATTTTCTCAAAGCCGACATTTCAATTTGCAATTATTGATTTATGTTTGGTTGTTGTTGGAGATGTTGGTTTCTTCTATCCATTGGGAGTTTGGGTCGCTCCATGACCTCGGTCTCACCCCGAGCTTAAAATACACCATCATCTCTAATGCCTCAAAGAACTTACTTTCATCCAAAACCTTGTTCCACGCCCCACTCACTACGCAGTAATTGGTGTTATACATTAATCGGTGATGATTCACGTGCTGTGTCCGTGACACGAGCAGCCCAACGTCCTGCAAGGCCACCACGAGAGGTGGAAGCTTGCTCTTGGTTCCATGAGCCCAAGCATGAAACTGCGGGCAAAACAAAACGCAAAATGCAAACGTGCTCACAAAGCCATGAACTACATGGTCACTAAACGCAAGGTCTAGTGGGAGAACTGCCAAGGTTATGCCTCGAGCAAGAAAGTGTAGATTGTTTGCAAATTGCCGTCTAGTGATTGTCCAAGGCCACTTGTGGTGATCTTGAGAATCTTTGATTTGGGTTCCAACTAGAGGCATTGACTCTTCACCGTAGTTATCGACGGCCCAGTGGTAGACACCAGAGCCTAGATCTGCTAAGATGTATCCGGCAAAACCGGCTAAAGCTGGCTCGAACCAAAGATGAGAACCAAACCCTCCAATGATAGATTTGGCAAAAGAGGCAAACACGGTGGTGCAGCCTGCTGAAACCCATAAGCGGTGGGTCCATGTAGATTGCAGAGTTGGGTCATTGGACAGAGTAGGATTGATCACAACCACAAGCTTCTCACGGTTAGGCTGAGACTTGGTGGTGGTAGTAACCGAGCACGTGACGCGTAGACGGAGAAGTGACGGACGGTGAGTTCTTGGGATGTTGTTGGTGATGGGACTTATAGGGTACTTTGTTTGAAGAGTTACAGCCATTGAAAGAGATGATGTGAAAGATATCAAGTTTCTAGTCTTTTTCAAACGATAAGGTGAAGAAGAAATTACATTAAAGTTATGTTGTAGGGACTATTGCGTTCGCTAGCCAATTATCTGCTGACAGCTATGAAACTTATAGATTCATTGTTTTTGAAGTTACTAACTAAACCCCAACATTTAAAAGGTGCTATGAGGCCCCCCAAAACCAAGACTACTCTTTTTTTTTTTTTTTTGAACATTCCCAAGACTACTCTTCAGTCCAGATTATATTCTGTTTTTCTTGTTTTTTTAAAAAATAGATTATGTATAAATTGGTGTAAGTGCTTCTTATGTATGAGACTATGAGAGGGTAAATTTGATCAAAAGTGGCCAATGCTCTTAGTAATTAGTATATAAGTCGAAATAATGGCCAAATTGCCTAATTGATTTGAAGCTCGAAGGGGTAATTACTTCGGGGCTTCAAACTCTATCAGAAAAAGAGGAATTACATCCAAAAGAAAAATTAAATAAATGATAACAAGGTAGCAAGTGTCAGTAAGTCCACCAAATGATGGTTAAACGAGAGATAGATTGTAGATACATTTCATCAAAATAAATCTTACGAGATCGAAAAATGAAAGTTTCTTGATTACCTGTATTTTTTTTTCTTATGATCTTTTGTTGTTTAAAGATTTATACGATGGGGAAAGGCTATTATTTTCGGTGTGCAATATGTTTTTTTTTTACTAGTAAGACGAGATTTAGTCCAAAGAAATGATGCAAGATTTATGAGGTTAAAGTTAAACAATGAGTGTAAACATTTCTTTCACGAAAGGAAAAATTTGTCACTATATTTGGTAGAGTTTGGAATGATTAGAGTAGACTCTGGTATATTCGGATTGTTTGTCTTATTCAATATTTTTAGCGCGAAATCGAATATTATGTTAAAAAGACATAAATATGAAATTAAAATAAGTTTCATTATGAAAAGGGAAAAAAAAATGTCATGACATGTATGATATCTGAAGATTGAAGAATATACCGAATAAATACGCAAAGAAAGAAAAGACAAGTCATGGACGATTGGAAAAATTCAAGAGTTACGAATTCGACACGTAAAGGGAGACACCGCCTTAAGGCGTTAACAATGGCGGCTTCATCGTCTCCGCGCTTCTTCTTCGCCGTCACCTTACTGCTTCTTCTCACTGTTTCATCTGTGAAACTTCCATTTCACCCTCGGGACCTGCTCCCGCTTTTGCCCAGGCAAGTCTCGTGGCCGCTTCTCAACTCTCTCAACTCCGCCGTCGATCTCCTCCCTTCTTACATCGGCGCCGCCTCTCTTAAAAACGACGCCGTCGAGTGGAAAGGTGCTTGCTTTTACGAGAACAAGGCTTGGTTGGAGCTCAATAACAAGTCCGGTTCCGAATTCGGCGGCGGAACACTTCACATTAAGGTATAGAAATGATCAATTGCATCTTTCCAAGGTTTGATTTTGAGGGATTTTGATGAGGTTCTTAGAAACTTGGGATGTTATGATGAAAGCTCACAGATTTTAGTTTATTCCATTGTTAAAGGATGAATTTTTTCTTTGTAAGCTTCGTCCTGCATCAGTAGTTACTAAGTTCCTTTTGCTTAGCTTCTACTTTTCTATATGATCCTGGGAAGCTGTATTGAATTGATGAATCTTAAAATTGATTCAAGCTATTTCGTGTTTTATGTAGGTCGATAAGGCACATAGTTGGACTTGCATGGATATTTATGTCTTTGTGACTCCATATCGTGTGACATGGGATTGGTACTTCGTTTCGAGGGAGCACACCATGGAATTCAAGGAGTGGGAGGGAAAAGCCGAGTATGAATATGTAAGCTGCTGGTTTTTGTTTTCTTGTCTTTTGACGATATCTTTTTGTTTTGTCCATTGTAGAATTAACTTTTGTTGCCTTTCGTGCTCACATTTGATCAGGTTAGGCGGAAAGGAGTTTCGATATTTCTCATGGAAGCAGGGATGTTGGGAACTCTCCGAGCTCTGTGGGATGTCTTCCCTCTCTTTACCAACACCGGTTGGGGGGAGAATTCTAATATCGCATTTCTTGAGAAGCATATGGGTGCTAACTTTTATGCTCGTCCTGAACCTTGGGTTACAAACATTACTACCGATGAAATCCACTCCGGAGACTTGCTAGCTATCTCAAAAATCCGTGGGCGTTGGGGTGGGTTTGAGACCCTTGAGAAGTGGGTAAGCGGAGCCTATGCTGGTCACACTGCTGTCTGTTTGAGGGACTCTGAAGGGAAACTCTGGGTCGGTGAATCCGGGAATGAAAATGAAAAGGTAACACTTTAAATGCTGGATGAAATAGTTTTAACTTATTGAGAAAAATGATATAGCCATTGAGTACTAATTCTTGTTCTGGGTATCATTATATGATCATTTCTGCTAAGAACAAGCTAAACTGATATGTTTGAACATCATTGCAATGGTTGATGAGTAGCATTTTAATAGTTGATCTGAGTTTGATAAGTCTTGTATATATTTTACTTTACAAGTGACTTCTTTTCAAGCCAATATTGTAAGACTGATTTTTTTTTTTTTTTTTTTTGTGTGGAACTTCATTTTCTTCCTGTATATTTTATGCATTGCATGAATTCCTACCTGTCTTCTTGTTTGAACTTGTGTGTCGTAGGGAGAAGATGTAATAGCGATATTGCCATGGGAAGAGTGGTGGGAGTTTGAACAAACCAAGGATGACTCAAATCCCCAGATTGCATTGCTACCGTTGCATCCTGATTATCGAGCCAGGTTTAATAATACAGCTGCATGGGAATATGCTCGCAGCATGGATGGTAAACCATATGGCTATCACAACTTGATCTTTAGTTGGATCGATACCATCAGCGGAAACTACCCACCCCCTCTGGATGCTCATCTTGTAGGTTTCCATTTGCTTAAAACTTTGGCATTGATGAAAATATGAGCTTCAGTTTGTGTCTTTCTTGTTCTCTTTTTAAACGCCTTCTTTGAGGTTATTGACTCCCTGCTCTGTATTTTTTTTTTCTTTTGTTTATATGTTTCTAGGTTGCTTCTGTCATGACAGTTTGGAGCAAAATCCAGCCTGATTATGCTGCTAACATGTGGAATGAGGCCCTTAACAAGCGACTTGGAACAGAGGTATTAGCATTTTGCTCATTCAATTAACTTCTTCAAAAATGCCTGATCAAATTTGTTTATTACTTTTCTCTTTTGGGTTCTATGGATGAATAAAAAATAGAAGCCTTTAGATTTGGTCATTGGCTCTTGGCACATAAAACCATATGCTTTTAGATTTTTCTTTTCTTTTTCTTCAGTGATCATTAATTTTTTTGGGTAAACAGAGTAATCCTAGCTGATAAGTAACGTAATGGCATGTATTGTATCCTTTTATATGTAGTAAGTGCATGTACACCAGTTTCACATGAAGGATACATTTGAATATTTGATTCATCTGTACTCAACTTAAATGCATATAAGAGGATACATTTTCTTTAGTTCTTTCTCTGAAATGTTCTAAAATGGCAGGGTCTTGATCTTCCTGATGTACTGGTGGAAGTCGAAAAGCGTGGATCCTCTTTTGACGAGTTGCTGGCAGTTCCTGAACAAGATGATTGGATATATAGCGATGGGAAATCAACTTCTTGTATCGCTTTCATCCTCGAAATGTACAAAGAAGCTGGCTTGTTTGATCCAATTTCTAGTTCCATTCAAGTCACAGAATTCACGGTGAGGACCAACCTATGCATAATCTAGAAGATACCCACCTACACACACACACTGAACAGTGGTATCCATTTTTGCAGATCAAAGATGCTTACATACTCAAGTTTTTCGAGAACAATGCAAGCCGTTTGCCCAAATGGTGCAATGACAATGACGATGTAAAGCTTCCGTACTGTCAAATACTAGGGAAATACAGAATGGAACTTCCCGGATACAACACTATGGAGCCATACCCGCATATGAACGAACACTGCCCGTCTCTGCCTCCAAAGTATCACAGACCATCGAACTGCTAGAACCAACATATTAAATGTGTTCTGTTGGTTAGGAATGTCTTCGTGTTATGATTCGCGAATTAGGTGAAAATAGTTCACTTTAAAACATTTGAAAACAAAAAAAATACCATTGGTAAGATTCTGTATATTTTTGTATATAAAGTAGCTCACAGACATACATCTTCCATGGACTCAGATTCAGAGCAAACTACTGAAAGTGGACAAGCTGGGATCTTCTGATTGCTATACTCTCATTTTTTATGGAAACTCACTCGATTACATTTGTCATTGATACAACAAAACTTAACATTGTTTCACATGTATAATAAAAAGCATCTTATGTCATTGATAAAACAAAACTGATTTGATTTGGATGATACAATACGATGACTAAGTCTCAACTAAACCTCTTTCCCATTCAAATACAGTCGACATGTCAAAACTTTTTTGAAGTAACACCTGTTGAGAGTCCCGTGGCGTTTCTCCAAGCATATCAGAGATTATCACAAAAAGGTGTTGGCACGCATGGAGTTCATCAATCTTTTCAAGATCCGTGGCCGATTCCAGTGAAAGATCCTTCCACGCCTGATAATATGACCTGTAGAGAAGATTCCGGTCAAGCTTTGGAACGATGAAAAAGCTCAGGTGACTGAACAATAGAGGGATCGTTTACCATCTCCAGGCTGGAGTAGCCTCAGGTGGACTACTTATTCTAGAACACAGAGATTTGATGAGCTTGTAATCGCCTTTGGACTCTGAACCTATACAGAAGAATAGCAAAATTTCAACTTACAATTGATTGGCAGAAACACGAGAGCATTGGGACATACAGATGTAAGTCAACACCTAGGAAAAAATGTCTCTAATACTGTTTCAGCAGATATTCTATAACCAACGAAAATTCATGCAGCAAGCTTCATTCCGATATCAAAACTCAAACATATTTCATTCCGGAGGTCGTTTCTCATTCAAAGCCAAGTAATCCTTAGAATAAGAGTTATGTAAGTAGGTAAAAAGCAGAATACCTGCAGTCCCGAGGCCATTACGAAGAAGCATGAGAGAAAGTGCACATACAACAGAGGGAAGAACCCCATAGTTTGTACACATAAGTTGTTGGAGGTGTACGATTACTTCCCCTATTACGTGCTCTGACTTTGTCTCGCTGCCTTCGAGATTCCTTGTCTTGAAGTATTCTAACAATGTCAGCAAAGTTTCTGGCTTTGTTCTACTTAAGACTGTCGGGTCCGAATCATTAGCTTTAGAATAAAGCTTCCCAAGAATTACCGAAGCCAACAGCCAGCGTAGAAACTTTGCTACCATAGTCTCCGCTTGTGGTTCTTCAGTGAGTGTTTTGGCATCTTGATGAGACTCACTTGGCTTAGATCCCTTTTTAAGGTCACTCTTCAAGGCTATGGAGGTTCCCCACAAAAGAAATCTTCTCAGCTTGTCCACATCCTGAGTGATATCGTATGAAATAAAAATGTTAACTCTTCAAAACAAATCGGAGGGATGGAAGTCAGAGAAAGAGAGCGAGAGAGAGAGAGAGATACCATGCATATAATGTCAACAGGAGGGGTGCTCATTAATATAGTATTGAGCCCAGACTCTGCACTAGCTTCAACTTGAAGAGAACCACAATTAGCAACAGCCTCAAATAGTTGGAATACCCCCTCGACTGTGATGGTGAAATGTGGCTGGTACATTTTTCGTTTCTGTGATATCTTTAGAGTAGCAGATAGTATCTGCAAAATTAAATCAACCAAAGTACCATTTTCTTGTACTGAAACCAATCCACCACCTAAAAGTCTGTATAAACGCGATGAGATTTCCATTAGTTCTTCGAGGGCAAATCGTTGCAACCACTCTGTAACGTTTCTGGAGGCGAGAACATCAGTCATGACCTGATACAACAATATCACAAATCAATTCAATTAACGAATAAACTATTCTACATTAGGACCCTTGATGCAGAACAGACAATAATCATGGTTGACTTCATCATCATATTCTATAGATTTTTATTTGCAAATATGTATCCAATCATCCGTTGTACATTTAATGGAATAATACTATACACACCTCCAAGACAACTACCAAGCGCAAATCTTCGTCTCCAATGGGCTTTGTAGTAAACGTTGAGATTAATGATGACAACCATGAAAACAGACCACATTTTTCAACGAGATGTCGGACCATCTTATGGAATTTGACCGACTTCCTCACAACCTGAAGAGTGAAAGAAAGACGATTTTTGTCGGGTTGGATTAGGAGCTCAAGTAGAAAGACTAAATAAATATAACTTTCAGAATTAGGCTTATATTGATATAGAAGAAGGAACTGCATATACAGGTGCAAAATAAACACGAAGCGACATTAAGGAAAGAAAGTATTACCTGAAGAATTAGTCCTTTAGTTTCATCATCAGCAAGAGGAGATGAGAAAACACTCATCAGTTCCTCAAGGATGGAGTTTCTAATGTAAATGTGAGCATCATCATCTGACTTCAAGCCCACACACAGTAGGCGAAGTTCCCAAAGCCTCTGTGATCTAGAGTTAAAAGCGCTGCTCCAGAAAAAATCAAGGAACAATGGTATTCCCTAACAAAGACAAAAAATCAAAACAGTTTGAATGCTGGCGAAGTGTAAAGAATAAAGACAAGATTTTACAGTTTTCAGAGAATAATTACCCTCAGCTTCATTGTAGATGAGCTCTTCAAAAATTTAACTATGGGAACATAATGTTCGTGAGAAGAATCCAACAATATCAGAGATGTCTCAGAGGCAAAAACAGCAGAAACAGTTGGGATTCTTTGCCATTGTTCCTCAACTCCATTTTGCACATGCAAAAGTAGAAGCCTAATCCCGTCCTTTACATGCTTATTCATTTTACAACACTACATCAAAAAAGATTTAGTTAAACAAAGAAATTCTTAACCGTGTTTTCAGAAGCAATTTAACTTTGGCATAATCGAGAACAAATCTGACAAATGCCTTGGCAAAACCAATTACGCACAAAAAAGAAAAGGATTGGCAGCCTTAGGATCCAAAACTCCAACAAAATAAATACTTCTGTTAGCTAGCAGTTGCAAATACAAATTCTCTGTGCAGATAGCGTAAGCCAAAATATTTATTTTCCCATCTTTTGTAGCATTGACGTCACTGAGAGAAACATTTACGAAAGGATAGATAATACCAAGACATTCTTGAAGAAAACTTGTCATAGCTTAAAATAACTATTACCTCAAGGGCGTCCAAAAATATCTCAAGAGTTTCATAGCCCAATTTTCTCATCCCAATATCTGCTGAAGACATGCTCACAAACGCAACTGCAAGCAAGCCTAAACTGGCGAATTCAACAGGTTCAATATATCTCATGGACAACGAGTGTACTGAGAATGGTAGGATGAAAGCCGGATCATATAGTTCAATGTCTTCAATAACGGTTGAGCATTTCTACACAGGGAGGAGAAATTAGTTTGAACGATGTTTGTACATGCAAGTAATAGAACTTATAACTGAAAATTAAAATTAAAGACGGGTACTACCTTGCTTATTGGATCATATAGGCAAGAGTTATCCGATACTTCTGGAGTTCGTTGATTAGGAAAATACAAAACAGTTAGAGCACATCTTTTGGGATCCACACAAAGATTCTCTTTAAAAAGACTGTGCCGGAGATTTTCCACTTTATCAGCTTCACCACCGTCAGATGCATCCTGAGAGAAACGCAGCCCCTCTCTGATTTTCAAGGCAGCTTTACCCCACAAATGACCTGTTTCTGAAACATTCAGCCTATGTTCGTCATCAATCAACTCAATATCATGCATCAACTTGTAGAGTTCTAAGTCGATTTCGCTCAGAGTTGCACCATAAGAACACAAAAGAAGAAAGTGCAGTTCTTTCAGATTGATTCCTGAATCAGTCCCACATTTGGAGAGCAGAATTCTGAGAATTTTGACAATTTCTAACTGCTTCACGTAGTCAGGTGCTTCGAGACAACAACTTCCAACTCCGACAGAATTTGGACTTGGGATGATAAGATACTTTAGAATGCTGGAGGCAGGCCTAAATAACTCACCAGTGTGTGAGGATAAAATGGATAGAGAACTGATAGTTGGTGTAAACTGCGAGTGAGATATTAGGAGTTGGATATATGGTGCATACGAGTACTTTCCTCTAGACAATAAGGAGAAAACTTCCCTCAGTATCTTTAGTGTCTTCGAGTCCTCAAATCTATACAGAAGAACTGATTTCATCAGTTTCTCCAGGAAAGGAAGGGAATCCAAGTGAACAAGCACCTCGTACATGTCTTCCAAAAACTGTAGAAGACTTCTCAGAATGAAGTTTTCAAGGCTTTTGCACAGGAACCGACATTTGTTTTGTTTCCCTTCGGAATTCCCTTTAAAAGAACCATCAGATCTCTTGACAACACATTGCCAACTATTAACTAAAGCATTTAGTAATGGCTTTAATAATCTTTCTCTGTTGGATCCCATTTCTGGAGAACTTTCCTTCATACAACTACCTGTTTGACGTTCAAAATGACACATACGTTTATCCTCAGGAAACAAACAGATCCTTGAAAGTTCTACTTTTGCAATGACACGGATAGCAACATTAAACACGTACTCTACTGACTGAACGTCCACTTCTTTTAACTCGTAATCCAACATCTCTTTGCCAGCACTAATGTGAGGAAACATGGAATGGAATACCTTTAATAGATCGTCTGTTTTAGTTGGACTTTCAGTCAAGGCAAAGTGATGCTGAAACATACGAACTGCCTTCCCAAGAAGACTTGCATCAAACATAGTGTCGATATCCTCAGTCGACGACGACAGAAGAATCTCTTCATACTTTTCTTCAAAGATGCACCCAGACAAAAACTTCGGCCACTGAAGAAAACCATTGCATAGTATATTTGAATAAACTGAAGTTATATCTAAACATCTACTACACGGCTTCTCGAGTTTTGCAAAAACTGATGTCCAATACGATAGCACAGCAGGCAGAAGCATGATAAACTGATCATCTGTAAGCGCAGAGTCATCCTGTTTCTTACTTAGCATCCTACAGAAAAAGTGTCCAAAGACAGCCAGATGCAAGGGACTGGACTCCACAAGATAGAACAATATCTTGGTTCTGGTCATGCTTGCCCGGATAATGCAATGGCTAATCAAGTCTTCAGGGGTTCTCCCAACAATCTGTGAAATAATCAAGGTCAACGGGTGAACGGTATAATTCTGATTGTGTTTCCCCCTGAAAACACCACTCCCAACTTTAAGCAAACAGATATCTGCCGAATCCAAACTAAAAGAGGTAGAAAACTTGCATGCCATGCCATAGACTTCCTCGATGAGGTTACTGTCATAATTGTTTTCTTCTAATTCCCACAGCAAATCATATACCTTTCTCTTAGCAGCCGGCTGCTGTGAATATAATATAAGCATTTCAAAAGCTCTGCCAGCAATATCCAATCCCAAACTGACGATCATACTCAAATTTGGGCTTGTCAATTCTTCCACATCAATCAGCATGGAACGAGCAAGATTTAAAAGTTTAAAAGGTGATATAAATCTCAGCAAAGCATGAATTATTTGTGTTGTTTGGAGAAGAGGAGCGTAACTTTGAGAACCAACACAAAGCTTCAACTTGACCCTGAATTCCAAGAGAAGCCTTTCGACCAAGTCCTTAAAAGCCTTAATTGACTTGTTTTCCCTGAGGTCCCCTTTCTGCACAATGTGTTTCTCATCAAACAAAAAGTGCTCACAAGTAGAAGCCAATAGATCAAGGATGTGTTCATCTATTTCACTAATAACTAGCCTGCCCGTTGTCAGCGAAGTTTCTGAAAAAATTTCAACATTCTGCACTTGAGGTAATGTGCTACAATCCAAGGGACTATCTAACAACGCCCTCACAACTGGATGGCAGAGAACTGTCTGTGCCACTTGATCTTTCCACATTGCAGAAGACGCAAGCAGGTTATCGGAAGAGGGTCCAGAAACAAGCTCCGGTTCTAATATTTGAGAGAACAAGTGCTTCATGAGACGTAAGCAGATCTCAGAGAGTTGACAGAGTACCGGTGCTGGTTGAATCTTGCAAGTTGATCGTATTTGGAAGAGCCAGTACAATATCAATTGGATATTTGACTCAAAGCTATCACTTTTACTCTGCGAAACTTTTAGCAACAGTAGCTCTGATATTCTTGGAAACTCTGGTAAGGAAGATATATCCATGCTCATAATTGCGGCAAGTAATACATGAAAAGAAGCCTGCTCTGAAAACATAGAGAAGGCAGAAGATTCAATATCACGATCCATCTTACGTTTGATTTCTTCGGTTATCAATGAGGGGTCAGAAAAATCAATCTCACTCTCTTCCGTTCCTTCTTGTAGATTTCTTGAATCAGTAAGTTCAGAACCTCGTGCGAATAAGTCAGGCGATAGCTTTGAAAGGTTTCCGAGGAAATTTTCCTCTAGATAGGTGATGGACTGTAAAAATGAGAATGGTATTCCGTAAAAAGCCGAAGAAACAGCCATCACACGAGCAAAACTTTTCAAGACCGATTCAGGTGGTGCACATATCAATGCATAAGAGAACGCTTTAACTATTCCTGCAATTTCATCCGGAGAAATGCTTCTCACTAGTCCTTTGATCTCATCAAGAGAATCTGCAAAAGAGTTGTCAGCAAGTAGTTCCTTTGTCCTTCTGGAATGCAAGATAAAAGGTCTTTCGTCTGACAAAGATTGTGAGAAAAGCAACAACATTCTCAATGGCCTCCATTCACATAAAGAATCCTTAGATCCATCAACAACCTCAGACAATAATGACTGGACCAAATATGAGAGTGATCTGGAATCGACCTACAATATTCAATTCATAGAAAAGATATTGATATTTAAGTGGTAAAAGCTATACATATCTCGATATACATTTACCTGCAGATGTATATTTACCTGAGTTTGCAAAATATATTTTAATGTGCTGCAAACGTACACAGATATTGCTGACTTCTCCGGTAAAGACCTTTTAGATTCAGAATTTAGCACCCTAACACACTTCTGCAGTAGACAAACAATTAAGGGGCTGAAACCAATTGATACACCTGCAACCAACACATAGAAGATATACCAGTCAAATTTCCTGTAAATTTATCAAGTCCACATGACAAGTAACCAGGCTTAAACTTGTATGAAATTAAATGATTCGTGTTCGATAAGACGATAACTAACACATCATTTTGTGCAGACAATAAATTTTAAAACTCATAACGAAAATAGTTACAGAAAATAAGGTGATGAGCAAACAGTTATACATCTCAGATGCCAAACCTGAGCAAAAAGAGTAAAACACATGAAACCTATACCAAACCATTGATTTCGAGGGCACTAATACCTATACCTTTTAATTGGGACAAGCTACTTCTGATAATATCCCAGTACTTGAATAAATTATTTCCAACAGTTGTAACTGCATCACATAAAAAGGAGACGACAGCTGATGACATGCTCTCGACAGCCTCCTTAACCTTAAAAGGTCGTTTAGTCTTTCCATAACATGGTAGAAACTGGAACCATGCACCAATTTCACTTGGATTCTTTTCAAATGCACCGGTGCTACTCATAGCTACCATTGCTAAATTGTACGCTAGATCCTTCACCTCGTTGTCTGGTGAGGAAAGTAACAAATTCACGAATATATCCAACTGCCTGAACATATGTGGAGGCATTCTTGTAGGAACCCTCTCACTTTGGGACTTTGGCGTCCAACTGATGTAGTCACTTAGCAAAGACAAGACACCTCTCTGCAATTCAGCTGGCAAACTTGAAGGACTGCTCAGAAGTTTCAGGAAGACATCAAACGATCCTTCAAGCACATTAGGCACAGAACGCTGCAAGATGAAAAACATGTAAATTATAAAACCAAAGCTTATCAAATACAAATGAGGCATGTCTAAGCTACTACGAATGCAGTGAGATCTTAACAATAACAAATAAACGATATAAAACTGAAAATGCAACTAGAAGTTTGACCAGATCTGACTAGAAAAAAGCAAGGCAATTTCCTATTTTAAGCTGTCAACTGGACAAGCCACCACAACTCAAAAATAATTTTCAGTCGTCATGCTACGCTTGCAAGAACTTCAAAACTATAATTTGACACAGAATTTAAAGGAGAGTGCAAAATAACAAGACATCCTGTTAATATTTAAATATCATTACGCAAGAGTAAAACAAATTTTGTGAAAATGTGAGAAACCAACATACCACATAAAGCCTAAGAGTATCCAGAAATTTAATGCGAAAGCACATTTCTGCTTCTTCGATAGAACCAATAGGCTTAGAACAAAGCTCAGAATCCCAAATTTCTGAAACAATCCCAAGATATTCCTTTTCATCTGCTTGAACTGTCATATTAGCATCCAGAGGATTCTCTGCCAAAAAGATGTCTTCACCAGAAACTACCCCACCAATGACGATATCACCAGCCTCTTCATCCAAAACATCCTTCTTAGATCTTTTAAAGCGTTTTTTTCTATCTACTAATCCACTATCAGCTTTTCTTTTCGAAGACAGCCTTTGAGCTCCACTAGAACCGTCCACAGACTTCAGTAAAGGCAATAACAACTGGAAATCTGGAAAAAAGCTTCTCACCTCACCCATGACATCCCGCTCAAATGAAGCCTGAATTTGCTCAGAGCAGCTATGAGATGAACAAAGGTTCCAAGCAGTAACAAACGAATCCAGCAGCCTACGCGTCTCCCAGAGAAATCTCAAGGTCCCATGTTTCACAAGAAAATCAGGATGCTGCATTCCTCTATTGATCAACGACCGGCTAAATGGTCGGGGGCATATACATCTCATGATAGTCTGAACTTCTGAACCACTAGAAGATGGTGTAGCACGTTGATCTGGATTGAGAAAGTCAAAAGAACATGAAATTCTTACTGACGATACCAAATTTGCTGCCAAGGAAATAGAAGAAAACCTGCAATGACTTCAGTTACTATGCAGAAAGAACGAAAAAAAAAACAGCAAAAATCTGACGGTACTGGCTGCACTCAAAAGAAATATAGATACATTCTGGTACTCTGAAGAAGACTAACCAGGATGGTGATGCAAAATCGTCCACATTGTATGGAAATTCTTCTAAAAAAGCTGACGATAAAGACGGTCTACCCCTAACCATGGCTAGAAGCAAATCCCTGTGATAACCAATTTCTGTTGCGCTCAACATCTTCATGAGTTGTTGTAGTCTGTCTATATTGCCTTTCAAATTTCTCTTTGCATCTGGCATCAACCCATTACAGGGGTCTGTACAAACTTTAAGAAGAACATCATGGGCCAACTCATTCACAATCCCACCATCCTCTCTTGCTGAAATGTTGACTAGCTGCTTTAGTGTACGAGGTCCAAAAAGAACACTCCTTAGCCAAGGAGGAATCAATGATTCTTTAACAAGGATCTTGTCATTCAACGTAGACAAGACAGAAGCCACAGTGTCTTCATTGTCTTCCCCAAGACCTTGTAGGACTGGAGAGTACATTTCCCTCTTCTGTAAAATAGAGATTAACAATCCAGGGTTCCCAACTTCAAGGAATGATATCGCAAACCCAACAAAAGCCCGCCTCGGTGAGTGTTTCCTTACCTTGTCAGCCCCTCGCGTTTTATACTCTCCCAGTTTTGCGAAACCCTTAAAATCAAATACCTCAGCTAATTGTGATGCCATGCCTGGACCACGTCTAACTATGGAAGCCAACAGTGAAAGTGCAGCAGTCTGTTGTTTTCCCTCTTTGCTGTTCAATTCTTTGTAAATGTCATCCACTCTTTCTCTTATAAGTAAACTGCTAAACCCGTCAATAGCTCTTCTAATATCAGTTGATGGATCTTTTCCCTCTGGATGACTCAAAATCGTCTGGATAAGCAAGAATATATAAGACAGTCCTTGTTTTCCATGTCGAAGATTCCATGCCTCTAGAAGCTCAGCAAATTTGGGTGAGTTCTGGTAATATAAACGCAACAAATCGCCGCCAGTTTCTCCCTTTAGTAACTTAACAAACTCTTTTGCAGCATCAGAGCATAGCTTAATCTCATGTAAGCAAATCTTATGCAACAATTCCCTGAGTTTAGCTTCATGGGATGGTCTGAATGCCATGGCTGGGATTTTTTCCATCTCAAGATCTTTATTCCCTCCGTCCACCACCATTCCTGAGATAGCAAACAGGTCATCCAATTAGAAAGTAAACTACTTCTCCACTAGCCCACACACTGTCACTCCAAGAGAACTAAAGTTTCCCAAAGACTAAAACTTTACAATATAAGAGAAACAAGTAGTAACGCTAACGAAGTACCAAGTTCAAATATTAGCTAGAAAAAGATATTAATCGACTCCAAGATAAAAGTATTTTTTTTTAAAACTACTCCAAGATAAAAGTTTTTATTACTCTTCCGCAATTTCCAAACAGAAAGAGCAATCGATGGGATAATTTTGTTTTTTGTTGACAAAATCGAAATAAAGAAATCGCTCTGCACAGTTCAAGCTCTTATCGTACCTTGTTCTTCCAAGTCTGATGTTGATTCCGCCATTAGAAGGAATACTAGAGAGTTTGCACAGAGATCTCTCTCTCTCTGCACGTGGGGTTTAGGGTTTTTTACACGAGAAAAGATGTCAATTCCAAACCGATCCCAACCGGTAAAAAACTTGAATTATCCTGCCTTCAATCGGTTTGGCATTAAACCGGGTTCATCCATTTCTCTACCTCAAAATGGGCCAAGACAAGCCGAAACCTTTTTGCTTGGGCCAAGTGAGATCCAAATCAGAGACACTTTTCATGCCTCTTCTTCTTCTATATAAGAAAAAACAACCGAGACAGCTCTGACTCGGATCCCTCTTTTGTCCTTTCGTCCGAGAGATAACCCTTTAGAACTGCATCTGCGACATCGTCCTCTTTTAGGTTTTCGTCGTCATGATGCAGCAGCCACCTCCAGCCACTAACGGTGTTGCCGCAGGGTCAGGTCAGATTCCTTCGTCGGACCAGCAGGCTTACCAACAGCAGCAGGCTTACCTGATGATGCAGCAGCAGCAGCAACAACAACAGGGTCAGCCGCCGGCAGGATGGAATACTCAATCGACGGCGTCTCCGGGTCAGAATCCGGGATCAGCTGGTGAGATCCGGTCCTTGTGGATCGGAGACCTCCAGCCATGGATGGACGAGAATTATCTCATGAGCATCTTCGCTCTCACTGGCGAGGTAATATGAAATTTTTAGATATAGCTGTTTTAATTGTTCCTTCTTAAGAAGCTTTCGTTTTTAATTTGAAATATCAGTTTTTTCCTCCTTTGAAGAAAGAAAGTTTGTAGCTTGATTGGATTGACTTTTGGAATTTGTTTTTTTATGTTTGCACGTTTGTTTGTGGTTGCAGGCTCAATCAGCTAAAGTCATTCGCAATAAGCAGAGCGGATATTCTGAAGGATATGGATTTATTGAGTTTGTGAGCCATGCTGCAGCTGAGAGGATTCTGCAGACATACAATGGTGCTCAAATGCCTAGCAGTGAACAGACTTTCAGGCTGAACTGGGCTCAGCTTGGAGCTGGAGAGAGACGCCAGGCTGAAGGGCCTGAGCACACAGTTTTCGTTGGAGACTTGGCACCTGATGTTACCGACTACATTCTTACGGAAACGTTTAAGACTGTATATTCGTCTGTCAAGGGGGCAAAAGTTGTGACTGATAGGACCACTGGACGGTCCAAGGGCTACGGATTTGTCAGATTTGGGGATGAAAGTGAGCAGATACGTGCCATGACTGAAATGAATGGTCAATACTGTTCATCCAGGCCTATGCGTACTGGTCCAGCTGCCAACAAGAAGCCTCTTACGATGCAACCAGGTATGTTTTGATGGTTAGGATCCGGATTTCTGATGACTTATCCGTGTTTGTTGAGTAGTGATATGTTAGTTGTTTGTCTTTTCCTTGTGGTATTTCTTTACCGCCTATCATTCTGACTGGTGAAGCTCGTTCTGCTTGTTGTTGCTCCAAGATAAAGAGAATGTGTCTGTCCTTTTCCTTCCGCTTCTTGCCTTCAAGCACTTCAAAGAATTTAATATCGCAAAACATTCTAAAACTTATAAGTAAAAACTCATGTTGTTTTAAAGCAGGAGAACAAGAGGCTCTCTTTGGGAGGGCCTGGAACTGATTCAGCTGATAATGATTCCACCTTATTGCGTGGCCTCATTTAGGTCAGTTGGTTATGTTTTCAGAAGAAGTTAATTACAATTAGCATTTATTAGCTACACTCGCAAATTATTTTCCAGTTCCTTACTTATCAAGCATAAGTCTTTTCTTTTACTTTTAAGCCCTACCTTTAAGTTTTTTCTTTACATATTAAATAGTTCATTACATTTCGCCTCTTTTCCAGTCTTAAATCCTTTAAGAGTGTTTGTAATCTTCTTCATACCTCTCAGTTTATCTTCTCTCAGTAGTTAGTGCTTCAATTTTTGTTCCTTCTTTCTGTTACCAATTTCCTCTACTCTACATTTATACTATCAACTCTTCTTTAGTGCTACTTTTCATCTTTCGGCAAGCTGATTACTAAGGTAAAGAGAGTCAGACCATGGAAGATATTTACGTCATTTGTGATGTCCTGGAGAAATTTGGTCCCATTTTCGAATTTCTCAAAGTTGGATCCAACTTTCCCCTTGAACATCCGTGATGATATCTGTATTAATCATCAACTAACTTCAGATACTCTTTACATCTTCAAGCTGTATCATGTATGCCATTTCGGCATTTACTCTATCTGATGATATTTTTTGGATCTTGATTTGGATACATTTTTGCAACTTCTGTTTGTTTGAGCGTGTTTGCTTTAGTGTCTGTTTCCTTGCACTGTCAACTGTATTTAGTATTCTCCCCTAAGTTCTCTTGTCTATTATTTGCAGGTGCATATCAGAACAGTCAAGGAAATCCCGGAGAAAGTGACCCAACTAACACAACAGTACGTACTTTGCTTTGGTTTCCTTAAGCCTGTTCTATGTAGGGTATATTGTGTGAATTTCAGCGTCATTTTTGCTATGCCAGATTTTTGTTGGAGCGTTGGATCAAAGTGTAACAGAAGATGTTTTGAAGTCAGTTTTTGGTCAATTTGGTGAGCTTGTACATGTGAAAATACCTGCAGGAAAACGTTGCGGATTTGTTCAATATGCTAATAGGTAGTGTGACCGGAAAGACATACTTCGTTTTTATTTTGAGAATGTGTTTCACATTTTTTTCTCTGTCTGTGTGCTTCAGGGGATCCGCAGAGCAAGCACTCTCCATGTTGAATGGAACACAACTTGGCGGACAAAGCATTCGTCTCTCCTGGGGTCGCAGTCCCTCCAACAAGCAGGTTTGTATCCGTTATACAATTCAAAAAGTTTGCTCGGCTCTCTACTCTGACGTCATCTGATATGACTCGATCCATGTCACAGACTCAATCTGATCAAGCCCAGTATGGTGGTGGTGGTGGTGGTGGTGGATACTATGGGTATCCTCCTCAGGGATATGAAGCTTACGGATATGCACCTCCTCCTCAGGACCCTAACGCCTACTATGGTGGCTACCCTGGTGCCGGCTATGGAAACTACCAGCAGCCTGGTGGCTACCAGCAGCAACAGCAGGTAATTGAATCTTTGAAGTTTTTTGGTTTTTACCTGAGAATCTTTGAACAAATTGAAAAAGTATCAATAGCCCTCTAAATATCCTTTTGCGAGCTTACTGATTCGTCTTTCCTCTGTTTCTTCTTCTTAATTGCAGTGAAGCATGATAAGCATGTCGTGATCGATTCTATCTACAACTCTTCTTTTCTTTGGTTTATCTAAAGGTGTTCCATCTGGATATTTGTCTGATTTTTTTCGGTTTTTGGTTAACAAAAAATAGCTACCTTATTAGATCTATATCTACTTTGATATGGTTTTATATCGTAAACATAAACTATGTTCAATTTAATTTCAAATTATGTGAGTTTCGATTATTCTTCATGAAATCATCCAAATTGTAGTCGGAGTGACACCCTTTCCTTTATAAGAAAGAAGCTGTTTTTTCCCCACAGACGGCAATGAGTTGGCAAAAACATGAGGTCTGCAACAATTGCTAATGCAACAAATATTGATACTTGATATAACAAAATACAAAACAGACAAAACATAAAGGAGTGAGGTCAAACAAAGGTCACTAGATATACCATTCAATCATACAGAGATTGGTGAAAGCATATAGATGAGGGATTTCAATTGAAGAAAGGTTTTCCAAAATCACATTCATTAGATATCTGAGTAGGCTCTCCAACCCTTCTTCCAACGGCAGATGAACACAGAATCGATAAGAGAACTAAACGTCCACAATACATAGCCACGGACTATCTCATCTAGGATATGTTGGTTTAGCCAGTTAAGGCATAGCAGAGTTCAGAGCAGAAAATTTAACTAGAGTAGACGTATATACATACAAGTGGGCCGGGACTATTAAGGGCCCATGGATCTTCTGAAAAAGAATAAAAATGAGGGAAAAGGAAAGAGTCGCTTTACTGGTTCCCTCGTGTATCTCTCTAGATCTATATTCTTTCTTCTTCTCTTCCACCTTCTTTTCTAGTACGACGATTATGTATATAAATTAGCTTCGAATAGACCGTGATAGATAGATAGAAGCTTCTAGAGATTTTCAATATTTTTCATAGAGAGAATCAAACTTGAATTGTCCAAGGTCAAACCAAAAGGATGGGATACGCAAGGAAAATGGAAGACGACGACTCTTCATCATCACTGAACGAAGCGCTTTTAGTAGCAACTGTGTGCATAATCGGATTGCAGGTTCATGTTCACGTCAACGATGGTTCGGTGTTCTCTGGGATATTCTACACAGCCTCCCTCGAGAACGGCTTTGGTACGTTTCATTTTTCGTTAAATTGATTGATTTTCGTCGATCAATATCTTTGGATTGATTTTGAATTTGTTTTTGAGTGATTTGGTTTTCGAGCTTCTCTCTCGTAATTGGATTTAATGTGTTAGAGTAGAGATCTGAATGGGATCTTCTGGTATTGAATCCAGTATCCTATCAATTTGTCAATTTGTTTGTCAATCATCACTTGAATGTTTGTGATGCGAATTTTAATGCAATTAGATGGGAGAGGCAAATAGAAGGCGACAATGAGATTTCATGTGTTTATTAGACAGTTCAAGCAGTCTACAATAATGGAGTTAGGCTTGTCCAGATGATTCAAGAACAACTACTCTTTTGCTATGGTTTCTTATCATGCCTGTCTATTTCCTGATGTGATTTATGAGATGTGTTGTTTTTTTTTGTTTTGTCTAGCCATCGTTTTGAAGAATGCAAAAATTACGAAGAAGGGGAAAAGTAAAGCGAATGTAGCAAGCGGGAGTGTGGTCGAGACGCTTGTTATTCTGTCTTCCAATATTGTTCAAATGGTTGCAGAGGTTTGTCCTTTTGTCCTTTGTTATCTTTCTTTTCTTAGAGCTTTATTTATGACAGTCTATGTGCCATGCTTTGATAGGGAGTCTCGCTTCCATCAAATGTTACAGGCAATAAAGAGGGTGAATATGTTGGATCAGCCACAGAAGTTTTACCTTCTGAACCTCGTCTGTGTGCTGAAGGCAAGGGCAACTATCACAGGAGGTAAATTTCTATTTGCTTTAAGTTCATGTTAAAACAGAAAGTAATGGTGAAGAGATTATGGTTGAATCACCACTCTCTGCACTTTAACTCGCTAAAAACTTTGTTATTGACACTTTAGCTTTGATTCAAGATGATAATTGCGATAATCTCTAAAACTGTCGAAAACAGTAATTCTTCAGTACGTACTATTTAACTGAAAATTGAAGTAAAGGTCGCTTGAAAACCTCGACTTCCGTCTCAATATTGGCATTCTGTAACAGTTTTTCCACTTCATGCCAGTCTTAGCAATCTAGTTTAGCAGCTGCATCAAACATATCAGTGCTGGCACAGTCACTTTCTATCTTGGACACACCAATGTCTAAACTTTTCCTAATTTTTTGTTTTTTTGGATTCTTGTATGCTCTTGTTGACAGACAGGCAGGAGCCAAGATTTTGAAGCGTAGTGGACAAATTCCTGACGTTCACCAGGAGGATAATGTCAGTAGTCTTGCACAAAGATAGTTCATTTGTTCGATACTGTTATTACTTAGCAGCTGCTTAGTTATTCGCTTTCATATTGCAGGTTGATATTCAAAGCTCAAGTTCTAGCTGTAAGTTCTTTGTCCCCGAAATTGTTTTCATCTTTGTTACAGCTGTGGCAGATATGTTACTGCTTCTTTTTGACGGTAAAATGTTCATGACATGCTTATCTTCAAATTTTGTTTATGTGGAATAATGACCATCCAGTGGATAGCATGTCCGAACGAGTTAAACCAATAGAAGAAGATAAGTTAATGCTGGAACCTCTTAGCAACGGTTTTCACGATGCTGCTGAAAGGCCCTCTTCAACTGGCAATTTATCGTCAAGTACAACTGCTGATGAAACCTCAGAATTGTGTCAGGATTTAGTGGCATCTTCAAATGCATCAGTACCCATCCAGGCCGTTAAAAAGTCTAAGGTGATTCCTAAATACATTTATGCTAGATTTAGTGCACGGGTCATAAAGATTTGTTATCCATTCCTTTTATCTTAGAATACACTCAGACTAGCGTTTTCATTGGACACGCTGGTATGTTCTCAAACTAATCTGAGGTTCATTTTACTTTCTCTGTTACTCGATTACCAAGTTTCTATTTCTAAAACTTATCCACATACAGGAGTTCAAGCTGAATCCCGAAGCAAAGATTTTTTCTCCATCTTATACAAAACGTCTTTCACCGTCCCCTGCTAGTATGCCTGGTGTTGGAAATATTGCATATATACCAAGCAACACTCCCATGCCACCAGTTCCTGAAGCTCTTTACCCAGAAGTTGGAAACAACGCTTATATCCCTCAAGCATCTCCACCCTCCAAGTTTGTGCCATTTGGTAACTTGACTGCTGGAAATGCTGTCAGTGGATTTCACTATCCTCAACACGTAAGTATTATATTTCCAGTATTGTATTTGCCTCCCTTACTCTCTTCAGGCATGCTATAAATTATTAGTTGAGAATAGATCACTCCTTTCAGCACTAAGCGCCTGTATGGTTAACACATGTCATTTTATAAGACCAGGTCAAAGTTACTTTGAATTGATATGACTTTAGCTTTATAACTTGAAAATTGTTCCATCAATGAATCATACTTCCACCGGCTTCCCTCTTTTCTGCAGATGATTGGGCCTACCGTTAACAGGGCACAGCCGCAGAGATTCACCTCTCAGTACCAATCTGTTCAAGCGTCACCGATGTTTGTAACTCCAAATCCTCAGGTTGTATTTCATGGATGATTGCTAAAAACGTATTTATTGTAATGAATTACTCTGTAATGAGCTTCACTTGGTGTATATGTTTCTAAAGAATCTTTCTAATGTACTCCAGGTGGCGGTCACGAGATCGGGGCAGCTTGTATATATCCAACCAGTTTCTCAGGTTAGAACTTGGTCCTTGATTGATTGTTTGTATTTTGAAATATAAGCAATTTGGTGAACTTTAATGATGTTAGGTTGATTAATCTGTGACATATCGCATCAAATGTTAGACAAATATATGTCCTGTATCGCTGAGTGAAAGAGGAAAATAGTATTACCCAGTCATTGGTTTACAGTTTGGTCGAAATTCTCCTTTTATTCATATCTTTATATAGTCATTTCCAGTAACCACCATTCTTCTTCTTTTTTCAGGATCTGGTTCAAGGAACACCGCCTCTTCCACCTATGCTCTCCCGTCCTCTACCAACCGCACAACATGTCCAATACCTGAAACATCAAGGTAAACATTTGAGTCTCTCTAACTAAATAAAGAAGCATCGATGTTTTTTTCCCTTTTGGACCAAACCAAAAAATGTTGGTCCTAACTAGAATGAACACCCATTTTGTAAAGCAGGTGTTGTTGCAGCTGGCCAGCCGCTGCAGCTATGTGTTTCTCAGCCGTTCACGGCGGGTGGACTGCAACCTTACAGCGTTCCCACCCAATTTCCGGTCATGCAGACTCCTTTTCCCGCGAATCAGCAAATGCCAATCGCAGTTCCCAATGGTTTCTTTGGCACAAAGTTTCCATAAATAGAGTGTCCTTGTTTTGGTTTCATACCTTTATTCTTTGCGTCTCCAAAACCTAATAAGGGTTTTTATAAGAAGCCATTCTGGTTTGGTTTATTTTTTCATTTTTCCTTTCGATTTTGGGTTTTTTGTTCGGTTTTTGGCATTATATTGGTTTTGATTCATTGGTTTATCGAGTTGAATTATGGAGAAACTATTATAGACTGTGAAAGCATTATGATTCTTTTGGTTGACATAAACATAAGTTGGGAAACTTATTATAGATCCATATTGGTCATCAGTGATCTTAATAATGTAACAAGACTCAGTTCAGATGGGTCAAATTATATACATTAAAGGCCCATAATCGTATAAACAAATATTTGCCGGCAAAATGACCTTTATGTTGTATTCTGTAATCGTTTTTTATTCTTCGGCTGCCCTGACCGCCTGACCGGAGATTCTTATAATCCGCCGTCCACAAATTTTCCTCCATTCAAATTTCCGGCGATCAGAAATTTCGCGGTGGATTTTGATGGAAATTCGCAATTCAGAACGAAAGCTACCAATTTCCCTCGAGAACCTCGACTTGAATACAAATCGTGGACCAAAGAAGAAGATTCCTATTTCAGCTTATCTATCTTCCTCAGGTAAGCCTCGCTTTCGACAATCTGTTTATGCGACTCTCCGTAGTCTTGTATGCTCGGTGAGGTTTAGGAGTTGGATTCTGACGTGTGTCTCCTGGTTCTGCTTCAACGACAGGAATTTCTGCATTCAAATCAGGACCACCATCTCTTGTCAGCTTATGTCTTGGGGTTGTTGGGAGGCATTTGGAGGAAATCATTCCTTGTTTAGCTGATATCTCTGTCATATTTCCTGCCGATATCAAGGTTAGTTAGTGTTTTGATCCTTCAAGCTTTATTGGCTATGCCCTTTTAGGTCTTTTTAGCCGGTTTGGTAATGTATACACTTGCTAAATCGAAGGCGTATTCATGTGTCACAGATGTCTATTGCAGCCATTGCTAAAAGAAGAAAGCTACTGGATGATGATTTGATTATCTCTTTGGCTGACAGTTCCTGGGAGATTCTAGACGTTAGCGGTTCTGATGTTTCGAATTCTGGCTTGGCTAAAGTGGCGGAAATTTGCAAATCTCTTCGAGCTGTTGACATTAGGTATTATAGTTGCTTACTAAGAAATAAGTAGACCTATGAGTCTGTTTCCTGATATCTCTGCTCGTACCTCACGTCATGGTTTCTTAATTGTTTTTTAGGCTCTGATATCTTTCATCTGTCCTATGACCGAATTTTCTGTACAATTTTGTTCCTTTGAGATGGGAAGAACAAATGTACCAAACCTAATCCTGATTGTGTTGAGTTTCAGTGAATTTTTGTATGGTCTTGCTGGTACTTTAGCAAGGAGCTTCTGTATGTTGGATAAGTGGTGTTTTTTTTTGCACTGGAGTATCATATAGTTGCATTGATTTGTTATGCAGCCGGTGCAACAAAATCACATCCATGGGCGTCTCAGAGCTTGTACAACACTGTCGATCGTTGGAGACTCTTAGATGCGGGTAAAACAAATTCTTCCCTCCAGCAAAGTGCAGGAAACTAGCCTCTAATGTGTTGTTGTTGGGGTAGCTTGTCTGTTTATTTGTCAATTAAGTGATTTTATGGGTAAAGTGAGATAGAATTGAACCCATAGTGTGTGGGTGTGACTAGGGCTAACAAACTTCATAAAACAGGCAATGAGGATAAAATTAATATTGCAGAGGATGCCCAAGCAGCGAGTCCACGGCACGCAGATCTTTGAGTATGTTTAAGCCAAACCTGAGTAATGTTGAAGGAGAAACATGGGAAGAACTAGACACTACCGAGATTGGTCATGGTGGTCAATCATTGCGTTGGCTTGTTTGGGTACGTATTGTCCCTTTGATTAATAAGCTACCAGTCAATCAGAAGACTTTACTTTCTAGTCTCTAGCCATTCAGTGCTCGTTTTCTTTGGTGCAAGAGTTTCATCACACTTTGTAGATTTAATTTGCTGTTGCTGCAGCCCCGAATTGATAAGGCTTCATTGGAGATGCTATCCATGGAGTGCCCAAGAATAGTGGTAAATCCCAAGCCCTCACTTCTCACTTACAGTCTAAACGAGGCTCCTCGAGAAGCATTACCAGATGTTGCATTGGATGAGCCATTTGTGAAAGACATTGATCCTGAAACGTGGGTTGTTAGAGGATTTGTGCAGAATCCGACATCCGCCTCATTATCCTTGAACTCCAATGAGCTGCCAATAGCAGAGAAGTTCAGACTAGCGTTTGCAGAGAGAGATGCACGATTGGCTCCTAAACGAGCAAAGAATGCAAGGCAACATCAACGTCGTGCTGAGAGAAATTGGATGATGTCAAGTGACGAAGCCAAAGCAATGGTTTTTGCATCAAAGGCCACCAGATCTTTGCACAAGAGTTAGTTTACTGAGGAATGAGAATTCTTTGCACAAGATCAGTGGATGTTCCAAGCATGCATGTCTCTTCTCTACTGTTGTTATGTAAAATTAGTTCACATCGTTTTGTGGGAAGCAAAAAGTGAATAGAGAGTGGCTGCTTTGTATCTGTTTATTGACTCTAATTTGCAGATGTTTTGTTAATGCTACAATTAAAGTGGTACAAAACGAATTGATAGATATATAAAAATGAGCTGCGTCTCTTGGCATTTTCTTATAAACAACTCTTTGCTGAAAAAGGAGGTTACAGATGCTCACAAAACTTGCTTTATTTGAAACTATGGAAACTTTTAAAGGAGGAAGAAGACAAAAAGCGAGAAACAATTTGATCACTTGGTGCTCAAACTCCGGATGACGTAGGGAAGAATACCGCCGTGGTCATAATATGCCAGTTCCACCTGCGCACGTTCCAGCAAAACCAAGTCTCAGACGAATTGAAAGTTTGATTCTTAGAGATCGAGATTTTAAATTTGTTAGCTACATAGTTTACCTCTGTATCAAACCGTAAAGTGCAGACAAAGGATTTGCCAGTGTCAGTGGTTACAGTGACGTCTTGACCGGGTCTAATGTCACTGACTTTGGTAGGAAGGTGGACTGTATAGCGTTCATGACCAGTAAGTCCAAGGGTATCTGCGTCCTCCCCGGCCTTGAAACACAGAGGAATGATCCCCATGCCAGCCAAGTTGCTGCGGTGGATTCTCTCAAAGCTCTTGGCAATTACAGCTTTCACTCCCTAATTTGTGGTTACCTCAGTTACAATACAGGGTTTCACATGATATAATCATAAATCTGATGACCGTTGTAATTATTGTGAACTTACCAAAAGCAAGGGACCCTTTGCAGCCCAATCCCGAGAGCTACCACTTCCATATTCAGCACCAGCCAGGATGACCGTATCCTGTCCAGCGGTCTTGTATCTCTGAAAGTAAAGCGTTTGAGTGAACGGTTAAGCACTAAATGAAGGATATAGTTGAACATTTAAGGACTAACTGACGCTGTGTGATGATTCTACTTACACTTGCTGCGTCAAAAACACTAAGTTTCTCCCCAGTCGGAATGTGAACAGTCTTCGGACCAACTTCTCCGTCCACGAGCTTGTTAACTATACGGATGTTGGCAAAGGTACCACGAGCCATCACCTCATCGTTGCCCCTTCGACTTCCATATGAGTTGAAGTCCTCTTGGCTCACACCATGGTCTATGAGAAACTTTGCAGCAGGACTATCTTTTTGAATATTCCCCGCTGGAGAGATGTGGTCTGTTGTTATGCTATCTCCAAAGTTCAGTAAGCAGTAAGCATCTTTCACCTCACGTGGGCCAGGTGGATTTGCGGTCATATTCTTGAAGTACGGAGGTTCATGGATATACGTGGAGTTGGAATCCCAAGAATATAATGTCGAACTCGGTGCAGAAAGCTCATTCCACAGGGGATTTCCCTCTGTTATTGTCTTGTACGTGCTCTTGAACATGTTTGATAATACGCTACTTTGAACAACCTTATGCAGAAAGTTAACAAGGAACGTTAAAAGGGTCAGAGACATAACTGTAAATGACTCATCCTCTTAGCATATGGTCAATGTACCTGAGCAATCTCCTCATTGCTTGGCCATATGTCCCTCAAGTACACACTTTTTCCATCTCTTCCGGTTCCTATCGGTTCTTTCTCAAAGTCAATGTCAACCTGTGGTTAAAGGAGTTTATGTTAATAAAACAACCCTCGGATAACTAAAGAAGGCAGATAGCAGTCAGTGAGGCTAGTTAGCGAATCTAAATCACTTAAGTATATAAATTTTCAATGTAGCGATATGATCCATGCCATCCAAATTAAGTATATCCAAAACACATAAACACAAACATCTACGTTTGGCACAACAGAGATCCCACAGGTCATTGATTGAAAAGATGAAAAAGTACTAACCGTTCCAGCAAGAGCATAAGCAACAACTAGTGGCGGTGAAGCAAGATAATTTGCTCTTGTTAGTGGATGAACACGGCCTTCAAAGTTTCGGTTCCCAGAAAGCACAGAAGCCACTACAACATCTGTGACAGGAAGCAGGGAAAAGGCAAGCAAAGGTGAGGTTCAAAGCGCACTTATTGATCTATGGGAAAACACAATTTGTTGAGGAAAACACAATATGGCTGAAGGAGATTCCAGAGACGAGGGAATACAGTGCAAACTCTTAAATAAAATGCTGGTGGCAATTTCAAAGAAAGTTCATGAACAAAAGAACACTGTTACCATTATTTTTAATAGCAGATTCAACCGACTTTTTAAGGTTGCCAGAGTTCCCGATGCATGTTGTGCAACCATAGCCGACAATTTGAAATCCTTGCTTGTCCAAGTACTCTTGAAGCCCACTGCAGAGAAGGTAAAAGTTGAGTTAAGATCGGATGAAGTATCTAGATGGGAAATATAATTGGCTCCAACAGACCTTTGATCCAAATATTTGGTGACAACCCCAGAACCTGGAGCAAGACTTGTCTTAACCCATGGCTTTACCTGAATTAAAATATCGGTGACAGTCATTATAGAATTTATACAGCAGGTGGCCTCAGGGCTAAACTAGGGAAGGAAAGATGGAAACTTACCATTAGACCAAGATCATAAGCTTTTTTAGCAACAAGTGCAGCCCCAAGCATGACACTAGGGTTTGATGTGTTTGTACAGCTCGTAATTGCCGCAATCACAACACTACCATTTTTGAGCTCAGCAGGTATTTTTTCTTCGAACAAGAACTTAACAGTATCCTCTTGTTTTTCCTTTGGTATTGCAAAACCCTTTAGGAAAAAGATACAATGTCTTACAGGCTATCCAAATGAAAAGAAATAAACTTCCTAGGTCCTTAAAGGTTGAATTTTCAAACCACAAGTTGCATCTCACCTTGAATCCAACAGGATTGTCAAGGCATGCATGCCAGTCAGCCTTCATATCTTTCAGAAGCACTCGGTCGTGAGGCCTGTTTTACAGAAAGTATAAGAAATGGGAAACCATGATTTTCCAAAAAAATTATGATTTATAGAAGTGAAAGTAACCTTTTAGGCCCAGAAATACAAGGTTCAACATGTCCCAGATCCAACTGCAGATAAGATGTATAAGCTCTTTCTTGCTGGGGCTGAAAGATAAACCATTTGGGTTTGAGAATCTTTCATGATAGAAAAAATACTACCATAAACTGATCCAAGAATGTCCATACCTCATTGTAGTCCACAAACATGTTGTTTGCACGCAAGTAAGATTCTATCATTGCCACCTAAATAACCACCAACTTGTTGATCAAGTGAGCCTCATAAATCATAAAAAGGAACATAATAAAGCATGCTGAAAAACAAAGCCACTTGAGTAAAAAGGAACTACTAAAAACATTTTGTTAGAATGTTTAGGAAATTAGAGTATTGCAACCAGGGTAAGCATCAGCACACAAACCACAAGAAAGCAGATCTTCAAACTTAAATCATATCTTCTTCATGATGATTCAATTTTACCCAAACGAAAAAAAAAGTGAGAACACTCACAGTTTCATCGCTTCTTCCTGTCAACTTAAGGTACTCCAAGGTAACATGGTCCACTGGGAAGAAACCCATAGTTGCTCCATACTCGGGAGACATATTTGCAATCGTGGCTCTATCAGCCAATGACAGTTCACTCATTCCCTCACCTTCATATGGAGACAACGACGATAGCATAAGTTTTCTGAACAAGAAATTATCCACAACTGAACGAAAGTCATAGTTAGGCATCCATGAATCTCACCATAAAATTCAACAAACTTGCTGACAACGCCATGCTTCCTTAATATTTGAGTCACCGTGAGAACCAAGTCAGTGGCAGTAACCCCTTCCTTCAACTTTCCATCCAACTTAAATCCAACCACACCAGGTAATACCATGCTCATGGGCTATAAAATTTTTGAAGAACCAAATCAACGGCAGAAAAAATTTGTCATATGCATGTAACCAAAACAAGACACGCCAATAATAAACTGTGAATGTACAAGTACAGAGCAAACGGAGCTCACCTGTCCAAGCATTGCTGCCTCTGCCTCGATTCCTCCAACACCCCACCCAGCGACTCCTAGTCCATCAATCATAGTGGTGTGAGAATCGGTGCCAACAACGCTATCAGGGTAGAGGAATCCATTGGAGTTGAAAACAACACGTCCAAGGTATTCGAGGTTGACCTGCAGTCAGGAGTAGTATAAAAAGGAAACATCACAAGAGAAATAGTAGTTTAACAGGCTAATAATATAGTCATATTTATGTTCCAGTAAAACTGTTGATATTTGCAACAAGGAAAACGGACCATCACACGATATACATTCCTTGATTTGAATTACAGTAGCATCTTGTACCTGATGAACAATCCCAGATCCAGGAGGAACCACCAGCATATTGTCGAAGGCTGATGAACCCCACTTAAGGAAGGCAAATCTTTCTTTGTTCCTCTTGAATTCAAGCTCCTCATTTATCCGCCGGGCCTTATCTGTCCCCGCTGCGTCAACTTGGACTGAGTGATCAATGACAAGATCAACAGGAACCTGTATACAGATATGTGCAGGAAATTGTGGGACCAGTTCGCAAATGAGCAAAGTGTTCTCTTTCATAATAATAACATACGAGCAACAGCTACTTCAACATATCATAACCGAAAGGCATAAGAGAGTTAACTAACCAATGGATTAATCTTGTTAGGATCACTACCAAGATTCTTCATTGCGTCTCTCATAGAAGCAAGATCAACTAGAGCTGGCACTCCAGTAAAGTCCTGGGAAAGAAAAGCAAAAGACACTGTCAAGTAGGTAAAGCAAGAATACAAGTTAGCATTTAGACTAAAGTGAAATACTAAGCTAGACACCTGTAAAATAACACGGGCTGGCTTGAATGCAATTTCAACTTGTTTAGTGGATGTATTCTCCCAGTCAATGATCTTCTCAACGTCATCCTTTGTGACTTGATAGTTGTCACAATTACGAATTGCCGACTCCAATAGTATCCTAACAGAGTATGGCAATCTATCTGCAATATTCCAATTAAAAAGTGTTACCTTCATTAGAATCCATTACAACGGAACAGATAGAGGACATTACAGCAAAGCAGTTTTCGAGGAACCATACCGATTCTTGGATCGTTCAAAGCAGGTAAGGAGTAGTACTTTCCATACTCTCCACCATCAGGCTTAGGAAGACTTGTCAAAATATCCTTGTATGCATGTTCAGAAGCTGTGTTTTCGAAATCAAAACTATTAGAAATGTATAAACACACGTCAAATAACCCAGGCCATACAACATGCATGAGTTTGCTTTTCCATGATCTAAATAAAACCCTTTTTATAAATAACAAAGCTGCATCTAGTAGAATACTCTCTCTGTTTCAGAATAGACGATGTTTTAGAAATTTCCCTCTTATTAAGAAACAATAAATATGTGTTGCTTTTAGTTAGTTTTTTGTCTTTTCACTTTCTAAAATTTGTTTTTCACACACTTATTAAATGCTCTATAATCATTATGAATGAACTTTAGCTCCATCACTTGATACTATTGGTTTGTTTACAAATAAAAATTTATTACTTCAAAATAATTAAATAAAATATGTTATTAAATCATTCTTGTAAAGTGTAATAGCATTAAATATTTCCAAAACATCATCTATTTTGGAACCAAAAAAAATCCTAAAACATTATCTATTCTGGAGGGAGTAGATAAAGAACAAAAACTTGCAAGAGCAAATCAAATGTGCCTCTAGTTTTTGCATCAGAATTCAGAACATTTCATCAAACCGCTCAGAATTCAGAAAATTCGAAGACATTTGAAGGGGTGATTCTCGAGTTCAACTGATTTAGCCGAAATCGAGCTAAGCAAGCACGGAATCTTGTAATACAAGTTAAGAGGAAACAGGCATACCCATGGTAGCGTATTTCCGCTCAAATCTCTCCATCACCGGAGCAGAGTTCCTAGTTTGAGCACGAAGGCTAGCAGGCGATCGCCAGTTCCCACCATAGCTCCACCTCGTAGAGGCAGAGCCCACTCGAAACGAGCGGAGAGCCGACGAGAAGCTCTTAGATCGGTTCGTCTGATTGAGAACCGACGCGGAAGGAGCCGAAGCCGGAGCTGCAGGAGTCGAGGCGATCTTCGAGAGGGAAGAAGAAGAAAGCCTCGTGAGCGAAGCGGAGGCAGAACGAACGCCGGAAGTGGCGCGTCGATACATGGCGGAAAATCAAAACAGTTTGGAGAGATTGGGAAAAAAACTCGCCAGAGGAAGAAGGATCAATTGAAACCCCACGAAAATGGGACCTTTATTGGAAGAGATCGTGGAAAGAACGAAGGAGGTCGAGCGAGAGAGAGAGAGATTGATTTCGTCAAGCTTCTGAAATTGCCGATTAAGAATTAACAGAACCTCTAAGAGACAGACACTCACTAATTATACAATGCCAAGGCCAAAGAACGGCTACGATTCTTCTTTAGTCGTTGACTAATAAACTAATAAAAATATTTGTTCTTGCATATTATAGAAAGAGTTACGATTAATTTAAAAGCTCAGAGCTAAAGACCAACGTGGGAACATTCGAATAATTGGCTTTTCGTCGAAAGATGGGAATATTTATTTTCCCAGAATTTTTCCCGCAAAAGAAAAGAAAATAACTTTGTTTTCGAACTTTGCATTATATAAAGTCATAACTGGTAAATAATTGTATTTTATTACACTTTTTTAAGGTATTACCACGTTATTTGATTGGCTCGTTTCTGGCACAAGCCAAGTAGGATTCATATTTCTCCTCTGAATAGTAAAAGTATATCATACTACTTATTTTTCTTCTATCCTATGACATGAAACCATTCAACCATGATGTTACTCAAGAAATAAATCGTTTCAATCCTAATAAATAAAAGTCAACGAGGAAAAACTTAGGGTAGGTAGGCTCTTCTTAAGCTATGAAAGACAAAGCAATTCAAGTCTCCAGCACAATACCAAGAGACAAAACCCCCCAAAGAGGAAAAAATTTATAAGTTGGCTTCTCATTTTGACTCTTCTTAGTCCTCAATGACAACGCGAAAGGCCACAAATTTAGGGTCCTGAAAAGCTCTCTCGTCTCTGATTCATCTGTAAGACTCGAAAACTATTCGGTTTCTGTAGACTACATCAAACAAATAATTGGACGCACACATGAGATGTGTTTAGGATGGTGGCTGCCATGTCCCGGGCCTAAATGATGATCCAGACCCCGATGGCTCTGTTGTCCTGTATTATCATCATCACCACCATTAGTTTGGATTTTATCATACCATTTTCATAGAGAACAGATTCAGATTACTAGCGGTTGGTAACAATCAGAAAGAACGTTTCACGTTTCATATCCGTGAGTTTAAGATTAAAAAGGTTAAAACCAGCTACACTTACTTTGGTTCAGGTGGTTCTGCAGTTACTACCTCGGGTTCATGTTCCTTGGTCCTGTAAAAGCAATGTGGAGTACATTTTGGTTATGGTGGTCTTGTGAAAGATGCTGTGTTTTGCATTCGGCAAAAGATATAGTGTAATAAGATTTAACACAAGATATGATTGGTGCGGAGATAAATATGAATCATGATGATTCACCTTGATTTATCTGCTTCTTCACTAGCTTCCCCTGGTTTATCACCTTAACGCGTTGACAAAAGAAAAAGACTAACACTGTCAGTCTTACTTCCATGAAACAATTATCTCATTTATGGTTGTGAGAAAACTAGCTACTGTAGTAACCTCATCACTTAAATCAACAAATGGCATAAAGGATATGTAATGGTGAATGTGAGCAGTTCTTATTGCCTTCTAAGCAACCGTAATCAAAATGGCATACATTGAAGATTTTACTATCAGAACTTCATCACAATCACTTACTTCACAAGGCAAATTCCCAAGATGTTTCTGGTTCAATTTCACAAAACTACTATAACCATCAGTGCAACAGCCACACAAAATGCTGAACAAAACATCAACAAGTTCCCTCAGAAGCATTTCGTATCACACAAATGGACACCATTCCAAAGACAGATACAACAAAGGGTAAATGCATAGCCATAACAATATTTAGTAATTTTACAATGAAATTTCAGAAAGGAGAACACTAAAGACTTCATCACTCTATGGTGACTCCCTTAGTCAATTGATACAGGGAAAATGTATACCTTTTGAATCCGCTGGAAAGTGGCGAACAAAGCTTGTCAAATCCGGACCCTCAACTTTACCTTCATACAAAGACAGCAAACATTGAGCGTCCAATTCATAGATGTAAAAACAATTCGAACAAATTTTTGAGGCACTAAATGTTAAGTACCGATGCTCATGATTTTGCGACCAGTGCCTTCTCTGGCTTTCTTCTCCTCCTCTTCTTTCTTGAGAACTTGACAATGAATTAAAGACAAAAGAAAAGAAAAAATAAACATTTGCGTAGAACTTGAAGCGGCATTAACAAGAATTTCCTGACTTGCTAATACACAGAGACGCAAAAATAACAAATTTGTTGATTCAGAACGTCTAGATTCTAAAATTCAAGTCGTCAAAGTCATAAAACTGTTTGCAGCAAGGATCAACGGAGGTGAGGAAACATATGTTGTGACATTTAATAGGATAAATAAGTTCTACAAAAAATGTATTAACAATCTGGAACACCTACGAGCAACATTAAGCTTCACACGCTCACGCCTTGCTTCAAGTTCAGCCATTTCCTGGACCAGTAAAAAACATTAACATCAAAGGCCAGACACTAAATCCATATAACCAATGCCAAATCTGACCAGAAATAGTTCTGGTTTATCTTACCTCAGGGGTAGGAGCCCTTTTTCGCTGCCCATTCAGCCAACATATCCATTCAACTACAACATTGATCAAACAATCCCAAGAGAAATGACTATAAATGAAACCATGAAACAAGCCGATTAAAAAAAGCTTTTAAAGAAGAGTTACCAGGAATAGAGGTTGGGTCCTCTTCTCGTCTAAAGACAACCCATCTTTTCTCTTTCGCTGGAAAGTAGAAAGAGAAGCAAGTCAGAACATCTTACTACTGCACAAATGGATTTTACAAGAGTTATACAATAAAACAAAAGAAGCCTTTTGAAACAGAATCTAATTTCATCCCACGAACCAAAACAATTTCTAATTTCATTTACACACAACAGGCAAAGACAGCTGATTCATCTAATAGAACGGACAAAAAAACAAAGAAATTCAGCAATTTTCACAAAAGACCAGAAATTTGTACGTCTTTGATCTCATATAAATGACAGAACTCCGACGAAACAATAACAAAAAGTGAATTTGAGGTAAGAGGTGCGAAGAACAATACTTGCCCAGTCCGTCAATCTCCTCGACTCTGGAAAAGTACTTGTTACCAGTCTTGTCAACTCCGATGAAACTCTTGCTACTGAAAAATCCGGCAACTCTCGCCCATAGCCTCGACATAGCTTCTCCCGCCGATTTCTTCTTTGTATGATCCAAAAAAACTAAAGACAACACGTCCAAAATTGTTCCCCGATCGAGTCTGCTCCGTCTGGATCAAAAAATCCGAATTCGGATTCTGGATCCGGATCCACGATCCACCCCTGTTTCGTTACATGGTTTGGGAGAAATGATCCGGCCCGGTTACGGATATGTAATGAAAAAGATCCGAAACTATGAATCAGAGGGTCTCGGTTTTTTTTTTTTTTTTTCCCATAGGGTCTCGGTTTAGAGTCGAGAATTTGATTAAATGAATCAGGGATGGAAGACCGGTTCAAGTTTCGTTAATAGTATTGAAGTGCATGTATTGAATAATTTTTAAACAAGGACTCTTTTATAAAAAGAGAGGGGAAAAAAAAACAGATTTGATAGCCATAACTCATAAGCATAGTTTACCAAAAAAAAAAAACTCATAAGCATATAATCATTACTTAAAAAAAAAAAAAAAACAGAAATGGCCTTCAAAATATTTAAAAAACCTTGGTGATACAAATATTTTGCTTAGCTTGTTTATTGACATGTATATGTTTTTGTATTTTGGTGATTCTCAACGCATCTTCTTACTCATCAGTGCCGATTCTTAGACGAATCACATGAGAGCTTGTCGATTTTGATTTTGGACCACAAAAATTGTATAGTTGATTATTTTTAAAGGCCGTCATATACAAACCCTCGCTTTCGCAAATCATGGCTAAAATTGATTAGGTCAGCTTAGATAAGTTAAAAAATTTGAAGTGAGTGATATTGTTTTTTCTTTGTAAGTATAAGAGTACAACAAAGTTCGATGAATGACGGCTACGCAAAGGGCCCAAGCGCTCGTCATCTATTGAAGAATCTTCCTTTCAAGCTAAAACGTTTTGTTTCTAAAGCAAAGCACATAATTTTTAAAAAAAACTTTTTATACTCTTTCACGCCTAGATTAACTGCAATTGCAATTATGATATGCACATGAATTAGCCGCCATGGACATTTTTTCCTCTGTTTCTCTAAGAGACTTCATGTAATTTTTAATTTAAGTATTCTATCCAGGTTAATTTTGAGATCTTTAAGTGTCTTGTACATGTATAAATGTATGGCTACATTAAAACTAAGCTTTGGTCGCATTACCAACTGAGGAATATGCATGCATGGCAGTGGCGGAGCTACTTGTAAGGTGGGGTGATCAATTGACCCAAGTCAAATTACAAAATTTAAAACTTAAGCTTACTAATACATGTTATTTCTGAAAGAATTTGTTGAAAATTATTTGATTGACCCCCGTAATTTCATGTTGGATGCCTTACTTGACCTCGATTAAAAAAATTTCTGGCTCTGCATGGTCGGTAGGTATCACTAAAAACGCTGATGTCTTGTAGCTTTGTCTTGTCAACAAAAAAGAACACTAATACTAAGTCAGCAAATGGGACCTTTGTCAAGCCAAACGCTCCAAATTATCGCGAGCTTTTAGGGGGATGAATCTGTGAGAATTTTTTGTCTTACTTAAGAGCAAAAGGTGGGATATCGACATTAATAAACAACATATTGCATGTGTGGTACCCATTTTATAATAAAAAACTTGTAGCCTACAAGTTGTAGAGGGTGAATTCAAATCATGATTGAATTACTTTCCGTGATGAAAGAAACTAAAGGGAAAATTGGCTACATATGCTTTAGTGTATGAGTGTAGTGTACTTTGTTTGACCGTTAAACTCATAACAAACCAAATATTAATGATCGTAAATAATGTGCGGACGTATATTGAATATAGATTCCCACGTCTTTGAAACATATCTATAAAGACAAAACAAGAACCAATCTATGTATTTGTTCTTCAATCCCACACCTCTTGTGTCACTTTCTTCCTCTCTCTTCTCAAACTCTGAACTATTTTGCATCTCTTGACACAGTTTCCACTCTATAAATCTCATTATATTATTATATTCTATAAGCTTGCTTCAATAAATCAAACGTAAGGTACAATATAGATTCTTACATCAATCTTGTCTCTTTTGCGATTTTGTGGCTACTACCTAAGAGTTTTTGTCCAGTTGAAGATCTTTCTTGGCCGTCTTTTATGTTTTGCAGAAGCAGCTGGTGATTAGCATGGAGAGGAAACATGATGTATGGAGTTCTTTGAGAGACGGAGATTTTCAAGAAGATGATGTGTGGGATGTTCTTGATGGATATCATTCATCGTTCATGATTAGTAACCATGCCAGTAAAACTTCTTTCTCAAACCAAACTTTACTTCAAAGCGAACCTAGAATGATTCCTGAGAGGCAGAGCATAGAAGGAATGGCACCTATGAGACAACACTCGGCTCCTGTCAATGTCCCTGATTGGTCAATGGTTCACAAAAAGAAAGCTGATGATGATGATGATGATGAGAATGTGTCACCGGAAGAATATTTTATGCGGCGGAGTCGATCATCGTCCTCGTCGGTTATGGAAGGAGTTGGAAGGAAATTGAAAGGAAGAGATTTGAGCAAAGTTAGGAATGCAGTATTGAAGCAAACTGGATTTCTTGAGTAGACCATGATATATTGTATTATTGTATAAATGTTTAGATATGTATGAACCGAATATGTCTAGATAATTTACATTGTTATTAGGAAAAAAATCTTTTATGAAACAAAAAATTGTTAGGTGATTCATTTAAAAAATTCTAGTTTGCTAAAATGTATACAAATTAAATAGGTGATTTCATTTGGCATAATAATACAAATGTCTATTATTGTTGAAAACGGTTGATTTAAGCTTTTTAAAGAGTTCACCTAAAGGTAGGTTACTAAAAAGACTTTCAAGTAAAGATTGTATGAGCTTAAGATTCATTGAATTACACGATTCGAACCATCGATGACAACGAAAACTAAGGCTCTTTCTTTTTTTCTTTTTTTTTTTAAGTAGAAGTGAGTTGTAAGGGGAAATCCTTGATTGAGGATCATGTGCTGCACACGTGGTCAATGTTGATTCCTTTTGTCGTAATTCTTAGACAGCTTGGGAACATGTGAATGGGGAAATTCATTATCGTTCTTTTTTTTTTTCTGGTTAAGAGTTAAGACATTATTGGGAATTCCTTTTTATAACTAGTATAACTTCTACAGAAAACACACATTTATGTATAACATATTGGCTTAGGATACTAATGAAATATTGACAGTGATGAGTTTTGATGTAGAAAAACTTCATATTGCCAAAGTTGCTATTTTTACTTACCTGGTTACTTTCTTTTAAAATCAGAAAGAACAAGAATCACCTAACTATTTGACCAAAAACAAAAAGAACCACCTAATTTATTTCCTGAAAAGCTAATTAAATCGAGTTGAGTAATTAAATTGTGTTGTTTATTGTTTAGAGTTTTGACTAGTTCGTTGGTCAATTCATTCGGAGTGGTCCTGTCGGTAGCTGCAGGTTTAATTAGTTTTTTTTTTCCTAATCCAATCTCATTGATATTATTACTGTAAAGTGAAAACTTAACTAATAAAGCGAATAATATTAGTAATTAAACTAGGCACAAAATCGGCACTACTAGATTCCATTCATCTTCCTCCAGCTTCGAATTCCACGCACAATTGCACAAAGCAAGAACAAAAGCCACGGCTTCTCTTGTCGTTTTCTCCTACATTCGTCTTTTCAAAAGATCAATCTAAAATTTCACAATCTAAACTTTCTCTGTTTATAGTTTCGTTTCCGAGGAGAAAAGGCTCGATCTATTGGATCTGAAAACTGGAGATTTGAGGTTGACTCTGTTGACTCGGGCCGAGTCGTGCGTGAGATGAATGTCTCATGTTTCGTAGCTCATTGAGAGTCTTTCTGGTTTTTTTTGTTTGCTTAGGATTCGTTAGATTCTTGTAGTTTTGCTTTAGAGCACGCACACACAAAAATGTCGAAGCATCACAGAGGATTAGAGCTCTCTGCTTCAAAGAGTTTTGTCTCCAAGAAATGGACTTTCTTTCTCTGTATCGGATTCTTCTGCGCAGGAATTCTCTTCTCCGATAGGTAACAAAACCAATGCTCTGTAATTAACTCACAAATTCCTGTCACTCTTCTGTGTCGACTTTTCCGGTAAAGTTTGCAAATTTCTTTTGGGGCTGTCGGTGGATAAAATTCATTAATTTCCTCACACCCAGATTTGTAAATCCAACAAAATTAAGTTTTGGATTATCTGGTTAAGTTTTCGTTTTTGGATGACAAAGATTGCAATGAGTGTAATCTCATTCTTTATCTTCTCTTTTGGTAAAGTTGTATTTCTTCATAAATTAAAATAAGAAAAGACTTTTAGGTACCTAGAGATGCATTTATCGACAAAAGTATAGTCTCTCTATAGACAAAATGATTGAGATCCATTTGTAGTTCATGGAAGATCCAAAATCAAGCATTGTCCAGATGAGCTCCTAGTTGTGCCCTAATCTGATTGTGTATGTTAATAGAATGTGGCCAGAGCCTGAAGCCAATGTCGTATCAAGGGAAGCTTCAGATGAAGGGCTGCGATTAGTGTCAGACGACTGTGATTCTTCAAAAGTAAGTTTTCTAATTTAGGTGAAATGAACTCTAGAGGAATTCTTGATTCCGAGTTGTTCATAGCATTCTTCATGTTTTATCAGAAGGGTTTGAAGCATGAATCAAAAGATATCCTTGGAGAAGTTTACAAGAGTCCAGATGCAATTCAGTAAGTGAAAAAAAGGATATGAAATGAAACTTCAGTTCTTTTTCTATTTTGATCGCGGTTTTGCAGTAAACGTATTGGTTTTGCTTAAATGGTGTTATGCAGAAGACTCGACAAAACGATTTCAAATCTGGAAACAGAATTGGCGGCTGCAAGAGCCGCGCAAGAATCCATCATGAATGGTTCACCTGTTTCTGATGACTTTAAGCTCCCTGAAACTGTCACCAAAAGAAAGTATCTGATGGTTGTTGGAGTAAATACTGCGTTTAGCAGCAGAAAGCGCAGGGATTCAGTCCGTGCTACTTGGATGCCTCCCGGTATGTTGATCTAAGAAGCGATTTCAGCCTTGGCTATATTGTTAGGGGACTAAACATAAGTCTTCTTTAGGTGCGGAGAGAAAGAAGCTCGAGGAAGAGAAAGGGATCGTCATGCGATTTGTAATAGGCCATAGGTAAAACTTGAACCATAGAGTGGCACAAATCTTTATTTGAGAGAGTGATTTACGATTGAGTGTTCTTCCTGTGCAGTGCTACTCCGGGTGGAATTCTTGATAGAGCGATTCAGGCTGAAGAAAGTAAACATGGAGACTTCTTGAGGCTGGTAAGAGTTTTTCTTGTCATGTTTTCTTATGGAATTCTACTTAATGTGGAGAGCTTCACGGCAGTCATATATTTCCTACATCCCGGCTTTCTGTTTTATAAATCTTAAGTTTGATTGAGCAGGATCACGTTGAAGGTTATCTCGAGCTGTCAGCAAAGACTAAATCTTACTTTACCACGGCTTTCCAATTGTGGGATGCAGACTTCTACGTGAAAGTCGATGATGATGTGCATGTAAACATAGGTGAAAATTAACCCTTTTACTTCATCTGAATTGTTATGTTCCTTATTATCTCAAAGTTTGCGCCTTTGCTCACTTCTGTTACGGATATTTTTGCAGCCACACTCGGAGCAGAATTATCAAGATACCGGATGAAGCCCCGAGTCTACATTGGTTGCATGAAATCTGGACCCGTTCTTGCTCAGAAGTAAGTTTTTTTTCACCTTCAAGAGACCACTTCTCTCATTTTCAATGTTTGTCTTACTTTCATTTCTCTCTGAAATTTCCTTTGTTAGAGGAGTGAGATATCATGAACCCGAGTACTGGAAATTTGGGGAAGAGGGTAACAAATACTTCCGCCATGCCACGGGTCAGCTCTATGCAATTTCCAGGGAATTGGCGTCCTATATATCGATAAACCAGTGAGTTCCTCCCCACAGCATTGACAAATCCAAAAACTTATCTGCTTTATGCTTGATTATACGTTGATTGCGTGTTAACTAAGGACAAATTGTGTGTATAGAAACGTACTTCACAAGTACGTGAATGAGGATGTCTCTTTAGGATCATGGTTTCTTGGATTGGATGTGGAGCATGTAGATGACCGTAGGCTATGTTGTGGTACAACAGGTAAAAAAATCAACTTGTCATGTATCTATTTCCAAGTGTGGAACTTTGACCAATTCCAATGTTGCTCAATGGAAAACTGCAGATTGTGAGTGGAAGGCACAGGCGGGCAACATCTGTGTTGCCTCGTTCGATTGGAGCTGCAGTGGGATTTGTAGATCAGCGGATCGGATGAAGGATGTTCATCGGAGGTGTGGAGAAGGCCCAAAGGCTCTCTTGGCTGCATCTTTCTGAACAAAGTAACGGAAGAAACACAATAAGAAAGAAGAATACAGAGACAAATCCGCTCAACACGTTGTAGTATAGACACACATTCAGAACTGCTCCACACTCTCTCTATATATGTATGTATGTATCTTGTGAACTGAGATGAGAAGGGTGCTTTTTGCCCTCCTTTCTTGTTTCTTTATGATTTTTTTTTTAGTTCTCTGAAGGTCTGGAGTTCTTTGCACACAGAAATGCAGATTTTAGCTGCAAAAGGCAGACTCCATGAGCACACCTTCAGAGTCATTTGTTTGAGGCGCTCTGTGTTTGGTGCTTAAAACATTCAATTTTAGGCTTCTTCTTCATTTCTTTTTGGATTTTGCTTCTTTTTGTTCATTTCGTCTTTTGCTTGTAGTGACGCAATGTCTGTACTTGTGTGTGTCCTAAAGACACAAAACTATCTAATAAAGATTAAACAGTATGAGAAGAAAATCAGAAGCGTGGAAGAAAACTTTCCTTGGTTAAGAGGAATGTAAACCCAATGACTTCTGACAGGTTGCAGGTAGATCCCATTGACAAGAAGTGCGTACTTCAGCAAATGACCGTTGTGCTAAGTTAGGTAAATGTCGTAAATTTTGGAATAATTCATTAGCATGTAAGTGATGAACAAAGCAAGATCTCTATACTTGTTATTTCACAAACATACGGATCAAATAGCTTTAGCAACAACATATTTGACAGGGATTATAATTCAGGATCTTAATTGTACAATCAGGAACATGCTTTCACTAGTTACCCTTTCTCTAGCAGATCTCTGGCAAGTTGTCCCATGAGCAGGACACTCTGGGGTTCTTGTTAGTGTTGTTGTTGTTGTCCTCATCAGCTGGAAACAGCAAAGCAAACTGGTGACTGTCAAGGACGAGGTTTTCCTCTGTTGTTATCACAGAGGATTGCCCGTTTGAGATCTCACCGCTTTCGCTTCCCCAGTCAAGAAGTTTTGCTATGTCCTCATCTTGCATCGTGTTCATCTGGAGAGAATCTTCTTCCTTCGGTTTTAAACCTGTATTAATAGACAACACAAAACATTATTAAAATATTTTCACAGATGTGTACTAGGAGTTAAAGATTAAATCACTTTGAGGTGTGTGATTATTACCTTGCAGGGAACATTGACTGTTAGAAGAACCACAATGTCGGAAACTACCCGAAAAGAAGTTGTTGTTAGTGTCATTGTCCTCGGGGGTAGCCTCAAGATGTCTCCGCTTAGGAGCTCGATAGCTATCGGCTAAGGCCTCGGCCTCTTCCATCAAATCCTCCAAAAGCTGGCAGGTACTTATCTGCAAACCAGAGTCGAGATTGTGGTTGCCATTGTCTGAGAAGTTGCTTACTTGAGAGACTCCTAAAGAGGCAGAGTAGGGAATTTGGTTTGAAGGGAGCTCCGGTTTCACAGAGTAAACCGGATTGGTACACTGATAAGAGGAAGGAGGATATGAATTGGTGTGAAGAAAGGTCGGGGAAGAGACAAGGAAATTGGTTGGAGAAGAAGCATAAGAGGGCTTGGTAGAGAGGCAACTGAAAGCAGTTTCGTAACATCGCTTGGGACGCAGAGTAGGAGGTTGGAGAAGAGGTGGTGGGGGTTGAGGGAAGGCGAAGACAGGGAGATCGGAGGAGGGCGTGTAGGGCTGTTGATGATGGTAGTTTTGGGTAATATCTGGAGGGTAGAGAGGAAGGCCTTGGCGTTGGAATCGTTTCAACCTCGTGTTCCAGAAGTTCTTGATCTCGTTATCAGTTCTTCCCGGTAACTATTGAAAACAAACATAAGAACAGAGCATTAACAGTACACAACAACATGATGCAGAATTGTAACAAGACAAAGAGTAGATGAGATTAAAAGGGAAAAAATTTACTGACAGAAGATTGTTATCAGTTAAAAAGATGAGATTTTTTGAACAGGAGGAGGCTGATTGATATTTTACCTGAGCAGCCATGCGAGCCCATTTGTTGCCGAGCTGAGAATGGAGTTGGATGATGAGACGTTCCTCGTCGGCGGTGAAGGAGCCTTTCCTGAGATTAGGTCGGAGATGGTTAGCCCATCGGAGACGGCAGCTCTTGCCGCACCGAGCCAGCCAAGTCTTCTTCTGAACGGCGTTCCAGTTGCCTTCTCCGTATTCCCTCACGTAAGCCGCCAGTGTCTCGTCCTCCGCCGCCGTCCACGGCCCCTTTTTTAGAACCACCCCTCCCTCTCCTCCGTCTGGTACACCGTCATTGGGTGCTCCCCCGCCGTACAGGATCATAGCCCCCTCCTCTCTGCGTCCCCCTTGATCCGAAAATTCAGGGGACCAAAAATGTGATTTTTATGTAGTTTCTTTGATTTTGTTGTGATTGGTTGTTCGTTGGGATGTGGAGCCCAGTGATTTCTAGACGGTGATTGGTTGAACGTCGGGGGTTTTTGAAAAGGTAGGACCTACAAAACGATATTCAACCCCCGAGTTCTTCCCATAGTAGTTTTTTAACCTCTCTTCTCTGACAAATGACAAAGAGGAAAAAGGCCCCCAAACAAAAATTGAGAGAAAGAAAGAAATGGTAATTTACGAGGTAAAATTACAACTGAAAAACAAAAGAGCGGATATGATATAAATATTTCTATAAATAAAGGATGCCAGAGTTTGCTTATCTGTTGACAGACAACACAAAATCATTTGAAGGATCATCTTTTGACTTTACTTTTGTTTTGTATAAAACCAATTTATCAGATGTAATCTCAAGATCTTCTTTCAACTTTTTTCTTATCTGACTTTACCGGTTAGTTCTAGCTTCTTAATATTTATGCTCTTGTTTTTGTTTTTTTTTTCATCCCACTTTCAGAGAACTCGGGCTGCTCGAGTTTAGCAAGCTCAGTTTCCTCTACCATGCAAAGTTGGGTCAAGCCTTTTTCATCTAAAAGTGGTAATGATTCAGGGACCTATGATTGCTTAGAAGAAATTCAGGGTTTTCCATTCTGTTGGAGATTAATTCTGGTTTTGCAATCTGCTTTCTCTGTAGCTTGAATTGGATTTGTATGCTGTTGTGCCTCATATGGGGGAATCTATCACCGATGGCACCTTAGCTACCTTTCTCAAGAGTATGTTTCTCTTTTGCATTATCTTTCCTCGTTTTTTTATTCTTCCTGATGCGTGAATATATATATATATATATATATCTGAAAGTTCTTTTGTTGGCGCATTTGATGTTATCCTCTCAGAACCTGGTGAGAGTGTCGAGGCTGATGAGGCTATTGCACAAATTGAAACTGATAAGGTATCAGTTTTTATTTATTTTTTCTTTTTCGTTTGTCTAAAGACATTTGGAAGAGTTTGGGTTAAGTTTTCCAAATAGTATTATTTGATTCATCTTTCTGCATTAGGTGACGATAGATATTTCTAGCCCAGCAAGTGGCGTGATCCAAGAGGTAAATGTGTTTTGTTATTTGTGTTATTTTCTGTTCACTCGTTACTTGTTGTTATCTTTCTGGTTACATTGAGTAGACTTGTTTGGTTTGGTCTTCTACTTCAGTATTTAGTCAAGGAAGGAGATACTGTAGAACCAGGAACCAAGGTCGCTATAATTTCGAAGTCTGAGGGTGCTGCATCTCATATTGCCGCCTCTCAGAAGACACCTGATTCCAAGCCTCCTCCTCAAACTGATGATAAGCAGAAGCCCAAAGTGGAAAGTTCTCCTGTAGCAGAAAAACCCAAAGCACCATCCTCGCCACCACCACCACCTAAACAATCTGCTATAGAACCGTAGCTTCCTCCTAAGGAAAGAGAAAGACGGGTACGCAAAATGCTCTCATTTATTCTTACAGCTGCATGTATTGAACTCTTAAAATGACTGTGGTCAGATTTAAATATAATGTTCGGTTTGTTTGTTCACATGATTGGTGATATGACATCTAAGAACATTGCAGGTTCCGATGACAAGACTTCGGAAACGGGTTGCAACGAGGTTGAAAGACTCTCAAAATACTTTTGCATTGCTGACAACTTTTAACGAAGTTGATATGTGAGTAACAGCTAAAACCCCAAGTTGATATGTCTATATCAGTTATGTGAGTCCTCTTGGTGCACTGCATTTCACTAGCCAGTTTGATGTTTTTGGCTAATTATGGAGCTCTTTTCTTCGTGTAGGACTAATCTGATGAAGCTCCGATCCCAATACAAAGATGCATTTCATGAAAAACATGGAGTGAAGTTGGGGCTTATGTCTGGATTCATTAAAGTATGCAACATTCTACCTTTATTCTAGGTAACAGTAAACTGTCTGGTAATGTACATGTAGTAATATTCTTCGTTATCTGTCTCAGGCTGCTGTTAGCGCCCTCCAGCATCAACCAGTTGTAAATGCAGTTATCGACAGGGATGATATCATATACAGAGACTATGTTGATATCAGTATCGCTGTTGGTACCTCCAAGGTTAGTTCACATTCTCTAGCTCTCACTTGTTTGTGCACATGAGTTGCATCCTTATTGCGATCATGTATGTGAGGATGAAACTTTCTTCTTGTGGTCTCTTTCCCAGGGACTTGTAGTGCCAGTCATAAGAGATGCTGATAAAATGAACTTTGCGGAGATAGAGAAGACGATAAACAATCTTGCCAAGAAGGCAAATGAAGGAACCATATCAATAGACGAGATGGCTGGAGGATCATTCACCATTTCAAATGGTGGTGTCTATGGAAGTCTCATAAGCACTCCAATCATTAACCCTCCTCAGGTTTAAGTTCAATTCCTCTCTCACCGTCTCTCCATTAAATACAAGTTTTGTTTTACTCAAAAGGAAGGTGTGGTTATTTGCAGTCTGCTATACTCGGTATGCACTCGATTGTGTCACGTCCAATGGTGGTTGGAGGAAGCGTAGTGCCAAGACCAATGATGTACGTTGCACTCACGTATGATCATAGGCAGATTGATGGGAGAGAGGCTGTGTATTTCTTGCGCCGTGTCAAGGATGTTGTGGAGGATCCGCAAAGGCTTCTTCTGGACATATGAAAGAATCGGATTCAAGGAGTCAAAAAAAACAGTGTCTGGCTTTTTGCCAGTTATAGACCTGGAATGTCTTTCAAATTTCTTTACAGTTTCCGGAGAATTGCCGGGCGGGAGTATTTATGTTCTTACTTGTTAGTTGTTAGTTACACAGTGTGATAAATAAATATAGGATTCAATTTTGACTGAATAAAAGACTATTTTGAGGTTGGTTCTTCCACTTGAATGATTTTCCATGAATGTCTTCTGTTACTCAGGCCTCGTCAAGATCATCATAAAAACATCTAGACGAGAAAAAGTTCATCATTCTTGAAAGTTAAGTATTTTCTTATATTAATGAAGATGAAAATTTTTGAATGAGAGAATAAAGAAGTCAAAAAAATATGCTTTTTTATTGCCAAGGAAAAAAAAATTGACAAAAATTCATCTACTTTCGTCATGCAAAGGAATTATCATGGTCTCTACAAAAGGAAATCAGGAATCATTCAGAGATCTGTAAGAGCAGCTCCGATGGTTCCAACTTATGATAACTTACTGAAGATCGTGACATGTATTATGGTAACACTTGAACCGAATTGGTAATAATCCTTAAACCGGAAATGATCAGATCCTCACTTCTATGCCCTTCTCTAGTAAGTGCTCTTTCACAGATTGGATTGGTACCTTCAAACAAAATGGTATTACAATAATTACAAAACGAGGTATAGTTTTTACCAAAGGTTTCGAAGAGAACAAAAAAGGTTACCTCTTTCCGATGGAAAATGCCGGCAGCAAGCCCTGCAGATGCGTTTGTCTTCTCAAACACCTCGGAGAAATGTTCTGGGATGCCTGCTCCACTGCTTGCTATCACCGGTATGCCTACTGAGTCAGAGATGAGCTTTACTAAGTCTATGTCAAATCCTTTTCCTTGACCTGAGATTCGCAGATAAGAAAGCCATATCATAAGGAGAGCAAATTTTAGCAGACAAATGATCTTAAAATCTGAAAGACTTAAAGGCCTTTTTCAGTGTACTCACCATCACAGTCTATGCAGTTCAATAGTATTTCACCAGCACCTAATTCTTCAACCGCTTTTGCAAGCTCATACGCTCCAATAGGCCGACCTTCTCGTCCTCCACTGACCTTTTAGTTGAGAAACCAGTAATTAAGGAATGTGGCAAATCAATAAAAAATAATCTGCAAAGAGTGGCTGGAATTTTACCGTGCACTGATACCACGCATACTCTTCCCCATTTGGGCCTAACAACAGTAGATTAAGTCCGGGTTATTACATTTGTATGCAGATTTTTGGAGAGATTCTATTTAATGTGACTACTTTCTTTGTATGGTACAAAGAACTCAGGTACGAGGAAAAGATTTACACAAAACGAACCATAACATCTCCTTAGGAAATTAGAATTCTGATGATTATCTTAGCAATAAATGTCTGAGATGTAGCCAGCTTCCGTAATGTTCATTTAGACCATGACAAAGGAAATATAAAGAGAGGTGTAAAGACCGGCATACCTGGGTTAGTTAATCTGATGACCTTATATGGCACATCATCAGGATGGTTCACAAACACTCTACGAGGATCAATACTTACAACCACTGCCTGTGAAGAGAAAGACTCTGTCAATCAAGAGAAAATCTGCTTCCGATTTCACACAAAAATAAGGGAATATAACAAACAAGTATCTAAAAGCAGTCCAACAAATATTCACTATTACTCCATCTGTAACTAAGCTATTTATATCATTATGTAAAGGGACTACCATCCTATATTTCTGCAATTCTGAGGTTTAAATAAAACGAAGGCCAATTGTTCTGGACTCGGTAAAGAATTATACCTGGTTTCCATAAACTCTGGATATCTGTTCTAAACTACTTTTTCCGGTCTTCACCTACAAGAAAAACAAGAAAAGTGGATTAACTAATCCGTCCTTTATTAGATATTAGCATGAACAACAAATACGATCAATTGGACGGCAACTACAAGCTTACCCCTGATTTTATAAACTCTTCTGCAGCATAAACAGCGTCACTTCCAATGGAGATCTTATCAGCACCGGATCTGAAATACTCAGCAGCAACTTCCAAGCTAGAATAGTACCTGATCCAAAGTAAGTTGATATTAAATTGTTGTGGAGAATAAAAGTGCAATGTCCTCGCTGAAAAAAGGAAAGAAAGAAAGAGAAAACTCTGAATATGTACCTGCCGCTAGCATCTGTAAAATCTCTGATACCACCTCCGACAGTTAGTGGTACAAAGACATTCTCTGATGTGTACCTCAAAACCTATAAAGCATGTAAAGTGATCTAAATACAGGTAAGTACCGAAGTAAAAATTAAATTCTAATGAGAAAAAATAACAAATGTTGGTACCTGAATCATCGGCAAATCCCCTAAAGGAAAATCGCGGAATCCAGTTATGTTTAAAAAGCTAATCTGAAAACCCCAAGGCAGCATGGTTAAGAGCCAAACCAAATCTAAATTAAGAAATCATTGATCCACTAACATGATATTGCAACAAAAGCATACCTCATCTGCACCATCTTTGTAATACTGCCTAGCCAAATCCACAGGTTTGCCAAGGTTTCGAACCTGCACAAGAAATTTTAATAAGTTCAGAGCGATAATGATTACTCAACCTCAACACCTCTCAGGTGAGATATATCCGCATCATAAAAACATCTAAACACCAAAAATGTTTCACATTTTCACAAAGAACATACGAGAATGAAGCAATAATTTCAATAGACCTCGTTTTCGTTAGATTGCTCTCTCACATCATATTGGTCCCCTTTGGTTACTACAAGATCTCCTTTATCATTAGTCCTCACATCAAGACAAGCAATCACCTTAACACAAAAGAAAATCATTAGGAAAAACAATGCTGTGGAGGAGACAGGCTTCCGATGATAACAGGGACAAACTTATTACCCTCTTTGCAAGTTTTGAAGCCTTCCCTTCCATTGGCTTCTGTCTTCAAGTGAGATGTGGTTTCCATTAGACCAAAAAATCAGGAAGATTACATTATACATGTAAAGCTAGAGAGAAAGCTACCTGTGTTGAGATTTTGGATCCAAGAACCTTCTCAAGACGGAAAGCCCCACCTCTGAATATTTCCAGATTCTAAATTAGTACGATATTCCAATATGTGAATAGACTTTGAATAAGAGATGAAGGTATCAACCAAAAGAATGAGTAGACTAAAATTTCATACCCCCGCTCTTCTCTGGATGGAATTGCACTGCATGCACGTTTCCCCTTCTTATAGAAGATATAAAGGATTCACCATAGTTGCAGGTAGACGAAATCCATTCCTTGTTTTCATTTGACTACACAATAATAACAGAACAAAAATTTTAAAATGCACGTGGAAGAAGAGAAAGACAATGGCACATATACAAATTTGAGAGAAAAAGAAAAGATGAACATACCGGAATAGCTCGGTAGGAATGAACGAAATATACATGATGGCTTCCAACATCATCCAGAATTTCGGAATCCTTTCTCACTTGCAAAGCATTCCAGCCAATGTGGGGAACTCTTATATCAGCTGAAGAATCAAAGCGTCCAACTATTCCCGGTATCACACCAAGACCTTTGACTGACACAAATAGAACAGATGTATAAGTAGAAAATACACCATGAAAATATAATGTAGATTGTGATGAATGTATTGAAGGAAAGCTTCTAGAAGACATGACATGAAGAGTGGCAATAGAGCTAAACCTGGTCCGTTCTCCTCACTAGACTCGAATAGTAGTTGTAGCCCAAGACAAATACCTAGAAACGGACGGTCATTCTCGATATATTTGCACAAGGCTTCAGCCATCCTACAAACACCAAAGACACGAAAATCCGATATGAAGAACTATATAAGACACTGTTCACTGTAAGTTAAATATGCTTAAGCATGAGATGTGATTCCAAATTTGCTGGATTTGAAGAACTCTCTGAGCTCGGACAGTGAAAAGAAAGCGAATTCGTGCTAATAGATATACTGTCAATCAAAAGGGAAATCCACAGAGCTTAGTCATATTTACCCGGTTTTGTTAAGCACATCCATGGCGGGTGAAAACGCTCCAACGCCAGGAAAGATGAGGCGATCAGCATTCAGAATATCTCCCGGCGTTTGAACCTAACATTTCAAGTTCTCAAGTGTAAGAGATCACTACATTTTCCCAGGAATCAAAATGCGAAAAAAATGAGGAAAAATCTTACGTCTTTGATGCTGAACCCGAGATGACGAAGAGCATTGCGGATGCTCCGCACATTCCCGGCTCCGTAGTCAAGCAAAGTCACAACTACTCAGCCGAGAGACAAGAGGTAAAAAAGAAAGCTTTATGCCCCAATAAAAAAAAATACAAAATTGGATTAAGTAGAACACGAAAACCAATAGAAATTACCAGAGTCGGAGGTAGAAGATGCGCGAACGGAGATGCTTCTCGGAGATTTATATTTGAGATTAGCATTGCCAGGATTCTTCCTGGAGAGGAACAAAGAAGTCGGGGAAGAAGCGAAAATCGAAAAAGAAGAAGAAGAGAGATTTTGTCTCGAAGGGACGATGGACGAAAATGGCGCCGCCGTAACCTCCATTGATAGCAATTCACTGACTGCTTCGATTGCTAATTCAAAAGGTAGTCACTGGCACTTGTCAAGAGTCAAGAAGGACTAAACCACTCTGCTAACGACGTCGTTTTACTCGTGTAAGTAAGGTAGTCGGAAAAAAAAAGAGTGGGCCTCGAATTGGAACTATGAACTTCAATGGTGGGCCTAGGTTTCAATCTACACATATAATGTCTTCTAGCTTTCTCTTCCTTAACTTGAAGCCTTGAAGGTACCAAGCAACTTTTTTTTTTGTAACAAGGATACCAAGCAACTTCGTTGAACCAAACTAAGAGTAAGTTTTGGTGTTAGATTTTAAATACGATTACAACAGATTAATGATTACATAAATACAGACTACATAACATCAAAATCTACAAGTTCGATAACACATACATATTACGACATATGTCCCGGGCCATTTTAATACCATTTGTAGGAAGAAGAAAAAAAATCCTACCATTTTAATATTGGACTAGATAAAGGGTTAGGCTGGATCTATATAATAATACCCGGGCCATCCAATGGAAGGCATTAAAAATGAGCAAAACGCAAGGGGACAAAATAAGGTTTATGGAGTGTTACCTAAACATGTTACATTTTTACAAGACGTTATTTTAGTTTACAGAACGTCTGTATATTCAATTTTTTGTTATAGCCAATGTAGACTACGATCGATCGGTATTGGATTGCATAGCATATGCTTATATTGGTAACCTGAGAAAACAAACAGCTAGAAAAACTTAATAGACAGCTTCACCAAATAATTTGATATGCAACGCGTTACCTAACTGGCTATCTTACCGCGATTAATGTGGAAAATTGTGTATCAGAATTTTTTGATAAAGTTTAAGTTTATACATTTCTCCTCAAAAAAAATTTTTTTAAAAAAATCATTATTGAATGAGGCAGTCAAATTTGGACATTCACCACTTACGACTATTACAACTCCTTACTGAAACTAAAGGAAAAACAAAAAAAAAACAAATGATATGACAAGTAATATTGGTCGTGCTTGATGAAGTCATTACTACGTCAGCATTGAGTCCTCAGCTATTATCATCGACCCTTCACCGTGTCCCTCTTTGCATTAGAGATGAGAATCTTTTTACATAATATATATAAACAAACTTCTTCTACTTATCTTCATGTGATAATTTTTATTTTAGAGGTAAATTATATGTTAGAGCATTTCTATCGGGGTCTCTCGTATAGTTATTTACAATTGGAAACAAATAATTAATATTGAATCGTTTGAGTTTCTAGTAAAAAACCCCAAACAATTTATAAAAAAAAAAATTCCAGCCGTAGAATCTTTTTGAGAGATCCTCAACAGAATTGTTTTTAAACGGTTAGAAAAAAATTCATAATAACAGTATCGTAGTGAAGTAGAAGTTTAAAGAAAAAAAAAAAGAAGATATCATTGTTTTGTTTTATTTTATTCAGTTTGTTACATTATTCAGATAAATGTTTTAACGCTTTTAAAAGAGAAAAGTATAAATATAAAATAATCAGTAAGAAAACAATTGCACAATACATAATACATTTATACTAAGTGAAAGTAATTAGAGTTTTTGTCGACCAAATATTTTCTTTTATGCTAAGTGGTATTTTTAAATTGTTGTTTTTTGGATAAGTACGGGAGGAAAACAATACAATGTTTAGAAAGAAACGGTACCTAATAAATTGTACGACATTGACTTTAAAATATCAATTGATTTGTTAGGTATCGCCGTATAGGTGTCAAAGTGGGAATGTCCAAATGTTTTTTTAGGTAAAACACAAAAGTTGTATTAAACTGACTTTCGTCGGTACAATTTTTTTGGACCAGTTACATATTGAATTCGTCTATAGTCAATCTCATCTTGTAGAGTGGTTCTCTTCCTTAACCTCCATCAAGAGCACAAAGACTTCTGTTTCCAACTTTGAAAATGTAATGATCACAGATGTTACAAGAAATATGCACTGAATATCTATAGACCATAATAGTTTGATTTGTCGTTTCATCTATATGCAGTTATGCACAATAGTTCCTAAAACTAGTTAAAGCAACGCAATTCTACCGCAGATATATTCTATAACAATTAAAATAACAGCCTAAAATGATATAAGAACGCAATTATACGAAATTTATTTTGGCTACGAACCACCTATATATGCCGGTTGTTTATTAAGTATCCTTAAAAATTTATTGAGCAACCATATTGATCACAACAAATTGATTGTTAGGAACTTGGTCAATGAATAAAAGAATGAGCTCGCAATTTGACAGAAAATGTTTTTCTTTAGTCACATTATCATTACGAAACATTTTCTTCGTGGATACATTTCCATCTTCAACACTATAATAATAAAATGCAACTAAATTTCCATTAGTAGCAACATTATAGTAGAAATCATTAATGATGTCGTCAGAGGAATATTCCGAGAACAATCCGTCTTGATCCGATATCCAATCTTCAGCTCCTTCATTCGCTTGCGACGACGTCGTTTCTTCATCCCAAATCGCATTTTCGTAGCCGTCACCGACGCGTTTCTCGGTTTCTCCAAGTTCGTCGCCTCTCACTTGAATCCACTCTCCGTCGTCTACCATATTCCAATCGGGAACGCTTGAGAATTCCTTTCCGGCGAGTTTCTCGATTCGACCTGCCGGTGAATCCCGACAATCCGTGTAACCAGCCAAAATCTCTTCTTGATCCATCGAAATTGATTGACTTTTCGAGACTTCGCGTGAATCCCAGAATCGCTGATCCAGTACAGTGCTCGGAGAAGAAATCTTGTTCAGACAATCGCTAGATTGAGATTCTTCTTCGTCGTCGTCGTTGAGAAAAGGATGTTTAAGCAATTCTTCCACCGTCAACCTCTGTTTCGGATCTTTCTTAAAACAGTTAATCAGAAAGTCCTTACCTTTCTCCGATACCCACCCTGGAATCTCAGGCGACTCACCGGAGAACCCAATCGTATACATTGCAGCAACGACGTCGTTTAGCTCCGGCCAAGGGTTTGATCCAGTCATCATCTCGATCACCGTACACCCCAAAGTCCACACATCAGCTGGAAACCTCTGTTCCTCACCACGAGCAACCTCCGGCGCCATAAACGCCGGTGTACCTGAAAACTCCGACTCACCAACAGATTTAGCACAGCCCATGTCGGCGATTTTCAAAACGGCGCCGGTTTCTTCAACAAGCACATTCCGGCTTTTCAAGTCGCAGTGAACAATCCCTCTCTCGTGAAGATACATAAGACCCTTGAGAATCTGACTTGTGTATGACCTGATCGCCGGTTCCGGCAACTTCCCGCCGGAATTTTTGATCAAATCGTAAAGACTCCCGCCGGAAACGTACTCCATCAGAATATTGTAAACCAATCCGCCGTTCTCGCGCGTTAAACCAGAGCCTATGTACTTGACTATGTGAGGAGAGCTCAATGTAGACAAGATGGATTGCTCTTTCTGCAGGAACGCTGAGGAAGATGCGTTAGCGGATTTGACGGCGAAGATCTCACCGGAGCTTGAAATTGCTGTTGAGACGGTGGCTGTGGTGGAGCCTCGACCGATGATTGGTCCTCTTGTCCAATTGATCTCCATTGGAACAGAGCAAATAAAAAAACAGAGGAAATGTGAATCAAGAGGGATAAATGTGAATGATGAGGGATAAATGATCTGAGAGGTTTTAAATTGTCTAAGCAAATGGCTTATAGGAAGGTTATATATATAATGTATACAGATTTATTTAGGTGTGTGTGTGTGTTTTGGGTATGTAGAAGTGTGTGTATATGACTTTGGCATGGGGTTTTTGTTCAGAGTTCGGAGACGACATTCTTTATTTTTTTTTTTTTCTTGATTTCTTTTTCTCCGATTATTAAGTACCAATACTTTTAGCTTATCTTTCACTTTATCTATGTTTAGCAGTTGATTTCTGTTTACAACAGTTAAAATTTTATATTCAAAAGTCCAAGATAATTGAAAATTATGATAGACGTCACTTGGTCTGAGTTTTTGAGAATATTTAGCATGATTCACACCTCAATGACAACCAAACTTATTAGACTAGTCCAACTGGTAACTTAAGTATATTGCCTATATATACATGGATTTGTTGTGTCTCTTTATATTTATTTGTTGATTTTATTCAGTATTATATGAGTATTTTTTTAGTCTATACTATCCTAATGAGGATGGTATTGCGTTCACTGCAACATAATTGTGTGATTGAAAACTTGTCAAACAGCTGCATGTTGTTGAGTCATTCGTATTAATTAAATTTATAATGAATAATTTATTTTGTGAGTTAATTGCATTTAACACACTAACCTCACAAGATGCATACATATTTGGCAACGCACAGGTTCTGGCAGCATTTTCCATTTTGTGGGGCTATAAATCAAACGAGAGCGTGAAACAAGCCACGTGGCGGGAGATGAATGGGTAAAGACAGCTTTGACGGCATGAAGCCAGAGTGGACGGCGCCGTTACTTCTATTTGCCGATAACAAAATTTTAACGGAAAAAAATTAGTTAATTACTCGCGCGGAATAATCACGTGACGGTAGCGCTTGGATCAAATCAAATACAGACCAATTAACGTGGGAACGGCATTAATCCACCCTACTTAAAAAAGGATTTATTAACTCATCCACAGTTTAAAATGGGGTTAATTATTTGTTTTTGAGGCTGTAAAGTGAAAAAATGTGTGGACGAATCCAAATGTGAATGCGTATGATAATGTCTTTAATTAGAATGCAAGCTGGGAATATTTATTCGTCTTCGCTTTTGCTCCGAGAGGATACAGTTGGAGTTCAGAGTTTACTTTTCTTTTTTTCCGGTTATGTAACGAGTTAAATATAGAAGTATAGAACGCGGATTCATGCATGTGATTTGGACAAAGGTGTGTCAAGTTTGGGTATACATATATTTTTAACCTCAAAGATATTAATTATGAACACAACGCGTATTGCTTACTATTTACTATTTCATGTGAGGGCAGGTTTACATTAATTTTTTGATTTGACTCATTTTTATCATTAAGACCCTTTTACGAAACAATACTTGCTGATTTATACTACTTTGGTTTATAAGTAGCATGTGAAGATGGCTCCTATCAATTGAATCATGAAATAGAATATATAAACTCATCAAAGCTAATTTGAATCGTCTCTTGGATCATTAATTAGATATATGATCATCCATTGAATTAATGGCAATGTGGGTTCAAAACCAAAGTAGATGGTGAACTGAAGGGACAAGCTACGAACGAACCTCTAAACGTTCTATCTTAAGTTAAAATAGAACATACAAAAAAAGGAGATTTTGTGGTAAATCATACTCAGAAGTTCAAAACCAATACTAAAAGCAAAAAAGAAAGCAAAAAAAAAAAAAACGCAATACTAGAATATAAATCAATAAGAAAAACACTAAAACAAATCGCAAATCATGCGGAAATTGACCAAGATGAACAATTGCAAAATACTCAAATAGAAGATTAGTTATGGTTGAGTTTCGTCAATCAGCAAAGCTTAACAGCAACAAATAGCCCATTATAAATATAATTATGAAAATATTTGAGCTTTGATTTATAAATCAGATTTTAACGATTGGGGCATCGATATGGGCCTTCATAGAAGTAACAAAAAGGGCTCCTCTTCACTCTCGTAATGAGAGAGACACAGCAAACCAAAAAAATTGTTTTTGGCACAACGTTTAAATTAATCTAATATATTAAGGCTGGATGTCTGTATATCGTATTCAATTATGAAGAAATTTACAGATCTCGTATAAGCGTACGCGTGGTTTGATAATAACCATGAAATAGAAAATATGTGGATACGGTATAATTCGTAGATGTCAAAATACGGCCAAAAGAAGAATGATGTTGACTTTTTGTAACTGTATTCTTTGGTACTCTGTTTCAGCATGCGTTAGCAAATTAAAAGAGAGAAGAATGATGTTGACTTTTGTGACGTAAAGTTGAGTCTGTGTAACAAATGCGAGAAAAGAGTTGACTACTTGACTTCCTGGGCTCTCGGAATCATCCTTTTCAAAAGATTGCGATTACATCCGGAAATGTAGATATAATGTAAATTTCAAAATTGCAATAACATGTAAGAAAATAACTTTAAATTTCAATGATGTATATATTTCGTATTCATCACTAAAATATATTCTAAAACGTGAATGATGAAATTGAGTCAAAAACTAACAATCATGTCGTGTCAAGAAGAGGGTATGTTAACTTCCTCTCTTCAAATCTTCTACAATACTTAACGTAAAACTGCATGCATACTCTTTTTTATTCTTAATCTTCATTGAACTTTCATCTTTCCCATTTGTATAATGCTGGCTGATTAGATTACAAGGAGTAACGAGTTTTGGTACAGAAGTTACAGCTGGCTTGTGGAATAATTTTTGCCTATATTAGAACTATGAGATCAATGTTTCTTGGTTCTCACATCTAACAAAATCAATTTAAAATAAAATAAAATGAAATAACAAAAATAAGTTAAAAGAATGGACGCCTTTGCTTCTCCTTTCAAATTGCCTGAATTGCCTCTAGTTCTGGTCCCATGGGGCGATGAATTCATGAACTATGTAGTTTATTATTCATTTGCATTAATTATCAGTTGCGGTAATAAACCATTTAGCTTTTGGTCTAAATGCTTATAGTTGATCTTAAGTATAATTATGCCTAATGCCTTAGGCCGACTAAAGAAATTTGTTGAACCTAACAAAGATCATGCAACTTCTTATGATTTCCTCAATATATTTCCAAATGGTTTGAGATAATAATAAACTACTAGTAGTCAGCTGTCATGTCTGATGAAGGATACGTGTGAATGGATTTTTATGAGATATATTCATAAAATAGATCCCATTTAAGTTGATTAGATAATTTTGTAGAATCAAGATGATAATATATAGTAGTAGGCTACTAGTCTTTCTGACACAAGTTTGTGTGATGTTAAGTCATTTCAAAATTATAATGGAGATCGAATGCATGAATATGGCTTTGAATAGTGTTTGCATATGTTTAGTTTGTGTTTGCGTTTATATCTGTTATACTTGTGTATATATGTATATATGTATATATTTTTTTGTATCTCTTCCTTTTTTTATTGGTAAAAGCCTACCCGCACGCAACATAACAATGTACATGCACATAGTTTGTATTCCTACATACTTCCTTTCTTCTTCAATTATGTGTATCTATCTCAAAAGAAATATATACTCATAAAAATAACTAAACTCAAACGGGAAAGGAAAATCTAATCAACTTTTTCACCGCATTTTCTGCGTCAACTCTACTCGACGACAACTATAAAATCCTAAATCCACCCTCTTCTTCCTTCTTATCAATTTCAACAATCTATCTCTCTCTGTGTGTCTCTAAGAAGAAAAAAGGAAAAAAATATCTCTCTTTCCCTCAAACAAACCCAAAGATCAAAAGAAAATGGCCATCGTAAAGCTACTCGTGACCATCGCAATAACAACCGCAATCACAATCGCAATCATCACCACCAGAACCAGCACCACCACCGTGGAGTACACGAGCTTTGGTGCACCAGCTGCGCCAACTTTAAGGCCGAGTCGTTTCTTGGCTCAGAAGGAAGTAGGCGAGCGAAACCCTAACGCGGCGGACCATTGCCACAAGAACCCTGAGATATGTAGCCTATACGGAGGCGGAGGAAGCAACTCGACAGTGACATGCTGCAACAACAAGTGCATAGACGTGGCCAGTGACGACAAGAACTGTGGTGCGTGTAAGAACAAATGCAAGTTCTCACAGACGTGTTGTCGTGGCCAATGCGTTTACTTGGCTTACGACAAACGCCATTGTGGACAATGTAACCATGCGTGTGAGCTCGGCGAGTTCTGCGTCTATGGACTCTGTAACTACGCGTGATCGATCCATCACGCCAGAGGGGCGTTTACTATACTAAGTACTAACAACGAATTAATCCAAAGTCTATTATATACAAGGGTGCACAATTATTATTTACATTGTGTCCAATTAATTAAATAAGTGGGTGAATCCCATTATGTTTTTGAAGAAGTACATACACTGATACAAGAAACGGTTTTGAGGAACATCCAATTATGTCGTGAAATAGGTCTGTATGTATACATATAAACACAATTATATCTGCAAATTTTGATTTTAACATGAACGTCTTTTAATTAGGAAAAGAAAAACAAATGGTGTATATAGTCGGTTTAAAATAAATGTCTCTCCGTTGTGGATGGTCAAGTGAAAAAAATGATATATGCAGTGAGGTAATCGAATTCTGTCATCATTCACAAAACATCACTTATCTGTTTTATGAAAAAAATGGTGTACATCTTTCTCGATATTTACTATAACTCATCATCTCATAGGAGAGTCACTAATGCAAAGAAACATATCAAACAAGAAAGTAAAACAGATTTACATACGACAATCTAAAACACAGATACGACCGGCCGGTGAAGAATATCCCAAACAACGACCGACACTACAGAAATTTATAAGAGATTTATAAAGACAATAAAGAACTTTGAAGCCTCAATATCGATTTTGTGGAAGGGAGGCAAATCTAAGTGATGACCTTATTATTTGATCTTCATTATCCGGTTTCTTTCACCATAGTATTATCTATATAAAGGTTCATTGACTTCATTTTTAGTATATTGATTCTGAGTAACATTTATTAACCGATAAAGATTAAGAAATTGTTTTGGAAATTACCTCTCCGCAGTATTACAGGGTTTACACATAAACTGTTGAAGTTTTGGCGGTAAAAAAAAATCCAATAGTAGACGTTTAAAAGATGAATTTATAATCTTCATTTTTTCCAATTTATTTACTTATTCTTACCGTGACTGACCCAAAAAAGAAAATTATTATTAACGTGAAAAATATTGCAACGTCATGTGGAGTGTGTGGACCGTGAGTTATGAATTTATTTCCCCACAAATAAATCACGTGAGAAAATAAGTGACCGGACAAAAACTTTAATCCCGGGGGACAAAAAAACGATTTGCCTGTAAAGCGATTGGCGATGGCAGCTCCTGCGGTGGAGGCAACCGCCGCAACTGCGTTACGGTCTGTCATTCGAAGGGCTCGAAAGGCGGCGGAGCATGTAGGAAGAGACCCGGAGCGGGTAAGGGTCGTTGCTGTCTCCAAGACTAAACCCGTCTCTCTTATCCGCCAAATCTACGACGCTGGTCACCGTTGCTTCGGCGAGAATTACGTTCAAGAATTCATCGACAAAGCTCCACAGGTTCTTCACTCTCTCCAATCCTCGCTCACGAAATCATCTACGATTCTCAGTGTTGTGAATCTTTTATAGTTACTCATTTCAAAATCCGAATCCAAATAGTTTAGTTCTTGGAAGGAAAATCTCGTGCTCATTGTTTTTGGTTTTGTGCTTTGATGCTAACGAGCTTCTCGTTAATCTTTTGTTGATATTCAGCTCCCCGAAGATATAGAGTGGCATTTCGTGGGACATTTACAGAGCAACAAAGCCAAAACGCTACTGGGTGTGACTTAGTTCCCAATTCTTGAATTATTGAATCTCCAGGTTTTCTCGAGTGCATTGATTCTATTGATTTAGGGGTTAAGCGAAAGTGAAAGTCTTTTGATTGAATATTTGCAGCTAAAGTCCCAAACTTGGCAATGGTTGAAGGTGTAGATGGCGAAAAGGTGACTTAACTTTCGCTCACTACGCACTTGTTTGATTAGATTCTTCAAGGACTTACAAGAAAACTTGGATATGTAGATGTTCTGTATATTAGTTCGTGAAATTTTCTTTGCATAGATTTTCAGATTAAGAAAACAGCAGATTAGAATGATGAGAAATCAATAACTGGTCACAGATTTGTCGTGTGTAGCCTCCCAAATTCATTTCTTTTGGGATGAATGTTATTTTGGTGAAATCACTTGGGATTTGTCTTTCTCGATTCACAGGTAGCAAATCATCTAGATCGAGCAGTTTCAAGTCTTGGGAGACATCCACTAAAGGTTTTGGTCCAAGTGAACACAAGCGGAGAAGCTTGTGAGTATATTACCACCGAGTTCTCGTCCCGTAAATTGATTTCTTTCTCCGGCTTCATCCAATGGCTATCTGTTTGTTTGTTCCTGAAAACTGATGCAGCTAAATCTGGAATCGAACCTTCTAGTGTTGTAGAGCTAGCAAGACATGTGAAAATGCACTGTCCGAATCTTGTATTCTCCGGATTAATGACTATTGGAATGCCTGACTATACGTCTACTCCACAGAACTTCAGAGTATGTTACTGGATCTACTCTATTGTTACACAACCACAACATACAAAGGCTTATTCTGTTTATTCTTTTCCCCTCCATACGACTGGGCCAGACACTTACAAACTGTAGAGCTGATGTCTGCAAGGCACTTGGAATGTCTGAGGATCAATTTGAACTGTCTATGGGCATGTCAGGTGACTTCGAGCAAGCGGTAATATCTTTGTCTCTCTCTCTCTCTCTCTCTTTTATAACAATACTGAAAATGCAACCATTCTGAACATTGAATCATTTAAATGTGTTCTCACCTTCTTCTGAGGGACTGACTATAAATGTGGAAGATGATCTTTGACTGGGCTTTTCTTTAAACTTATGGAGCTGCAGATTGAGATGGGAAGCACCAATGTGAGGGTTGGTTCCACCATTTTCGGACCAAGAGATTACCCCAAAAAACCAACTTAGCTACTGTTGCTCAAATCACTTATTGTAAGAATTTATGTATAATGTTTCTTTTGTCGATTGTCAGAAATATAATAAGTAATTCTTTTGTGATTAAATAATGTGTATTCACAAGTTACTCCATAGAAATCAACACATTTTGGCTAAGTTATTCTATTTTGTTGATTTTTCCGTAAAATGGTTTTTTGTTTTCCATTGATATTAATGTGCAGTAACGATATCTTTTTTTTTTTTTTTTAATTTCTCAGTGCGATAGAAATTCAGAGTTATATATGAAATAATTGAGATCTTTGGAATATGGTGAAAAAAAAGGAAAAAGATTGAAACAATCAAACAAAGTAACAAACGGCAGTGGAAGGCGGGCGTCGAATGGTAGAGATAATGGACCACTGAATTATGTGGTTCAAGAGCAATATCCCATTCCTTAGATTCCGAATCTTGTACTCTGGTTTTCCCTTGTTTCTTTTTCTTTTGCTCATTTGTAATATTGTGTGACATAAAAAAACAAAAGCCCTCCAAAAAGCTATGGTCAAAAACTATTCCCTATTAATTTTTTAATATCTTGACTTTGGCAAAACATCGACCCAACGATGGTCCTCATTGTACTGGGCCTTGCCGTAATTGCTACGACCACACAGCATCCCATGAAAAAAATGTGACCATAAAATGTTAAAATGTATTATCTAGAAAGACAATTTAAAATAACAGTATCTTCATTGGTTCAAACAAAATCATAATAATGTTCTCTGATTTTTCTTTTGGGTTAAAATGTTCTCTGACTTATTGTATTGATAAACATTTCTTTTTGTAAAGTGGCATAACATATGAAATGAGATGACTGATGACGACATAAGAAACCCATGCCGCATGAACTCTATACCTTAGTAGATTTGATTCTACATATCCTCTATATCTTAATGGGTTTGCTTGCCACCTCGTATTTACATGCAGCAAACTACTGTTTTAACAAGTTTTAATTGTACATTTATCGAGTTTTTTTTTCTTCTATTTTGATTTGTCATGGTTTCTAATATTGAATATTTATGTTCGTCTCGGATGGTGAATTGGTGATTTAAACCATTAAAATTATATACCAGTTATACTCCCTCCGTTTCATAATAAGTGTCGTTTTAAATTTCATTTTTTGTTTCAAAAAGAATATTATTCTGTATTTTCAATGTAACTTTTTACTCTTATTTCCTTTTTTGTCCTTTATTTAAAGATAATAATCTTTGTAATTAAATGTTATAAAAGCATATCAATTAGGGGTATATTTGTATATTTTATTAATTTCTTAATTTGTGTGAAATGTGTCAATGACACTTATTATGAAACGGAGGAAGTAATTATCTTTTTGTTGTTCAAAATTTTTTTGTTGTTTTGTTTAACTCATATATCTTCCATTGTGTAAACTTTTTCGTAACCGTAAAATTTGTAGACGACTAAACTGAAACTTTGAAATAAAACCAATTTGGTCACGTTTAGTGTTTTACATCAAGCTGCAAACTATTACATATTCATGGATGAACATTAACCAAAAATCTTTTATATTTATATGTATAATGCTTGTACAACCGATCATCATGATTCTGTGAATAAAAACAATTATCTTTCATAAATATGGTATAAAATACAAAAAAATTTGTATCGTTAATTTTTATAGTGCATATAACAGTGTTTTCTGTGGATTTATTTTTTGTGTTTTCATGATCTGCATAAAGTTATAGTTAAGATTATATTTTTTTGAAAAAATCATAGTAAAATATATTTTAGTGATAATATAAAGAAACATAGGATAATAAAACTAATACTTTGGTAACTAGTTAGGAAAAATAATTAAGCTAAGATTATAATTTTAAATAGATTTCCCAAAATACAAATATATTTTAGTGATAATATAACATAGAGGACAATATTTTGGTAACCAATTAGACATGGTAATTTAGAAAAAAACCAAAAGAAAGACCTAAAGAACTTCACGTCCGAACTCCGAATCACAACCACAAAAAAAAAGAGAGAGAAAGGAAAAAAGTCATATAAATACATTTTGTGTCGTTTCTCTTCTCTGGTTCACTCATCTTCTATCTATTTAAAGCCATTCAATTTCCCAAAACACACTATCAGCACCAAAACACCTCAAACCCCAAAAAAAAAAAAAAGGAAACTCTAATTGAAACCCACATCTAAAGATCTCTCCTTCTCCGTTTTCTATTTCGTTTTCTCCGTAGATTCTGCTGTTTTGAGTGTCGGGTTCGTTTTCACTTCCATCTTCTCCGGCTTCCGATTTCCAAAAAAACTCCGGGGAATAGGTGGTCGGCATCACGGCTATACACGGGATATCTCGGGGTGTTAGCTCTCATGTCCATATAGTCCGACGCAAGGGTTGCTTAATCGAGACTAATCCTTTGCCGCACGGAGGACGTGGAGCTCTGCCGTCTGAAGGCGGCAGCCCTTCCGATCTCCTCTTTCTAGCCGGAGGCGGTCTTTTCTTTTCCATTAGTTTTTAGGATTTAGGGTCGTAGAGCCTTTTTATTTCTTTTTCCTTTTTTGTTGTTAAATCGCGCTTGGGGGAGAGAAAAATTTGGTCTTTTGCTATTCGAATTCTTCTTTTGAGAATGTTATCAATCAAGAGGGTTCCGACCGTCGTGTCGAATTACCAGAAGGATGAGGCGGCGGATGAATCCGTCGGCTGTGGCCGGAATTGCCTCGGAGCTTGTTGCATTAACGGTACGTGTTGAAGCTGATTCGTCTATTTTCTCCTTCTTCTTAAAGTTGTCTGTTTGATTCATCTTCTGTCGATGTGTTTGTTCAGGGGCAAGGCTTCCGTTGTATGCCTGCAAAAAACTGGAAAAATCCGGCGCCGGAGAGAAGCTGGTCATCAGCCATGAAGCTAGAGAGCCTCCGGTGGCTTTTCTCGAGTCCCTCGTTCTCGGAGAGGTACATCATATATCCATAGAGAACTGATTTGCTATTCTGATTGTGAATTGAGTCTGAACATTATACTATCAATTCTTATGTTTCAGTGGGAGGATAGGTTCCAAAGAGGACTCTTTCGCTATGATGTCACCGCTTGTGAAACCAAAGTAATTCTCTATATACCTTGTTTGATCTCTAAAGCAATCTAATGATGTTTGGTTGCTGCTGAGGAATCCGAAATCTGTTTCACATTGTTCTGAAGTTTGCTTCTTTTGTTTGTTGTAGGTCATCCCGGGGAAGTATGGTTTCGTTGCTCAGCTAAACGAGGGTCGTCACCTTAAGAAGAGGCCAACCGAGTTCCGTGTAGATAAGGTTTTGCAGTCCTTTGATGGCAACAAATTCAACTTCACTAAAGTTGGCCAAGAAGAGCTCCTCTTCCAGTTTGAAGCTGGCGAAGATGGCGAGGTTCAGTTCTTCCCATGCATGCCTCTTGACGCTGAGAATTCTCCCAGTGTTGTTGCCATCAATGTAAAGAATCTGCGCAGAGACCTTGGCTTGTGTTTTCTTTCTTGGTAATCGATAGTACATGTTTATCGAGCAAAAGATTGATTCTTTATTGTGTTTAACAGGTTAGTCCGATCGAGTACGGGCATGTGCTGCTGATACCTCGTGTTCTTGACTGCTTGCCTCAGAGGATCGATCACAAAAGCCTTTTGCTTGCAGTTCACATGGCTGCTGAGGCCGCTAATCCTTACTTCAGACTCGGTTACAACAGCTTGGGTGCTTTTGCCACTATCAACCATCTTCACTTTCAGGTATACTCGATTGTTGCCTGAGCATAACTCCTTCTTCACTGGCTCTTATCTAACAAGATGACTTGTTCTGATCGTTTTGGTGGTGATTTATTTTTGGAAACAGGCATATTACTTGGCCATGCCTTTCCCATTAGAGAAAGCTCTTTCCAAGAAGATGATTACCACTGTTAGTGGTGTGAAAATCTCCGAGCTTCTGAATTACCCTGTCAGAAGTCTTCTCTTTGAAGGTGGAAACTCTATGCAAGACCTATCGGATACTGTATCAGATGCCTGCGTCTGCCTCCAGAACAACAACATTCCTTTCAACATTCTCATCTCTGATTGTGGAAGGCAGATCTTCTTGATGCCACAGGTATAACTTTAGCTGACAAACCATTGGCATCATAACGGATTTTGAATCCATGGAATAAAAGTAAATAACAGCTTGAACGTGTAAAATTGCAGTGTTACGCAGAGAAACAGGCTCTAGGTGAAGTAAGCCCGGAGGTGTTGGAAACGCAAGTGAACCCAGCTGTGTGGGAGATAAGTGGTCACATGGTGCTGAAGAGGAAAGAGGATTACGAAGGAGCTTCAGAGGAGAACGCATGGAGGCTCCTTGCAGAAGCTTCTCTGTCAGAGGAAAGGTTTAAGGAGGTTAATGATCTCATCTTTGAAGCCATAGGTTGTAGTAACCAAGAGGAGGAGCTTGAAGGAACCATAGTCCACCAGCAAAGCCCAAGTGGTAGTGTTAACCAGAAAAGCAACCGAACCCATGGAGGTCCCATCACGAACGGGACTGCCTCTGAGTGCCTTGTCCTTCAGTGAACAACCGTGGCTAGGTGGCTTTTATGTATAATTAGAGTCTCTATTGCATAAATAAGCAAACTCTACTGGTAGTTGCATTTGAAGTTTCTTGGTCTTCTTTTATGATGGTTGTGGGTATTTTGTGCCCTAGACTTGCTGGCTCTTTTTCTTTTATTATAAGCGTTTGTGATGAAGATATTTATGTTCTTCACGATGATGATTATGTTTATATAAATTTGAACAATTTGTAGTATGTCTTCTTTCTCTTTTTTTTTTTTTGGACTTCCGATAGATATGTCCAAGCTGTACCAGCTGATTACTTGCCATAAAAGAAAGCTCGAGATAGTTGGTAGTTTATCTTCAGCTCAAGATAATACGACACAAAACTTGTCGTACCGAACTACGAGAAAAGCAATGTCAAAAACCTTCGATTATCTTGAGCTGAATTATTGGCTTGAGATTCTCTGAATTTGCCAGAGGGATGTTTGAGCGGGAGAGAGACAATCTTATAGTGACGAGAGGGACGAACATTGAGTAGTAAATATGGTTCCTTCTCTTCACTTTATTGCTGATTCTTGAATCCGTTTAACGGATCCTGTCATGAAGCCAGTACATAGGTAAAGATATACTGGATCATTGGATCATGAATGGGAAAGCCAAAGCGGTGCTATAGGTGGATCCAGATTCCGACAACGATGTTTGAAAACTTACAATGCGGATTCTTGCTGAAATTTCATCAAGAAGAAGCATTTGCCCAGGGAGTGTATCATAAACTAAGTAACTTTTGAGTCTTTTTATGTGCTGCTTTGATATCATATCGTATATATCTAAAAATGTTAGTGATCATGTACGGTTTGGATTTGGAAATGTATCATGCTAATTATCTCGGTTATATTAGACTAATTTTTTTAACTGACAGAACAAATATTCCATGTCAGGATTTTTAAAATTGTTCAACAATTATCTCATTCTCAGTGTAGTGTACACATTTTATGGGTCACCTAGAGAAAGGATATGAACTAAAATAATAAAAACTAAAACAAAAGACAATCGGGTTAATAACGCCTTTTAAGCCCAAATAGTATCATCATAAGATCCAATATCAAACGAACACGACCAAAAGATCAATTCCTTAACAACCATCATCGACCATACTTAATAGTTTCTAAAGACAATGGTGACGATAAAAACAAGCCTGCAAATCCTAATAACCATTCATATCACACAATCTTATCATAATTCATGATTCCTAATCCCGGAAAAGTGTCAGGCCATAGCACCGCCGCAGCCACCGCCACCGGTCTGATGGAGCATGGCGTCGATCTCATCACCATCCTCCATTTCAAGCTGTAGTATCAGAGATTTAAGCATCAGAAAGTCGAAAGTTCAAAGGTGGGTTTAAAAAAATAGAAGCTTTATATAAGTCGAATGTTTTACCTCATCGGGAGTTTGCTCAGCACGCAGACGACGCCCATCAAACAAGAACGCAATGGAGTTCATATCCACAGATTGACGGTCACAGTAAGCATTCATCAGCTTCTTCAGCTGTGTGCTTCTCTTGATCCTAAAGAACACCTCATTGCCATCCTATGCGCATATAGCACGATTCAAGGGAAAAAAACATCAAGACACAAATGTCAGAGACAATATAGGCAACAACAAGTGAGTCTAGAGTCTCTCTATCTTTTTACTGGTAACCTGAAAAGTCTAAGAGCAAGGAAAAAAACACATAACACCAACCAAAACCACTTGAAATCTAACCATAGAGAGACTCTACAAAATCATCAGCAGGTATCTGGCCAGACAGTTTATTCGCTAAGAATGTTGCCATATATACTTTAAATGGGTTTAGAGTAAAGTTCGCAATTCTAAGAACATTCAAATACTATTTCAATTTTCTGCTTTTGAATTCGTAAAAGCCTTCGAACAACAACCGCAATCAACAGCTATATACAGCTTAGACCTAAAACTAGAGCTATAGTTTGAGAAAATCGAAAAACAAATAGCAAAAGTTAACAAACGAGGAGACAAAAGCAAAATACTCCGCTCAGTTCTCATAAAAATCAAAGGGTTTCGAATCCCAGAAAAAAAAGCAAGACCCACTAAGACTGAAACCCTAGAATTGCGAAAACAGAAAGCAGCCAAATCGGGAAACACAACCCTAATCGAACCTACACCTTGAAATCGGAAACCTAAATCTTAACACAAAACGCATGCAACAAAAGAAAAGGAATAGAGATTTACCTGTCCCTTGACCTTCAGATTGATGTGAGCTCCTCCGTCTCCGGGCTTCTTATCTTCGTCCTGGGTTGCAGACATCGCTTCTTTTCAAAGATTCACCGTCCGATGAGCAAAAATACGATTTGAGAGAGGGAACGAAACAGCAGCAGAAGTGAGAGATTCAAGCGATCAAAGAGTGATGGCTGGAAGAGAAGATGAGAGCTAAATAAATAAATAAACGAAAATTACTTCGCCGCGCTTTTGTACTTAGACGCATCGGATTCCTCTTTATCATAAAGTGAGGAAACGTAGGGCATCTATCGGAGGGTTGATATTTTCTATGTTGACTTCTAATCCAACGGCTGAGAGTTCATTAAAATCCTTGTCCAACGATATCGTTTTCAATTTTTACCCCCATTGTAATGGGCTTATATTCTTGATTGGGCCAAATATCGATTTGATTTTGGATCAAAACATTTGGTTCAATTTTTTTAATTACGTATTTTTGTTTGGTTACCACTCATGATTTTGTATCCACTCTCTAATCCATGATTCAAACTGTTGAAGAATTAAATGAGCTTAATGCCTCCTTATTGAATTGGGAAAAAAAAAGGATTAGCTGAAGAAGATAAAGTTAGTCACACGTTCTTTACTAAAGAAAGTATAATGAATTAAGGAGAGATGTTCAAGGCACATACAAAGAATCAAGTTTTAACGAAACAAGAATTGTCAAAAAGTTTAGTTTCTTCATAAATCAATTATTATCAAGGAAAAGAATCAGTTTAACATTCTTCTTTTGTACAGATTATAAAATTTTGAGAAAGTTTACTTACCTGATTTTTTTTTTTAATTTATTTATTTATCTGAGTTTTTAGCTATAATTAGAGATTTAGAAAAATACTTTCAGTTTAACTTATTTTTGTTCTGCTATTCTTCCGTGTAATTTGTTATCCCACATTCCCACTTCTTTTCACCTGAATCCTATAAAAACAACACCGGAGAAAAAGACTCTCTTCATACCCATCAAACGACACTAGTTTATGTGTTTCATGCTCTGTTTCTGAGAAAAAAACAGAGAATATCATGGCCGTTTCCTTCTTACCTTATTTTCTCATTCCTTCCTTCTTCTCAGCCATTTCCCTCACACAAGCAGGTTCGTTTCTATTCACACGAGTTTTAACATTTGTATTTGCCTCTCTGCATTCTCATGATATCTACTACGTTTTTTCCTTATTTTTTTCCCCACAGACTCTGGAATGATCGGAGTCAATTACGGCCGCATAGCTAACAACCTCCCGTCGCCGGAGAATGTAGTGAACCTCCTGAAATCGCAAGGAATCAACCGTATCAAAATCTTCGACACCGATCATACCGTGCTAGCCTCGCTTGCCAATTCCGGAATCAAAGTAGTCGTCGCTCTCCCCAACGAGCTTCTCTCCTCCGCCGCCTCCGATCAATCATTCGCCGACAACTGGGTTCAAGCCAACATTACGAAACACTTCCCAGCAACAGAGATCGAGGCTATCGCCGTCGGTAACGAGGTGTTCGTCGATCCGAGCAACACCACGCCGTATCTCGTCCCCGCGATGAAGAACATTCATAGCTCTCTCGTCAAGTTTAACCTCGACGAATCCATCAAGATCTCCTCTCCGATTGCTCTTAGCTCGCTGGCTAATTCTTACCCGCCATCTTCCGGGAGATTTAAACCGGATTTGGTGGAACCGGTTATTAAACCGATGCTTGATCTGTTACGTCAAACGTCGTCGTATCTCATGGTAAATGCTTACCCGTTCTTCGCTTACTCAGCAAACGCCGACAAAATCTCCTTAGACTACGCTCTGTTCAGAGAAAACGCCGGAAATGTAGATCCCGGAACTGGGCTGAGATACAACAGTCTCTTTGACGCCCAAATCGACGCCGTTTTCGCCGCCATGTCCGCCGTCGGATTTGGCGGCGTTAAGGTGATGGTGACGGAAACAGGCTGGCCTTCTGCCGGAGACGAGAACGAGATTGGTGCCAGCGAATCCAACGCGGCGGCGTATAACGGTGGGCTTGTGAAGAGAGTGTTGACGGGTAATGGAACGCCGTTGAGACCGAGGGACCCACTCAACGTTTATTTGTTCGCTTTGTTTAACGAAAACCAGAAACCGGGGCCCACGTCCGAGAGAAACTACGGGCTGTTTTACCCGAGCGAAGGAAAAGTGTACGACGTTCCGTTCGTCGCCGGGGAAGTGAGGTCAACGCCGGTCAACGGTGACGGAGCTCAGTTTCCGGTGGCTCACGAGGGACAGTCGTGGTGCGTGTCGAACGGAAATGCGGGGAAGGAGAAGCTCCAGGCGGCACTTGATTACGCTTGCGGAGAAGGAGGAGCTGATTGCCGTCCGATTCAGCCGGGTGCCACGTGTTACCATCCTGAGTCGTTAGAAGCACACGCTTCGTTCGCCTTCAACAGTTACTACCAGAAAAACGCGCGTCGTGTTGGCACGTGCTACTTTGGTGGGGCTGCTCACGTGGTCACGCAACCTCCTCGTACGTTCTTTGATCACTACTCGATTTAATTTTGCTTCTTTTTTTTTTTTCTTTAGGGAAATAATAGTGGTCATATACAGATGTTTACGTATCTATATATAACTGTAAGATATGGTGACATTTAATATTTTTTGTTGGTTGCAGGATACGGGGAATGCGAGTTTCCCACAGGGTTTAGTTAGCGGCATTTTTACTGATTTATTTGCTTATCGGGAGTATATTTTAGTCGACTGTATAAAATTATTATCTTTGTTTCACTCTTTTTAACATTTTGGCTGCCATATCGTCTTTTAATTTGAAAGTTTACTTATCTCAAATATTGTGTAGCAACAAACAAGAATTCGATCCTTGTTATCCGTCCATACATTTTTATTTTTACATTAAATCCTCAAAAGGAAAAAAAAAATTAGAATGAAACTCTTAACTACATTATTGCATAATTGAGTTGAAATGAGTGTTAAACTCTAAAACCAACATTTCAGATGATTTTATTACCCTTATTATATAAAAAATAGAAAATAAAAAAGGATTTACGGTATGAGTAATATAGTATATTCGACATGTATTAGTCTTTTATCAGAATAAATAGTATTTTAGGAATGAAATCTTTACAATGATATTGGATAAGATAAATAATAATATTTTATCCTTTCTAACTCAAATTACCTGATGCTGACTAATTATAACCATGTAAACATTATCAACACTTATCACCAACATGGATGAACAAAGCATCGCTGAAGAGATGAAACAACCACTTCTACTAACAGTGACAGAAACCGAAGAAGTTCCGGAGCTCCGGTCGATATCATATAACGACCAAGGATCCGAATCAGCTAACAAAATCTCACGTTGGTCATTTCTCTTCAAACTCTTTCTCGCCATCACGACCATCGGTTTTTTCACGGCATGTCTCTCATTTATCATATCGATCACTCCAACTCCACCAACCGTTCACGTAAACTCTTTGCACATATCATTCAACGACCGCCATCTCCCGATTTGGTCATCAACGTTCTCTATCAAAAATCCTAACGAGAAACTCAGTGTCACGTACGAGAATCCCTCGGTGTGGGTGTTTCACCGGAAAAGACTCGTCCTCGGGACTGTAAGAATCCAGTCGTTCGGGCAGAGAGGCATGGAGGAGAGTGAGTTGGTCGTGAAGGGAGATGAAAGCGGAGTTATCGATGAAGAGGCGGCTCGGGAGATGGAGGAGGAAGTGGAGGTGACGGGAAGCGTGGTGGGTCTTGATATGGTGTTTATAGGGAGTGTAGGGTTTTATCCAGGTACTTCTGCTTTATGGGGAGAACAGAACATGACGGCTGTTTGTAAGAATGTGAGAGCTAACTTGTCTACTGATGCTAACAAAGTCTATAGGACAAAGAAATGGGCTTTGTCATCGTTTGATGGTCGAGGAGATTGTTGTGTACGTCTCCCTAGGTTTCCTTAGGTTTAAGGTCGATCAATCGTTGAACTTTAGAAATACAATATTGGTAGGCCTTTTTGTTTTGCATTTGTTAGTGTTGTATGATGATCGATGAGTTATGATATGTGTCATATGGCTAAGTAATGATGTTTGGTGATGATGATGATTCGACGACCTTGTATATTTGAGTTTTAATGATCATATCCATAGGCTTGGGTTAGAGCATCTCCATCCATTGTTTTCATGAATTTTGAGAACAAATCGGAAGAGTTGAGATTTTGAAGATATGAATTTATTTTCGGCGAAGATATTAATGTTAACATAAGATTTGAAGAAACTAAATGAATTAGATATGCAAAGAAAATGTTGTTTAAAAAAAAAATTAAGATCTACCATTATCCAAAATCAATCAAATTAGCGAGAATATACCTCGATAAAAACCTCGCTTGGACATGAGTTTAGTCAATCCCTAAAGGGGCCCAACACACACGTGTACGATAAAAAAACCTCGCTTGTCAATAAAAGGAAAAAACGAAAAGAAAAAAGAAAAAAAAAGAAGGTACCTTTTATACTTTAGGAATTTCCTCTGGTCTCGAACTTTCTTCTATCACAGCTTCTACGTTTTGAACGCGAGAGTAAGCGTTAGAATTGCCACTGTTACGGGTTAAAAGCTTCATTTGGTTTACACTTTACACTGACTTATTGCTTTCAGTTTGCATTACCATCTCCATGGGTTCATTTTCTATCATAAGCACGCCATGTGCTCGATGAAATTCCCCACAGGGATTGATTGATGAATTTTATTTTATTTTTTTCTCACAACGGAAGTCGAATTTATACTGTTGATTGGATATTAACGTACCCGTTGGATTTTTCCCTGCTCAGAACCAAGATGCTGCCACAGAGGTTGAAGAAGGCAGTAACCGATAATCCTAAGAAGCTTGGGAATTTGATTGACCTCGTGAATCTTCCATCTACTCTACGTGAGTTCGTTGGTCAATCTCAAATTTCTCGCTTGGGTTGTTTCATGCGTGTCTGGTCGTATATCAAGACCAATAATCTTCAGGTAAGAATATGGGATTATCCAGTTATTTGCTAAAGACAGTTTTTTTTTTGTATCATTGACTGATTGGTTTTTGTTTCTTAAAGGATCCTAAAAACAAGAATGTGGTGAACTGTGATGATAAGCTCAAGAGCATTTTGCTTGGGAAGCAGCGAGTGGAGCTAGTCGAGCTTCCTTCTCTTATCAAGTTGCATTTCCCCAAAGAACCAAAGTAGATTTGTCACAAAAACTAATACACTTTCAACATGATGCTATTTTGGGGTCTTTTGTTTGTTTTCTTCTCTGTTCTGGAGTGCATAGAGAGATATGTTACTTGTTTAGTACTTGAATTACGTTGAAATACAAATACAAATTGTCTCAGCGTTATTGGTTTCTGAATCCAATTCCATTTATGCATTCTTCTATAAACAGTTTTCTCCCTGTCGGTCGGTGTTCTGATCTGTCTTTATAACATCAACAAAATAGCATCTTTAACTAGCAACACAAAACATTTAGTGAGAAAAATGGTTATGTTACAACATTCTGGAAGCTTGATTAAAAAAAGGCCAAGCAACCTGACTAATCATTGGTATAACAACTGTACAAGGAATTGTAAGATAACAACACAGAAAAATAATTAGTACAACGAAAGAATGTAGGATGTAAAGCAATCTGTCTGAGCTATGGCTTGAATGATGAATGATAAGTCCCAAAATACATATTTTGCTTCCATCTGAACATGTGAAAGGCTTCATTTCTATCAGCCAAGGAGCTGATCTCCTCATATCCCATTGCACTTTGGAAACCTGTAAGAGGATTAAGAACACAATCAGGAAATTTCTTGATATAAGAGTAGTTGAAACACTCATAGAGTACAAGACTTACATAACTAACCAAATGCTTCAGGAATCTTTTTGATTTCAAAGACCATGCTGCATGGACTTGAAAACACCAGCTGGATTCTGTTCAGCTAGGTTTTTGAATTCTCTGGCCACATTGTTGTATTCTTTAATACAGTATTGCTCTTTCCAGGAGCAGGCATCCCATAAGAGGGAGCGTGGAGAGAGATATCATAGGAGCTCCGAGTCCGTAAATGTCTCTCATTAGAAATCTGCTAAGATACTTCATCTGTTACGCTTGTTTCCCGAAAGATCGCATCACGGCATTCGCTCTAGCCCGCATGCCGCTCCTGGTCAATCCAGAGATCATTGCCGTGTATGCTCTATGATCAAGCTCCACTCCGTTGGGGGTGAGGCTACAGAACAAATCATACGCTTCATCCACCATACAAGCCTTGCACATCCCATGAATCATGATAGTATAGGTAATAATATCAAGATCATTTCTAGTCTCTTGCATATCCTTAAATATAAACAATGCTTTCTCTACCTCCCCATTAACAAATAGACCAGCTAACAAAATGTTGTAGCTCCTAATATTGGGAGGAGAAGGCATCTTTGTGAAAAAACACTCTAGGGCAAGATCGATATTGCCTGCTTGAAGATACCCCTGGATAAGAGTGTTGCAAGAGACTGTGTTTGCAGCCACTTTTTCTTGAGACATCTCGTGCAAAAGGTTAATCCCTTCCTGAACCCTGTTGGCCTTGAAAAATCCATTTGCAAGAGTACAGTAAGTCACAACATTTGGGTCGCACCCCACTCTTCTCATCTTCTCAAGAATATTTCTGGCCGTATCTACACGATTGTACATGCAATTCCCATTGATGAGTGAAGTGTAAGTGTAAACATTAGGATTTATAGACATTTCGACCATCTCACTGTACACAACTTGAGCTTCTTTAAACTTCCCAACTTTCACATACGCATGGATTAGTGCGGTGAAAGCGACTACGTTCGGGTTGATTTGCTTGGAGGTCATTTCTCGCAGTAGGTGAGAGGCTTCACTCAGTTTACCTGAGCTACAAAGGCCGCTTATGAGAGAGCTGTAGGTAACAACATTCGGTGTAATCCCGTTGTTTCCCATACGCTCCAAAAGCTGCAGAGCGGCAACAAGATGTCTTTTTTTGCAAAGACTATCAATGAGTATGGTGTAGACTACAACATTAGCAGTGATTCCCATTTTCTCCATTTGTTCAACCACATAAAGGGCATCTTCAATTCTATTCATGTCGCAGAATCCATTGACCAGCGAGCTATCTGTTACCACGTCAGGCTCAATCCCAAGTTTCATCATTTTCCCAAGATAAGACAAAGCCAAAAAGGGCTGAGAGCAGCGGCAGTAACAATTCACCAAAATATTGCAGGTATAGAGATCAGGTGAAAGTTCCAAATCTTCCTCAAATTCCACAAAATTCCAGAGATAAATCACAGCATTATACTTCTTCATCTTGGCAATAGCAGTCAATACTTTATTGAATTCGACAATGGAAGGGAGGGGACGAGACCGAACCATGTCAACGAACAAACTATATGCATCTTCACACTTAATATCATGAAGCCCACTTCTCAATATCTCTCGGTAATGACTAGCACTAGAAAAGGCTCGAACCCAGAAACGGAAACCGCAAAGTCTAAAGGAAGGAGCAGTACCGTTCTTCAGGAAATGGCGATGAAGAAACCCCTTAGCCGTCGACGAAATCGCAGTCGCAATCGACCACCGCATCCAATCGACTTTCCTTCAGATTGATTTGGGTTCGTTCCCAAATTCCGTCTCAGGAATTGTTGGACCATAAACCCTAAACCCTACTAGGATACATTGTTTAAGTGTTTGACAACTGAGAGAATTTACTTCACACAGAGAAGGCGCTACAGAGAAAAACACATAAACCTCTAACCGGTTAAAGAAAAAATCAAGTTTTTAGGTTTTCGGTTTATTAGTCGAACCGAACAGATTAAGAACCAGTCGCCTAAAACGGTTCTGCCGCAACCGAACCGGTTTGCACAAATTTGATTCGATCTCGTCTCTCCTGCTTCTCTAAATGGCATCCTCTTCTCTCGTCCGAATCGTCTGTGTTGAAAAATGTCGTATTTTTCTTCTCTCCCTCCTCCTTTTTTCTTCTCACTCCTCTATCTCTCTGTTTGATTTCGTCTTCTTGTTCCTTTGGGTTTGAACATCGAAAGCATGGCTTCTGGAATCTAGATGAAGATCAAAATTCAAAAGGCTCTTCTGCTACTTCAAATCCTTCGACGTGTGGATCAGTTTTACAAAACTCAGTATGATGTATTTTGTATTTATAGGCTATAGCTTTTCCCAATATTCTTTGGATCATGGCCATTCCTCAGGTGATTTTTTGTGAGGAAATATTTTGATTCCAAAGTACAAACTTTCTTCTAGTGTTTGTTTATCTCTCTGCCTACTTCACCTTGTTATGTACTTGTCACGAAAATGTTGAACCAATTGAGAAATGTTACTCCTGATAGTGGAATACATTGAGGCACATCTCTCAACGGTTTTGGTTTCTGGCTTCAGAATTCAGTTTCTTTCTGCAATATCTTTTAACATTTTGATCTGATCCATCTTGATAACATCACTGTAGCATTATTAACTAGTTTAATGACCTTAAAAGTTAGGAAAAAATGTTTCTTTTAGAACACTCTGGAAGCTTAGAGACATCAAGAAACTTGACTAAACAGTGGTTACAGAAATATGGTAAGCAAATACTGAAAAGGTAGAAGAAAGAATGTAGTATGTAAAAATATACTGCTTGTTGTTATTACACTTCTTAGTAATCACTGAAACCGAGATAAGTCGTACTTCAGAACATGGTCTGCTACGATGGCGTTTGTTTTCTCTGTTGGGTGAAATGAGTCCCAAAATACGTATTTGCTTGCATCAGAGCATGTGAAAGGGTTCATTTTATCACACAAGTAGCTCATCTCATAGTATCCCGTCCCGCAGCATGCACTTCTTACATTTTGGAAACCTGTGATGCAATTAACAAGTCTTGATTTTAAGAACACTTGGTTACTCACTAGATACTAGCCTGTCTTTAGACAGTGGCTAGGAAAAGCTTTTGTGAGAACTTTGTACTAACCGAATGCTTCAGGATAGTTTATGATATCTGAAACCAGGTCATACGGATTTGAAAACACCAGCTGGAGTCCGTTCAGCTCTCTGTTCAACTTGGAGACTTTTTCTTCCATCTTGGTGTTGAAATCTCTAGCTACGTTGTTGTATTCTTCGATACATTTGCTTCCATAAAAGATCTGAGTTGTTCTTTCCAGGGGCAAGCATCCAAAAGGCGAGAGTCCTGACAGAGACATCTTACGAGCTCCGAGTCTGTAAATATCTGTCAAGAAATCTCCTGCGATTCCTATCAGGAAATCTTGGTACTCATTCACAGAGTACTTCCGTAACCTGCGGGGAACAAGATAGTAATTCTCCAGGAAATCGTTTGTTCCGATACTAATCAGGTAAAGTGCTTCCCCAATAACCTCATTAGCTTTCTCTTCACCTAAGTAGCTTCTTAGCCTTGTCTGGTATTCTTTGTAATACTCCACTTCCTTCCAAAGCGGCATCACAGACTTTTCACATTTCAAAGAAACCATTTCAGTTTTAGCTTTTCTTGAAGTATAAAAAGTCAAAATTCATCATTACAAGAAAGCATATATATATGACTAGGCTTGACTTACTAACACAGCAGAGGTTGCATTGTCTAAGCCAGTTCCAGCTGAAGCGAAACAGACACCAGTGGCAAAGTCTGCGATGTTGTATGCAGGATCTAGGTACGCAGGGACTGCGTTCTTGAGTCCCAAACCTTCTGAAATGAAATCTGGTGCTATCCGACCATTTGAGAATCTCCCTGTCGCTTTGCCGTCAAAGTAATCCCGGCCATACGGCTGGAAATTGCTCTTTAGAACCGTAGAAATCTGGTTGTTGTTTCCTGAATCCACAGTTGAGTCTCCAAATACGATAAGTGCAGGAACTTTCGCTCTAGTTTCAGGTATCTGCACCAAGAGCTGAGCTGAGAGCAACAAGAACGCAAGAACTCTTTTTCCCATCATGCTTTTACACAAGTTTCCAACTTTTTTTTTGTTGCTTCTGCAGAAAAGACACTCATAGGTGATTGGGTAGAACAACCTGAGAAAACATATAATTAGGAGAAAGATAGGTATTGTTATCGAACCTGTCTCAAACAGTCGCTCTTGTAGTTATTAGCTTGGCCCTTTGTTAGATGATGCTTATTAAATATTGTTAATCTGTTTTGCCTCTGAGTGATTGTGGCCGCAGAGATTGGCCTGGAGTTAGTTGACGTGAGTAATGAGCCGAAATTGACTAGACTCATTAATAGTTTTCTGCAAAGAGCCAAAATTAATAGTTACTAGAAAAGAGAGACATGTCAGAATTACTTGAAGTATAAGGATTCATACTCTTGCAAGCTTCAGATATGTAACGCATCCTCCTTTTACCGGTTTCACGCACAAAGCTCTACTCTCTGTTCTTATCACTTTTTTTTTTTTTTTTTTTTGGCGTAGATGATCCTTCAATGTAAGGATTGTGTTGTGTGCAGTCGACAAGAAAGCTTAGGTATCCGATGGAGTTTGAATCATTTAACGTTCGAATGCTTTGTAATCTACGTTGCACGTTTTGGGGCTTTTTGGTTCAACCATAGTGTTTGGTTGTTGCAACGACAATAACAAGTAACGGCAAGAAAGTGTCTCTCATGCGTCAAATGTGACATTGCCGATAAAGTGACTTTGTTTTTTTTGTTCGACTGAAGTTCACATTCTTGATTTTGTATAACCTCTTTTTTTTTTTTTGATGAAACTAGATGTGGTTAGGTTCTGATTAGTAACCGGCTGATTGGTGATTTCTAATGCGATTTCATAGATTTTTGTACCAATAACTTGTTTCCATGAGAATGCTAAAAGAAATCTAAAGAAAACACACGTTTGGGTTTTGAATGTTTTTTTTAAAAAAACGAGTAAGGGTGTACAGAAATTAAGTGGTCATCTAGTTGTTGAATTATAGATAAGTTGCTGAACATTATCAATTTTCACATTCTCCCATGCAGAAGAAGTCTGAAGAAGTCAGACCTACACAACCACTAGGATTAATACAATAATTTTAAATTAATTAACAAAATTTGTTACTATTGCAAGTTGCAACAAAAAGTGATTCTACTTTATACGGTTTTATGTTAATTATCTAGCAAAGGCAAATCCGGTCTACAAATAACTATCTAGCAAAGCCAAGATAGGTCCAAATCCGGTCTTAATCTAGCTCTGAGGCTGGCTGAGGACAACTTAACATCAGCATATAGAATAAGAGGCCCGGACATTCGTACTTGCTGCATGTTTAATCACTATAACCCGATGTTACAAGTCTAATCATAATACCACCTTTATTATTAATTTCTATTTGTATAATTAATTAAAACGTACACGGTACAGCTTATGATGTTTGGTCCGTAGAGGTGGACTCTTGTCTGTCCTAAAAAAACACAAGGACGAGAGACTTCTCAAATCTAGAGGTTTCTCAAATCTCCGAGCTGCTATATTGACGATAATACCCTCACAGCCTCAGTCACCCGTCGTGCATCGATGAGGGTGTTTTCGTAAAAAAAGAATACGAAGAGAGAACTCTTCTTCACCTTTCACACTACGCACGTCTGTATGCCTCTGGAAATAAGCAATTCTCTCAGACAATAACTCTCAATTCGATTCGATTTGATTCGATTCTCGTCTTGATCTCTGCTTGTTTCTCTGTGCATTCCCTGATGTTGGTTTCGAGAGTTTTGTCGCGACTTTCCCGCAGCGCGGGCTTACGCTCCTCACTCTCAGCCGTCGCTCTCCGGCGAGGAACCAGTCTCCTGTCTTTTCGATCCGGTTTCACTCCCTTCGTTCACGACTTCTCAACACAAGGTAGATTTATCATATTCGGTGCCGAATTTCATCAGGGTTTGATAGGGTTAAGGGTTTCTCAATTTGACCTCAATTCAGTGTTTTTACTTCTGGAAAATCCGACCTTTTTTATAGAAATGATAGCTGGGTCCCTTGTTGAATCTTCCAATGGATGTATAAATGACTAGATACTCTCTGTCGCTCTTGCCTTTGATTATCTATTGGTTTTTTGCTCTGTGTTTATAAACTGAAATTTACACATTTTGTATCCTTTTAGGGGCAGCTTGTCGCAGCTCAGGTGTCTCTTGATTCGTTTTCACTTCAAAGGTTCTCTTTTTCTTCCCCTACCTCGCCTGAATCAAATGAAAAGGAAAGCAATACTGAGGCCTCAAAGACAAATGAAGAGAAAGCTGCAGCTGAGGCAAATGAATCAGTTCCTGACGCGGAATCTAAAGATTCTATGACCGATTCTGCGAAGAGAAGGCGGAAAGGCGCTAAACGAGCTGCAGTTTCTGAATCAGATTCCGAGAGTGACGATGATGATGAGGAGTTGTCAAAGGATGATTTGGTGAAGCTCGTAGTTGAGAAGGAAGAGCTATTGTCTGAAAAGGAGAAAGAGATTAAGATGATGAAAGATAAAGTTCTTCGCACTTACGCAGAGATGGAGAATGTCATGGACAGAACAAGACGTGATGCTGAAAACACCAAAAAGTATGCCGTACAGGTTAGTCTTCAATAACTTGGTTTTGCAGCGTTTGCATCATTATGATGGTTCGCTGAGAAACATACATGTCTCTGCAGAATTTTGCAAAGAGCCTTTTGGATGTGGCGGATAATCTTGGTAGAGCTTCTTCGGTTGTCAAAGAAAGCTTCTCAAAGCTTGACACTTCGAAAGATTCTGCTGGAGCTGCTCCACTTTTGAAGACCCTTTTAGAAGGTGTGGAAATGACTGAGAAGCAGCTAGCTGAGGTAAATACGTTAACCATGTTTCCGTCGAGAAATGTAGTTATTATAGACATGAGACCGACTAAATCTGTGTGCTGCTGCAGGTATTTAAGAAATTTGGTATGGAGAAGTATGATCCTATAAACGAGCCGTTTGATCCAAACAGACACAACGCAGTGTTCCAAGTCCCGGATGCTTCTAAGCCAGAAGGCACAGTTGCTCATGTCTTGAAGGTAAATAAATAAAACTTGCTCCTCGAAATGTCTCTCTTTTTTTCCGTATTCCGTAGTCTTCACACCAATTAGTAACGATTGTGTCGATATCTACAGTCTGGATACACGTTGTATGATCGAGTTATAAGACCAGCTGAGGTTGGTGTTACTCAAGGGGGAGAGAGCGAAGAAGTCAAGAAAGAGTCTGAAGATTAAAAATAAGTCAGCTGGTTTCCATAAATTTTGCTACCGTTCTTTGTTTCGAGTAACTTAGTTAGCATCTTCCTGAGTCTTTGAGTTATAGTTTTCTCTTTTCGTTTGGTTATTCATTGGATGAACAAGATCTCCCATAAGTTGCTGGACATGGCACTTGCAGAAAAAGTCCTGCTTCTGTATCTGTTTTCTCTATCTTCATAAAGCTTTAATTGAAGCTTCTCCAAACTTTACTTGCAGAAGCGAAAGTTACAATTCTTCTACACACACTCTACCAAGTCTCTTTTGATAAGTTAATCAGATACATTAAAGGTTTCCCATGGTCTGATACAACCATAAACTAACCAAAAGGACATAAACTGAAAACAGTCACAAAAACCTATACTCATCACTTTCGTCTTCTTAAAACCCGGCCTTCAATTTGTGTCGAAGAATATCTCCGAGCTTTACATAAAGCATTTTCTGCTCCTCATGTCCTAGACTCCTCGATATCTGCAGGTACAATACAATCAAAGATTCTGTAGATACGTACAATGAAATTACATGATCTTGACTCTTGAGTGAGTGATGATGACTCTTACCTGGTCTAGGATCATCTCGACACTGTAGTCCTGATGAACAATGAACGATTGGATGTAGATGTATGCGAAAACCGCCATAACCATCTGAATTTAGGCAACAAGATTCGGTTTAAACAATGAAGAGATCATATTGCAACTTTCGATAAACCATTCTACGTTAGTTAGTAGCTCTTACTTGGCAATCCATTCTGTCAGTAAATCCTCCATGTCCCGGTATGCTGTCTCCGAAATCCTGTCAACGCGACAAAACCATATGTAAAGATTCGTTCTTGGATCTGTGGATACAAAAAACTTTTTAGTGTTTGAAAAATGTATAACCTTGATCTTGAAAGCTCTTTTGAAACCGCTTGCAAAGAAACCACCAAAAGGTGCTATAACGGATGCGAATAGGCCGAGAGAGAAAGCGTGCCATTGCACGGGTAGAATTGAGATCTCTTTCCATGGAGACTGTTAAAGAAAATGTTCATGACTCATGAGCTCAGTTTCAAAAACCAAGACATATACAAGACACCATCACTGGCTAAAATAATTGCTTACAAATGGAGCAATCCAAGAAGGCAATGGGTAATACTCTGGCCTGAACAGAGGGCCTGGATCACAGTGAAGCCAACCGGTCGATAAATCCTGCAAAATGATGCAACATAAGAATGGTCTGGAACAAAAGATCGTGATAAAGAATTTCATTTTTTGTTACCTTCCTTGGACATGTGAACCATTGGAATTGGCCGATGACATTTGCAAACTGTTGTAAGAAGCCCAGAATCTATCAGTCTTTGAGTCCAAAAGAAAGGATTATGCATTGATTGAAGATTTGGTTCTTACAAAAAACGCAGAGATTATGGTTGCCACCGATGCTCCGATGAAACCTTCCCATGTTTTCTTTGGAGACAACTTGATGAGAGGAGTTTTCCCGAAATAGAAACCGAAGAAATAAGCTGCTACATCGTTCATAGCAATAAGAGCAGCTGGAAGAAGAAACCTGCATAATTATCCCATTTTAGAAAAAGAAGTTGGAACCATGGAAAAAACGACATGTTTCATTGGATATAATTAATATAAACTCATTTTACCAGAAGATCCCTTCGAAAATATTGGCGACGGTGAAAGAAGACTGAATAAACACAATGATAAGGATCATATGCGTCCAAGCGTATTGCCCAAACTGATACTTGTACATTTTCTTCTTCAATGTAACGATAAACCACATGAAACCTGAATCCACAAAAAGTTCAACTATTAAATGAAGATTAAGCTTTATCAAGAAATCCGGGAAAATAGTGAAGGAGAAGAAGAGAAAACACACACACACAGAGACACAAACCTGCAATGTACAAGAAGTAGCAAATAACCATCTGGTACTTGATAAGACCACTAACAAGCTTGTAGATGAATCTATCAGAAGAAACAGTGTTGACTAGCTGCTGTTGAAGTATGCGTCCATAGACGAACAACATAGCAGTGAAGAAGAAGTGCCAATTCAAGAGCCTGAAACCGGGTAATCGACGCTCTTCGTGAGCTCTTCTGAGAAGAAAGAAAAGCTCTCTGGTCATGAATATCTGTATAACCACAACCATAGCCCAGATGTAGAGATGACCCATGTAGATTATAAACACGACTCCTCCGAGCATCCAGAGAGACGAGCATGTCCTTATCCACATTGATCTGTACTTGTTCTTATCACCAAGTAACAGATTGCTTACATTGCTTCTGTTCACCTCAGCTGGGATCTGGATCAAAACACACCCCAGATGTTGAAAAAGACAAATCAAGAATCTTAGGACATTTAAACGGAAAAGACTATATTTTTAATACCTCGTTGGATCGCCTACGGTGGCGAATGCGAGCTGTTGGAGAGCTAGGAGTATAATTGTAATCCCTTGGTGAATTGGGAACGTTGTGATAATGGTTATCTCTCTGGTTATTACTCATTCTAGAGGTTGGTGTATTAGGATAACTATTATCCTTTAGCTTTCTAATTCTTGGAGAATTCGGATTGAGATCTTTCTCCATTGCCATCGATATCCCTAGGAAATGCTATTCTCCTCTAATGCTATCAGTTCCTGGATTAGGTTCATCAAACTTAGTGAATCATGATGATGATCTGCGTTTCTTATCTTTCTGAGGAACAAAAAAATTGAAAAAGATTCTCCCTTTTTTTGTGTCTTTTCCTGGGTTTGATCTAGAGTATCAAAACTTCAACCTTAAACTACACGTCTTAACGAGCATACACATATCATCCGAGGTTTCTTGGGTCACAAGCATCACCAGAGGATTTAAATTGAATGTGTAAGCTTAGTAATCAAAATTATTCATCAAACCACAGCGAGCTGAGCATATCAAGAAACCATAATTTCAGATAGAATCAAAGGTTGACAAATCGGATCAAGAGAATCAACTTACAGAATATCAGGCTTCTGGATCAATGAGAGGATGATGGAGATTTAAGAAAATATACCCTAATTAAGAGGAAAATGATAAAAATCTCAAAAGGTGGAAGAAGAAGAGGAAGAGGATGAGGAAGGTGGTGGATGAGCACTTACCGGTGAGATTTCATTTCATCGCTTGGCCGAATCAGAAGACAGGAACCAAAATTAAACTATTCATGCCGCGACTCCGTTTACACCCGGAATGAAGGACACGTGTCTTAATACTGTTTGGGCTGGATCGGATATCTAAGCCCATAAGGCTTTATGTACCTGCTCTCTCAAATTTTTTCTGCCGAGGACGTATAGACATCAGACATGCATGAACATGAGTCAATGAGTGAGCTCTGTGGTCAGTGGTCACATCAGTAAATAACGCCAAAATAAAGGGTCACTTTTGCTGTTGGTTGTGTTTTTTTTTTCTGATTAATTATTGAGTTCCGTGTCGCTATTAAGTGGGTCCCGCTTTTTCTCATTTCCCAACCTCCATGACCATAGTTAGAATTTTCTCTGTTTCCTATGCTATTGAGCGCTCTCTCTCTCTCTTCTATCTCTCTCTCTCAACAGTAACTACTAGTCAGAGAGCTTCAGATCTAGAAGAGGGAAAACCCCAGATAAAATTTAGGATCCAATACTGATATCGGTAATGAAATCCATCTTCTACTTTTGGATTCGATTAGTTTCTGTACAATGACTATTTACTTCTTTATTGTTGGCTTCTTTCTTTGTTTTTATCACCAATGCTGTTCGATTCCTGTGTAGTTCCGTGTTCTTATCTGTGACAGATACAGAGCTCTACTTGCGCTTCATCTTATTTTAGCTAGTTTCACATTCTTAGCTTCACCATACTTGCTTTTGGGTCTTGCTGAAAAAAAAGAGTTTTGTTCACAAGTTCAATATGTTGTTTCTGAATCAGTTTGGTTTCCGGAAAAGATTGCAACTTTGGTTTTCGTTAACTGTAGTCTTAGTTAAGTTCTTCACCAATAAATGTTCTGTGGTTCTCTTTCTGCAGGAAACCTTGTGATTTCACAAGAATGGCAGTGACAGAAGCAGAAAATCCTCTTCTTGGAGAAATCACTTGTGGCACTTTACTGCAGAAGTTGCAGGTAATTTCGCACAACACACTTAACCTTTAAACTATGGTTTCACGAACTCATTGGACAAACTTTTTACAGGAAATCTGGGATGAAGTTGGTGAGAGTGATGAGGAACGAGACAAACTGCTTCTTCAGATAGAGGAAGAGTGTCTTAATGTTTACAAGAAGAAGGTTGAGCTGGCCGCAAAATCTCGTGCAGAGCTTCTTCAGACCTTGTCGGATGCCAACGTTGAACTTTCCAATCTCATAACTTCTCTTGGAGACAAAAGCTATCTCGGCATTGTAAGTGCTCTCACGTCTAAATGCTGAAAATATGAGATGACTTTAGACTGATTTGATGTAGCTGTCTCGATTGCAGCCAGATAAGACTTCAGGAACCATCAAAGAACAACTTTCTGCAATAGCACCTGCGCTTGAACAACTTTGGCAACAGAAAGAGGAAAGGGTCCGGGATTTTTCTGATGTACAATCACAGATTCAGAAGATATGTGAAGAGATCTCTGGCGGTTTGAACAATGGGCCTCATGTGGTCGACGAGTCTGACTTGTCCTTGAAGAGATTAGATGACTACAAGAGCAAACTACAAGAGCTACAAAAAGAAAAGGTAATTAGTAGTTGGGAGATGGTTATTTGTGGCCTATAAGTTTGTTCAGGCCAGAACTAAAACTGCTTTGTGTTTTGACAGAGTGACAGGTTGAACAAGGTGCTCGAGTTTGTGAGCACGGTGCATGATCTATGTGCCGTTCTTGGTTTAGATTTCTTAAGCACTGTCACTGAAGTTCATCCGAGCTTAGATGAGGCAAACTGTGTTCAAACCAAGAGCATTAGCAATGAGACACTTGCAAGGTTGGCTAAGACTGTCCTGACTCTTAAAGAGGACAAGATGCAAAGACTTATAAAGGTAAGTTAAAATCATGGTCTTTGAGATCCTTAACATGAGCTTGGATAGTTTAGGCTGGACGTATGTTGAAATCCTTATTGATTAAATTGCAATTATCGAATATCAAATTGGTGGAGAAATTTGAAGTTTGATCATTTGTGCCGAAAGTTCTGAAACTGAGTTCAATAATACAATCTTTGTTTTCTACAGCTTCAAGAGCTAGCTACTCAGCTAACTGATTTGTGGAACCTGATGGATACTCCTGATGAGGAAAGAGAGCTTTTTGACCATGTAACATGTAACATTTCAGCTTCAGTTCATGAAGTGACGGTCTCTGGTGCTCTCGCACTTGATCTGATCGAGCAGGTATTGTAAATTTAGAAAGTATTGATCAGTGCATATGATAAGTAACTGCTTTTTAAAAACTCCTGTAAATCTTTGAAGGCTGAGGTGGAAGTGGATAGGCTTGACCAACTGAAAGCTAGCAGAATGAAGGAAATTGCATTCAAGAAGCAATCAGAGCTTGAGGAGATATATGCTCGTGCTCACATAGAGATAAAACCAGAGGTTGTTCGTGAGAGGATCATGTCGTTGATTGATGCTGGAAATACCGAACCTGCTGAGCTACTGGCTGACATGGATAGTCAGATCGCAAAGGCCAAAGAAGAAGCCTTTAGTAGAAAAGAAATATTGGACCGAGTCGAGAAATGGATGTCAGCCTGTGAGGAAGAGAGTTGGCTCGAAGACTACAATCGGGTAAATGCATGAAAGGACCATTTCCATGTCAAACACGTTACCTTCACGACATACATTTTAATGTGATGGTTTTTTGCTACTTTGTTCTTGGAAACAGGACCAGAACAGGTATAGTGCAAGCCGAGGTGCGCATTTGAATCTCAAGAGAGCTGAGAAAGCCCGGATTCTGGTCAGCAAGATTACCGGTAACTTCCAAGAGTCTTGATTATCTTTTCACATTGAATCAAACTGAGACTGAAAGAATTTATGATCTTGTTGATTGTACAAGCAATGGTTGACACATTGGTTGCTAAAACCCGGACATGGGAAGAGGATAACAATATGTCCTTTGAGTATGATGGTGTTCCTCTGCTCGCCATGCTAGATGAATACACTATGCTTAGGCAAGAACGAGAAGAAGAGAAGCGGAGGCTGAAGGTGAGTGTCTCATACTATAGTCATCTGGTCGTGGAACATAACTATTAAACTAATCTGGCCTTATTTCTTTCTAACTTACAGGAACAGAAGAAGCAGCAAGAGCAGCCACACACAGATCAAGACTCCGCCTTTGGGTCTAAACCGAGTCCTGCAAGACCCGTCAGTGCAAAGAAACCGGTGGGAACACGAGTAAACGGAGGAGGGCTCAACGAAACTCCTATGAGGCGTTTATCTATGAACTCAAGCCAGAACGGAAGCAAGTCCAAAAGAGACAGTCTCAGCAAGCTAGCTTCGCCTTCTAACCTTGTAGCCAATTCGAAAGAGGATGCTGCATCTCCAGTTCCTTGTGCTGACTCAGTTTTGGTTTCACCATGAGAATATCAAAGAAGAAAGAAAGAGCTGAATGTTGCTATTAGGGAATGAGTAGTGTCTATGAAACAAACATTTTAGAATCAAGACAATACACTAAGAGTCGAATGTTACTTATTTTAGATATTTATGTCTGTTTCATTGACTCACATTGCTCTTTTCTAAGCCTTAATGACTATCTGAAATGACCAGTTTAATGAAGAAAAGTTAGGTTCTAACTGGAGATATGTATTTATATCTGGGCAAAAATCGTAATATGCTTGAAGATGTTTGGATGTAATTTTGTAATTTGAAAAGGTTAAGGAGATGTGCAAATATTAGGGCATGTCCAATGGGGGAATGAGGGGAGTCTCTAATGGCTTTTTTAATTAAAAAGAAAATTTTTAATCATGTTTTTAACCAGGATCGATCTTAATTTAGTAGTTTTTGGAGACCCATTAATTACTCCGACGTGTCGCGTTGTGGTTGGTTAGATGATTTTATTTTATTTTTGATTTTATTTATTCAAACACTCTGTTTTGATTAGAGGGTTTGAAGTTGGGTTGGTTTTTATTTTTTGTCTAACCTTCTTCGTCTTCTTCGGAGGAGACTTCGGTGATATCAGAGAGAGGCGAGAGAGAGGCGATTAAACGGACAACTGATCAGCGATGCTTATTTGATCGGTGGATGGATCAAATAAGATCGGTGGATGCAGATGCAAAGATCGGCGCTGCAGATGCGAAGATCGGTGGATGGATGGATGATGATCGGCGATGCTTATTTGATCGGTCGAGGTACAGACAACTGATCGGCGATGGCTTATTTGATGTAAATCAAAACACAGTCAAAGCAAATTCAGAGATGGGTATATTACAAGTAAGATTTTTACTCAGTTTATTGATTTCCCGAAAATATAGTGAGTTAATGAATTAGGAAGGCTTTGATGTGGTTGATGATTGATGGTTTGGATGGATTGGATTACTGATTGAATCAATGCTCTGTAGTGGTTAGGTTTGCATTAGATATTGTAGTCAATGCTTTGTTGAATTAGGATGTGATTTGTAGTTGCTCTATGTCACGGTTGATAAATGTGAGAGTGGAATCAATGCATTTGTGTCACAATGAATGCTTCGGTTAAAACTCTAATAAATAGTTTCTTTTGCTCATGTCTTCAGAAACTACAAACTCTTAACTACAAACTCTAACTTAACTCTAACTTAACTTGAACTTTAAATCTATCTTCAATGCTAACTCCATCTTGAATAAGCTTCTATATATTGAAGCTCACTTTGTTTTTTTTAAAAGACACACACCCAAACTTCTTTCCACACTTTTTAAAAGACACACCGAAATCACACACCCAAACACACACCCTAAACACATTCACTAAACCTTCCAATGGATTCAACTAATCCTTTTTCTGACACATCAGGCTTCATGGACCTGCTAACTAGCCAACAAAGAACCCAAACCCATAGCCTTGAACCCATGGAAACAACCATAGCACTCGGTGATTCACAAGTTCCAGTGTTTGGAACACAATGGAGTGATGCTCCAAGTCCAACTGATGCACAAGAGAAGGAGCGTAAGACCAGGAAGCCATGGACTCCTGCTGAAGATCTTGCGCTTATAAGCGCCTGGCTTAATACCAGCAAGGATCCAATCATCAGCAATGGGCAAAGGGCAGATGCATTCTGGAAAAGAATAGCCATCTACTATGCGGCGAGTCCTGACGTGTCTGCTGAAGATAAGAGAGGGCCAACTAACTGTAAGCAGAGATGGGCCAAGATAAATGAGTTTGTCTGCAAGTTTGTTGGGTCGTATGAGGCAGCTTCATCTCAAAAAACATCAGGTCAAAATGAAAATGATGTAATGAAGCTGGCTTTGGAGATATTCCACAATGATTACAAACACAAATTCACCATGGAGCACTGCTGGAGAGAACTGCGTCATGATCAGAAGTGGGCAGGAAATGGAAGCTCAAAAAAAAGAAGAACCGATGGTGCTAGAGTTGAAGGAACCGATGCTCCTTTGAAGGCATGGAGATGATGAAGGAATTCCTCGGCCTGCTGGTGTAAAAGCTTCCAAGGGCAAAAAAAAAACAACAAAGACCAATGGTGGTCGTTTGGAAGAAGATGGTAAGGATTTAGTGGACTTTAGAAGCATCTTTGAGCTAAGGGAAAGGGAGTTAGCATTGAAAGATAAGACTAACAAGCAAAAGATACTCGAAAATCTGCTTGCAAAAACCGAACCTCTTACTGAGGTAGAATTCGAGCTTAAGAACAAGCTCATTAAGGAAATGTTGTCAAATATGTGAGAGTTTGTATGAGTGAGTTAAGGGTGAGGTCTGTTTTTCTTTGGTATGAGTTAGTTTTTGGGTATGTCATATTGTTAAGTCTTTTGGGTATGTCATATTGTTAAGTCTTTTTGGGTATGTCATATTATTAAGTCTCGGGTATAACTTCTATGTCTTGTAATGTTTGTTCTATGTATTTTTATAAAGCCTTTCAGTTGTTTGTCTTTTGGTTTAGGTTCTATGTATTGTATTCAAGACTCCATATATATATATGATTTTGTTTCCTTTATCATTTGTATGACTTATATTCACTTGTTCATGATCTCTTTTTTCTTATTGCAGGCAACAAAGTCATGGACAAACGGCTACAAAGGAGGCTTTGAAGAAATGGCTACAATTTGTATATTCATATAGGTTTGGGCCACCATTATTATTTTGGCCGATGTTTTGTGCAATATAAGGTTTGGAACTGGTACTTAGCTATATTTTGGGCCTGCTATTTTGTATTGGCCGTTAAAAACTTTTAGCCGATGTTTTTAAGTCCCACTTCTTTTTCTGTCCCAATTTGTTATGTCCCACTTCTTTTTATCCGATGTTTTTGGCCAAGTCTTTAGCAAGTGGTGGTTCTGTATTCATATGTACACACCACACAATTTATTACACAATTTATGGCACAATTTATTACACACCACACAACTCATCCCACCACATATTCAATGAATGGTGTAAACTCAAGCGTATTGTCTATATATTAGAAGATTGCAAATGCTCACAAACAAATCATCTTCTTCAACATCATCTTTATTTCTTACAACTCTCTTCTTCCTACATCGTTTTCTAACTCTCTTCATCATCTTTCTTTCTCATAACAAAAAACCATCTTCTATGGCATCTTCATCCAATAATAATTTTGAGAAAATTATTGAAGACAAATTCGAGGAAGCTTTTGAAAATGCATATGAAAATGCATTTGAAAATCTACTTGTTAATCAGAGCAATCGTCAAAGATCAACCAAAAAAAAAAGAGCATATATTGAGAGAGATCGGGAACAAGGCCATATCCGTTTATGGAACGACTATTTCCGGGAAGATTCAACATATCCACCCTATATGTTTCGTCGTCGTTTCAGAATGAACAAACCTTTGTTCATGCGTATTGTTGATGGCCTCTCTACTCATCTTCCATTCTTTCAACAAAGACGAGATGCTACCGGAAGATCCGGTCTCTCTGCACTACAAAAATCTACGGCAGCCATTCGTATGATGGCATATGGTTGTGCGGTTGATGCGGTTGATGAATACCTCCGGCTTGGTGAAAGCACCGCCCTTTCTTGCTTGGAAAATTTTGTAGAAGGAATCATATATCTTTTTGGAGATGAGTATCTACGAAGACCCACACCAGAAGATCTTCAACGCCTACTAGATAGTGGAGAATCTCGCGGATTTCCCGGGATGATAGGAAGCATCGATTGTATGCATTGGGAGTGGAAAAATTGTCTCACTGCTTGGGCCGGACAATTCACACGAGGATCTGGCAAACCGACAATCGTTTTAGAGGCTGTAGCTTCAGAAGATCTTTGGATATGGCACGCATTTTTTGGCCCGCCAGGTACTTTAAATGATATTAATGTGCTCGATCGTTCTCCGGTATTTGATGATATATTACAAGGTAAAGCTCCGAAAGTGAATTACTTTGTCAACGGACGACAGTATCACTTAGCTTACTATCTCAACGATGGAATTTATCCAAAATGGGCTACATTTATCCAATCTATAAGCCGACCACAAGGTGACAAAGCATGTTTTTTTGCAAAACGTCAAGAAGCTACCCGTAAAGATGTCGAGCGTGCTTTTGGAGTCTTGCAAGCTCGGTTTGCCATTGTCAAAAATCCAGCTCTGATGTGGGATAAGGTGAAGATAGAAAAAATTATGCGAGCTTGTATAATACTTCATAACATGATTGTAGAAGACGAACGAGATGGGTACAGTTTGTCTAATATTGAAGAATTCACACAAGGAGAATCAAACAGAACTTCACATGTGGATATGACGTATTCTACCAATATGCCTTCAAATCTCACTAATATTATGGTCATCCGGAATTCACTGCATCTCGAACTACGCATGAACAATTAAAAGAAGATTTAGTTGAGCATTTGTGGAATAACTTTGGTTCAATTCAAGATTACAACTAATCTTATTATTTCCGGGTTATGATTTGCATCTCTCTTTTGTTTTGTTTTTCTGTATTCTATGTCTAAGTTTGTATTAATTAAATATTTGTATTAATAAAATGTGTGTATTAATAAAATATTTGTATTAATATAATGTTTGTATTCATAAAAATGTTTGTATTTGAAAAATTGCAAAAAAAAAAAAACAATTAGAGTCTCCTTTTAAGAGACTACCATTGGACACTAATCTAATGAAAAAATTATAATGGAGTTCTAATACATTAAAAAGAATAAAAAACTATTAAAATTAGGATTAGATCCGCTTCTTTGTATACTATGGATGGAGGTGGTCTTAAAGAACTTCCAGGGGTTTTCCAAAGGAAGTTTGGGATTGGGACTTTAAAGGTTCGTTTTACGACATCGTTTTTGTACGCACTATCAGAAGCGGGCGTCAAATAGAAAAAATTTCCTTAATTGTCTGTCTTTTACAATCGGAGAAAAGCTACGAAGCTAGCGAAGAGAGAATCCATGTCGAACCCAAACGAACCAGCTAAGACTCTTCTTCCTTACCTGCAACGTGCCGATGAGTTGCAGAAGCATGAACCTCTTGTTGCTTATTACTGTAAGTTTGAGCTGTCTTCTCTCCCTCTCTGAAGACAACCTAGTTGATTGTTTTTTTTTCCCCGATGAACTGATACGATCGCGTCCTGCGATTGAGTACTACATGGATTTGTGATTTATCTGTTTAATTAATATTTTTTTTGCAAATTTATGGTTGTGGCGATGATTGATTAGGTCGGCTATACGCCATGGAACGAGGATTGAAGATTCCGCAAAGCGAGAGAACTAAGACCACCAATTCGATTCTCATGTCCCTCATCAATCAACTGGAAAAGGTATTCCCTTCTAAGTTCTTAATTATGAGCTTGTCTGATTTATTTTATCTGATTTTGCTAGTTTGGGATTAAGTGGACTTGTTCTTATTAATTCTCAGGTTCTTTTTGACTTTGATTAATATATGTTTTGTATATGGTAAGGATAGGCTTAATTTTATACTTAGCTTAGGTTGTTTCATGTGATTGGGAGAACATACATTCCTGTGGCCTATTCTCTACGCTCTTGTAGTTTTTTGCATGTTGATGGTGAACTAGTTCAGCCTTTAATTAATTGTATGCCATGGCTGTCATGTGCGTTCTTATCCATATGTAACATCCATGAACCATATTGTGACAAACGTCATGCGGAAATTTCTTGACTAGTTTCAGTTTCTTAACGCGATATATTTGTGTAACTCCAGGATAAGAAATCATTGAATCCGTCCCCAGATGACAATATGCATGTGGAGGGGTTTGCATTAAATGTCTTCGCAAAGGCAGACAAGCAGGATCGTGCAGGAAGAGCAGACTTGTAAGAATACCTTTTCTTTGTCTTATGTCTAATTATCATATTGAATGACATTCGACACAAGTAAGTTTCTATTACTGTTAGGACACCGTCAGCACTAGCTCGATGAGTCGAATTATCCTGTTTCTGCAGATTCATTCTCTGTCTAGTATTGTAATTGGCAATTGCTAATACTGAAAAGAGCATATAAGTGCATACATTTACAATAAGCTCATAGGTCGGCAGACATGTTGTTCCTCCAGCATCTTTTAATGATAACTTTCGAGTTGTAGTAATATATATGTATATATACACACGCACACATACATAGAATGTAAGATAACCGGTCAAGGAATAAGTTGGATGCATCCAATTTTAAGCCTTATCCTGACCTGTTTTCCTCTGACCATTCTGCTTTTGCGGAGTGTCTGTGTCTATCGCCTTGATACTGATATGCATGGTTTGATACTGATAGTAGTTCGCTTAATGTCCATTAATTTAGAAGTGTTAACACCTGCATTCATGTACAGAAGCTTTTAATGTAATATCCAAAACTGATTTTGTTGAGCTTGTAACAGAGGCACTGCCAAAACATTTTATGCTGCAAGCATCTTCTTTGAGATTCTGAGCCAGTTTGGCCCGGTTCCTCCTGATGTGAGTTCCTACTTTTTCATTCACTTAATAGTTTACATCTTAAACAGAAACGTCGGACCTTAAGAGGCAGCCGTGTTAGGTGATTGATATATTTACATGTAATGGCTCCCATTGACAGATTGAACAGAAACAAAAGTATGCTGCGTGGAAGGCTGCTGACATAAGGAAAGCCATTAAAGAAGGAAGGAAGCCTACTCCAGGTGATCCTGTTGATGATGATAGTGATTTATCCATCCCGTCAAGCGGTCCTAGTGGCTCTTATGTAAGCTTCTCTTCTTAGTTATTTGGGAATATCTAGATATTGGCCTAGCATGTATTCTGTTTAATAATATCGAAGAGTATGTCAAGGGTGTAAATATTAGTTGAATTTGCATCTTACTGATAAAAACTATCTAGGTAGAGACACACAAATTTGCATCCACCTGTCTAGGATATGAACGTACTTTCCGTAGATAACTTCTAAGATGTGAATATCTTCATCAACTTAATCGTTTCATCGTTTGTGCATTTCAATCATCTACAGGATCTTGGTGCAAGTGATACGAACATAACAAGTCATCATAGAACAGAGCCTGATCCACCCCATGACTCGAATGATGACTCTAGCCACCACCATTTCCCTGAAGTACCGCAACATCGTCCACCTCCCAGGTTTCATGACAATCCTAACAACGATTACCCCACGGATGTCCCACCTCCACCACCGTCTTCTTACTCTTCCAACGATCTCCGTCCTCCTCCCACTGGACCATCAGACTCCCCTTACCCGCAACCTTACAACCATCAACCATACCACCAAGACCCGCCACAACACATGCCGCCACCACAAAACTACCCAACACATGAGCCTTCTCCAAATTCTCTCCCTAATTTCCAATCTTACCCTAGCTTTAGTGAGACCAGCCTCCCAGCCACTCCTTCCAACTACCCTTCTCACTACCAAAACCCTGAACCTTATTATTCTTCTCCACATTCCGCACCTCCTCCTTCCACAAGCTTCGCCTCTGCTCCTCCTCCTCCTCCTCCTCCTTATTCACCATCAAACGGGCGTGTCAATATTGCTCCCGTGCTAGATCCTGCACCGAGCCAAGCTCAGAAGTATCATTACGACAGTAGCTACCAGCCAGGGCCTGAGAAGATTGCAGAGGCACAAAAGGCTGCTAGATTCGCTGTGGGAGCTTTGGCTTTCGATGAAGTCTCGACTGCCGTAGAACATCTGAAGAAGTCACTCGAGTTGTTAACAAATCCATCGGCCGGTCACTGAATTTTATGTTTAATTTTATGACACTTGGTTGATGTATGAATGTTTTGTGATTTAACTTTTGAGGCTCATACTTGGTGTACAAATCAAACGTATTTGTGTGAAGTCTGCTAATTATTTCAATTATATTTTTCAATCTAATGTGTCTCAAAAGCTTCCTGAATGGTTATATGATAGATATAGCCACAAAAGTAGAACTACATACGTAAATAAAAACTCATAATAAAAAAAATGGTTACTTTTATGTTTAGCTTATACATCGTGTGACATTTACAGATTTAAGAAAGAAAAAAAAAAGTGACGAGGCAAGGAAACAAACGTGTCGTGAGAGTCATGTCAAGTGTAAAAAAGAGGAAGAGAGAGAGGAGAGGCGCGTCAAAGAAAAGGAAAGAGATGTCAACCGCTGCATTCGTCGGCGCGTGCATGTCCGCCACGCACACCAATCATCATTATTACTAGATCATTCTCACTTTGCTCTAAAACACACGCACACATTGCACTCTCACTCAATTAGTTTTATTAAAAAAAAACACATTGCACTCAATCTAGAGAGAGAGAGAGAGATAAAGAGAGATGAGTACGACGACAGAGATGATGGAGAGAGACGCAATGGCTACGGTGGCTCCCTTTGCTCCGGTCACTTTTCATCGCCGTGCTCGTGTTGACATGGATGATAGACTTCCTAAACCTTGTAACGCCTTATTCTCTTTATCATTACATCCTAATTAATTGTTGTCAAGTGTCAACATATATATATATATATATATGTATATACATATGCATATATCTATATCTATTTATATAGTAGCTAACTCAATAATATAGATAGCTGTAGGTGTAATTGGTACATATGTATTTGTAACATCCATTTGTTGTATCACACTTTTCGAAAAAAAAAACATCCATTTCTATTATGCACGATTATGATAGTAATGTTTTTACACATGGACATGCATGCATAATTCTATTCACAATAACACGCATTCAACGAAAATAAGTATGATTATCTTTATAGATATACATATAAAATAGTTGCCCAAACATTATATATATGCATATTTTCCTAGATAATTAATGTATCATATATATATATATATGTGATTGTTGATGCCTTGATGGATATGATATAGCATATGTGTAAATGTATATATGATTTTATGACATATAATGAAATGCATAGATATGCCAAGAGCACTGCAAGCACCAGACAGAGAACATCCGTACGGAACCCCGGGACATAAGAATTACGGACTTAGTGTTCTTCAGCAACATGTCGCCTTCTTTGACTTAGATGATAATGGCATCATCTACCCTTGGGAGACCTACTCTGGTATACATCTATACATATATAGATTGTATTATATATACATCTTTCAGTTTCATGTTTTTTATTAGTATATGTATGACAGTTTGATTCCAACACCTGTGAATAGGACTGCGAATGCTTGGTTTTAATATCATTGGGTCGCTTATCATAGCCGCTATAATCAACCTGGCCCTGAGCTATGCTACTCTTCCGGTAGCAACTCTCATCCTCCTCCAACATATTATCTCGTATAAATTTGATTAATGATTGTACTCTAGACTCGTGCATTATTGAGACCGATCGGCCTAGATTGATGATGTTCATTTTTTTGGTCTTTGGCTCTGATAAATTAGGGATGGTTACCTTCGCCGTTCTTCCCTATATACATACACAACATTCACAAGTCAAAGCATGGAAGTGACTCAAGAACATATGACAATGAAGGGAGGTCGGTGACCACTATATATTGAAAAATAGGGTCATAAATCACGATGCATATTGCTCTATAACACCCTTACGTTTCGCAGGTTTATGCCGGTGAATCTTGAGTTGATATTTAGCAAATATGCGAAAACCTTGCCAGACAAACTGAGTCTTGGAGAACTATGGGACATGACAGAAGGACAACGTGATGCATGGGACATTTTCGGATGGTACAATATATTATTGCCACATGATGAGCCCTACCTTATTAACTTAACTAACCTTAGTTTCTTTGAATGAATGTACATTGATCTAGAGTATTGATGTGGTTTGTATATGTAACTTATTAGGGTCGCATGCAAAATAGAGTGGGGATTGTTGTACTTGCTAGCGAGGGATGAAGAAGGGTTTTTGTCAAAAGAAGCGATTAGGCGGTGTTTTGATGGCAGCTTGTTTGAGTACTGCGCCAAGATCTATGCCGGTATCAATGAAGATAAGACTGCTTACTACTAAAGGTATCCTACAGTGAAGTAAATGATCTTAGCCGCTTTAGGCTGATAATAGATCTATGCGAAGCTTCTGCCTAAAGTAGCCGTTTTAGAGAATTTACCAGTACAATGAGATATATGTTTTCTTTGTTTGTCAAAATCTGTAAGGTATAAGTATAAGTTGCAGCTCTATAGAAAAGCTTCTATGTGGAGTAGTATATGTTTTGTTCGTTTCTGTTTGTACCAGCCTTTTTCAGTTATTTTCATTTCAAAATGCAATTTTACAGTGTTAGTTATCATTGCTAAATCAATTGCTGAGTTGCTTTATATATGTATGAACTTTGATAACAACATTTAGATTTTTATTTTGGTTAGTTAATGTATTAAATTAATAGTGTAACAAAATATATGTTCAAATAATCTTTAGTAAGAGCCTTAAACAAAAAGAATTAATTTTTATTCAACAAATAATACATTCGAGTGAACGAAGAATCGTCACTCCTAAAATAGAACTCTCAGACACAGATGCAGCACACTCTTGAATTTTTTTAAAAATTTCTTTACTTCTCTCAAAAGCGATCAAGGTTCCTAAATGTTTAGATCAGAGTCAAGAGCCCAATTTCAACGCTAAAGATATCCACATCTAGAAAACTTTTGTTGAGGATCTTGAATTCGCAACAAACATTGCAGCTTCCATTAACGTTGCTCTAGCAAGTCAAATGAAGTATGTATGGCCTTTGAACAAATGTCCACTCCTAATCTATGGATCCTCCTGCATACAAAGACATATATCATCAAGCTACTCTTGTTTTACCAAACTGGAAGCAAAACCCAACAGACAAATCTCACAACTCAAATTTGACATGAAAGAGAAGTAACAAAGTTGAGATTTTTAGCTCCATAACCATCCTCAACAACAAGAACATGTGAAATGATAGAGATATAATGCAGTCTCTAAGACTCCAATCAACGGAATCGAAAGAGAAGAAGACAAAGCACCTCATGTCGGAGAGTCTCGAACTTTCAATAGTAAACTAGTCCTTTTGGATCCTTCCAAGGTAACATTAGCAACTTCAACGAGCTTCGAATTATGGAAAAGCCTAGAAATGTCCCTAACATCGTCTCCACCACATTCATCAACCGCAACTACGCAAAACCCACCACGGCGCACCGTCCTCTCCATCTCCTCCACGAATCTCCACGGAAACAGAGCTTCAGCTAAATGTGCGGTGAAGGCAAAATCGAAGACACCGTCGAAAAAGGGAAGGTTATGAGGATCAGCTCTTCTGACAAGAGGAAGCGAATCGACCAATTCGACGGCGGTAATGTCAGCTAATCCGATCTGGGACAGAGCCATCGGAGCGTGTCCAGCGCCGGCGGAGAGGCAGAGAGCTTTGGTGTGATTGTGGAGGAAACCTAGATCGCGAAATCGGAGGAAATAGGTGGAGAAGGAGGAGAGACGCGATTTCCAGGCCTTAGAGGACCAGATTCTAGCGTTCTTCTTGGAGAGAGGAACATGCTGGCGAGGCGAGGAATCGCAGGTGGATCTCGGAAAATGCGTATGTGGTTTCGATGGAGCTTCTGGTGGGATACATGTTTTCGGCGTCTGGAGAATCATAATCACCATTATCGCTGTTCCGATGCTTATGAAGACCATCGAAACTCTGTTCAGCATCTTCTCGACGTTTCTCTCCATCGTCGCCGATCAATCCAGTCGGATCGAGTTTTGAATTGGCCGATCAATCTCCATTTCCCGATCACTGATGTGGCGCGCGTGCGAACTCTACCCGCGCGTGATGCACGTGGAGTTTTACGAAGGCTTCATTTGTACGCGGGGCGGGCCTTATAAAGTTAAATAAATCAGAATTTGGGTCCATGTTCGTGAGCTGGAAGCTGGTTTGGAATGTAATCTTTAAAACATTCAGGCCTAAATGCACAATTTTAGAAAAGAAGTGGGGCGGATTTGAATATAATCTAAAAACATTGTGAAAGGAGAGAGAAACCTTTACCCCCTGCGGAGAGAGGAGAAAAGCTCTCCCGGGAAGAAGACGAAACTAAAACTACATTTCGAGAAGCGAATTTCGCAGTATTTTTGGCGGGCGATTTGGTTGATTTCTTCTGATTTGTAAGATTAAGGATCGTCTCAGGATTCTTTGGTCGCCGAAGAGTAGCAAGAGGAAGAAGAAGAGGGTGTTTAGAAATGTCAGACCTAGACCGGCAAATAGAACAGCTGAAGCGCTGCGAACCATTGAGCGAATCGGAGGTGAAAGCTCTTTGCCTCAAAGCCATGGAAATCCTCGTTGAAGAGAGTAATGTTCAAAGAGTCGATGCCCCTGTCACTGTAAGTTCTTGCTCACCCTACTTCTCGATCTGGGATTCGATATTCATCTCCAGTTTTCTATAAAGAATGGTTTTTATTTTATCCTAAGAGTAGAATTATGAGCTCATAACTCAAGAAATCTTAAGAAACTCGGCGCGGGGATTTCGGGCATCTTAATTTTGATAGTTCAGCAGATCTTTGCCTTTGATATTTTGTGCAAGTCCAAAGATTTCTAGGGCAGTGAAGTTGCAGCATGTTAAGTGCCACTAGATAGTAGATACCATTTCTATTCTTATGATTAACTCGAATTGCTAATCCTTTGAATTTTGTTTTTCTTTCCTCTGGAATAGTTATGTGGTGACATCCATGGGCAGTTCTATGACATGATGGAGCTTTTTAAAGTTGGGGGTGATTGCCCTAAGACCAACTATTTGTTTCTTGGAGATTTTGTTGACCGTGGATATTACTCGGTTGAGACATTTCTACTTCTACTCGCTCTCAAGGTATCACTCAATCTGGCGTTTACTTTGTTCTGGTTCCTGTTTGCTTTTATAATCTCTTCTCCTAAATGGGTTTTAGAATCACTTAAGTGGGTTGCTTTGATATTCTCAGGTTAGATATCCAGACCGTATAACTCTCATCAGAGGAAACCACGAAAGCAGGCAAATCACACAGGTGAATGCAGTCTCATCGAAAACATTCGATTTTGTGTACATATATTCAGACTATTTACACAGTCTGCTTGTAGTAGGTTTATGGATTTTATGATGAGTGTGTGCGTAAATATGGCTCTGTGAATGTCTGGAGATACTGTACTGACATTTTTGACTACATGAGGTACTCACAGAATATCTTTATCGGTTTTTGGGTTCTCTTACTTTGGAATGATGCGGCTTCTTTAAACCATATTTTATATGTACAAAAGTCTTTCAGCTGTTGTTGAGAACAAGATATTCTGTGTTCATGGCGGTCTCTCTCCAGCTATTATGACTCTTGATCAGGTTGATAAAAGAGCTCTCTCTACTGATATAAATCTAAAGTTTTAACTAGAATGTGTTAACTGACGAACCCATACGTTAATGGCAGATCAGGACGATTGACCGGAAGCAAGAAGTACCACATGATGGTGCCATGTGTGACCTCCTATGGTCTGATCCTGAAGATATTGTTGATGGCTGGGGATTGAGTCCACGTGGTGCTGGATTTCTTTTTGGCGGCAGTGTTGTCTCGTCTTTTAACCACACAAACAACATAGACTACATAGGCCGAGCGCATCAACTAGTTATGGAGGGTTATAAATGGATGTTCGATAGCCAGATTGTGACAGTGTGGTCAGCCCCAAATTACTGTTATAGGTAAATAAGATACTCATAACCGTCTATTTCAGTCTATATATCCTTTTCCCTTATAGCTTGGTTTTTGAATTTTCTCCTATTTCGATTGTGCTCCAGATGCGGTAATGTGGCTTCGATTCTAGAGCTCGACGAAAATCTCAATAAAGAATTCCGTGTATTCGATGCAGCACAGCAGGTAATGACCCTTTAAGTAATATCTTAATTCTCGTTCTGATTCATGATGAGCAGTTCAATAGACTGACGTATACTCTACATGCAGGACTCGAGAGGGCCTCCCGCCAAAAAGCCTGCCCCTGATTACTTCCTATAACAGGCAAGACCTCGAAAACACTACTCCCAGCTTAGAACTAGCATCGATTCAGCCCCCTTAAAGAGCAAGAGAATTGCAATTTGTTACGGTGTTTAGGTTGCAATGCAGAAGAATTCTATACAGCACAATTGTTTTAGGCGAGATCTACCAAGGCTACAAGTACTGATGGAATTGGGGTTGTCTTAAAAAATATTGTTGTTTCCTGTTCTTGTGTAATGGTAGTTAAGAGTGTTTTTGTGTGGTAGTTAAAATGTGTATTTTTTCCGTCAAAACTCAAGTTAATACATTTTGTAGGAGATCAGACCTCAGGCATTTTTGGAGCTCACAATTATTTCAATAGAATTACACAAGAACTTGGATTATTGCCATTTGATAGAAAGTTGCCAAGAATATCAAAAAAAATCCCAAAATACCTGGTAGACGATGAAGATAGATAAGTGGCGGAGTATTCTCGCAAAGATTTATTTCATCAACAATACACTCACTCTCTGGTAAAGTCTTTGAGTATTATGAAGACTGTTTAAGAAAAGAATGAGAGACAAGAGATTCAACAGTAAAGAGGGGAAAAGTTTTGTTGTTCCACACCGAGATTAGAATTACAAACGGTAAAACCGATATGTTTAAAAAAGATACAGAAACAGCACCCGGGAGGTTCTTACTCAAATTTGTGCATTGGTTTCCTAATTTGAGAACATGGGTTCTTGTGTTGAGTAGACAGTTTCTACTCTACCTCGCTTAGGATAGGGACAATGAGAGGCTTCATCTGCGCAATGTATACAATTGCCCACCTGCCAAAATGAAGAAACAAAAGTGATGCGAAGATATAAGATAACGAATCAATCATATTAAATGACATTTCCGAAATGGCTAAGCACACTAAAATGTGACAAAGAGCCATAGGATGACAACACATAGGAAAACGTGGGACACTGGTCAGACACAAACAATGTTCATGTTGTGGAGCTTTCTCTGACATGAATGCTAATTCATCGACTTCAGATAAGTTTACCAAAGATATGACTCATCTCCAAGACTCCAACTATAAACTGTTGAGATATTACATCCTTCCATCCACAAGACAATCGGAAGTAGTAAAGTCTAGAAGGATCTCTCTCTTGATGGTTTGATGGTTGAAGTAGAACGAGATGAGGAAATAATCAAACAGGAAAGGGTTGGCTAAAGGTGAGAAACAATTAATTGGCCGGGATACAAAACAAAAGATGAACCATGGCTGGCTATAAATGCAAACCTGTGGCAAGCATGCAAAGGAAAGATAAGTGTGCATCAGAATTCAGACATAAACTTACATCATCCAACAGCAGACAGTCGCTGTAATGACCAAGGTAAGATGTAGCCTGTTTCATAGAAGACAAAAAAAAAACACGAAGAATGGTTGTCAAAATGTGTGTCAAAGCAAAGAAGAAGGCAGAAACAAGGCAGTCACTTTAACACCACAAGAGTTGGAATTGGGAAACTTCTTGTTTACAATGAAGAAACTATCACAGGAAAGAGCAAATTCAAAAAGTAAAATTAGTATGGAGATTCCCCAAAAGTCAATGAGGAGATTATTTCGTCTAAAAATTCTCGATTCTAAGCGCAAGGAGATAATAATAATGATTTGAGCTACTCAGTTGAAACCGGAGAACCAAACTTCCTACATTAACCTTGACGAAGCAATCGATCAAACACATACCGAAGTCGAATGATTGGTTAAGATTGCGGAGAAGAAGCCAAAAAAAAAGAGAGGAATCAAACATACAGATTCGTGGAGGGGCCTTTGTTGAAGCAGATTCTAGTGCATATTGAAGCAATGATTCCGACTAAAGCGAAAATTAGGGATGTAACAAGAAAAGCCATTGTCTGGTCCTGATCCCAATGAGATTATCCTGTGACAATCAATTACGCGTGAATATATGTTGCAAAATCAATGCGATCGGGGCAATCCGATTGAAGAAGAGAGAAAGGCTAATCCCAAGAGAGGAGGAAAAAGTATCAGAGATCTCTCACAGATTTGAAAATGAAGCTCCTTTGGCGTCGAGGAAGAAGATGATTGATTGACGATCGTGTTCGTGTCCCAGTGATCTGTTTCGGATCCGTGCGAGGCCCAGATTTTGTGAGGGGTAAATTTGTCTTTTCGCTAATCAAATATCATTTTTTTTAGCGAATTTGCTAGAAAATCTAAAATTTGGTCAAAATTTGCTAAATGGGAAAAACAGTAAATTGGTGAGACATTGCTCTGACATTTTGAAGGTGTTATTACTCTTTACTCTCTTCTTCCTTTGTTACGAGTCTTCATTCCCTGTATGAAGTTTCTCTCTAATCATCTTTCTTTTGTTAGCATATAAATTATACAACTACATAACTTGTTATTATACTACATATTTTGTTATCTTGCTAATACTTAGCTTACATCAATTATACATATAAATTAACGTCTAACATTATAATTAACTAGGTACAAAATATGGAAAATCGATAATAATAATGAGTTATATAGATGATCAAAGATGTTATTGGTATACTTAGCATAATACATATAAAATTAACGTCTAACATTATAATTAACAAGGTAAAAAATATGTTAGATTGATAACAATAATGAATTATCTAGATTATTATAGGTGTTATTTTTGTAGTTAGTGTGCTACAAAAACATATAACACTCTATATGTATTGTTAGTAATCTAGTAATAAAATTATAGGAGTAATTCAAATAGATACACACTTTATATATACGTTAGCTCGGCGTATTTTTTGGCGGAGATGCCAATATTATCGCTGGAGGCGGCGGTGCTATTGTTGTTTTTGGTGTAGATGGAAGCGGTGCGGTGGTTGTATCCGAATCCGGCAGAGAAGGTGAAAATTGCGGTTGAGGATTCGAATTAAGCGTAGAAGGAGGCGGAGGCAGAGGTGGTTCGGGTTTACGATCGGCGCCGGTGGATTTGAGAGAATTTGAACAGATGGATTTGGTGATGATGAATCGGGTGGAGCGGGTGTGGAAGATCCAAGAACAGGAGGTTATAAAAGGGAAAGTGGAGGAAGAAGAGGATAAATAGTAGTCGCCGGAAGAAAAAGAATAAAAAGAATCAGCGAAAGTGTTCGAAATTTTATAAAATATTAAATTAATATCTCTGATATAATATCGTGCATGATCATTTAGAAATTATAGAGACGTAGGGGTAACGTTGGTATATTGTAAATTATACAGTACTGCAAAAGTGTTTTTTCCCATATATGAACAGCACTTAGGTTATCTAGTGCATTTACTTTTTTTTTTGTTGTAAAGGATTACTTCATGTCAATTTTGTTAACAAAAAACGAAGATTACGGATATTACACAATTGAGAGTTAGATTAGTACAATGGAAATGGATTGCATTGAAGGAATGCTAAAACTCCAAGAATTAACATATAAAGACCTTCATAAATTTATTTATTCTTCTAAATGGGGAAAAAAAATTCCAAGAATTTACACTGTTGCATGAATTTACACCGGTAAAACCGTAAAAGAGAACCAAAGAGGTCGTAGCTATACCTACTCTCAACACTTGAACTTGTATGTCTTATGCAATTAAGGCCCATTCTAATTGGTGTTTTTACTTTTTTTTTTTCCTAACATCATAATGATTGGTGTTTTACATACTAGTAGTTTCATAAAACGTTTTTTTTTAAAGCAGGGTTAATTTTAGAAACAAGAAAAAACAAATCCAGTAATACAAAAACTAATGAAAACTCTTATTATATAAAGTTCAAATAAAAAAAAATTGGTCCTATCAATCACGTTCGTACTTTTGTTGCGATGTTTTCTGGTTTCTTTAAATGAAAATTTTAGTTTTCTCCAATCTAACACCTTGTTAAAGTTTCTTCTTTGTATATATTTTATGATATATACCATTTAGCTAAAAAAAAGTCCAAAATTTTCTTTTCGTTGGAGACGTGTGGTACTAACTCTCTGCCTGTAGCCGGGAATCTATTCTATAGACATCTCTCTAAGGAGGTAGAATGCGCAAGATGCCAGACATGTGTTGAGACGCACATACAGATTACAAGAGTATGTTAACAAAAGCTCCTTTGCTCTCTCAAAAGATATTCGTCTCCTCTCTCTCTCTCTCTCTCTCTCTCTCTCTCTCTATCCGTTGGGTGTGTCCTCTGAGGCAGTGGGGATGTCTGAAACCACATCAGCCTCGTTTTCTTCAACGGCCAAGCTCGAGACTTCGCCGCTCAATGAGGAAACTTCGTCCTCTGCCGTGACAGATGGAGCAGGGGACGCGTCTGTGCTGGTGCACGTCGTGGTTGTGCTCTGATCAGTTGACGACGAATCCGAACTCTCCGATGAGTGTGAGCGTTTCTGAAGACTCCAGTACATTATACTCGCCGTTAAAATTAGGATCATCTTCTGATTCACCTGTCACAACATCCCAATTAGCATCTCATCATTAACTCTACTAAGTAACTGCTGTTTCAGGTAAAATCACCAATAAATCTCGGTTCTTACCTCCATGATATCTTCAGGCAACAAGAAAACCGAACAACCGAGCTTTCTTGCGACGCTTACTATGTACGTAGCATTCAGCCTCTTCTCGTCATCTGTATGTTTCAACGACCATACACACACAAAACAAAAAAAAGCTTGATTGAGTTAAGACTGAGAAAGTAACTAGAGTGAGTCTAGTAAAGAAAGTAGTGAACCTGTTTCACCCTTGGTGACAAGATTCCAGTTTACAACTCTTGGCTCAACAGCCCATAGAAGGTCGAGGAAGAATAACCCGTTCGATAGACTCTTGTCCTGAAGAAACTCAATTTGATTCACATTCACTAGAAAGTGATGGTGGACATATTTTATAAGATAAGTGCTTGAAGTTGATATGAAGAAACGAACCTTGAAGCTCTCGATCTGCGATTTTCGCCCCATAGTTCTTACTTTCCGGTTGGCCCAGCTGAGGATATCTGCATCAGTCATTTCTTTACCTCGTGTCCGCGATCTCAGACTCTTGAGAAGTTGGAGCATATGAAATCTCATCAACTGCCACAACAGACCTGAGACCAGAAAAAAAAACATATGTCTCTGTCTTGTAAGACGATCATCTTCTTGCATCAAGCAACAAAGAAACTGCAGTAATGATTACCAAGAATGAGCTTCTTATTCCCTTGAACTATGTCATTTCCAGCTACATTTACGAGTGAGAATTTGAGCTCTTTCCCAATCTTTACGACTTGATTGCAGTTCTCTACTTTTCTAAATGGCATCTTAATGGGCGGTTTGGAAGCATGCTTCCAATTCACTGACCCAGGAGAGACCTTGTCAAGAACTTCCAGGAGAATCCATCTGCAGCAAATTAGTAAATAGAACCAACGAAAACGCTTCAGCACCAAAACCGTTTTCAGTTCTTTTTCTTTTTTGGTTGCTTTACTAAAACGACAAAATAAAGCTTACCCATTTCTAACATCTTCAAACACATTATTGACATAACTTTCAATCCCGAGGCTGTTGATCCATAGCCGGTAGCATCGTTCATCTCTACAAGTCTGTACATCTTCGGTCATCATCTCCGCAAATGAATACTTACCATTCGTACTTAGACCATTCCTGCAACAGGTACAGACAGGTAGAGTAAAACTCAGTGCATAGAGAACGTAAAACGCTTAAAATCAAAACTGGCAAAATATCTCCAAGTAAAGGGATTTCATGTAAAAAGCATATGAAATCATTGATAATAGCATTGTATGAAGACTGTGTCCGTTCTTTTACCATTAACACTCCCAATTTTCTTTGTCCCGAATAACTTAAAACAACAGGTTTTTTTTTGAGTAAACTGTCACCAGCCTAATCAAATAGGACTATGAACATTTTGACAGATGAAAGTCTATCACAAACCTTTCATGGAATATTTGTGCCACAAATGCGAGGTTCAAAGTTGGAGATCCTTCAACAATCTCTTGAGCATTCAAGTATCGTTTGCAGTTCATTCTCTCTGCATGATTGAGAACCAGTTCAGCCCTCTCAAGAGACTCCTTTGAATCTAGTGTAGCCGGGTCACAGTGTTCAGGTGCGAGAACATTGAGCAGGTAAGCATAGGCTTGTGCATCCTGCATATTTACCCGAACACGCTTTACCATTGAAAAAAACTTGATGCGGTTCAAAAAAATCTTTTTCTTTTATGACTTATATGATCGTTCACATTATTTCTCTTATCCAAGAACTGATATTACTTCTGCATGCTGGAAGAAACAGTAGCACGTAAATACAATCATTAATCCGCCTAGGTAAAGAGATAAATAAGCAAAAGATGAAGGTTTCCTCTAAGTTAAACTCTGAGAAGGTAGATACCTTCAAGTCCGAAGAAAAGTTTGAGACGGTTTTCTTGAAACCCCCTTTCTTAAGATGGAAGTTCATCCATTTCAGTAAAACTTTCTCAGGGGGTAATCTCAGCAACTCCTCAACATCCTGTAACAGAGAGAAACTTGTTACAATTATAATTTACAAGACGATATACTTGAGTGACAATGTGATTGGTAGCTCAATTACATCGTTGTCCTCTACCAACTCAACAAGCTGAGGCGTCTTCTTTAAATTGAGATCAGCGAGCAGTTGAATCTGCAGTAACCAACACTATCTAGTCAAATAAATTCAGAACAAAAAGAATAGTCCGATACACACAGAGGACAAGTGGATGAGTACAGACCTTTATGAGTTGTGAAATCAATCCGAGCACCAGGTGAGGCTGCAAAAACATCATTAAACCTCCATGCAGGTCAGAACAATGCATATCAAATGTACACTGAACAATGATCAGACCAAGCATACCCGTCCTTCTGCCAGGTCCTGTGTCCCAATATTAACAACAGTGCATCCAACAGCTTTCGCAGAGTTGAGACAAAGCGTATGATTCTCATTTCTCTCCCACGGGTTAAGTACCCTCTTCGTGTTGATCGCTCGTTCATCTATAGTCCCGGGAACTGCTACGTTTATGAGCTTACTGCGCCGGAAAGAAAGGAATAGAAATGAGTGAAATCCATAATCAAATTCACTCTGTGTGTTGATGGACTCTAAATGTAAGAATGTGCACCTTACCAAAGAAGCACACCATCTTTCACAAGCTCATACAACTCATTGGAATCTGGGTCAAGTGGAAGGAACTGCTTCAGAAAAGGGTCATCACCAAGATATCTGTTGATGTGTTGAACAAAAGAACCCTTCTCCGACTGGTGTATAGTGTGGAGAAGTGTCGTTGTACTAGCTTTAAGAAACGAGGATGCGTTCTTATGACCACCAGAGATCTCAGCTGCTTTACCTTGTAAGCTGAGATATATCTGCACATTAGGGATCAATCCAAAACCACAATGTATTTCATATACTCAATCCAAAACCCGAATTCACCAAGAAACACCAAAAGATCCAACATACCTTGAGAAACTCTTCAAAACCCACATCACTGCTTGAATCAAAACTCAATTCACACAGAATATCCCTGATTTCGTCCTCCTTGAATGTTGAATTAAGTGCCTTGAGCTTCACCAATAGAGGAGGGAGGTCTTGTATGGTGATCTTTCCACTCTGATTCTTCAACGATACAAACTATACAACACACAAAACCAATTGAACAAAGATCAAACGGTGTATACAAAAAACCAACAATGAAAGAGAGAAAGGACAAACCTTGGAATTGAGATTTCGAAGTTCGAGTTGTGTGAACTGGCTCTGCAGCCATGGATCCGAAACGACAACACCCACGAACCCAGACATCTCCTCGTTTACCATTCACCCAGAAGCCTCTGTTCGATTCTCCCTGAAAACGGATCACTCTAAGCTTCAGGTAACTATTGACGAACTAATTCTGTGGCCAAGAAAAAACCCAAAATAATATCACCGAGTCGAAAAATTTGTCCTTTACATAGCAAGAGAAAGCGATCAATAACAATAGGACAAAACTGGGTAACCGACCCATTATCACGATAATGTACGACTCCATCACGCAAACTATTGTATTATCCAACACTAATCTCGAAAGATCAAAGATAGTCCCAATGTACGGAAATTCGCCACTAACCTCGAGTGAAGGAAATTCGGCGTTGAATTCCTCGCTACAACATCGATATCGGTGTGGAAGTGACCGAGACTGAGGAACTAAACAGCAACGTGCAAAAGATAAACTAGGTCACGTGAAGCAAACTCAACGAGACGAAGAAGATGATGAAGGGGAAAAAAGATGAATTTTGTGCTTCGTGTGAGCAAATAACAAAGCCGTGAATAGAGAGCGAGGGAAACAACAAAAAAGGACGAGTTTTTATGTTTCGTGTGAATGACAAAAAGGGCTCATTGGCATTGAATGCTTAATTTTTGAGGATCAACGTCACGCGCGAAAGTATACCATTAGGTTCTGGAAACTCGCTCTGTGATGGATACACGTGGAAGGGATGTGTATCCACCTCGACATAGGACGCTGACCTCACGGTGTAACGACTTGTCTACGTGTCACTTCTCTTGACATCTCACATTTGTAGCCGTCTGCATTTACACCATAGTTAGATTGTATTCAACATTTTTAATTTTTAATTTGTATAGGTAACGATTCTAGGTTCACAATTTACAACATTATGCTAGAAAGGTTGTATGGTTGATGTTGAAAATTGGAGTGGTAAAATATTGAAAGGTAGTATAAATTAGGACATCAAATCTCTACTAACGACATGTCTTAACGGGTTCATTGACGTCAACGCTGACTCTCAGCCCATTTCAAAAGACTTCAAAAGACTCCAAATTTTTAGGCCAATACTATTTAGAAATAATGTGTGTAAATTACCTTATGACAATTGACAAGAGTTCATTACTTCCTTCCTTCCCATCACAAGGCCAAACCCATAATTAACATGCTTGGATGCTCCACTATTTTGGGCTTTATGAATTAGGATGCACATGTATTCAATGGTCACCAATTTTCAAGCAGCATGGTTTAGTATCGAAACCTTTTTTTTTTGTTTTTAATATCGAGAGGTTGTATATATTGGCGTCAAAAACATAATCTTGTATTGTAATACTGTATCAATTAATTTATATTGGTTTCTGGATTATTTATTTATATTTTGTTTACATTAACTCAGAACTTAAGATGGATAAATAATCAACCAAATCCTGTCACGCCTGATGGAACCAACTCGAATAAAGCTTGGTTATGTATAATCTTCTTTTTAAAATGTCACAAATCGACATAACCAAAGGTCCAGAAGTAATTGAACAATCTGAATGCCCACAAGTATCTAAAGATTATCATGGAAACTTTTAACAAAATCGAAGAACAAAGTGTATGTAATGTAACATGTTGCAAATCTCACTCTTTTAGCTTCTATAAGTATACATGATGACAACAAAAAAAAAAAAGAATAAATGTCCTGCACATGTAGAACTACATGCACAGTGATGCACATGCCCAACTTCTGTATGGTTTTCATTTTTTTTTTTCTTTTGGATTTTAGTGGCTATTTACCAACTTGTGTTTGTTTCCAAGCAATCTTGAAAATTATATCAATTTTTATTGGATATCTTCGTTATTGTTATACGAAAACAGGTAAAATTATTAGTTAGTGTCATTTGATTGGTTGTGACATGTTATTAGCTACAAGTTTTTTTTTTTTTGGAAAAAGCTAATTAGGTACAAGTTAGTGGAGTGAATCTATGCTTTATAGTGTCATAGCATCATATACGTGAATCTAATTTGAAGATTTATTTGCCGTGTTTATGTGAAGATTGAACAATCTATATAAGACGACGATGCATTGAATATTTGACGTTGATACCTTGATGGTATTAAGGGTTCTAAATGATTTACTTTATATTTAAACTTGTATAGGATTTGACTCCTTATTCTGAAGAATCCATGTTGCAAAATTGAGCATTAAGTCAAGAAAACTCTTGAAATTCGTTTATATCAGTGGTATAGTGTTTATTGTTTCTACTAGATCTGTTTCTGAATGTAGTTCTAAATTGCAAATTGGAAGAACTGAACCTTGTTAAGGATGATGTGTTTTAATCTATTCGTGCATTCGATTAGTTTTACTTTTATTTTTATAACCAAAAATATCGTTCTGTGTAAATAAATCATGTGTGTTCGTAAGAGTCCGTGCCAATATTTGATATATGTTTTGTAAGGTCCAATCATTTTAGGAGGGGGAAACAATTTAAGTTTTTCATAATCTTGAAGACAGCCAGGTATGTTGGTCGTCTATTCAACCGTCCTACACCAGATAAATATTTTACTCGGAAAATGATATAAAAATGTGTTACTCAGAAACGTATAATTACAAGATTGAGGTCAACATCATTGGAGAGCCTTTTCTTTATTTTTCGAGCCTAATTAATTAATTAATCTTGGAAGTTGGCAGAGTAATAATAGTAAATATTTTTGAAAGTCAATTAAAACAATTATTCTAAAATGTATACAACAATCACATCAACATCCTAATGAGAAACTTTCCTACATGAAATTTTTGTTTAGAATCATTAAAAAGATTTTCGAAAGCTGCGGTTTATTTTACAGCAAACAACGGCCCCACGTTTAACGTGACAGGTTTGCGCGTCTTTGCTGATCTCATAAGTGACCAACAAATTGCTCTTCGCCACGTGTACGATTACAGATAAGTCATGACGGCCATGTTGTGGGACCCGACTTAGCTGTTGATTCTTCATTCACCACTTTTATTCAGTTTTTTGCTCGCGCCGAGCCGCCGACCAAAGCTTCGTCTCTTTCTACTTATTTGTCTTTAATGTTGTGATTACCAAATAAATAAATCCTAAAAGAGACTCAGATCATAATCCGAATTATCTGACAAAAATACTTTAAGTTATAAATAATTGATATTGAACTTTTAAAAACCTGTCTATAGTATAGCATCAACTTTAGTTCTTTCAATTTTCTTACTTTTTTCAAACTTAAAAGGTTAAAATTTCTTACATTGTTTACAATAGTTGGTTTAAAAGCATGTTTTGTTGTTTTCAAATTATATTTTTCTTCTAATTTTAATATAGCCTACTTGTGTATACAAAAGCAAACATGAATTATAGTAACTGATAAATGTCAATGCATGCAAATGTACAATTCATCATATTTATTAGTTAAGGGACCCAATTGTCCATATTAATTAATGATCTTTACAAGTTACTTAATATTGAACTTTTAAAAACCTGTCTATAGTATAGTATCAACTTTAGTACTTTCAATTTACTTGTTTCAAAAATAATGCAAACGTTAATTTAATTATATTTGTTACAATATCATAAACATTATTTGTAAATGGAATTAGTAAAATCCAGAAAAATCGATATATTTCTATATGGTGTTCTATATATTTATGATAATATATTATATTTTATCATTGTTAAATTATAATTGAGCTCTAGAGCTAATTTTTAACCATGTCAGATTTTTGGTCTTGTTTTGCAATAGATTCAAGTAAACAAAGACAACATGCTACTACAATTACTATTTTTGATATCTCCATTCTAATTATAACAGTAAAAAAATACTCTTTTTTTACTAAAAAAATGTATAATATTGTCAAAGTCCGAGGAACAAAGAGCTCAGCAACACCAGCTGAGAGCTGAAGCCGACCAACCAAAATCTCGGCTCCTCGACGGTCCAAAAAATACGTGATTACGCGTAATTGTGGTAGACTATTGGAAAATCATTTCATGATAAGTACTTAAAGAATTAAATACACTTGTAAGAAGAAATAAATCATCAGAAGCTTTTCTAATGTTAATTTAATTATTTTAGTTTTAATCAACGATCATATAAATGAGAAAGAATCCCACAAACGAAATAGCCAGAACTAGAAGACCTCTCTCATCCACCTCTCTCTCAAATCTCGCCTCGCTCTCCGAGAAGAAATAAGCCGGTCAAGTCGCCGGCGGGAGTATAAAAGCAGGTTACGACGAATTCCCGGCAAGGTAATCCGACAATGCGAGGGTTACGAGCTTCCTCGCTTTTACTCTGTGGTGTTGTTTTAATTCAGCTGCTTGCTGCTCAAATCGATGCTCAGAAATCTAAAAGTCCATGGCTGACGCTCACTGGTGAGTTCTCTCACTGCCTCTCTTTCTTTGCTCTTTGTTTTCCGAGAAAACGATAGAAATTAGTCACCCAAATTTGTAGTACAACTTGGGATAATCAAACATAGTATTTTTAGCCAGTTTAGGACAGTCACATAGTATTTTTAGCCAGTTTAGGACAGTCTCTGAATATAGAAGTGTCCTTCTCAAAATTATTTTTAGTCTCTTGTATTAAATCACTTCTTGATTACCATTTTTTTTGGGGTTGTCAGGTGATTTTCCTCGTGTGATTGCTCGTGGTGGATTTTCTGGACTGTTTCCAGATTCGAGCCTCGATGCTTACAAGTTCGCAATGATTACAAGTGTACCAGATGTTGTTCTGTGGTGTGATCTTCAGCTAACCAAAGATGGAGCTGGGATTTGCTTCCCTGGCTTAACAATGAGCAATGCTTCATCTATTAATGGTGTTTACCCAAATCGACAAAAGTCATACCTCGTCAATGGAGTCCCTACTCAGGGTTGGTTCACCATTGATTTCTCCTTGAGAGACCTCAAGGATGTTACCTGTAAGTGTTCATGACTCGATCACTGCTTTTGTAGAAAAACCAATTTGGTTGTTTTTCTCCCTGCAATTTCTCACATTTGTTCTCACCTGTTGCAGTGATCCGAGGTATACTCTCTCGGTCGGAAAAATTCGATGGAAATGGATACTCGATTCAGACGGTTCAAGATGTAGACGCGCTGAAACCACAAGGTTTCTGGTTAAATGTTCAGCACGACGCGTTCTATGCTGAGCATAATCTGAGCATGAGCAGTTTTCTGGTATCAGCTTCGAAAACTGTAATCATTGACTTCATCTCTTCCCCTGAAGTCAACTTCTTTAGGAAAATTGCTGGACGTTTCGGGCGTAACGGACCGAGTTTTGTGTTCCGGTTTCTCGAGAAAGAGGAGTTCGAGCCAACAACAAACCGAACATACGGTTCTATCTTGAGTAACCTAACTTTTGTCAAGACGTTTGCTTCAGGGATTCTTGTTCCCAAGTCTTACATATTGCCGCTCAATGACGAGCAGTACTTGCTTCCTCAGACATCATCCTTAGTGCAAGATGCTCACAAAGCTGGATTGGAAGTTTTTGCGTCAGGTTTTGCAAATGATGTCGATATTGCACACGACTACAGTTACGATCCAGTGTCTGAGTATCTATCTTTTGTGGACAATGGAAATTTCTCTGTCGATGGTGTGCTCTCTGATTTTCCCATCACAGCATCTGCATCCGTCGGTAAGCAAAATCTCCTCTACTTGCAAGCACTTTGTCCTTAAAATACTGATGAAAATACTCCTAAAAGATCTTTTTTCATATTTCCCTCAGATTGCTTCTCCCACATGGGCAGAAACGCTACAAAACAAGGTATGAGAGTAATAATAACTTTGCTTTGTTTCTTGCTATGACTTACCAGTTACCCTTACCTCAATAACGAAACCTGTGATTGACTTATCATTTTCTAAATGGTTCATGTTTCAGTGGATTTTCTTGTTATGTCAAAAAATGGTGCGAGTGGAGACTATCCAGCGTGTACAAACTTGGCATATCAGAAGGCAATCAAAGATGGTGCTGATGTTATCGACTGCTCGGTCCAAATGTCCAGCGACGGCAAACCCTTTTGCTCAAGTTCGATCGATCTCGGGAACACCACAATGGTCACCCAGACTCCTTTCAGAAATCGTTCAGAAACTGTCCCTGAGATTAGCTCAGTCGGTGGAATATACACTTTTAGTCTCACATGGCCTGAGATTCAGACCTTGACTCGTAAGTTTCTCTTCAAAATTTCTAAATTTTTCAGATAAATGCTGGTCTGCTTTGTACACTCTTCTTCCTACTATTTATAGTCACTAGTTTGAGAGCTTCTATGTCCACTCCTACTTGACTTAAAAGAGGTTGATATAAATTACAGGCTACTTTAGAGGTTACATAACAGTTTTAATAACTATTCTCCAATCGTTTTATGCAGCTGCTATATCAAACCCCTACAGAGGAGGATACCGTTTGTCTAGGAATCCAAAAGAGAGAAATTCTGGGAAGCTTCTTTCGCTTTCTGAATTCCTTAACTTGGCAAAGGACTCGACCTCTCTCTCCGGTGTTTTGATCAGTGTAGAGGTGAGTTCTCGTGTACCTCTTAGTCTTTTAATCAATCTGACCATGACGTCTTCACATGGCCATGACACTATGTTCTTTTTGTCCCTCAGAATGCAGCATACCTTAGAGAGAAGCAAGGGCTCGACGTGGTTAAAGCGGTTCTTGATACACTCACAGAGACTGGCTATAACAATATTACAACCACAAAGGTCATGATTCAGTCAACAAACAGTTCGGTTCTAGTTGACTTCAAGAAACAGAGCAAGTACGAGACTGTGTACAAAGTTGAGGAAACCATCCGTGATATTCTCGACTCTGCTATCGAAGACATAAAGGAATTCGCTAGCGCTGTTGTCATTGGAAAATCATCAGTCTTTGAAGTCACTGATGGATTAGTCATTGGACAAACCAAAGTTGTAGAGAGGCTACAGAAGTCTCAGCTCCCGGTTTATGTGGAGCTGTTTCAGAACGAGTTTGTATCTCAACCATATGACTTCTTCTCTGACGCAACTGTTGAGATAAACTCGTATGTCACTGGAGTCGGTATAAATGGAACCATCACCGAGTTCCCTTTCACAGCTGCAAGATACAAAAGTAAGTGGTGGCCCAAAAACTGCACCAAAGCTCTCACATCAGAAAGTTGTTAACATCAATGCCTAACTTATTTCTCTTCTGCAGGAAATCCATGTTTGGGCAGCAAAGAAATTCCATTTTACATGGCACCTGTCCCACCCGGTGGCCTCTTAGAAGTAGTGAGTCCTGGGTCCCTACCTCCAGCCGAAGCTCCTAAACCGGTTTTCACAGATGCTGATGTCACTGAACCACCACTACCTCCGGTTACAGCAAAAGCCCCAGCCTCAACCCCTGGAACCCCATCAACCAATGCACAAGCACCTAGTGGACAAACCCGACTCACTCTATCTCTTCTCCTTTCTGTATTTGCAATGGTTCTTGCCTCTCTTCTACTTCTGTGATCAACCCTTGATCACGTCTCCTCTCTGTTGATAATGTTAAGGTTATCCTGTGTGTGACTCAGTCAAATCTTAACAGCCGGAAACATCATTTTTTTTCCTGTTTATATTCTAGTTCTGTCCAAAAGAGCAGGAAATTCTTGGAGTGTAACTTTCCCTCAGATTCATTTGAGATATTCGTTTGTTGTTGTAACATATATTCTTATACTCTTGCCTTGTGCCTTGTAATATTTATGAGATTGTATCCTTTCTTAAACACGTAACCAATTTCTTCTTCCATTAAACGAAAAGAAATTGGAATTTTTGGTTAATAACTTGTTACTTCTCAGATACCTAAAGGCTCTTGTAGAATGCTTTTTGCTTCCATCTCCTGTAACAACTCTGTCGCAAGTTGGTCTTTCCCTTGATGCTTTAGTCCATTGCAGACCTGATGAACAGTCCTTGAATCAAGCGGGATTGATCTTCTGACCATTTCCCTCAACACTTGAGCTGCTCCATCAAAATCGTCATTCTTACAGAAGGCAGAAACCAACATATTAAATGTTTGTTCATTCGGATGGCAACCACTCCTAATCATGCTCCTGTACAGTTCAAAACCACGGTCTGCGTTTCTCCTCACGCACTGTCCCATTATTAACGCAGAGAAGGTGGAAGAGTTTGGCACCAAATTCTCTTTGTCGAGTTCTTTAACAAAGTGTGCAGCTTTCTTCGTCTTAGCTTGTTTGCACAGTCCCAAGATCAACGCGTTGTACGTCAAAATGTCACGCTTAATCCCGTTGAAGACCATATCTTCATAAAACCGGTAGGCCATCTCGTGATCACCCTGTTGGCTGTACCCATTAATCAAAGTGTTATACGTGACAGTGTTGGGAGCCACCTTTACCGCTTTCATCTCACCGAAAACCTTACTAGCTTCTTGTAACTTCACACTTCTGCAAAACCCGTGAATGAGAGTGTTGAAAGTAACCACATTAGGCTGCAAGCCGTTCTTCCCCATCATGTTCTTAAGCCTCCAAGCCGAGCTCAAAAGACCCTTCTCGCAGTGCCCGGCTATCAATGTATTATACGACACTTCCGTGGCCTGAAAACCCAATCTTTCCATGTCTTGCAGCAACTCAACGCCCTTGTCAAGTTTCCCTGATCTGCAATAACACGAGATAACCATGTTGAGAGTGTACGTGTTTGGGGATATCTTACATCTCCTCATTTCTCTGTAAAACCCAAGAGCAATATCCACCCTCCCTTGACCAAGCAGTGAGCTCATGTAAGCATTGCAAGACTCGACATTTGGAAGAAACCCGTAATCCTTCATCTGCGTAAAAGCGTCTGTGGCATTTCTGAATTTCTTCAGATGAGCAAAAGTCTTGAACAGCGAATCAAACACTCGAGGCGTAGAGTCACATTCCCTGTACGAATACAACAAGGCATCAAACAGCTTGGCAGGCAAATCCAAGCCGCCAGTTACGAGGATGTCTCTTAGAATGGACTCTGCGGATTTGAATTTCCGGTTTTTGGTGAGAGTGTGAAGAACAATGGCATGGGTTTCAAGAGAGTGGGAGCCTGGGTTTCGGGTTTTCGCCCAGTTGAAGAACTCAAGGGAGAGAAGATAGTCTTTCTGGATTCTCAGTAGTATGTTCTTGACCCTAAACGAATCCAAATGTTTGGATAGCTTATCAAGCTGATCCCAATCAGATTGAATCAGGTGGCTGTGAGCGACATTGACGAAATCAAGATCTTGGCCTTTAGGTTCAGGATTACTCCTGTGAGGAATCGGGATTGCGTTCCTGTTTCCAGAGACGAGACTTTTAGAAAACCTAGGGCTTTCAGATCCCGGAACTAGCCCACCATAGCCAGCGAAACTTGAGAATTGGTAACACAGATAGCGATGAACACCGGTGCTTATGCGGATCATCATACTGTAAGCTATTGGAGCGTAACGGCAAAATCAGGTTTCAGTACCAGAGATACAGATTCAGCAAAAAATGAATCCGCAAGCCAAAATAAATACCAGTAAGGTTGCTAGCACTTCATCAGTACAAGTATATATCATCTCATGACGGAGAATCTGAGAAATCTACAAACATCATTAAGTAAGCAGACTTTGAAATTGAGGCCGATCTTGTCTAACTGCGAGAGCTACTTCGGAAACGGAGTCGCGCAGATTGCCGCCGGAGAAGGAGGTGTGGAAATGTGTTCAGTGAAAGTGTAAAATATATTTTTTTAGTCGGCCTTATGTGAAGCCCATTGGAAAAATAATGAGATGTTCATTAGAAATTTGGAAAAAAAAAATCAGAAATGGAGATGCGGGGTATCGATCCCCGTACCTCTCGCATGCTAAGCGAGCGCTCTACCATCTGAGCTACATCCCCTTTGTGATTCAGATATAGGTTATTCAGATTTAGTTCACAGATAGTCTTTTTCTCAAGTTGATCGGAAGTTCGGATCAGTGTCTGTTGGAGGTGGCTTAGCACCCCCAATTAGCTAGGCCCATCTTGGACAATAAAGCCCACAGACTAAGTTAACAGAAACCCAGCCAAAGTCAACGAGCCCGATCAGCATGGTCCCGCCAAATCATTATCATTGCGACGCCGATCTACAGTGCGCGGAGCCGAGCAGAACCTGGCACGTGTAAGGGCAGTTCGTCTACAGTGACCTAAGCACGCAAGTAGCTCGGCGAAGGACCATCATCACACGCCGCGGAGTGGTTCGGACGTGCGGCTCCAGACGCCATACCCGCGAGATGCGCTGAAGCTGCCACGTCGCCCCGATTTGGAGTAAACTCGTCTCCCAACTCCCGCTATAAATACTCCTCGTAGATAATTTATGAGGGGATCCAAAAAATTATTACTCTCTCTCTACTTTAATACATTTGTCTCTCTACCGAGCTCGCTGTAACAAAATAAAAAGCACCGAACTGGATCTGCTCCAGACTTGGTTCGAAACATCAGTTGTTATCTCATTGCAAACATCCTTTACGTTTCCGAGCTGACACTTTCTTTTTCCCCTTAACTAAATCACTCTTATTATACGAAAATCTCACCCCGAAATCATCTCTAATCATTCTCATAATCTATTAAACATACTTAATGATCTCCAGGATCAACAGTGTCAACGATGATCATCGCTGTCTCAAGATTTTCTGATCTTCGTATTGTATTTGTCTGAAGCTGTGTGCTTCCACTTTTATGGTAATATCTAGAATCCCTTGTACCAATTTACTTCCATTTCGGTTCTGGAATTTATACAACACCGCAACATCTGGAGCTTAGTTTGGTCATTACGAACCAACTTGTTTCAAGAAGCGTGCGATTTTGGCATTGAGTTTTTGTGTTTGACGAAAAAATAGACAGAGAGCACACAAAGTGTTCGATGAAATGTCTCTAAGAAAGTTTCGCCTCTTTTACCCTTGTGTCTATTTTCTCTTCCTACACGATCATTTAATCTCGTTCGTGTTTATAAATATTCATTGACTAACACAGAAACTTTATATATATACTGTATATATATGTTGTAGCAAACGAAGAGTTGATTCCATCTGGGATTTAGCATTGAGAATGTCGTTTTGCTATCCATCATCACCCAGAAAAGTGGCGATGACGGTGGCGTTTTTTGCCTCTGGGGCTGCTCTTTTCGCCATTGGAATCCATCTCTCGTATCTCAACGTCGCTCCTCAGCAAGCTCGCACTAAAGCCCGTAATGATTTTGTCAAAGAACGTCTCAGGCAGAAACAAGGAAAGTGATTTTCAGGTTCAGATCATGTCCCAAAACAGAACCATTTCTTCTTGATGGTTTTTGTTTTTTGTTTTTTGGTTCCGACTTCACCATTTCACCTCTGTACGCTCAACTCAGTTCTTTGCTCTGTAGAGAATAGAGATAACGTAAATTGCAATTGAGAAAACAAATCTCACTTTTGTCTGGAAAATTTTGACTTTTACTACTATATAAAATCGAAATAAGCATTCGTCATAAAAGTAGTGAAATTCTAAAAAGAAATCGTATTAATAGAGCAAAAGGTACACAAGTCTTTTTTTCTTCTTCAAATTGACTCTTGCAAAAAGCCTTTAATAAAACATTCTCTCACAAAGTACAGCAAAAGCGGGAAATTTAAACATCTACAGAGAGCCTAAGGCACAAGAAAAGGAGATTCATGGAACATTAGATCTTCTTGGGTTTTGCTAATGACTTGCAGAAAGAAGAGAAGGCTCCTTTGATTTCTTCATGGATCGGGAGAGCGAGAGAGAGTGGTAAAGGACGGTGATGATCTTGAAAGTTTCCGGTTTGGTGTCTCAAGGAGACCGAGTGAGCCAAAGCTGTTTGTCTTTTGTTGAGTCCCTCAAGGATAAAAGAGAAAGCCCCAAAAGTAAGACAACTCTGTAGCATAGCCTGTGGAGCACCTGCAACACAGACCATATATAAGGATTGGTTACCTCTTCTCTATGTTAGGAACCAAGTATTTTACTTATATGATTCAGAAAACCAATAACTGTCTTTACGATACCCAGCAAAGTAGAAAAAAGAAAACGAGCATAATGGGTTTGGATTACCAGGGAAACTAAGAGCAAGACCGGTGCAGCACCCAGCAACTCCAACATTAATGGCTGCAAAATAACAACAAATGAATTCTAAGTAAGAGATACATTTATATAAGTTGATGTAAAATTAGGCATATGTAATCATAAAAACTTAGGAGTAAGAGATATGAAGATTCTCACCGTCATCTTTCCCACGCAGTTGCTTCAGAAGGCAAACAACCAAACTGTGTACTCCAGATAAAACAGCGAAAGTCTGAAACAAGAAATTGCAAATCACTCTCAGTCTTCTGTAACAATAAGCAACATCTATAAAAAATTCTGATACAGTTCCAATGCTAGGAAAGATTCGTTTATAAGATGAAGTACCTTTGCAGATTGCCCTGCATCCGCAAATGATCCTTTAAAGCCTTTCTTCTTGAACAATCCTGAACCTGAACGTGAACGTGAACGTATATAGTGAGAGAATGCTTAAAATTCAATAATCTCAATCAAAAGTTGCAGCAATCAATCTTATCACAGCCACTCTATAACGAAAAACTAAGCTAACTCTCTTCTACAGATTCCCAGCAGCAAAACAAAATCAAACTTGAGGAATGTTCAATCATCTTAATCTGAAATTAATACAGTAATTCTGAAAATAACTCATAGGGTTAGTCTCCTAGAACACCTAATAATTACTCAATCCTTAATCCAAGAAACATGTTCTGAAATCAAATAAAAGAGTACAAACTCTGGTTTTCCCCAATAAATCTAATCTCACTCTCAGATAAAAACGAGAAATTCCCACACCGAGTAAAGCAACCGCAGATAAAACCAGGCATAGAGATATAAGAAAGAAATGAAGAGAAAGAAGAATCGAACCATATCCGAAGATAGAGCCCATGACGGCGCCACCAGCTGCATCTCCGGCGAACCGGACAAGACAAACGGCGGGAGCAGGGATTGCCAATGCCTTTGAGGAATCATTAGTGTTCGTATCTCCACCGTCAGAGTGAAGGTTTGAATCAGAGTCGAGATTCCCGTCGATGTCTATAGCATTTGAAGAATCGGCCGCCATATTTAAGAACTTGAAGCCTGAAGTTTTCGGTCTCTACCTAATCTGGAAATATCCTTTTTCCCAGTTTGATAGAGTAAAAAAAAAAAGATATCTTTTCCCAGAAGACGACGACGCTTGCTTAGTTTCTTTGCTTGCACAATAAACGACGACGTTTTAAAATTCAGCTTTTGAGAATTGGGCTCGTTTATATACGGATCCAATAAGCGCCCACTTACGGAATTACAAAAGGAGCTATTGTATTTTCTTTCGACGATTTCTTTCCAAATTGTTTTACTGGACGCTAATCCTTTACAGTATTTGAAGCACTCAAAATTAAAGCCGAAGAGTAATCAATACTACATGATATTAATGTTTCCAAGGTTACAAATCATAAGAATGTTTCCAATATTACAAATCATTATTTCTGTTTAACAATGGCAGATACTTTGACAAAATAAAAACAATGGCAGATACAAGAGAACAACAATGATAAAAACGGGAGACAAGTAAGAGTTACTTAGGATATGTAAATGACCGAGAAGGTCTTTTGTGTTTCAGTAATGGTGGTCTTGATATATGGCTCCGAACTCTGCTCTCCAAGCCTGATCATCCTCTTCATAATCATCAAAACTGACAGCTCCGGTTCGATGGTCTGATACTTGTTCTTCATCGTCCTGCTCATCCTTGTACCATGGCTGCAACAATGCTGATCCTGGTAATTTACTCTCTGCTAAGTATTGCTTCATTGTCCCAATTTCTGTCTTGTGTTTGCTCTTAAGTTGTTCCATTTGCTTCTTCAGCCTCTCTTTCTCTTCTTCCACCACACTGAATCGTTCCTGCAATGATGGTTTCAATTCAAGTTTAGCCATTTAAGAAAACCAAGATTTTATGACCACACAAATAAAGGTTCTTGTTTTACCTCAGAGACTTGCAAGGCTTGTTCAGATTCCCTTAGCCTGACAAGTAGTTCACCAGCAGCTTGAACAGCTTCAGCAGTATCACGCAGCTGAGTTCTTAGGCTCTTGTTCTCCTTCTTCAACAGCTCTCTTTCTTTCTCCTTCTCTGCTCTGATAGCAGAAAGTTCAGCTGAGAAGGCTTTGGCAAAACGCTTTCCATGGCGACCGTTCATAGCGGCCTTGGATGCTGCCTTCTTCACATCTGTTATTCCAGCCATCATCACACTGTGCTTCTCTCCTAGTTCATTGTACTTCTCCTGCAGCTCTGTATACTGCTCTATGAATCTACTGTGGCCAAGCACAGCTCGAGTTAGCGCGTCATTCAACTCCTCTGTTGCTAACTTCTCTTGTTTGAGCTCAATCTCTAGATTCTCTGCACGCCTGCGATGGTTATCGATATCCATCCTGAGATCATCTGTTAAAGATATCCACTCACTCTCCATTTCTGTCCACATTTCCCTTTCTTTCTCTAGGATATCACTGTTCTCAGCGTTCTTGGTAACATCAATGCTTTTGCGCATTTGAATGGATCTTAGTAGCAAAGAGGATCTCAGATTGTCTGCAGATTTAGTAGGTTGCAGCTTGCTCTTTAGCTCTGCAATCTCCTTGAGAAGAGCTTCCTTTTCGCTTATATCAAAGTTTTTCTTTCCAGATTCTTCGCTAACTTCTTTTGTCTCATATGTTTCTTTGATTAACTCTGTTCCATCTTCTCCATCACCAGGTTTCCTAAGCTGCAAACAAAGGCCATAACGCAGCCTCTTCAGTTTCGATTGCCATTCTTGGCAAAAATCATTAATGAAAAGCAACCGGTTGCTTCACAGCTTTGTAGTAATATTAGTCTAAGTTAAGAACTATCAAAAACTCATTTTCTGAAAAACCAGATTCAAACTTTTAACACCAAATTTTCTCGTAAGCCTACAAGATATTTACCAGGCGTGTTAGCTCGTCGATTTTGGTTGCTTGCTCCATGCACATGTTCTTGAGATGTTTTTCGTTCGAACAAGCATCTCCTGTAGCCTGATATAGAACAGAATGTAAGATAAATTGCCAAATCGAATTACCAAAACTAAATTTATAGTGAATGTAGGCAAATCTCCCGGTTTTGTTAGACATACTTCAGCTTCCTGGTCAAGTTTCTTTCTGCATGAAAGACATAAGAGAATCGACGATGATCCACCTTCTGGAGGCTTATCTTTTCTTAACGATTGAACTGAAGCATCAAGGTTATCAGCTTCTGCGCAAGGTTTCAGTGCCAGATGGCCAAAAGAGAAGGAAACAGAAGAACTTTTTGATAGTGAGCTACGCTGATGATAGTCTATAACTTGCAGTCCTCTCTGAAGACTTGCAGCTAGTGAATCCGTAGGACCTGAAAGCTTCTTTGACACAGAAGGGCTAACTTGATCTACTTTCATGTTTCCAATGTTGGAGCTCTCGGACACATTCCTAGGACTTGATAGAAACTTTGTTGATGCAGACACGCTTTTCTGGAAATTCCTAATTTTAGGAGATTCCGAGAAAACTGGCTCTTCTAGAATGCATGTAGGAAGCTTTGAGCTGATTGAGATGCCAGTACTCGATGTATCCAATCCAACATTGTCGAGCTGGCTTGGATCATCATCTACAAAGTCAACATCTTGATGCTTTGGTTTGTCCAAGTCTTCTGAGCAGATATCGTCTTCACTCATCGAGTCTGCTTCATCGCATGAGGCACTTGCAAATGAGGAGTGGAGAGAATCATAAGAACCATGAAACTTTTCAATATGTTTATTCAGTTCCAGCACATCTTCACCACGATCCACGTTCATCTCTTGTCCTTGAGATGCATCTTCCTTTGACATAAGTAAAGATTTGTTGATACTGGCTCTCAATTGACTCAAACTGTCCCGCGCAAAGTGACCACTCTTACTTCCATACCCATCAGATTTTGTTCTAATGAGTTCGTCCTGTAACCAAAAATACGCAGTTGATACCTCAATGTTAGTATGCAATAGATGATACTTTCATGTAAGAGCAACAAAGAAGACCTTTAGTTCTCGAATCTGGTCACTCAATGGGTCATGTTCCTCTGTAATTTCACTTGGCACTGAATTGGTTCTTCTAGAGAGTACAGTCCTGGCCTCAACCTATCCCAAATTAAACAATAAAGTCAGAGAGTGTAAAAAAACTTCAAAGGACAATTCACTTTATGGATCACACTGTTTACCTTCTTCAATGGTGAATCCGCAAGACTTTGCTTGTCTTGAGCAAAAGTGTTTGGTACCATTTTCTTTTTCTGTTACAAGTTCCAAAGGATCTCTCTCCTTAATAGATACAAATTATGATACTACCAGATATCAATCACGCTAAATAAACTACAAAGCAAAAATCTAGAATCTAAAAGGCAAGAAACAGAAATCTGAGAACTAATTTAGAAAGTTTACCTCAATACGCTCTCCGAAATTTGCAGAGGAGAGCAATTTCTTCGGAGACTGATTTGTGAACTGAAGATCAGTGTGATGATCATCAGCCTGTATATTTGGATCTACAGGAATCGTGTTCTCGTCGTCAGATCTGGGAATCTTAGTTTCTGGATTTTGGATCGGTTTCTGCTTGGCAGAGATGGATCTGGGAAGCAAATTTCTGATCGAAGAACTTGTTATGCCTCCTAAGAACCTGTTCTCGCTTATCTTCGCCGGAGATTTCATGGTTTTCGAGGAGAGAGAGACTGAGAGAGATTAGAAGGTCTTGTGAGCGGGATAAAGTGGAAAACGAGCGTTTTTGAAATGTCGGGATGCTTTTCTGTCTTTTCGGAAAAGAAAATGGAAAAATACAAAATACAGAAAATCATTATTGGAGTAAAACTTAGATAGTGGGCCTCTTAAAAGCCCATTACCTTCGAATAGGAGAAGTAAAGAAGATCGTGATCACAAGGCAGACCTTTCTTCGGAGGATTTTGTTTACTAGTTCATAGAAACTTCTTATGCTAATGCTAATGATGTAATCTCATACTGGATGTTGTGGCTCTTAATCACAATGTCTATGTCTTAATTATTTGTGTAGTGACGCTGTGTTATTGTCACTTACTGGACCCACTTTGTCTTTGCTGAGGCTAAAGATTCAATTATTCGAACTTTTCAATTCTTGATAACAAATCCAATGTCTTCTTTTACCAAAAAAAAAATCCAATGTCTTCATCACAGGATTTTTTTTGTTTTTCCTGTTATATGTCCTAATCAAATTTTAATTTTTTTAACCTTCAAAAACCATGAATCAAACTACATAAACTCTACACTTGGGTTATAAACAAAAGAGAAAATAATAAAAGACGAAAATATCAAATGCAACAAAATAATCATTTTGGAGCCTTTTGCACAATGTTTTCTCACACGCTAATAGAAAAATCAAAAGTTCTCATGAACAATTCGAATTGAAAGTTTAAACCAAACAAAAAATCTGTAAGAAACAAAAAAAATTTAACAATTAGAATTACAAACAGAGCACACAACATCAAGAATCTTGGGGGAAGAAGAGAAAGCCTAAAGAATGATGATCGAGAATCAACGATCTCTGGTTATTGCTATGGAGACGAACGCAGAAAACCAAATCTTTTATCATCCATGTTGTATCTTTGCAGCTACCAATCTGATCTTATCTTATGTAAGAATTAAAAAGAAGAAAACCCTTTTTTGTGTTTGTGATGCTAACGAAGAAGAAGAAGAAAAACCAAAAAAAAAACATAAACTCACTGTGATGAAGAAAGTTGGTTTTCTTTCTCTACTTTTGATGATATCCAATAAACAACTCTTCAAACTCTGCAACGGAAATGGCTTGTTCTTGATCTACAAATCTCACTTTTCTTCGTCGAATTTTGTTTTTTCTATGCTTCAATACCTGAAAACGTTGAATCAATCCAAATTAATAATTATCCTCAACTGGAAATCAAATGTATCAAATGAGATCAACAAAGCTAAAGTCTTTAATATGCTGATAAGTATACGTACGTACCTCTATTTGTTTGTCTGTTCCCAACACTGTAACTTCCAGGGTAACCTTCAGAGGCATTACCAGATGGGTCTGAGCCTACATTGTCAATACCAAAGCCATAAGAGCGAGACAAGCCGTCTAACTCATTAGAAGACTGATGAGGCATTGACTGCTGCCACGTTGAGTCGCTATAAACCGAGTTGTTGCTTCTGTACAATTCCCCTAAAGAGCCATCAAAACCGTTTGTATTACCCGAGAATGACAAACCAGGAAGTCCAGAACCCGTCCCAAAGTTTCTTCCATAGCCATTGGTATCGCTCGCCACAGAAGAAAGTCCCCAGTTTCCTCTGTTGTTACCAACAGATACTCCCAAGTTCCACCCTGGACCAGAAGAATCAGTTCTGTTTCCCCACAAGTCTCTGTTGCTTGGATTGTAAGCAGAGTCTCCTCTATTGTATCCGATAGGAGAGTTGTAACGGTTTGGAGAAGCACTGTTGAAGTATTGGTTGCCTGGGATCCGGCTATAACCAAGAGTGTTTCCATCAAAGCTTGAATTCAAACTTAGTTCTTGATTCAAACCGAGCCCAAAGCTAGAGAAAGCATTTCTTCCGCTACCAATAGGACTAAACCGGCCAGCAGAGCCTAAGTTATTGTTGTTATTATAACCAGGAGCAAAACTATTGAAGTAGCTATTAGCAGATGACCTATTAGAGACTACTCCATAGTTATTACCATACCCAAGAAGCGGGCTTCGGTTAGCAGGAGCTGAAGCGGGCTCCTTTGGCACAGCTCTTTTAACCTCAACCATTTTGCCGTTTAGCTCGTGGAAGGTCTTGTGAAGAACCATATCAACAGACTCTTCAGAATCAAAAGTGATGAAGCCAAAGCCTCTTGGCCTCTGTGTATTATGATCATACATTACCACAACATCAGCAATTGTACCGAACTGATCAAAGTAGTTCTTGAACTCGGCCTCGGTAATGCTAGACGGTAAACCTCCAACGAAGATCTTCTTTGTCCTCCCGCTGCCACCATTACCACCATGGCTAGGTGAGATGAGGTGCATTGGACTTGCGTGTCGTTTTAGCACTTGCTGATCATCCCGTGGTACAGCTTTCTTCGCCTCGACCTGCAACAACATAAGACATCAATGGATCTAAGCACTAACATTGCGTCTCCTTCACACAAAAAGCAATAAAATTTACTCAAAAGTTATAACGGCAACAGATGATCCAGAAACTAATGACACCAAAAGATTTCTAAGAGAGTGTTAACACAGAAAGATCTCAACTTTAGAACAATCTGCTGCTCAAGACTCATCAATGGACACCAGATAGATCTTTTAAGAGAGCATGACTAAAGAAAGATTGAAACTTTTGAATCCGTTGCACAGGATTACTAACCGTGCGGCCATCGATGATGTGTTTCTCCATGATCACTCTCTCTGCAACAGAAGGATCTGCAAAGACGATGAACCCAAAGCCACGGGCACGTCCTGTAGTACGGTCTCTCATGATCACAGCTTCAACCAAATCTCCATACTTGCTAAAATACTCTCGCAGTCGTTCCTCGTCTGTGTCCCATGAAATCCCGCCAATGAAGAGCTTGCCCAGATCCGATACAGATTCCATCTTTTGCTCCTGCAAAACCAAACGCGATCCATGAATCCGATCTTACAAACACGGATCAGTTGAAGATTGCTAACACCAACACCGAATAGATTTCGGGCGAATCTCAAATGAAGCTTTCATTTTTTGTTTTCTACGATCGTGTCTAAGATTTAAAGAGCTCAAGCTCTGAGATTTATGATGACTTGTTCAAATTTTGATTATCGAGATTCATCTAATCTACTTTTGATATCCAGATGAGTTTTATCAAGATTCAAATATGATGCGTAATGAAAATCAAACGGAAAAGAAACATGGAAATCTACTTTTGTCTGAAACAGAATCCAAATCCCAGTCCCGATCAAATCGGAATTGAGTATCTTCAAATCTGACAATGGATCAACAAAGCATCCAATCAAAAAAATAAGAAAAAAACCCAGAATGAAATAAATAATCTCCCAAACAAAAGAAAAACTACAAAGGAATGAAACAGAAAATCAATGGGATGAAAAAACGGCAAATGGACAAAGAGAGGAAAAAAAACGCTAGATTTGAAAGAAAATATCAAACTTGTGGAGAAGGAAATTCACCATTGTGGAGAGGACCCAGATGATAAAATGTGGAAAACCTTAAGATCTGGAAAAAGGGACAAGGACAAGAGAAACAGAGGATGTTTTGTTCATTCTATAAGACATCCACTCTATCTCTCTGTCTCTCTCTCTCTATAGGGTTCTCTCTTACTCTTATCACGATGGCCTCCCTCTCTCTCAAGCTTATTAAAAATCTTTCCTTTTCCTTTATTTTTTTTTTTTTGTAATGCTTTCTTAATTGATTTACTTAAAATCCATTTAGAAGGATTCCATTTTTCCTCAGGCCAAAGATGGTAAAAGAGAGGAGAACAGCAGTCACGTATAATAATAGGGGGAAAGATTTGAGATTTGCATCTCTCTTTTGGTGTAAGAATCTTATTTTAGGGTTGTTAGAGGGAGGCCCTAAAGACAGATAATTGGAAGATGATAGCTCTTGAATTATTTAAAATTTTTATTTTCCCACAACTATATTGATCTCAATAATTTATTTGTGAGAAACAATCAACTGTAACAGTTTTACATTTCTAATGGGATTTAATGCAAGTATGGGGAGTCGCTCAGAAAAATTCAAGAGTATTGTAATTGACAAATCTTACAAAAGAAGGCAATTATAAAAAACAAAGAAATTACATCAACAACTATTTCTTGAACCCAAAAAAAACTCCTTGAATTACATAATATAAGTAGAAACGATGTGAACATAGAATCAGCATGTTTATCAAAACCTCTACACATTATTCTTTGCTTTAGAAACAAACTAAGCTTATATGCATATATATATATATAATTCATTTTAGAACTGAAAATTTGTTTAGAGAAGAAATTGTAGTCTAATGATTTGTTTCTTACTATTATCGTTGTGTTTATACGGACGAACAAAATGATATAACTTTTTACACATACATATTGATATATATATATATATATTTATAGACACATACATATTAATATATATATATATGTATATGTATTGAATCACTACCTAGGACCTACCAAAATGTAAGCATCATAAAAAATTAATATCTTTAATTATCAAATTACATATGTAAGAAACATATACAAATGGAAGAAACATTTGAAAATTAGAAACTTATACATATTATTTTGACTAAAGTCGTCTTTAAGATTAGTGTAATTACTTAGTGTCACGTTAAGTTTAATTTAGGAGGATTTTTCAAATTACATAAAATTAAGGTTAGTAAAATCATTTTACGTTAAGTTGTATTTTAATTTTTCTTTGACCGGTTTTAAAAGCAGTGGCGAACGTCCAATTAGAATTGGGAGTGAAATTGTCACCCATATATTATTCCACTTGTCCTTATCATAAAATGTTTATAAACTTTTCTTTGATTCGTTTTAACTATTCAATAGTTTATGAGCATTTATATCCTTTTATAATACTCCTTCTGTTTTATAGTAAGTGTCGTTTTAGATTTCATTTTTTGTTTCAAAAAAAGTGTTATTATGTAACTTTTTATTCTTATTTCCTGTTTTATCCCTCATTTAAAGATAATAATTTTTGTAATTAAATGTTATAAAAATCTATTAATTAGATATATATTTATATATTTTATTAATTTTTTAATCTGTGTGAAATGTGTCAGAATGATACTTATTATGAAACGGAAGAAGTACTCTTTTTGTTGGTTAAATTGTTTTTAACTGAGGTTTTGTGTAAACAGAAAAACGTTAATAATTTGTGTGGCTATAATAAGACCTTTGCGCTTTAAAGTTTTAGTAAAAGTCATGTAATGTAATGAAACCTGTTTCCGAAATATTCTTCATCTACGTTTTTTTTACACATCTGATATGTATGTCTTTTTTTTAAAGGATTTGCATACATCTATGTATGTCTTACGTTGACATATTATTAATATATATACAAGACAGTGAATAAAAATATTAAGGTACTTGATGATATCTTTAAATATTGCAGTCTGCAGAGATAGAATCATATGCCCTACAACTAGAAGAAAGTAAAATACTTTTTTTGCATCATTTTTACTCATTTTAGTATTCTGTTCTATTGAACATTGGAAAATGCACATATTCTGTTATGTGGGTATATATGAGATAATTATACTAAAATAAGAAAAAAATAAGTTTTCTATAAAACTATCAAGCAGGAAAGATAGGATCTATAGACTGTAGACAGCTTGTCTTGTGTGGAGGCAAAAGTCTACCCAAATGTTCTTTTTGGGCATAATGATGTTTATGAGTATCCAAGGGTTGCATTTATATTTTATATCAAATAATTAATTATATATAGACGGCCAAAACACAACTAATACTATTTAGCATTCGATGATCTTATATTCTCATCTCATTGATATATATTACATTTGTTTTAGTTTTAGTATTCCCCCTTTGACAAGTTTATTTAATACCCATCCTAAGAAGTTAATTACTGTATGAGTCTATACTTAAGTTTCTCTCATGACAATTTTTTGTATGATCAGATATGTAAAATATTTGTTTGTGTTATTCATCCAAGCCGTCGGATATTCTTTAATATTTAAAATGTTTATGGTCATCAAACAGAAAACCACAAAATAAAATTTCCTCGCTTATTTTCGAAAGAATTCAGTCCTTAAAAGGTCTCCAGCACTTGATAACAAGATCACTATTCCTCAAAATATATGCCTATATTATGAACTAAAATAATTCAAACTTTAAGTACACCAAACTAAAAAATCGAAACCATCCTTTTTCTTGGTAAAATGTTTGATCAAAATTATGATGATGGTGTGGCTCTGCGAAGGACACCACCTTTTTGAACTTTAAAAAATGTCCATGCAAAGTTGCAAACTTTACCGTTTCTAGATTTTTGTAAAATAATATTTTTTCCTTTCTTTTGTTAAAGTATATAATTTGTTTTCTTCTTGTTAATCTATAGATTAAAACAAAATATGTAAACATACATAGATTAATTAACAAGAAAAAGAAAAAAACGACATAGAAATATTCTAATATATTGTAAAAATAAAAAAATTAGAAAAATACTCGAAGTGTCTATTAGAACGATTTTTTTCAAACGCAGATATCATCTGATTAGTAATCGAGTAGGCAATTCGCCCCTAATCACCTCCAAACCCGTTATATGGTTAATCAACCGTGGTATCTAACACATTGTAAAAAATTTACAAAAAAAAGGTTTTGATGACTATTATATGTAGTCTGATAATTTATGTTAGCATCGTCAAAATATGTATCCGACTTTAAACAGTACATGTTATTGATTAAAAAATATAATTTTATGTTTTAAAAAATTCTCTAATAATATCTGAGTGGACCAACTTGGATCCAGAATGTCACCATTATATATCCTAAATGGTATCCACGCAAATCGATCGAATACAATCACCCCACAATCCATTAATAGCTTAAATCTAACGGTAAAAAAAAATATTAGCTTATAATATTGGTTAATAATGGTAAAATTAGGTTAGTACCACGAAACAATAATATTATTTTTAATGAAAAAAAAAAAACGTAAACAATAAGCTGATTCTTCCCAATCAACTAACACCTTCGTGTCTTCGATTCCAAGTCTTGCGAAAGTCAAGACAAATGGGCCAAGTAATTTGACTCAAGGGCTTGGCTGAAGCCCATATAAACTGACAAATTAAATAGGGAATGGCCCAATATCACCTAAACCCACTTGTTGTATTTCACTCTACGGTTCCGATCAAGCTAGGGGTTTTTTTTTTTTTTTCGATTTCAGAGGTTTTTCTGTTGATGATTCTACACTTGGTGACTGTGATGTCGTCATCATATTCTCCTAGTTGTTGTCACCTCGTCGAGATTACAAATGAGCCACGAAGCTATGAAGTTTACAATTCGTCTTACTAAGCTACTCTCTCGTCTCTTTAAAAAACCCAAAAGAAGAAACAAACTCGCCTCCTGTCCCAACGAAGAGAAGAATAAGCTTCACCTAGTTCTTGACTTGGACCACACGCTTGTCCACACGGTTTTTGTTTCACAGCTCTCTCAAAAAGAAAAGTATATAATCGAAGAAGCTGATTCAAGGGTAGATCTGGAAGGTCGACAAAGGCCACCCAAACGAGTTAATCATAAAGCTACGGCCTTTTGTTCGTGAGTTTCTACAAGAAGCCAACAAGCTTTTCTCCATGCACGTTTACACAATGGGCTCTTCAGATTACGCTCAGACCGTGTTGACTTTGATTGATCCTAAGAAAGAGTATTTTGGAGATCGAGTGATAACTAATAAAGAAAGCCCTTTTGAGAAGACACTTGATCTCGTTGAGGCTGATAAGCGTCGTAGAGTGGTCATTGTGGATGATACGAGTGAGGTTTGGCCTGATCACAAGAGAAACTTGTTCAAGATTAGCAAGTATATATATTTTAGAGACGACTACGATCGGAAATCTTACGCGGAGGAGAAGAGAGATGAGAGCCGAAGCAACGGAGCATTGGTAAATGTTCTGAAATTCCTTAAAGATGTTCACAAAAGATTCGAAGACCAAGAGTTAGGTCCAAGAGACTTGAGGCTGCTGATACATTAGCATACAACGAATTTTTGAGTTTCAATTCAGCAAATCTGATGCTATGTTTGTTTTGCAATTTCTCAAGAGATCCTGAATTGTAAAGTAGGTTCAATCCACAATGTTATTTCACTCTTCACTTTTTCAGAAGCTACTTAGAGATTCGGATGTTTCTGGTTCCTTTCGACAACTCTAGCGTACGTACAAGCTCATACAACTCTCTACCAGACAAAATAAAACCTTTTTATGTCTCTTGATGGATAGAAGATCCCATAGCAAAGAGATCTTCTACTAAACCTTTTTTCTTCTTCATTGTTGTATCAATAGGATATTCGTATTTTATAAACATAAAATGGTGTGATTTAATTACCATAAACAAATCAAATAGTAGTTACTAGAAATTCAGCTCCATGAATCTATGATCTGAAATATTGTGACGAACGGTCCATCAGAATATGTTAAAACATAAATTAGTGGCCAATTTTTCTGTGAAAATAGTGAAATGTTTTTTTTTTAAAACAAAGCTCTGTTACTTATTTTTCTTGTTGCCATGCTAATGGAAAAATAAATATTAAAAAAAAGGGGCAAAAACAATGAAATGAAAACGCGGTCGCAAGTCAATTTCTTTCTTCCTTCACTGACACACACAAGAGCGAGAAAGCGAAGAGCAAAAAAGCTCTCAATCCGCCATAGCTGAGCTTCCCTTTTCCTTCCGTCATTCCTTCTACCATTGGAAAATCACCTTTAGATTTCCCTGAAATGAGCTCTGAAGCTAATGACCGGAAGAAGTTTCAAGTCGATTGCCCGGCGACGATAGATCCCACGGCAAGGCACGATTCAGCTGGAGGAGGAGGAGGAGGAGGCAGTGTTGCTGGAGGTGCGAGGTACAAGCTGATGTCACCGGCGAAGCTTCCGATCTCGAGGTCGACTGACATCACGGTTCCTCCTGGGATGAGTCCGACGTCGTTTTTGGAATCTCCTGTTTTCATAACCAACATCAAGGTTACTTATGCAGCAGCTTCTCTCTCTCTCTCACTCTTGCTCTTCTTCTCTTGTGGAAAATTTCACCTCATTTTGTGGTGTCAATTGAGAAATTAGGTTTTCTGATTGCATTTTTTTAGACCCAAAGGGATTTGTTTCTTCCGTGATTTTGGTCTGTGCCATGTTGCACTGTGTTCAAAATTGGATTTTGAAGTGGATTCAGCAAAAAACAGATTATTTTTATTGAGAATTCGTCCCACTTGTGTTTGCTTCAATTCCGATTCGGATCACTGTTCATATTGTGGTTTAAGTGGAGCTACGATTCTTCTAGTAGTGTCGTGCTTAGTGTGGGAGAATTTCTAGGGTTTTTTTAATTGGGTTCTGTAGTTTGGTGAAGATGCTTTCTGTTTGCCCACAAGGAAAAAACATTGGACTTAGGTTTTCATGTTTGCTTCTTAAATTCAACTACAAGTGCTTTAAAAAACTATGATATCTTTGCTTACGTTAAGGGACTTTGGCCCAGATTCTGATTCTTCACGTTACTATACTCTGCATTTGTGTCCGTTCAGATTGTTCTCTGGAATAAACCCCTTTCCTTTATATTGTTGATGATTAGTTTTTTTATTTAAAAGTCATCTTTCTCTTCATGCTTCTTTTCTTCACATTTTCGATCTTCCCTGTGTTTGGTGCTGCTCTTGTCTTTTTTCCACTCTTTATTAATTTTTCTTTTGGTAGCTTATATTAAAATTGAATGATTCCGTTGGTGAGAAAAAGTACCATTTTTATCATGTTCACCATCTAGAGCTATAGAGTAATCATTTCGTGAGCATTAGCTTAAATTATGTTTAAATATCTAAGTGACGAATACTAGGTTAAGTGATGCTCTGCTCAATTATCATATCCCTTGATTGAACAATTAATAATTTGTCCGTTTTGTTTTAGACAAGTGGTCATTTCATTCAGTTCACAAACCATCATCTCTATTGATAATGGATCAGGTTCAGGTTTCACAAAATCCTTGTCATCATCATCTTTCAGCATAAAATATTTTTGTTTATGTATGATATTTTATTCATGTTTCTGATAAAATTTGGGTATGTGAACTTTCTTTACTTCCAGCCAGAACCTTCACCTACTACTGGCTCTTTGTTCAAGCCCCGAGCAGTGCACATTAGCTCAAGTTCTTATACAGGAAGGGCATTCCATCAGAACACCTTCACCGAGCAAAAGTCCAGTGAATTTGAGTTCAGACCACCTGCATCCAATATGGTATTGTCTAAAGAAGTGCTTTTTGTAATGCTTTCGATGTTATGTACTGTTCAGAGAACGGAAAAAATCCGTACTCTAAACACTGGGTGAAATATCTTTTATGTCCACAACTTGTAGTAATTAACTTTCTTGTACACAGTTGAGGGTGGTGTTAACTAAATATCTTTATTGAATTCAAGGTTTATGCAGAGCTTGACAAGCATAAAAGTGAGCCACCAGTACAATTTCAAGGCCAGGGCCATGGATCCGCACACTCACCTTCTTCAATCAGTGAGGCTACAGCTTCCCCAAGTGATCTAAGCCGGCCAACTCCTCCTCGTCAGACTACACCAACGAACTCTGATATTCCTGCTGGATCTGAGCAAGATGAATCAGTCCAGACATCGCAAAATGACTCCAGAGGAAGTACGCCATCAATCTTGGCTGATGATGGTTACAATTGGAGAAAGTATGGGCAAAAGCATGTCAAAGGGAGTGAATTTCCCCGGAGCTATTACAAATGTACACATCCTAATTGTGAAGTGAAAAAGTTATTTGAAAGGTCTCATGATGGCCAAATCACTGATATTAGCTACAAGGGTACACATGACCATCCTAAACCTCAACCTGGTCGCCGAAACTCTGGTGGTCTTGGTATGCCTTCGCAAGAAGAAAAGCTAGACAAGTATCCTCCTTTGACTGGCCGAGATGGTAACCATATCTATAACTTGAGACAAGATTGCACTTACAACCCATGACAATATCTATAACTTCATCTGTTTCTTCTTCTCTTTATTTCTGCATACAGAAAAGGGCGTCTACAACTTGTCTCAAGCGATTGAGCAAACTGGTACCCCTGAAGTACCTCCTATGTCAGCAACTGACGATGGTGCGGAAGTTGCAATGTCTAATAAGAACAAAGATGATCCGGATGACGATGATCCATTTACGAAACGGAGGTATTAGAATTTAACAAAGGATTTAGGTGCTTGCTCTGAAACTATATGAGACTTTTAACTTTGTGCAGGAGGTTGGATGGGACCATGGAAATAACTCCACTTGTGAAACCTATCCGGGAGCCTCGGGTTGTTGTTCAAACTCTGAGTGAGGTTGACATACTGGATGATGGCTATAGGTGGCGTAAATATGGGCAGAAAGTCGTAAGGGGAAACCCAAATCCCAGGTCCGTACAACCACAAAACTTTTTACCCCAGCATAACTTGCAGTTCAAGATGGTAGCTAGAACAGTGTAGTATTTGCATTCAGGGGCTAGTTCTTTTGATTTGTGCATAGAGTTTTGATTCTCTTGGGAATGGAGTTTGGGATATGGAAGATAGTGATCTTAACAGGCTCAACGTAATGGAGATATTATGTTTCGTAATGTTCCTCGGGCTTTTGTAGGAGCTACTACAAATGCACAGCTGCTGGATGCCCAGTGAGAAAACACGTGGAGAGGGCATCACATGATCCAAAAGCTGTAATAACAACATACGAAGGCAAACACAACCACGATGTTCCTACTTCAAAGTCTAGCAGCAATCATGACATCCAGCCTCGGTTCAGACCAGAGGAAACAGACACCATCAGCCTCAATCTTGGTGTTGGAATCTCATCTGATGGACCTGACCACACTTCCAACGAGCGTCAGCACCAGAATCAACAACTCGTAAGCCAAACTCACCCAAATGGTGTCGGTTTCAGGTTTGCTCATGCAACTCCCATGTCATCCTACTATGCGAGCTTAAACGGTGGTATAAATCATTATGGCCCGAGAGAAACTCAGAACGAGACTCAAAATGGTGACATCTCGTCTTTGAACCATTCGTCTTACCCATATCCACACAACATAGGGAGAATACAATCGGGTCCTTAGAAGACAATGGAAGCAACAATATTGGATTCTTCTTAGGTTAGGAATGGAATGAGACCTTGTTCTATATTATTCCTATTTCTTTGTAGAGAGCTGATATTTGATTTAAACTATCTCCACCATACATATTTGTACGTGTCACCTGTTTTGAGTCCCAAAAATGTGTTGTAAAAAAACACATGAAGATGGTAATGCTTTTTTTTTTTTTAACAAGAAACATTAATATATTACGACTACAAACTATTTCTTCTTATGATTCCCTTTAACTAGCACAAAGCCACGGATTATAATCATGCATATGTGTTTTTGACTCGCTTCATGCAATTTTAGAAAATCGCAAAGTTTTTTTTAGTACTAGAAGAAGACCAGCGTGTACACTCGGGTTTGTATATTAAATATATTTTGTAACTCATATAAACAGTCTAAAATATTTATTTTATTAAAACAAAAACACATTTAGTGCTTGCATCCAAACATTCCTAAAGTTTTTTTATAATATTTTATTTTATTTTTATATTTAATTTCCGAAAATTAGTTATTAATTTAAATATTTTTAAATTTTCTAAAATTTAGGTCATCTTTAATTTAAATTTCAAATTATTAAAAATTTAATTAAATTTAGTTACAAAAATTTGCATTCAATTTAATTTAAATTCAAAAAATTCAAAAAAATTATAATTAAATTTTACTACGAAAATTTAGATAATAATTTTAATACTTTAAAATTTCTTAAATACAGGAGAGATTTAATTTCAAATTTTAAATTTAAATAATATTTTTATAAAATTCTTTCATCCGATGCCATCTAAAACATGAAAATCTGAAAAATATGTGCTCCTCATCAGCTTTTCGATTTGTGGATTTAATTACTGCAGCTAGATCCGATTAGAAATTTTGCCTTATTTGCCATCACCATCATATCTAATCTCTATAAAGCCTAATCTTTCCTAAAGTAAGGTTATATGTTGATTAAATATATTTTCTGAAATATAAGAAAGTAGTTAATCGTTTTGTATTCAATATTTTAGTTCACTTAGATCTCCTAAATGAATTTATGTTTTTAGGAATTTGATCAAAGATCGATGGAGTTTGACCATTTTTTTCTATTTCAAAACTGATGTGTCAAAATAATAGGAGCTGATGTGTCAAACTTGTGAGACACAACCCACTCTTTATATAATAGATTTGTCAATGTCATTCCACTTTAGATTTCACCTATTTTGATCACTCTTGTTTTAAATCAAACTTAAAGCTAAGGTTAATAAATTTTCATTTAACTTTCTTAATTGGAACTTTCATTTACTTAATTTTCTTAAATGTTACCCTTGTTTAGATATAGTTTTTTTTAATCAATTTGGTCAATCATATTAACTTCACTTCCATATAGGAAAGAACCAGAGAAGTAAAACAGACACAAGTAAAAATACAGTTCATTCATTAAAACGGGTATCACACGATTATTACTGGATAGTTTTTTATCGGCTATTATGTAACATTATTTTTAACACCTATTTTATTTATCAAACAATATCATATCCTAGAAAAATTACCAAAACACAATGGATTTTATCAAAAGTAACATTTTAAAACTAATACAAAAAATAAGATTTCAGTAATAGCTGACCAAATTTTAACATATAAGCTTTTGGTATGGCAGAAACATGAAAGCTTTTGGTCCTTTTTTCTGTAGTTTATATCTTCTTTTTTTTTGTCGCCTCTGTAGTTTATATCTTTAAATATTTGAAAGTTTAATTCTTAATAATATATAAAGGAGAGAATGCAAAAGATGAAAAAAAAAGGTGTATGGTTCGGCTCGCCACGTGTTTCGGAAGTTGGGCTAGTTCTAGTTCTACCGTCATCGATCCACGAGATGCATCAAACATGAAATCTGAACCGTTCATTAAGTCTCTTTAGACATCGGAAATGGACCGCGGATGCTTACTCCGACATCCGACGTGGCATTTAATTGTATTTAAAATCTGGTTTTGCGTCCGAATCCATTAATTTCTCTCTCCCAAAAACGCTACCAAAGAAAAAGCTATTTGTTCTGTTTCGGAAGGAAGAAAGGCAAAAAAAAAAAAAAGAGAAAAGTAAACAGAGGAGAGAAAAAACTCAGTCCCGAGTCTTGGGGATAGTGAGGTAAGATTCCAAAGTCTTGAGCTTTCGAACGCTGTAGATACTTAAAATCTTTGTGAGCTGTATCTTTCGAGCTTTGTTTGAATTCGCATGTTAATTTGGTTGGGTGTTTCTGTGTTTGTTAAAGCTGTGATGAGAAGTTAGGGTTTCTTATGCGCTTCTTTGATTTGCCAATTTCGATACTTTGAAAATTTATTGTCTTTTTCCTATCTGGTGCTGTTAATTTAGCGGAACAATGCACGATTTTGACGTTGATTGACTAATTTCGAGAGATTCAAGTGAAAAACAGATGTGTTTTGTCTGAATTTGTTTGGTGTAATCTTAAGACATTTCTCTGAGCTGCAGCGTTGTTTTTGGTTTGAGTTATCCATCTAGATCTTTGTTTTTCCAGAATGTATAGGAAGTTGACAAATTAATGATGAACCCTTTAGATTTGATGCCTTCCTTAAATATTTTTTATTTATTTATTTTGTTTGTATACTTTTAAATTCTCCACTTCCATATTCCATTTAACTCTTCTTCTTGTTCAGATCTAAATTTGGATTAAGATATAATTATGGAATACGCATGAGATCAAAATTGAATTTCGCGCACGGTTTCTTGGTGGATCTATTGTTGACCAGCCTCTTGTTTTGGTTAAAGTTTTAAATTTTGTTTACCTGAAGTTCAGTTTTTTTTTTTTGTTTTGCATACTTCATGCAAATGTTTCTTTGTGAGATTGAATTCCTTTTATGGTTACTTTCTGGGTCTGGCTTTAGTTCCGCAGGTGTTGAATTTGCTGATAGGCCTGAACATTAATTTGTGCTATCGCAGCGATTTTAATCCTCTTTACTGATTTCTTATGTAGCCTTTGATAACAACGAGAGGTGTTTTCAGTGGAAAAGATCTACTGAACTGTTTTGACAAATGGGGGAAGACGATTCAAAGGCAACCGTTGAGCCAACAGCAAGCAAGACTACTTCTCTTGAGAAGCCCTCAGAGGATTTGGCTGGAAAAAAGGAGGAGGAGAACGCTGGAAGTAAGGAAACACAAAAGCTTAAGGAGAAGGCTGAACCAGAGAAAATGGAGATAGATGCTGAGGTAAAGAAAGATGAAGAAAAAGGTGAGACGGAAGCTAAAGAGTTAGGGGGTAAGAAAAATGAAGACAATACCGAGACTGAGAAAATGGAAGAAGACCTTACGGTCACCAAAGACGAGGGACCAGCAGAGGCTACCAACATGGATGACGATGCAGATGGAAAGAAAGAGCAAACTGATGATGGTGTTTCTGGAGATGGTACAGTGGAAGATACTGTAATGAAGGAAAACAATGCCAAAGATGATGAAAAGCAAGAGACTAAAGAGACAATTGTTACTGAAGCAGACCACAAGAAAGCCGGGAAAGAATCTGAGGAGGATGTAAAACATGAAGGTGAAAAAGCAAATGGAACAAAAGATGGGGACCAAGGGACAGAAAGGGTTGAAAATGTGGAGAATGTGGATGAAAATAAAAAGGAGGAGAATGGGAAGGAGCAGAGTGAAGAGGATTTGGTTGAAGAAGGAAAAGAAGAGGGAGATAAGGAAGAAAATAAAACAGAGAACGTTGATGCGGCAAAGGCAAAGGTGGAAGATGTAGAAGAAGGAAGTGAGGATGAGAATGACAATGAAAATGTGGGGAGCAAACATGCAAAGGAAGATGAGAAAGAAGAGAGTAATGTTGATAAGGAAGATGAAAAAGCCGAGAGCGGTGCTGATAAGGAGATTGAAAAAGAAGAGAGCAAGAGTTCTAAAAAGCGTGGGAAAGGAAAGAGTTCTGGGGAAAAGGTTCGCGAGAAGACAAAAACTGAGGAAGAAAAAAAGGATGCAGAACCTAGGACTCCTTTCTCTGATCGCCCTGTGCGTGAGCGGAAATCTGTTGAGAGGCTTGTCGCATTGATTGATAGAGACTCTTCCAAAGAATTCCATATTGAAAAGGTTTGCCTATACTCTCCTGAGTTGAGTAGAACGTCGTCACTATATGTTTTCCTAATGATCTTTTGGATACTACAGGGGCAAGGTGTATATCTCAGAGATATTCCCAGTGGTATGTTTATGCTATTTGAATTAAAACTTAAAAATTCACGAGCAACAATTTTTTATTTTTTTTGGCTCCTTTTTGTTCATCTAATTTGCAGTTGAAATGAAATAGATAACTTGAATATTTCTCTGCAGTTGCTTCCAAAATTATGAGGAAAAAGTCTGATGAAACTTTGAAGCTGCTGCACCCAATTCTATTTGGTGGGAGGAGAGGGAAGGTGAGTGCTAATAGTCATAATTTTAGATTGTCAGTCACGGGCATACTTCTTGTGGTTTTTTTACCAGTGGTGTGGACTCAGGTGCTGCTACTCTTATGTTAGCAGCAAGTCTGCTAATCATGTTTATATGTAACTCATTCGTCTTGCTTTAACAGGCTACTCAGATCAAGACAAACATATTGGGCTTCTCTGGTTTCGTTTGGCATGGAAATGAGGTGTGCAACATCACCGATGAAGATTCTTTTACTTATGCTTTGGATTCGTATATAATTGTGTCTATTGTCTTTGCAGGAAAAGGCAAAGGAGAAAATAAAAGAAAAGCTTGAGAAGTGTATCAAAGACAAACTGTGGGAGTTTTGCGATGTGTTTGACATACATATTAGCAAGGCTACAACAAAGAAGGTCATCCATTAATTTCTAAGTTTGTTTATAAGGTTTTTTTTTTTTTTGCGTGAATAGATGGGCATCATGTGATAGTCAAATACGGCAACTTATTGTTGCATGTTTCATCAACACAGGAAGACATTATTACAAAACTGATTGAGTTTTTGGAGAAACCACATGTGAAAGGCGACGTTCCAGTTAGTGAGAAAGAGAAGGTATTTGATGTTGAGAACGTTGTTTATTTTAAAAACTAATTGTGCATCTTGCAATTCTCTTAAAGTATTTCGTTGAAAACAGTCAAGTAAGGGAGCAAAACGCAAGAGAACTCCCAAGCAAAGCTCACCTGCAGCTGGGAGTTCATCCTCCAAACGATCAGCAAAGGTATCCATGCATAACTAGAGCTGGAGGCTTGCTTGTTCATTACTCATAACTTTGAAGAGAATGTGTGTCTCAATGTTAACTGTCCAACACTGGTCCATATCTCTGGTCCTAGTACCCAATTTGATTATAATATTTGCATTGCCTTTGCAGAGCCAAAGAAAGTCTGAAGAAGGAACAAAGGCTGTCAAAAAGATTTTATCTCATTCTGATGATGAGTCTGAAGATGAGAAAGAGGAGGAAGAAGAAAAACAAGAGAAGGAGCAGAAAGCAGAAGATGAAGAGATTAAAGAGGAGGAGAATGACAATGGTATTCCTGATAAATCTGAGGATGAGGCACCTCAGCCTTCTGAAAGCGAGGAGAAGGATGAATCTGAGGAGCATTCTGAAGAAGAAACGAAAAAGAAGAAAGATGGTTCTAGCTTGTCAGCTGGGAAGAAAGAATCAGCAGGGAGAGCCAGAAACAAGAAAGCAGCGGTTGCAAAATCCAGTCCGCCAGAAAAAGTTACACAGAAGCGATCATCAGCAAAGCGAAAGAAAACAGATGATGACGATGATACAAGTCCAAAGGCGTCCTCTAAGAGGAAGAAGTCTGAAAAAGCTACCAAGGCCTCCTCGGCCCCTTCAAAGTCTGCATCAAAAGAGAAGCCAGGTTTGGTCATTATCCTGTTTTTGTTTATATTCCACTAAGATGATCGCTTAGGGTAGAATAAAGCATCTGTGACTGAGCGTAGGGTTTGTCAGATGCTTTCAACAATCTTATTTCTTGACGATTTTGGTTGCTGAAGCTTACCAATATTGCAGCCACTTATGTTTTCTGACACCATGTTTATTTGTGTTTGTGCCTATGCTAAAAGTAAAAAGGGCTGGAAGTGGGAAAGAAAAAACCAAAGGGCCTAGCGATAAAGTGCTGAAGAATGCAATCGTTAAGATCTTGAAAGGAGTGGACTTTAATACGGTGAGTAATTTCTCAACCTTTAATATTGGACACATGTAACTTATTTGCGGTGTGTGGATTAAAGCAAAAGTGGGTTTCTCCCGAACAAATTAATTGTTTGCTTGAAATATCTATTCAAACTACGAATCGTCTTCTATATCTAGATAACCTAATAAGAGCTATGTTGGTCTTCTGCAGGCTACATTCACGGACATCCTCAAACAACTTGGTATGAACATATTGCTTTCAGTCATATCTCTCTTCAGTGATTTCTGGTTTCATTCTGGTTATATATGTAATAAAAACACAATGTTTCACCCGTATTTCAGCTAAGGAGTTCGAAGAAGATCTCACCCCAAGAAAGTCATCTATAAAGGTGATGATCCAAACTGAGCTCACCAAATTAGCAGAAGAGGCTGATGAAGAAGAGGAAGAGGAGGAGAAGAAAGAAGAAGATGCAGAGAAGGAGAAAGCAGAAGGAGGGTCTGCTAGTGGTGCGGAGGTGAAAGCTTAAACTCCTCTCTGATCACATCGCACATACTGAGTTGCCTAATGCCTAGTAGTCATCTGGCAAATGTATAAGTTAAATCTGTGGATGTAATCTTTTGTTGTGTTGAGTCTGAGTTGCGCAAAGCAGCTTTACTTTTGGTAGAGACAAGAGAAAGAAGCTGCATAGCCAAAGGGTAGGTTGCTTGTATGTCTATACCATTTAACATAAAAGCCTCCTTGGATTGTCTTTTGATTTGTGAGGCTCCCTTTTCAGACATTGTCCAGCTTTCTTTAGTTTCCTTGTTCTGTTTGAAGAAGGCCTATGGTAATAATGAATAACTTGATTTATCTTTATTCCCTTTCTGCTTTGAATTTGTTATATTCATATAACAGAAAGATCTTATGCTCATTACGTACCCTTGGTCTTATAATTCTGGAAACATACGAAGGCAAATCCAATCTAAGAAATGCAGGAATTGGCTAGCCCTCAGTGAAGCATCAACACCAATAAAAACCAATAAAGAGAATGTGTTTTTACAGGACCAAAATCTACAGACCAAAAATAAAAAGAATCTGTTCTCTTCTACATCCCTTTTTGGAATACACAAAAAAAAAACAGAATCCAAAAGGATGTAAATGTTGCTGTTACACTCAGAATAAAGTGGAATTTCGGTTTAAGGACTAAACCGAAGTTAGTGTAACTGTAACGTTTAGCACGGAATATACTTTAGAGTTTAGACCTCTCAGTAAGTAGAGAAGCACTGAAACTTTCACTTCTTCTTCTTCTTCTTCTTCTCTCTCCTCTCCAGAGTTTCAGTTTCGATCTACAAAAAGTTTCCAACTTGCCGTCGAATTTAAATGGGAAGTGGAAGAGATAGAGACGACCCTTTATCATTCACTAGCAATCCATCTTCGGCTTCGTCTCCGGTCACTGTATCTGATTACCTCGACAACTTTCTCGGCGAACCCACTTCTCGCTCCGGGAGTTTTCAGAGCGAGAGTTTGCTCGGCGGAGGCGGTGGAGAGAGCATTAGCGACGCTGATTTCGGGTTCGCTCGTCCCGATTTCCGATCGGAGCAACTCGTTGGAACCGTACAGTTTTACGAGAGGCATGTTTTCTTGTGCTACAAAAAGCCATCCGTTTGGCCCGCGAGGATCGAGGCGGCTGAGTTCGATCGATTGCCTAGGCTACTCTCTGCGGCTGTTTCGGCAAGGAAGGGTAGTATGAAGAAGGAAGTGAGTTTCTAATCTATTGATTTCTGATCCCATCTTCAGCTTGTTTGCTGTTAACTTGAATCTCGATTCCAAGAGTATTGCTTGATTCTCATGGATTTAGCTCGGAGAGTTTTATGATCTGGTTCTTCTAGTCTCCCAAAATGAGCAAAAGCCACTTGCTTTCACTTGTTTTGGCTTAGTTGAAGTATCTGTTTAATGGATCATAAAATCATTTCTATCTCGGGAGTGTTGGGATTTCGGTTTTGGTAAGATACGGGAAAGTTGCTATTTTCGGCAATTGGTAACAACACACAACTCCGCTTTTGAGCTTAAAGTTCCAGTGGTTTTACTCTTTTTTTCATGTGCTTATGTAAATGATGAATTTGATTTGAAATGGTGTCTCTGGCGTATATTAATGGATTACTTTGTCTTATGATGAGGCTTAACGGTGTGGCTTCTTATTCTTTCCTTACCTTTGTGCCTAATGTGTTTTATCGCCATTGCTCTGTAGACTCGACTCACAATATGTGAGGGCCATGATGGAACAGAGACATCCAATGGCGATGTACTTATCTTCCCTGATATGATCAGATACAGGTAAGAGTCGAAGTATTTCTTATACTTGCTTTTATTCCTCAACAGCCGAAACTTATTTCTGACAGTTTTATTACAACAAATTTGCAGAAGGTTGACTCATTTTGATGTGGACACATTTGTGGAAGAGGTGCTTGTGAAGGATGGGGAGTGGCTGCCTGGAAATCCTGAATTGCTAAAAGGCTCATATGTCTTTGTATGTTCCCATGGATCCAGAGACCGACGATGTGGGGTTTGTGGACCGTCGCTGGTTAGTAGATTCAGAGAAGAACTTGAGTTTCATGGTCTTCAGGGTAAAGTGTCAGTTAGCCCATGTTCTCACATCGGTGGTCACAAATACGCTGGGAATGTTATTATCTACCAATCAAAGATCCACAGGAAAGTCACAGGACACTGGTGAGTAAGGAGTTACATATTTATTGCTACATACATCTGGTTTTGCTGTAAGTTTGGATAAAGAGATCAAGAATGCATTTTAAAAGAATTGGTTTCATGGAAGGTTGTGATTTTTTTATTGGTATCTTCAAAACTAAAATGGAATTAGAATATTGGAAGTTCTCTGCAATGTCCGAATCAATCATACCCTATTTTTTACTTGATGATTGATATTTTTTGTGTCTCAAGGTATGGGTATGTGCAACCAGATGATGTACCTGTTCTCTTGGAGCAGCACATCAACAAAGGCGAGATTGTAGACCGGTTATGGAGGTAAGTTCCATGTTTCTTGGTCTCGCGGTTTCGGAATCACTTGGGAATTAGTAACACATTCTGGTTATTTCTGATTTTAGGGGTGAAATGGGTCTGTCAGAAGAAGATCAGAAGAAAAGTCAAGAACGACGATTTCAGCTAAACGGTGCAGTTCATACAGTAAAGAGCAATGGGAAAGTGACTCAGGAATCATCAGTTCACAGCGCCGATGGTTTCTGTTGCCAATCACGAGCATCAGAAACTAATGGTTGTTGCCAACAAAATGGGAACAGCTCCTCGTGTTGTCAAGACACAACTTTGATGTTGTCTCTGGAGACCTTAGAAGATAATCAACTTGAAAGTGAAAACAATACTGAAAAGCTTACACCGGGAAGAAAAATTGCAGAGAAGACTTTCTTTAGGATAAATTCTGAGAAAGGATCCTCAACACGTAAAGTCTGTGGAATACCAACATGGTTAGAGAGCTGGGAGCGAGAAGATACATATGCTGCTCTCGCTGTTGTTTGCGCTGCTGCTTCAGTGGTTGTGGCCTATACTTGCTACAAACAGTTGTAAAATGAAGTAATGTGTATTCTGTGTATTGTGCTGTTCTTACTAGACATTGTGTCTTTGTTTCAGCTTTCGAACTCCCCTTTGTTTCAAGAGGGGTTCATGTTAGAACTGTTTGATAATATGCGTCCAAGTTCTCTATGATTCTACTTTCTTTCTGAGATTCTACTTTGTAAGATTCTTTGAAACTGTCATTTATGTATAAAGAGTTCAGTTTGGGGCAATTATGATTCTAACAAAGCTAAGAACTTCCAGCTTCTTTGCGTTCTAGGTAAAGACACGACTGTCTCAGAATGATAAAAACATTCAGAACTTTCCAAGTATGGCATTGACAAAGAATCAAATATTCTCACAATTTCAAAATACTAAACGGATTTGCACATTGGTGATAACAATTTGATCATCTATTGGCAGATTTCTTGCGGAAAGAAAATCTCAAAAGAAATCAAAGTCCAGATAATTATTACTCTGATCAGACTTGACACTGGTAGATGTGGCTGCTGCTGGAGTAGCAGGAGAACTCTCAAGATCAACCGGCTTCGGTATCTCTGGTGGGCTTGCGCATCGAACCAATGCCCAATTCACTCCTTCGAAGAAAGGGTGTTGCTTTATCTCGGTTGCACCACGCTTATAAGCTAATCTATGCTGAGGCTCCTTCACAAGCAGGCTCCTAATCAAATCCCTAGCAGCAAAACTGACAACTGGAGATTCAGGGAAACGCAGAGGCTGACCCACAACGTTGAAGAGTGTTGCTCTGTTTCCAGACCCTTTGAACGGGGTTTTACCAAACAGTAGCTCGTACAGAAAGATCCCAAAAGTCCACCAGTCAACCGCACTCCCATGCCCTTCACCTTTGATGATCTCGGGAGCTAAGTATTCATGTGTGCCAACAAATGACATTGAGCGAGCGCTTGTGGGCTCAGCAATGAGCTCAGGCAACGGACTAACCTGGTTTCCAGTTTCGTTTTTCATTTTCTTGTCTTTCTTGGATTTACTCGAGAAAAACCGCGGAGAAAAGCATGTTGTAGGAGCGGAAATGCAAGACGGTTGTTGGATGCAAGCAGGTTGAGCACAGTAGCCTGAGTTCCTTTGCAAGGTTTCAGACACGAGAGAAGTTGATCTGACCACTGTGGGGCTAACAGTACACCTCAAGGAGAGGTCGAAGTCAGAGAGCATCACATGTCCATCATCTCTCACAAGAACATTCTCTGGCTTAAGATCGCGGTATATGATCCCGAGCATATGAAGATATTCCATTGCGAGAAGTACCTCCGCTACATAAAACCTGGAAAAGCAGAAAGTCAAGAAGATTTAAGGCAAAAAGTGGTATCTAGGATGAACAACAATGCATTGATTAAAAAATTTCTACTTTGCTGCTTGTTCTGAGAATCGCTTCCCGGGCTGTTTTTGTTTTAGGGTATGCAAGTCACCTCCAGGGCAGAACTCCATAACCAAACATGAGAACTTCTCGGTCTCGAAATGACTATACAAAGTTGGGAGGAAAGGATGGTCAAGACACTGCAATATCTCCCTCTCGGTCTGAGATCTAAGAAGCTTTTTACGGCTAGCCAAAGCCCCTTTATCCATAACCTTCATTGCAAAATAACACCTTGTTCCGTGCAATTCAGCAAGATGGACAGTTCCGATATCCCCACACCCTAGCCTCTTCAAGAGCCTAAAATGGTTCAAACCCAAAACACCATGTTTCGTTCGAATAACTTGTATTGCTTCCCATCTCACGTCATTCGCCTTGTGAGGCTTGTTATTGCTACTTAAGCTACTACATGTGCTCTCATCACTGATATCACTGCTTGTGCTTGGTCTAAATGTGTTACTCTTTCCGCTCTCAGCATGATCAGACTGTTCACTAAGTTTAACTTCTCCGCTGGTTTTACTGTCACCGCTTGGAGCAAAAGACAAAGTTGAAGATATTTGATCTGCCAAAGTGCTAACAGAGATACTATGACTGGAATTGGAAACCGATGCTTCCGGGGTTTTCTTATCGCCCTTTTCCTTTCTATATTCTGGGAAAACTCCAGAACCAGACTTTGAGGCCATGAACGTATAACTATCGACTTAGCAGCCAAGACTCAAACTGCTCTTGACTCCAGTTATCACTGTTTTCACCGATCCACTCAGATAGTGACCTGAATCTGCATTGGGCAATACATAGCGCCTGTAACAGTTGTACAAGAGAAAATTCAAAAATGGTGACCTGAGCTCTGCATTGTCTCAAGAGAATATTATAAAGAAAAACACTTGTAACATTGGGTCTTTATAAATTATTAGAACAACCACCTTCAGATTCTGATAACATAAAATTGGGATCGCTTATATAAAAAGATCAAACATCAAGAGGATAAACACATAACACTACAAAGTTGCTATTTTTAAACAGAGGATAAACTCAGAGCTGAGTACATGGCTCAATTATTTAAGGAATTCCAGTTGGAATCACAAGATGAAGCGTTATCCAACAAAATAAGAAATAGCATTGCGTCCTAAAAATGATGATTTCCATATAGAAAGAAGGAAATTTTAGCTTATGGATCTCGAGCTCAAAATCACTGTGACAATCACTTGAGAAATTTACTCATACTCAATTCACCATTTCCACATCAAGAAACAAAACTCTCTGATTCTCCAACTAACTGAACTAGCATAAACCCTAGTGAGACATTTCATGCAAAGTAGATTTAATCCTAGGCTTGAACAGATCTCAGAAAAGTAAGAACAATCAAGCAAAGGTCTTGCCGATCTAGGCAGAAACAGCCGCTAAAACCCACACAAGCAAAAGAAAAGAAAGTACGAAATTAAGAAGAAATACCCACAAATCGTTACCTTAAGAGAGCTTTGGAGCAGAAGATCTCAACACAATTTTTGTTTTTTAAGGGAATTAGGAATAGAAAGAAGAAAATGGATATTACAAAGGAAGAAGAGAACTTTAATCATGCATCACTGAAAGGATACTGAAGAGAACGAGGAACTAATCAACCAACCTTCCTTCCATGGAGAGAGAGACTCTCCCATGAAAAGAGGGGAGAGGTGGTCAAAGCGACTTTTTTTTTTTTGGGGATTTTAAATTTTTTGTTTCCTTTATGTATTTTCTCAAAACTGGAAGACAAAGGTTCGAAGAGTGATGCTTATGCCCTGTAATTTGCGATAGTCAAATTATGAGCAGAAATGTATACTACAAAGCATTAGATCGTAAAGGTAATAGAATTTAGAAAATCACACGTATATCCCGTGGATATTCGACTTCCAGATTTTAACATAATTGCATTTTGAATATCCGATCCGTGCTCAGTCTTTATTGTTGTCAAAAACTAGTTGAATAACCATCAGTAAATACTAATCCATAGTCCACAAATATGTTGTGGCTCGTTTTTTTATTTTTGTTTGTTTTCTTTAGTGTTTCTCTCTCGCTTGGGTTTCCCACTGGCAGCAGAAGGCCGTTTCTTCAACTCCTCAATGGCCTCAGCCTCATCATCGTCATCACTAGACACCTGAGCTCGCTCCATTGTTTCAACCGGCTCATCACCTTCTGAAGCCTGCTTTGCATTGCTCATCTTCTTTAGCTGCAAATCGAAGAAACCAGAGAGAAATATCTTATTGGTTTTGATATTTCATGAAACATTCTTCCATCCACATTTGATCATTCGCAGATAAAAGCTACTCACAGGCTAATATAACCCAAGTGTATACCTTTGCCACAAAGAATCCGTCCATATTGTGTCGGTGAGGATAGAAACGTCTAGTCTTCTCTAAAGTATGGTGGAACCGGTGTTCTCTAAATCTAACGAATCTAATGACATGACGTAACACATTTGTGTCAGACGAAGTCTCAAGACATGTTCCTTTGGAGAGATGAGAGAATGTATATTACCCTGCTTGCCCAAAATCATGTCCACATGGAACGAGTTTGACATCCCTCTTTTTCAGGGCATAGTCGATTACAGCTTCGTTCTGCATAATTTTTGATAGTATAAATCAAAATAGCGACAAAGCAAGACGATGCCAGAGAAAAAGAAAAAAAAAAAGTGGAACGAAAAAACTATGTTAACCAACCTCGAGAATCATAATTGAGCATGTTGAGTAAACAATATATCCACCGGTTTTGGAATCGGCGTCCACCAAATCAATTGCAGCAAGTATAAGTTGCTATGTGCAACAAAAAAAAAAAGTATGGTTAGCAATAACAGGGTATAAAAGGTGTTCAAGCGATTTAAAGCCATACCTTTTGCAAATGAGCAAATTTCTTTATGTCATCAACACTTTTAGAAGTTTTAACTGATTCATCTTTCGATATAACCTGCATTGTGTACAAGAAGACGTTAAATTACGAAAGGGAGCAAAATTAAAGAGACTATAAGAGGGCCGAAACAAAAAGATTTCTTACTCCGGTTCCACTGCAAGGAGCATCCAGCAATACTCTATCTACTGCGTTCTGACCTAAAACCTTGGGTAGCTGAAATGAAAAGAAAATGAGTTCAACAAAAAATGAAATGGGATTAATAGAGTTCCTTAATACAAGTATAGTCTTGCCAGTAACTTGAGCTCATGGTCTACAATCAGTTTGCAGTATTTATAATCCTCAAGCATCGATAGAATAATGAACGTTCAAGAAGCTAACCTCTCTTCCATCATAGTTACAAACTATGGTATTTGTCACCCCCATGCGATGAAGATTAGCAGAGAGTGACTTGAGCCTAGGTACTTTCATCTCGTTTGCATATATTATGCCTGGTTGTATCATCATTATAACATTAGGATAGCCAACTATAAATAACAATATGGGGTTACGAGGAAGAAGAAACCAATGCAAGCATACCAGTATTTTTCATTAGGGCAGCGACATAAGTTGTTTTACCACCAGGAGCAGCACTGTAAGCAGAGAGTATAAAACCTTGTTATAACTATTACGTTATACTAGCTGCGCTCTAAAGGTAATGGAGCATTCAAATTTGGCTTTTCAGTTTTACTAGCAAAGATACAACATGATACAACTCACAACATGCATTTGAAAATCAACTTCAGAGACAACTTGGGTTCCTTTATGAAAGATAATAATAACTTACGCCATGTCCACAACCCGCTCGTTCTCTCGAGGAGCAAGAGCCATCACTGGCAAGAAAGAACTAGCACTTTGCAACTGCAAATACACCAAGAACAGATTTAAGAAAACAATTGAAAATACCCATAAAGTGTAAACCGGATTTAAAGAGATTAAGAAGTCACGTACCATGTAGAAACCAGCCAAATATTCAGGAGTTGCACCAATTGGAACTTGTGAATCATAAACGACAAGTCCAACCTACGATTTTTATGACATGGTTAGCTACATATGGTCCACAAAAAAGACTTGCCAATCGAAATGAAGTCAATCTGCCAACACTACTTACTTTTGACCACTTGCCTAATGGGTCTAGATTAACTCCTCTATTCAAAAGTACATCAGCCAGGTCCCGTCTTCGAGTCTACCAAAGCAAACATCACCATAATAATGCATATCACAACAGCTGAGAAATACATATTTCTAGACACTCCATAGTATAACTAACTTCACCTTAAGAGTGTTGGTACGTATAGATGTAGGCCTTTGCTTTTCAAAAGCTTCGATTAGTTCCATGAGTTCAACAGGAGGAAACATCTGCCAAAAGATGTGAGTGAAAGAATTAGCTATCTCCTACGCATAGCTTTAGATCAAAGAGACGAAAGTGAACGTATAAAAGTTAAGTCAGAGACTAAACCTCAACCAGAGTTCCAATAAGAAACTCATTATAGCCATAGTAAGAAGCAAGATCAGCTTTAAGCTGTTCAACATAATCCTTCCTCTCGGCTCCTTCTGGCCTCAAATCCTTAAAATTGGACAGCACTCTAACAACTGAAACATATATTGTACCATTAAACTAAGAACCGAGAGGGTGATTCCTTAGGTGATCCAAAAAGGATCCAAATAATAACATTACACCAAAATTCTTAATAGGAATAAAATTTGAAAATGTTGCTCACTCTCTTTTATCCTCGTCTGCAAGCTAGGAAGATCTGGTGGCCTACGTGCCTCTTCTTCAAGTTCCTGAACAATGTATAATAACAGCAAAGGTAAGATAACTAAACTCGAAATGCTCCACTGATCTTCCAAAACATACCAACCACCAATAGCAAATTTAAAAAAATGTAAAAGGAAACGAATATTTGGCTAACGCTTACAACCCAAATGAGCTTGATTTGTGTCATTTCAAAAGAGAAGCAGAAAAAGAACAAATTCAAAATCAAGCGTAATCAAATTAGTACCTTTTTGGTTGGTAGCTGAAACTCATCAGGTTGTTCCTTAATGTTCATCTGGAGTTCATCTTTTGCTTCTTGTTGCTGCCTTTTGCGATCGTCATCAATAGCTTTAGATTTCTTCACGAGATCGGATCCATCAGAGTCAGAACCCAAAGGTGCATCATCGCTGCCATCAAGAAAGTCGTCGGTCAAGGGCTCTGTTTTATCATCATCATCATCACCTTCTTCTCCATCACCATCTGAGGAAAGCTCAGAACCTGATTCGTCTCCTTCTTCAGACTGTTGATTCTCTTCTTCTTCTTCCTCCTCGTCCGTAGAAGCTTGAGGCTTCTGGAGGGGCTTCTCCTCCGAAATACCTTTCCTCTGCTTCTTCAATGGAGGCTGCTGTGATTTCGCCGTCTTCTTCAATGTAGAATGCGAATTCTTCCGCTTATTTAGTGGCGGAGTCTGCGACTTTGCCTGCTTCTTCTTGCTACGCGTAAGAGCAGCCATAGCAACGGTTTACAGTTTAGGGTTTAGGTTTATCGCGGCAAATGTTTAGCAGAAGAAGAACTTGGTAATGACGAAGAGGGAGACAACGTTGTTTAGTGGGCTTATCCGTACTAACTAACTAAACTAACTATTAACTATTAATGGGCCTTCGTTAAAGTTATAATTTGTAAGCCCACTAGATTATGATCCATCCATTGAAGCACATACTGTCACATGCGCATGGCGATTGGCGAATAGAAAATTTCTGATTATTGTATTGTTAGAAAAGTTCTTATCCCATCTAACATAATATGTTGACGTAACGTGACCGAATAGTTCAACCCGACTATACATCAAACGGTAAAAGAATATGAGTTTAATTTAGACCTAATGTGAAGAATGAACACCGGTTTTACCCGAGCATTTGACTCTTTCTCATTAGACACTTGTCACTCAATTTCTATCATTCTTCTCACACCAGAATCATTCTAAGCATCTGGAAATCTCCATTTTTGTTTATTTTGTCTTATCTCACAGCTAATAGATTACACTCCAGATAACCAGCTAACAATGATGCGAGCAAAGCAAAGAAGATAAATCTAGTAAACGGGACTAAGCCTTTAGAGCTACTTGGAATGACTAGAACTTCAATAAGAACTTCAATACAAAGTAAAATTGTATTCTGACCGACTCTTTTTTTTTTCTTTTTTGGTAAATATATATTGAAAATAAAAAACCACAAAACCAATCAAGAGTATTCATCAATATAGATCACGCTTAATTCTTGATCCGAAATCCACCACTAAGATATATACTCTGGCTGATTAAAAGTGACTAAAATGCTAGCTATATTGACCTAAACGTCGTTGAGACTCAACATGTTTAATGGAGAGCGTAATGGCGTTTAATAATGTCAATGTGGTTTTAATTTCGGCCACTTATAAGCACTTCGCATATGTGTATTAGTATATCCTGGTTATAGCTAAGTTAATTTATGTAGTATTCGTGTAGAGGTTGCCATATTTCTTGCATTTATAATTGAGTCTCTGTCCCCCTCGAGTAGACTTCACAACAAATTATTTATGCATGCTGCGTCGTTACAAATGCATGCATGAGTAAGTTGATAAAAGCCTTCTAAAACTGAATTCACGTAATTTTCTAAAATAAGTTTTCTAATGACTTTCTTTGTTCAAATTAAGTTTTAACTAGCTAATGCGATTTCTCCTGGTGAATTCAAATTTTTAATTAAGATCTTTATATGCACTTTCTTCTTTAAAAACATGAATTAACACGAATTGTCTTTTGATGAATTCAAATCTCGATTGTAATTAATAGTGAGTAATTTGTCAGGCTGGAAAAAGTTGTAAAATTGTTGTATTAGAAATTATCATTTTGCAGGATATCTATTACAAATTAACTAAATATCATAGACGTTGACATGGAACGGATTGAATAAGACAGTGGTTACATAGAAACAGAAAATGGTGAGTAAAACTGGAAGGGGAAACATGTGTTTCAAATCGTATAACGGACAGATTATGGAACGATGATGCATATTGGTAATACAAACAATGATACAATTGTGACTAGCTATGAAAGTTAAACATCTAAACCGCCAACTAAACTAAAGCTTAAAAATCACTGAAATGAATAGAAAACAACTTAAATAGAATTAATACATATTAACTGTATAATTTTAGTATTTTCTATGTAAATCTGCTGCCACGTTTATCAAAATAATTAATTACAACTTTATTTATCTTTTTATACGGTATTAATTGCAGTTTTATTTATCTATATAGTTTGATGAAATAAAATAAAACAGGTCGAACCGAAACAACTCCGATTATGACGCGCGTCATACATACAAAATAATCCGAGTCAAATTCGGGGGATGGATGAAGCGGTGCCAGCAAGTATTCCCACCGAACCCGAACCGAGTTTTATGATACATTCGTCAGTCTACAATACGTAGCTAACTTCCAAAACATTCTCTCTACTCCATTTAATTATATATATATATATATATATATGTAGAGATAACTTTGTAAATTGTAACTATCGCTAAAATTTTGTATCAGCTGCTGGAAGTGGTCGCCAATTGAATTGCAACTCTTACCTCACAAATTGTCAGTTCCAGTTACTTTTTATTTTTATTTTTTGTCTCAAACATCGGTTACTTTATTAATTCATTATTGGAATGCTCAATTTCATTTTGTATTTTACTGTCTATCCCAATAGTTTACTTAATTTGAATGAAAGTAAATAGGGAGAATAGTATATATGTAATCAAATAATACTATCTTTGAATTTTTTCTTTTTGTTCTGTAATTCCCATAATTATATAGTATAACGTTCTCTTCTACAGAACTGATTTTTGTTTTCTTTTTAATCAAAGCTATAGAACGAAAACAAAAATCACAGCTATAGACTGTTGATCAATCAGTGCTATAGTTACTATATTTAGTATCTGTTTATTCTTTTGGCTAAAGTAGCTGTTTGACTAAGTTACTAAATGTAGAAATCCAGCTACCTTTATGCTCCAACTCGAAAATTAAAGATTTCACGACTTTCGACCCCGAAGTTAAGACATTTTTTTTTCTTTTACCGAAACAGGCTACAGCCTTTAGTTTCAATGAATCAAGATATTTGTAGATTTTTAAAGGGTATATAAATAATTTCATATATATAGAAATAAAACAACGTACGTCTTCACTCTGCATATTAGAGAATAGACAAATCTCAAAAGTGTTTTCTATAATATTACTCCATCCTTTCTCAAAAATATCTTACCAAAAATAGAAGTTTAAGTTTTTCTTCATCTACCGAGTTTTCCTGGAGAATCCGAAGAGAAAATTTCTTCTAATGCCAAGTCATTAACACAGGTCGGTTTGCAAGAAAATAGTCTCGTTTTTTTCATTTCCGGTCATCCTCACCGGAGCCGACGTAAAATTCCGATAATTTTTCGTGGAGGAAGATAGAAAATGGTTAGCTCTCTCGAAGTCACAGGACCTGTGTCCAAGCTCCCGGAGCAGAAGTTTGAGTCCAACATCGACATAGCCGGTAAATCAAACTCTGTTCTGTTTCCGTCAATTTTGGTTCGGTTCGGTTTGATCCTTATTTCTACGGCTATGGCAGAATATTACTGATATTTGACTTGCATAAATTCTGGATTAATTAATATAAAGCACACAAGTCTGTATTAGTTAATAGTTATTAAACAATTTCGAATGGTTATAATTAAACCGAATTTTACCAGGTGAAGATGAAGTAGGCGAGGAGGAAAACGACAATCCAATAGAAGAAGTCCGGTTAACCGTACCGATAACCGATGATCCGTCTCAACCGGTCTTAACATTCCGAACATGGTTCTTAGGAACGGTATCGTGCGTGGTACTCGCGTTCGTGAACCAATTCTTCGGTTACCGGTCGAACCAGCTCATGGTGTCTTCAGTCCTGGCACAGATCGTCACTCTCCCACTAGGTAAGCTCATGGCCACGACTCTCCCCACGACGCAATTCCGGTTACCGGGTACAAATTGGTCCGGTTCGTTGAATCCCGGACCATTCAACATGAAAGAACATGTGTTGATCACTATATTCGCTAGTACCGGAGCCGGAGGAGCTTATGCGACCAGCATCATAACCATCGTTAAAGTATTTTATCACCGGAATCTCAATCCCACCGCCGCCATGTTGCTGCTGCAAACCACTCAGGTATGTATATATATAATAATTCCAAAATTAAATCTTTAGATTAACTGGTTTTTAATCTATACACGTTACAAAGTTTATTTTATATTTATTATTTTATTTATCTTGTTATATACATTAGTTGTTGGGTTACGGATGGGCGGGAATGTTCAGGAAATTCTTGGTGGACTCTCCATACATGTGGTGGCCTTCAAATCTTGTTCAAGTCTCTCTCTTTAGGTTCGTTTATCTTCTTCAATTAAAGATTTACATATTTTAGTGCCCAAATCTTGGAATGGCATAATACCATTTTCTCTTCTTGAACTCTAATCATTTGGTTACATTTTGACTGTGAAATTGTGTGGAATATAGAGCATTACATGAGAAGGAGGAGAAGCGTGAAGGCAAACAAACGAGGCTTAGATTCTTCCTAATAGTCTTCTTCGTGAGCTTTGCTTACTACATAATCCCTGGCTATATTTTCCCTTCAATCTCATCACTCTCCTTCGTCTGCTGGATATGGACTCGCTCCGTGACAGCTCAACAGATCGGTTCAGGCCTGCAAGGTCTCGGGGTTGGCTCCATCGGTCTTGACTGGTCCACCGTCGCAGGTTTCTTAGGCAGTCCTTTAGCAGTACCGTTCTTCGCTATAGCTAACTTTTTTGGCGGATTCTTCATCTACTTCTATATCATTCTTCCTATCTTCTACTGGAGCAACGCTTACGAGGCAAAGAAGTTTCCTTTCTTTACCTCTCACACATTTGATCACACCGGTCAACTTTTCAACACCACTCGTATCCTCAACCATAAAACTTTTGATATCAATCTTCCCGCTTACGAAAGCTATAGCAAGCTTTACGTTAGCGTTATGTTTGCTCTCATCTATGGACTCAGCTTTGGTACTCTTACCTCAACCATTTCTCACGTCGCCCTCTTTGACGGAAAGTAAGAATCTTTCTACTCTGTGTCTCAAAATATTGAATCTTTTTACCTCTACCATTTCTTGTTGTTTCCTTGAAGGTTTATCTGGGGGATGTGGAAGAAGTCGACATTAGCGACAAAGGACAAGTTAGGAGATGTGCATACAAGACTGATGAAGAAGAACTATAAGGAAGTACCTCAATGGTGGTTCATTGCGGTTCTCATTGTTTCCTTTGTGCTAGCTCTTTACGCATGTGAAGGATTTGGCAAACAGCTTCAGCTTCCATGGTGGGGACTTGTACTCGCATGTGCCATTGCCTTTACCTTCACTTTGCCTATCGGAGTCATCCAAGCGACTACAAACCAGCAAATGGGTCTTAACGTTATAACGGAACTCATCATTGGGTACTTATACCCGGGAAAGCCACTTGCCAATGTGTCTTTCAAGACTTACGGCTACATGAGTATGTCCCAAGCCTTGTACTTTGTTGGAGACTTCAAACTTGGCCACTACATGAAGATTCCTCCGAGATCTATGTTCCTTGTTCAGCTTGTTGCGACTATGGTTGCGTCAACTGTCTGCTTTGGTACCACATGGTGGCTTCTTTCTTCAATCGAGAACATCTGTAACACAGATAAGCTCCCAAAGAGTAGCCCTTGGACTTGCCCTGGTGACGAAGTGTTCTACAATGCATCGATCATTTGGGGAGTCATTGGTCCTGGAAGGATGTTCACAAGCAGAGGTATATACCCAGGGATGAACTGGTTCTTCCTCATTGGCTTACTTGCTCCTGTCCCGGTCTGGTTCTTTGCAAGGAAATTCCCGGAGAAGAAGTGGATAAAGCAGGTTCATATTCCCTTGATCTTCTCAGCGGCTGGCGCAATGCCAAAGGCCAAGGCTGTGCATTACTGGTCGTGGGTCATTGTTGGGGTCATCTTCAACTACTATATCTTCAAGAGGTACAAAGCATGGTGGGCAAGACATAACTACATTCTCTCTGCAGCTCTTGATGCAGGCACTGCGATCATGGGAGTGTTGATCTACTTTGTGTTACAGAACAACAACATAAGTTTTCCAAACTGGTGGGGGAGTGAGAACACAGACCATTGCCCTTTGGCGCATTGCCCGACAGAGAGAGGGATTGTTGTTCAGGGCTGCCCGGTGTTCTGAAGAGACTTTGCTCTGGAGTTTCTCTGACGTGAAGGTGAGTGACGGTTTCTGCCAAATGTTTTGGTGATCATAATAATATTGTGGAAAGACTGTATTTGTGAGCGTTAGAAGAAAGGAACTCAAACAATGTAAGAAATGATTTAGAATATGTTTGAAATAAGCTTGACTCCGGATTGTTTAAGCATGCATCTTGCAAGTTAAGAACAGCCAAAAATCATAGCTTTTAACTCAAAGTTCATCAACTGAACTTGAACTTGGTATTGAGAGAGAGATAGAAGAAAATGGATCACAAGATATTATTTCACTTATCAAAAGTACACAGTGTATGAAGACAAATTAAAGTTGAGTACTTTGAGCGCTTTTGCTCTGTTTCTACTTTCTAGAGCCGGAAAAACTCTTAAACAAGATTCTATAACTTCCAAAAAAGAGTCTCCAAGAGGTTACCAATGGAGAATGATGATGAAGAGCAGAAGTATGTTTAGCTATCATCAATTGGAGATAGTGAAAGTTTGAGGCAGTCCCTGCAATTAAATTAGAGGACTGTGATTAGAAATGATACACTACAATCTTGTACATTAAAGGTGTTGCTTTAACAATTTATGCAACTCGCTTACTTGCTTGGTAACATAACCAACGAGATGATCATGTAAATCTTAAATAATAATTACCTCTAAATGGCAGAATTGAATTTTTTTTTTCATGATTATAGCACAAGTATTAATAATATTTTAAAAATTTATCTAATCCAAAAAAATATTTGCGTTTGCGTAGAGGAGAGAGGGAGAGAGGGAGAGAGGGAGAGAGGGAGTTTTCTCTAAAAAAGGAGAAACGGTTAAAAACAGCGGTTGCTGTCGGAGGATTGCTTGCTTACAAGGCAAAAACTCAAGGTTGTTGTTAGGTTTATAGGCCAACGGTTATCTTCTTCTTCTCTGCTTCTGATTCTTCACATCTAAGCAAAAATCCATTTCTGGTTGATTCTTCGTCGCCATCCCAACTCCACCAACTTCACCTTCTCTGAAAATTATCTCTACACCATCCTTTCTTTTTATTATTCTCATCTGTTGCATGCTTTAATCGTTTCCTCACCACATCAAAACGTGCTAGCTCCATCTGGGTTTTCAATTTCATAACAACACAAAACCTTTTTCTGAGATCTTATCGTTTGTTCATAGCTTTTGGGTAATTTCCTCTGTTTCCTCCCTCTCTTCGAGGTTGAGAATTTCTTTACACTGTACATTTTAATTGCAGTTTCAAGAGTTTTCGTTACTTTATAGCTCCAGCTTAAGCCAGTACTGTTTAGAGTCTAGGTGTGTAATCCTTTACTCTGTTCTTCTCAGGTCCTAAGAGAGATCAAATCAAACTCTCTGATTCTTTTGGCCTGAAACTTCCGATATGTGTACCCGTTATTCCACTCAGTTGCAATCATCAGCCATAACATCCATCACCGTCTCATCATCTTCTTCCTTAGATTCCACGACACGGGATGATAACAATCACATGGCTACAGTTTCCAACACTCGAGATAACTCCCCATTGTCGTTCTTGACGAGACTAGCCATGAGAGTATCTAGAGCAAGGTGGTTCATTTTCTTGAGAAGAGTGTTTCATTACCAGAACGGCTCAAGATCCGATCTTGGCACCAACCCTTTCGATTCAGTCACTTGGATGATATCAGAGCTCATCGCTTTACTTGTACAGATCACTGTGATAACAATCACACTAGCTTTGTCCAAAAACGAGCGCCCTATTTGGCCTGTGAGGCTCTGGATCACCGGCTACAACGTTGGATGTCTGCTTAATCTTATGCTATTATATGGTCGATATCATCAGCAAGACCACAGAAATGGGTTTAGCTTCGGAGATATTGAGCAGCAACAGAGAAGCAGAGAAGAGACAAGGTTACTAGCAAAGATTTCTTTTTTTACGGTTCCAAGATAGATCATAGAACATTGACAGATTCTTTATGTGTGTGTTTCAGGTGCTCACATTTAATGAACAGATGCCGAACATCGCTGGAGCTTTTCTTTGCGATATGGTTTGTGGTAGGTAACGTATGGGTGTTTGATTCTCGGTTTGGTTCTTTCCACTATGCTCCAAACCTCCATGTCCTCTGCATCTCCTTGCTCGCTTGGAACGCTCTCTGCTACTCGTTCCCATTTCTTCTCTTCCTCCTGCTTTGTTGTGTTGTGCCTCTCATTAGTAGCTTCCTCGGCTACAACATGAACATTGGATCTTCAGAAAAAGGAGCTTCAGACGACCAAATCTCCAGTCTCCCCAGTTGGAAGTACAAACTCATTGATGAAACCTCTGGTTCTGATTCTGCTCAAGCAAGCAATGATCCGGTAAAGCTCTTATCTGAATTCTGAAATAGTCAAAATAGTCATTTGATAAAGTTACAGATTACACAAAACGGGAATGGAATTGAGTTTTTGAATGTGTTGGAACTTTTTGCAGGAATGTTGCATATGTTTGGCAAAGTACAAAGAGAAAGAAGAAGTGAGAAAGCTTCCATGTTCGCATAGGTTTCACCTGAAATGCGTAGATCAATGGCTTCGTATTATCTCGTCTTGTCCTCTCTGCAAACAAGATCTCCCCAACTAAACGAGACACGAGTCACAAAGATTGAATACCTGACCAAGTTTCCATACTATTGTTGTTCTTTTCTTACGTTTTTGATTTTTTTTTCCTGTTGTCGTCGATACACGGTTACTTGTGTGAGTAGTCATTTTTTTTCTTTCCATGTACAAAAGAGCTCACCAGTAACCGTAACTATACATAAAAAACAACATAAAAATTTACTAAATCAAAAAACATGATCTATGTGTTGCTTACCGATATAGTTTGTTCCTTATTTACAGTCAAATAAAACGTATATTTAAAGCAGTTTTGGTGGCTTTATACTGTAATTTGTTAGAATATTTGCAAGAATTTCGTGTTTTCAGATTCCTTTTTGGATGTTAAGTTGATCTTCTTAAACCGATTTCATGATCAAACTATGCAACAGTCAAGAGGAGACGGATCAATGTCGTATAGAAGGATGAAACGGCGACGTTGGAGACAGCGCATAAATGGTCTTAGACGACGTGTGAAAGTGAATGTAACAAGCTGTTTTATGATTTTTATCAGTCCTTGTATCAACCATCCAGTAAATTAAAAAAAAATTAAAATAAAAGATATAGCTCATTGGCCAACAAACAAATATTCTTGTTTTCCTTTTTTTCTTTTATTTCGGAAACATTTTGGTCTCTTTTTTTTTTTGATTTTTGCATTCTTCTATCGTCGGGCTTTTCTCTCACTTACCAATAGAGCTCTTTTGTTTGTTTGTTTGTTTGGCGTCTTCACCGCAACCACCGCCAGCTTCAACCGCCGGAGCCGCCGTAAGGAAGGCTCTTCATCGGCCGTTGCGTAAGGCTTTTTTCTCTTCTCCCTTGTCTACGATTTCGCGGTCGGTCGCTTTCTCGTAATCTCGTGTGTTTCCCGGGAAAATCGTGATGGGGGAATTTTATTTTTTTTATTATAAAGTTTGAGATTGAGAATCAAGCAACTGATTAATCAATTCGTATTCGCAAGCGGATAGATCCTTTTGATGATTTCAAGTTATATAAGGAGATTCGTCCCTTCCCTCTAAGTTGTTGTATCTGAATCGGAAAATTTGGAATCTAACTAGCTGGATCGCGCTTTTCTCATTTCTCCGTAGTTTAATCACTTCTATGTTCCATTTCACGTCTTGATTCAGGTCTCGATCCTCAGGATTATATTTTTGTAAGATTGAATCGTTTGGGTAGCTTTGTCCGTTCCTCACGATGCATTTCTGACGTGAAAATTGGGTGTTTTTGATTCCTCAATTTAATCCTAGCTAATGTATTTTTTTGGGCTGTTTCTTAATTTTGGGTGTGGTTTTCTTGCTTAAACTATGCTTGTTCCATGAGTATGATGTTTTAACAAGAGAAGAATACATTGGTTAATCTGGAAATGGTTCTTGGACATTAGATTACTCAAAAAGGTTAAGATTTTTTAGGATGTGTATCTGATGGCCTTAGTTTACTTCAGATCTGAAAATGAGGGATCTTGTTTGCTCCTGTCAATCTTCTTAAACTGTTTTGGAATTTTGTTGGTTTTGATGAGCTAAAGATAAATGACTACATTCCATTTTATTCCTTTTCCATGGCAGATACTTTTAAGGTCTTCAAAGCGTTGTCTTTCTTACGAACCAGGAAATGGTTAAAAGGTACATATCTTGTTCATATGCGTATTGTATTGTCTTTAGTTTCTTTCAAGTTGTTCGACAGTTCTTACATTTTTTTGTTTGGGGTTATATAACAGGCATGGAGGGTTTTGATTTACTAGAGATATCATGTCGCAGTGCGTAGACGGTTTCAAGCATGCGTGCACTTCTCTTTTACAGTGTTTTGATATTGATATATACAAACAATCTGGAGGCCTTGGAGACCCTGAACTACTTGCGAGAGAGACAGTTTGTATGCTCTCAGCTTCTTTTCCATCTTCTTTCAGCTTCCATGCACTTGTTTTTGTTCAGTTATATGATTCAAAGGCACGCTATTCCTCTAGTTGATGCTCTCTGTTAAGAGGAGTGCGAATCTTTCTTCTGGCTTTTTTGATGATTGAGTCGTTTGGATGCAGTTAGCGTGAGTGAAATAGAGGCTCTCTATGAGCTGTTTAAGAAAATCAGCAGTGCTGTGATTGATGATGGGCTGATAAACAAGGTCTGCAGGATTTATTTGTCCTTTTCTTTTGCCACAAACTTATACTCCTCACGCATATTGCTACTTCTTTTGGACAGTCTTTCTGATTTTCGTTCTCTTATCAGGAAGAGTTTCAACTAGCCTTATTCAAGACAAATAAAAAAGAGAGCTTGTTCGCAGACCGGGTATGTTTCTTTTTCACCAAAAAGTCTTTGTAATCCATTTGCTAAGGATATGCTGACATCCCAAGTCACAGGTATTCGATTTGTTCGACACAAAGCATAATGGAATATTGGGGTTTGAGGAGTTTGCGCGTGCTCTCTCCGTCTTTCATCCAAATGCTCCCATAGAAGACAAGATTGACTGTACGTATCTGATCTATCACAATTATCGGATGTTCACATGATATGTGTGTATAATCCATGATAGCTCATTCATCTCTGCCTGGAATATTATTTTACAGTTTCGTTTCAGCTATATGATCTTAAGCAGCAAGGTTTTATAGAGAGGCAGGAGGTAAAGCTCCTATAATATCTCTTCAATAGCCTCACTCAAACTGTAAAGATCATGTATGCCTAAATTTCTTATCACTATTCAGGTGAAGCAAATGGTGGTGGCTACTCTTGCTGAGTCCGGCATGAACCTGTCAGACGAAATCATAGAGAGTATAATCGACAAGGTGTGCTTTCCTTTATCCGCTCGAGTCTATTCTCTGGTTCCACTGTACTATTTTACAACTCATGTAAGTAGTTGAGAGTGAAGTAAAGAGTTAATTCTGAGTTTCTGTGGCAGACATTTGAGGAAGCTGACACAAAACATGACGGAAGGATCGATAAGGAAGAGTGGAGGACCCTTGTTCTTAGGCATCCTTCGCTTCTGAAGAACATGACTCTCCAATATCTCAAGTGAGTTCCTAAACCAAGACCAAACCGAGAGGTTTTAGCCAATTTTTCTGAATCGCATATTATTAAAACCGATCTCTCATATTGCGTGCAGGGATATCACGACTACGTTTCCGAGCTTTGTGTTTCACTCGCAGGTGGAAGATACCTGAGAAAAGCATGGTAGAGCAGACAATTTGGCAATTGTGTTTGTTTTCTGAGTTATGTATCATGTTTATTTGTTTCGATCTCTCTAAACTCCAATTTTCAAGATTTTGTTGTTTGCTCTGTGAAAAAAATAATAATTATAAGTTTATAACAAAGCTGTATTTTTGATTTTTGACTGTTCCTGATTTGAATTTATGTTTTCTCCTCCTCGCATCTGTCTACTGTTACTCTGATGTGCTCTGATGTTATTGCCAACATCATGGGTATATGATCGGTTACTACTTTATAGGGTAAGACTTTCAGCAAACAAATACAATTCACTCTACATCCCATCAGCAATCAAAACGAAAACCAATGAAGATGATTTCTTCTTCAATTAAGAGTGACACAGAAGAAAACTAAATGTGGGAAAATGTTACCCAAGAAACACATGATTGATTGGCAGATTTATATGATTCCGGTTGTACACATCTTAGCGACAATTATTAGTTTAGATCAATTAGCTAGTCCCAAAGATATCAGAAACCGATCAAGGCAAATTATAAGCCACATTTAACTATATTTAAGCCGCTTATACGGTCATATGAACCAAAACAAGGACAAAAACTAGTAGAATTCCACAGGAATCTAGTTCGTTGCAGATATGATAAAAGTCATTAAAAAAAAAACGAGTTCAAGAGGCCGAGAAGAAAACACCCACAAAATACTAGTTCAATAAACAAAAAGAAAAAAACTGATGATAGAGAAAAAAGAGAGAGAGTCGCTCGGGCCTGCTTCAACTACTACTTCTGGATTGGTGGCTTAGTCGACTTCCTCCATCTTGCTTCCTTCAGCCTCAGCGTCATCTTCAAGCGGTGGCATGTCAGCATCAGCTTCGCCTTCACCTGCATCATCGTCAATGCTCAGTCCGAGCTTAAGCATCCTGTGGATTCTGTTTCCGAAGGTGTTCGGCTCGTCAAGGCTGAATCCAGAGGTGAGCAGAGCAGTCTCGAAGAGGAGGAGGACAAGATCCTTGACGGACTTGTCGTTCTTGTCTGCATCAGCTCTCTTCCTCAACTCATCCATAATCGAGTTCTCTGGGTTGATTTCCATCGTCTTCTTGCTTGACATGTAACCAGCCATGCTGCTATCTCTCAACGCCTGAGCCTTCATGATTCTCTCCATGTTAGCAGTCCAACCATACTCTCCGGTGACGAGACAACACGGTGAGTCAACAACACGGTCAGAGACAATGACCTTCTCGACCTTGTCTCCCAAAACATCCTTGATCACCTTGCAAAGACCCTCGAACTTCTCCTTGAGTTCTTCCTTCTTTTTCTTCTCGTCTTCAGTCTCCTCGAGCTTCAAACCTTCCTTGGTGGCAGAGACCAGCTTCTTTCCCTCAAACTCCTTAAGCTGACCAATGGCATACTCATCAATGGCGTCGACCATGTAAAGGACTTCATAACCCTTCTTCTTGAGCTTCTCAAGGAAAGGAGAGTTCTCTACAGCCTTCTTGCTCTCACCAGTGATGTAGTAGATGTCGTTTTGTCCTTCCTTCATCCTGGTCACGTAATCCTTAAGACTGGTCAACTCATCTCCGCTCTTGGTGGAGTGGTAACGGAGCAACTCTGCAATCTTGGTCCTGTTCTGAGAGTCCTCGTGGATTCCGAGCTTCAGGTTCTTGGAGAAAGCCTCGTAGAACTTGTTGTAGTCTTCCTTGTTCTCGGCAATCTCAAAGAAGAGCTCAATACACTTCTTCACAAGGTTCTTGCGGATCACCTTCAGGATCTTGTTCTGCTGGAGAGTTTCTCTTGAGATGTTGAGAGGAAGGTCCTCAGAGTCGACAATACCCTTCACAAATCCAAGGTATTCAGGAATGATCTCTTCACAGTTGTCCATGATGAAGACACGGCGAACGTACAGCTTGATGTTGTTGGGCTTCTTCTTTGTGTCAAACAGGTCGAATGGAGCTCTCTTGGGGACAAACAGAACTGCCTTGAACTCAAGCTGACCTTCCACAGAGAAGTGCTTGACTGCCAAATGCTCCTCCCAATCATTGCTGAGGCTCTTGTAGAAGGCAGCGTATTCCTCCTTGTTGATCTCCTCGGGTTTCCTCATCCAGATTGGCTTCTGCTTGTTGACAAGATCAAACTCGTGAGATACTTCCTTGATCTTCTTCTTTTTCTTCTCCTCCTTTTCTTTCTCTTCGTCTACTTCCTCAACCTTGCCTTCCTCATCTTTCTTCTCTTCCTCCTCTTCATCATCTGAGATCTCCTTCTCAATGGTCTTCTCAACCCAAAGAGAGATCGGGTAGCTGATGAACTCGGAGTGCTTTTTGACCAAATCCTTAAGACGGCGCTCTTCAAGGTATTCCAATTGGTCTTCCTTGAGGTAAAGAGTCATCTTGGTACCCCTACCAAGGACCTCACCAGAGGTATCCCTGGTCACAGTGAAGGAACCTCCGGCCTGGGACTCCCACACATACTGCTCGTCATCGTTGTGCTTTGTGACGACAACAACCTTCTCGGCCACCAAGTAAGCTGAGTAGAAACCAACACCGAATTGTCCAATCATACTGACATCGGCACCAGCAGCCAATGCCTCCATGAATTCCTTGGTGCCAGACCTGGCAATTGTACCGAGGTTGTTGACCAAATCTGTAAAAAAGAACAATGAAGCATCAGCAAATACAGTATAAGCTTAGATCAAACAGTAGAAACAGCGAAGCAAAGTTAACATCTCATCTCCATAATAATACTTACCAGCCTTGGTCATTCCAATACCACTGTCGATAATGGTCAAGGTGTTGTTGCTCTTGTCCGGGATGATGTGAATGAAGAGTTCTGGCTGGCCATCGAGCTTGCTCTTGTCTGTCAAAGACTCGAATCTAATCTTGTCCAAAGCCTATTCAACAGAAAAGATAAAAATATCAGATACTCTTGCTTGACGTTAAGCTTACAAGATTAAAGCAACAAACTCATATAATGCACTCTTATGACAGCAACACGCTGAAAAACAAACCCCAAATTACGATGCAACAGGTCTCAAACTTATCTAGATTCGAAAAATCTCAATCGGCCAAAAAATAAACCAACCAAACAAATAAAAAGATAGATGACAATAAACGAAAGAACACACAATGCCCGATAAATCATAATCCCAAGTTCCGAACATTCAACAATCAAACTTGCTACAGATTAGTAAGTGGCATGTCCAATCAAAACTCATCTACTTCACTAAGTGCCATTCCCAATCAAAATTCATCAATGGATCTACTCGTGAAACAAAACAGAACAACTAACACGAAACAAAGAAACGCCTAATAGCAATAGAGAAAGAGAAAGGGAGAGAGAGACGCACATCGGAGGAGTTACTGATGAGCTCACGAAGGAAGATCTCCTTGTTGCTGTAGAAGGTGTTGATGATAAGGGAGAGAAGCTGGTTGATCTCAGCCTGGAAGGCAAACGTCTCGGTGTCCGACATCACGATCCCGGAGCTAGTTAGGATTGTTACGCTTCGGAAGGCGAAGAAACAGACGGAGGAAAACGAAAACTAGGGTTTATACTCGATTGGAAAAAGAGCGAGGCTGCTCAGTGAAGGAGGAACAATGTTTATATAGTGGGTATTGTAGGGTTTCTAGATCCTTCCACCAAAACTGGAAATGAAAAACAAGAAAAAAAAAATGTAAGTTCTTTTTTTTTGGGTCGAAAAAAGTAAAAGCCTTCAAGCGCGTGATATTATTTCACAACGAAAATTCCTGATTTATGGCAGTGCGGGTCCCACAAGCCCGCAAGTTTTAACGGTGGATTGCTCCGTAGATAATCTCTCTCTCACTCTGTGTGCTGCTCAAAGACCCCCAAAAAATCTGGCGCCTCTTCTTATCCAGAATCTAGAGAAGAAGAAAACGATTGACGACGACGCCGATGGCTTTGGAGATTGCTCAACTTTTCGTCGGATCATCCATTAAATTAAGGTTGGATTCTCAATTTCGGTAAACGCATTTTTTACCCTTGATCCGAGTGAAAAAATGTCGCTTGAGATTGAATTTCCATTAGCAGCGTGGCGGGAAAATCTAGGAGCGGCGTTTCTGGGATCACTCGTGGTGGATTATCGTCGATTTCGGCCGTACATCTGCCCAGAAGGATGTTTATGCAGCTCGCTGGTTTGGGTTCGGTCTTGACGCTTCTGGATTTTCCTGGTTTAGCGGCGCCAGTTCCTGATATGAAGGAACCTGAAGTGATCAGGTAAAAATGTTCTTCTCTGAGCTATTTAGTTTCTCTTTGATCTGGATTTTGAATGTTGAAAAGCGTTCGTACCTCAATGGAAACTGTAGACGCTCGCATTGACGAATTTGTCATCTTGGGTGAATGTTCGTATGATTATGGCATATTTCATGGTGTTGAGCTCACAAGCAACTATAGTCTATACATTACCAGGAAATTTCAATTAGACCATGAATTGCAATACTTTATGGCTTACTGCTCAATGTGTGTCATCATTGCTTGAGAACCAATGTGTGTAATAAGGAAGATGAGAAGATTTAATTTTCCAATATGATTGCTCCCTGGAGTCAGTTCCTCATTCTAGGTTTTTTTTCCTTTTGGTTGGTGATCGAAGTGTCCAGGACGTTGAAGCTCCCGAGTGGTGTGAGGATTCAAGGTATACATGCTTTCCCAAGAATCCTGTTTGTTCTTGTTTAGTTGATAATAATTATGAACAGCTTAGAAACATCCAGAGACTTGGTTACATTATGTGAGTTAGTTTTAATTTGTTACTCATTGAAGTTCTTTCTCAATTCTTAGAGATTCTTGAAGGGGAAGGACGAGAAGCTCATGAAGGGGACCTTGTTGAACTAAACTATGTATGTCGACGTGCAAATGGATATTTCGTTCATAGGTGAGATTTCATGCCAAACTTCAAATGCCTTGATAGTTTCTTTCACTCAATTTTGGATGCCTTTTTTTCCTCTCTGACTCTCATTGTTTCTTGATTCAGCACTGTGGATCAATTCAGCGGCGAAAGTGCTCCTGTCAAACTTTTTCTTGACGACAATGACGTAATTATATCTCGCACTCAACACTACATGTAGCATAGCGATCCAATCATGGCCCGTACTAACGAACTTCTTGGCACAACAACAGGTCATTGAGGGTTTGAAGGAAGTCTTGTTGGGCATGAAAGCTGGAGGTAAAAATAAAAATGGAACAACAACAAGATTCTGGTCTTTCGATGAATATCCTGTTTCTACTTGACTCACACATAGCGGTATTATCTGGATCCAGGGAAGCGTAGAGCACTGATACCTCCATCGGTTGGGTACATAAACGAGACATTGAAGCCAATCCCCGAGGAGGTACCCAGATCTTTACTCTTCATTTATTGCCTCCTTAAGAACAAATGAAGTTGAAACATATGTATGTCTCGAAAGATCTGTCATATGTGTTTGTGGATGCAGTTTGGACCAAGACGTAGCCTTCTATCGCACGCGAATGAGCCTCTGGTCTTTGAAGTCCAGCTCTTGAAAGTATTATGATCTTCTTCTTGGGACAATGTCAATGAAGTATTTGGCTGTATTTGTTTATTTTCTCCTGTAAATCTGTAAAACAATCTGCGTAGATCTATCTCATGAGTTCTCTTTTTCTGCTAAAGCTTTTATTTAAGCTGTTTTTTAGACTTGAGTTGTTGGTGAATTACTTAGGAGTAATGTATAGTTGTGATTTGTGAACCTATAAATAGAGCAAAAGAACCAGTTAACTCGTATGAAAAAAAAAAAAAAAAATCACCTAAATTAGCTACAAACGACACCGTTCAAGACAAACTCATACCGATCAACGTTACATCATCGGTTCTCTTCTTCTTCCTGAAAATTTCTTCAGCTGCGGCGTTTACCGAAACCTTAACGTCCACGAAAAAACTCCGATCGCCGGCGTTCTGGTCTTTCCCAGTTTGCTTCCATTAAAAAATATTGAAGCAAGTTAAATAGGAAATGGAGAAAATGGCACAAGGATGGTTTTCGATGAGCGGGAGTAGCAGCGGAGATCAGCAGCAGGACAAGCAGCAAGCAGGCTCGTCTTTGCTCGCGGATTGGAATTCTTACGCAGCATCGAGAGATGTCGAGGAAGGTGGCGGAAGCGGAAGCTTCGGGTTCGATATCGAATCTGCCGTTAGATCTGCCAACGACACTGTTTCAGGCACCTTCAGTGTGTAAGTCACTCGATCTCTTTCCCAAATTCGGGGTTGTATAATGCAATTATTCACGTTTTATTTCGTGATTGAATATGACGATATGAGTATTTCGGTGGTTTTTAGTGAATCTGAGCAATTGAGTTTTACTTTGTTGATCGTAGAGATGCGTTTATGAGCATTGCACACCAATGGAATTATAGCTAGTGAAATGATAAGTAGTTTTTATGCAATTGCATGGATCCAGCTGTGTAGTTTTGTGTTCATCAGGCTTCAAAGCAATTTGGTTGTAGTTGTGAGTTATTCAACATAAACAGATCTCTTCTGGAGAATGTTCATACTGTTTTGCGGAATACCTTCTTTCTCTGTCAATTTTCAGATTCTTATTTCGCTTTAGACCTTTAGGTTGATATATTTGCTTGATGCAGATTCGTAGCTGATATGTGCTTGCATTTTGTTGAGCCTAATTAAGCTTCCATTTTGGACTGACCTGTGAATTTTATGTCTGTTATGCTACGTGCTATACTCTGTGAAGGTTTGTGTTTAGCTTTGGATAAGCAGTTTTTGGGATTGTGTGTTAACCATAGAACATATCCATCGCTCCAATGAGAATATTATCTGTAAATCTCTAGTGCAGATTTTACACGTCTGTGCATCTTGTCTTTTGTTATCAATAATCTTGCTTTTGTTTCGCTTATGAAATTATTGTTCTTTTGATGATTTTGCAACTTGTACCTGAAAATGATGACTACAGGGTTTCAAAGGGCGTTAGAGATATTCCGGGGAACCTGCAATCAGCAACCAGCAATATGCCTTCAGGGAAAGCGCTGATGTATTTCGGTTTACTTCTCGCAAGTGGTGTTTTCTTCATCTTCATTGCCTTCACAATGTTTCTCCCAGTCATGGTGCTTATGCCACAGAAATTTGCCATTTGTTTCACCCTTGGATGTGGATTTATCATCGGATCATTCTTTGCACTTCGTGGCCCACAAAACCAGCTCGCACACATGTCATCCATGGAGGTATGCTACACTATTATCATTCTAAATGTGTCTTGCCCACAAAAGAGTGAATTCCTTCCTCTCTTTCTAAATTTCTTGTCACCTTCTCCAGAGGCTTCCTTTAACCCTAGGTTTCATTGCCACCATGGTTGGTACCATATACGTATCGATGGTTCTCCACAGCTACATTCTCTCGGTGCTCTTCTCTGTGTTACAGGTACTACATTTCATCTTCCAACCCAACCCGTAAGAGATTCCAATTTTAGTCTACATTGAAGCTTTTCAAAATGAGTATGTTGAAAACAAAGATTGGACCTCATCAATGTGTTTAAATTTTATAGTAACCCCCCTTACTAGTAACCAAGATTAGGCTCTCTTGAACGAGTGGCGTTTGCTTATCTGGTTCTTCAACCGGTTATCGATTTGAACTTAAGAAAAAGATACCCGTATCGGGTTTTGAACTTGTGCTTGCAAAAACCGCACTATCTACTGAAACTCATAAATTCCGGTATCTGTTTTTTTTCTTTGTGGTAATGGACAGGTTCTTGCGTTGGTTTACTACTGTATATCCTACTTCCCTGGTGGATCATCTGGCATGAAGTTCCTCAGTTCTGCTCTTACCTCATCTGTGCTAAGAGTTTTCGGGAGATGATCGTTCCCGCCCAATCTGGGAGAAAGAGCAAAACCTTAATTCCGTGGTGTGTAAAGAAAGATGTCAGAGCCTTTTTCGTTTTCTCTTTAACATATAGATTTGATGAAAATGTTCGAAAAGACAAATGATCTTGAAAGAGATGTTCAATGAAGAACCCAAAGTGATCTTCTTTCTCTCAGTAATTTTCTTTTTCTGAATTGCAGACAATTCTCCAAAGCAAAACGAGAATTCCATAAAACCAAGAAAAATGGCTAACCGAATTTCCCAATTCACAAGAAGAATGGTGTTGAACTCTTGATTGCTTAGTTTACCAGCACCTTTTAGCTAAGTTTCTGATAGGTAACAATGTGAACAGACTAGAAACTGAAACGAATAAATCAGTTTTTAATAGTCAGACTTATTAAAGGAAACTTTCATTGCTGCTGAGCAATCAAGTTTAAATCAATTAATCACACTTTTAACGACACTTCAGTGTACTTTGTTGTTTATTGAGCAAATGTATGCAAGTAACATAAAAATTTAATTGGGCTCAATAAAGCCCAATAAAATATTGTTTGGAAGCAGTTGGATAAAGGTTTACCAAAGATGCATAGTCTTTTTCCTTTCTTCTTTGAGAAAACGAAGATGCTTAGTTATGTCTTGCCGTCTTGGTATTTGATTTTTATTTCAAAGGTTTGTATTTACATTTACCTTTACTTGTTAAATTGATTTACCTATGTGAAAATGAAACTAAAATAAACTATAATTTTTCTTTTTTCATTTTGCGAACTTTCTTTCATAAATTCTAAATACGTTTTCCAAAAATATTAAGGAATGTTAAAAATATCAGAATGTCGACAAGATATTTTTGCATATATATTTAAGCACAAAAACAATACTTATGTTTGAAACAATAATTTTATCGTCCACAAAAAAAAAAAAATTGATATAAGTTTTGTTCACATCAATCATAATCATAGTGGAAAGAAAATAATATTTTTATTGGTCTATCTGTTTATTTGGTGCTAATGTTTAGTGAGCGGGAAACCCAATTCCCGAAAATACGGAAACAATGGAGCAAGAACATTTGACGTCTCTAATCTACACCTTACACTACACGTATTGTTTGCATTACTTATTAGCTTGCTGTATTATTTTATCATTATTATTTTGATATTTGTAACTTAAACACCAATGACTCCTTAATTCATTAAACTAAAGCTTCCGAGAGAGGGATATTAGCTGAAAGCAAAAGCCCATCTTCTCCACTAAGCAATGTTACTTTGAAAAGACTATGATTATTGTTTGAATCTGTACTAATTGTGGTACTAAAACATATTGTTTTAGCTTTCTCTATCTACTAAAACCATGGTCATAGAACATTTTTGAAAAAGAGTCTTTTATAAGGCTGTAATCTCTAACGAAATTTTCATGGTTAGGCAGAAATATAAAAGCAGGGAAGAAAAGAGAAATTTCAAACGGAAAGTTGGAAAAAGCTGAAAAATTAACTAAAACATTGTAAAAGTCTTGTAATATGATATGTAACGAGCTGTTTTCAAAAAATATCTCCATTTGATTATTGCAGAATGCATATATGATATGTAATTTCCACAGTTGATACCAAATTACAGTTGTAAAATATGAACCGGGAGAAAAAGAGAAGAAAAATCAGGCAAAGCAAAAGCTAAATTTCCTCTATATATTATTAAAAAAATCTATCATATAGATTAAACTAAATGCATTTTATGAACGAACAAATATTTGATGTATATTGGAAATAACTTTTGTTTTCATTGGTTTTTGCTATTATTAAAAGAGGTTTTGTACTGTATGATATCATCTTAATTGTTTTATAAAATAAATACTCTTCCATATTATAAAATGGTATCAAATCTAGAGTGACTTTAGTCTATATAACATCTTAAATTTGTTATATTCACTGGATCATGATATATATATACATATATTATGTATATACAGTATAACCTCTATAAATTAATACTCGATAAATTAATAATCACTATAAATTAATAAATTTTACTGATTCCAAGTCGGGGCAATTTAAAATTCCATCAAATTCGATAAAATAAAAAGATAATAATTTTTTTGAAATCTCTATGTAAATATATGATCCCAACAAAAACATAAATTAATAATTATATATATATTTATGCAAATATATGTAAATATAATATTCTAAAATATGGCTAATATGTTTGCTTTTACTTTAAGGGTGAAATTTCATTGGATATTATCTCTCTAATTATTATATCAATAGTTTTTATTGGTGTTTTAAAATATACATTCAAAATTTATGATGATTTTTTGATGTGATAATTGATTTTTTTACCTGTAAATATTTTTTTAATGTGTTGTAGTGTTATTTTTAATTTTATCATCAATAATACGGATAATAGCTATGATTTTTTAAAAAACTTTAAACTAATGAACATGTATATTTTTACATGGACAATCCGTTATGGTATTAAAAACTATTTTATTGCGATAGTTATAATTGTTAATCATAATTTACATTACGATATTTGTTAAATTTTAAAATATAACATTATTCCAATAAAAGTTTTAGAAAATTATAGATAGAAAGCTGATTTTTTCTATAAATTAATAATTATTAATTTATAGATAAATTAATATCACGATAAATTAATAAAATATCATAGTCTCGACATTATTAATTTATAGAGGTTTTACTGTATGTATGTTTTGGATGATTTGTCCACTTCTTTTACACTTCTACAGTACTGCCACTACATTCTTGGACTGCTTCTGCCGCTGATACTGATACACCCCACCCCCCCCCACACACACGGGACCATTGTTTATTAGAAAAAAAAGAGCTAAATAAATTTGAGAAGTGTACAGACAAGACCTTATATAATATAACTAAATTAACCCATCATATTCTTTGTTAGATCCAACACCCTCTATGATCAGTTTCTCAATCACTTAGATCTGATCAAGCCACTTAAAAGAGCTTAAACTATCTTTTATGTATATATGTGTACATTTGCCGCTCTCTCTCATGTGATGAGATCTGATCTGACCTAATTGGATCGTGATTAGATGTAGATCTTTGTTACAATATTGTCTTCATATCCGCATTGAAGCGTTTCTCATTTATTATTATTCACTATTTGTCTCGTGATTCTCATCATCAAATTTACATACTTGATAACACATTAACACATATTTCATACTAATAAAGAGTACACACAAACTACTTCATCAACAGATGTCTTAACGTTAAATTTTGTATTGAATCAATGTTTGAAGTGTGTTTCTTTTAAGTCATATGGCGCTTAATTAATGCTGGATAAACAAATCGGATATGCATCTAATTACGAAATTCCTGTAGGCTCATTTAGGTGTTACGAAATCCTTGAAATGAATAGTGAGAGATACTTAATTGTCTTGCTAAGCTTGGATTGCTCGGAGAATGAATATTTTAAGGGAAGTAGAATAGTATACTTAGGGATTTTTGATAACTTTGAATGGAAGCACACGTCAAAAACCTAAAGAAAAAAGAGAATCAGATGTATGATATGTATTCTGCGAAAATCTATATCAGAAAAAAAAGAGAGAATATCATAGCATGTTGTGTCTATGTATGAGTTCATAATGGTCAATAAGTACATAATATATATATATATATAATAAAAACATAAAAAGCATTGAATCAGTAAAGTGGAGAAGCGTTCTTGGTTGACCTAATTTTTATTTTCTTTCATTTTATTTTATTTTATAGAAACAAAACATAAAAAGCATTGAATCAATGCCTTACACTAATCGAAACCGAATTTTCTTAGAATTACTGTTGAAACTGAAATGATACGTGCTGGCTAAATTGGATCCGATAAACTAAAACAAAACAAAAAAAACCATACCTAGCAGAAATAAATGTAATATAACATCATGTGTTTATTATGAGGCTGTATATATGTAATTGGTGTAGAGAATATAGGAAAAATGTTTGGGATGCAAGGGTCCTGTCACCCAACAAACAGGGACCATTTAATAACGATAATCATAAGATTTGTGAAAGAAATGTTTCACTCATTTGGCAGAAGTACAGTTGGATTGCTTTGTCTTTTCTTTCGCACACCTTTTGTTCTCTTTACTTCCTTCTTGTTTGTTGGTTTTTGTTCTTTTATTAATTATTTTTTCGCTTTTTTTTTCAATTTCTTTAAGGGACCATTTATTTATTTCTTTATCAAATGATTTTGCTAGTTCTTTTTGTTTTTAAAGATTTTACTCAAGTCCAATCACACACTGATATAAGTATATAAAACTTATATCATGAGGTAATTTGTTTTTGGATAAAATTCAGTTTTACTGGAACGGCTCGAATTTTTAAAACAAAACAAAAAAGGACCGACAAGATGAGCAAGGGACAGGGTTATAAATTAATTAATTATTTCTTTAATCTTTCACAAAAGTTCGAAGCTTGCATGTGCAATTTTACTCTTGGAGATTCCATGTATTACTTCAACTTGATTAGTGTATACATCAGAGACACCAAAGTAGATGATCTATACTATATTCTTTCTTTTATCTTTTACGTTAATAATATTATCATGGTTTAAAATACCACTATTTACCCACTTCTAATTTCTCTCAAAATAAAAACAGAATCCACTCTAATATAGTAAATTTTATAAACCAAGTACACGTGGTTTGTTATTTCTAATTACACAGCATAGTGTCGACATTTGGTGGTTCAAAGATTTTGGATACTTCAGTTCTTAATATGAGAATTAACACTTTATAGATGTTACTACTATCGTGGATTTTGAAAATGTACGGTGCTTTACTGCGTTTAATGTAAATACACGTTGAACACTTTATCACATTACTAAACAAACAAGAAAAGCATTCGACTCAATCATGCCGCTTCTAAGATCCACGAGAGTGTTTTCCTTCGCGGTGAACGGTGCAGCCGTACTATTGCTCATAATATTTTTGTAAGACCACCTCCAATGGTGAGAAACTTTTAAGAGTATCTCATCTAATATAATACTATTATTTTTATGTAATTTAATTAATTAGTTAAATTTTAAATTATAAAAACAAATTACACCAATTTTGGTGACACATTTTATGAGATTCTCTCAACTTTTTTTTAGAGGTTTTCAAATGAGAGACTTTAGATACCATGTTCTCATTCTCTCTCATCTTTTTTGATTTTTTCTATTTTTTTAATTATGAGAACTCATATGAGAGATTACCAGGATGCTCTAATATAACTGATTAAAATAACTTTTTTTTACAATTTTTTTGTTTGTCTCACTCGGTCTAACGCTTTGAAAAATGATCTGTTCAAATATGAAAAACTTTTTACATCGGTCTAATTTGCCATTGAACAAGAAACTATGCATCACAACAAATTTAAATCCATATATGCGTTTACATTTCTAAAGTCATTAATCTTGTCTCACCATAAACACATTCTTCACGTCAATTTATACATTTCATCATTGTTTACATTTTTTTGCCTCTATAGGTTCTTTTAGATTTTTTTTTATATAAAAATGTAAGATTAAAATAATAGTAAGGGTAGAGATAGAAAGTACTTTCTGGGATCCAAATCTTCCTCTCTGCTCCTTCTCTCTCTCTACTCTCTGTGTTTTATTTATATTTTCCATAAAGAAAGAAAAACCAAAATCCATGGGGTTCTTCGCTTTACAATCCCAACGCACTTCTCTCCTCTTTCCTCATCTTCGTCTTCTCCGATGCCATCATATTTCCATAGACCCTCCTTCTTCCCGTTCATTCTCTGTTTCTTCTTCATCCCCTGTTTCTCTCTCGACGAACAAGGTCAAGCTCTCTTCTCATGGAAGTCCCAACTCAACATATCCGGCGACGCTCTCGCCTCCTGGAAAGCCTCCGACGCATCTCCCTGCAATTGGCAAGGCGTAAAATGCAACCACAAAGGAGAAGTTTCCGAGATACAACTCAAAGGCTTCGACTTGCAAGGTTCTCCGCCTGTGACCATTCTCCGGAACCTCAAGTCTCTTACTTCCCTCACTTTATCTTCACTCAATCTCACCGGAGTAATCCCCAAGGAGATCGGAGACTTCACAGAGCTCAAGCTACTCGATTTATCGGATAATTCTCTCTCCGGCGATATCCCCGTGGAAATCTTCAGGCTCAAGAAACTCGAGACTCTGTCTCTGAACACGAACAATCTCGAAGGTGTGATTCCGGCGGAGATTGGAAATCTTTCTGGCCTCGTCGAGCTCATGCTCTTCGACAACAAGCTCTCCGGAGAGATCCCGAGGAGTATCGGAGAGCTCAAGAATCTAGAAATCTTCCGTGCTGGTGGGAACAAGAATCTCAGAGGTGAGCTTCCTTGGGAGATAGGCAATTGCGAGAATCTGCTTATGCTTGGTCTCGCCGAGACTAGTCTCTCCGGAAAACTCCCGGCGTCGATTGGAAACCTGAAACGCGTTCAGACAATAGCAATTTACACGTCACTGTTGTCTGGTCCGATTCCGGATGAGATTGGATATTGTACTGAGCTCCAAAATCTGTACTTGTACCAGAATTCAATCTCTGGATCGATCCCAAGCACCATTGGTGGTCTAAAGAAACTGCAGAGCTTACTCTTATGGCAGAATAATCTCGTCGGAAAAATCCCGACCGAGCTCGGGAACTGCCCTGAGCTCTGGCTTATCGATTTGTCTGAAAATCTCATCACCGGAAGCATACCAAGGAGCTTCGGGAATCTTATGAACCTGGAGGAGCTTCAGCTGAGTGTAAACCAGATCTCAGGAACGATCCCTGAAGAGCTAGCCAACTGCACGAAGCTCACGCATTTAGAGATTGACAATAACCTTATCACCGGCGAGATTCCGTCATTGATGGGTAACCTTAGAAGCTTAACGATGTTCTTCGCGTGGCAGAACAAGTTAACCGGTAAAATCCCCGAAAGTCTCTCGCAGTGTGGAGAGCTTCAAGCCATTGACCTCTCTTACAACGATCTCTCTGGTTCCATCCCCAAAGAGATTTTTGGATTACGAAACCTCACGAAGCTTCTTCTTCTCTCCAATGATTTGTCCGGATTCATACCGCCGGATATCGGAAACTGTACGAATCTCTACCGGTTGAGACTCAACGCAAATAGACTTTCCGGGAGTATTCCGGCGGAAATCGGGAACCTGAAAAATCTCAACTTTATCGATTTAAGTGAAAACCGGCTCGTCGGGACAATCTCTCCGGCGATTTCTGGTTGTGAAAGCCTCGAGTTTCTCGATCTTCACTCGAACAGTCTCTCCGGTTCGTTGCTCGGTACGCTCCCAAAGAGCTTGAAGTTCATTGATTTCTCCGATAATTCTCTGTCTGGTCCTCTGCCTCCGGGAATCGGGTTGCTGACCGAGCTTACGAAGCTTAATCTCGCGAAGAATCGATTCTCCGGCGAAATCCCTAAAGGAATCTCCACTTGTCGGAGTCTACAGCTCCTCAACCTCGGCGACAATGCCTTCTCCGGAGGAATCCCAGACGAATTGGGTCGAATCTCGACTCTAGCAATCTCTCTTAATCTCAGCTGCAATGGGTTCGTCGGAGAAATCCCGTCGAGATTCTCCGATTTGAAAAGCCTTGGAGTGCTCGACGTCTCTCACAACCGACTCACTGGAAACTTAATCGTCTTACAGGATATGCAGAACCTCGTCTCCCTCAACGTCTCATTCAACGAATTCTCCGGCGAATTACCCAACACGCCCTTCTTCCGGAGACTCCCACTCTCCGATCTCGCCTCAAACAATGGGCTTTACATCTCCGACGGAATTTCGACCCGACCCGACGGGTTAGGATCCTCAACCCGGAACAGTCGCGCTGTTAAATTAGGCATTTCAATCCTCGTCGCCGTCACCGCCGTCCTCGTGCTCCTGGCGGTTTACACTCTGGTCCGGGCACGAGTCGCCGGAAAACGATTCCTCGAGGAAGAAATTGATTCGTGGGATGTGACACTATACCAAAAACTCGATTTCTCGATCGACGACGTCGTTGAGAATCTGACGTCGGCAAACGTGATCGGAACCGGAAGCTCCGGCGTAGTTTACCGAATAATGATTCCGTCCGGCGAGACTCTGGCAGTGAAGAAGATGTGGGCAAGGGAACAAAGCGGTGCGTTTAACTCAGAGATCAACACTCTGGGATCGATTCGTCACAGGAACATCGTTCGTCTTCTGGGATGGTGCTCGAATCGTAACGTGAAACTCCTGTTTTACGATTATCTCCCCAACGGCAGCCTGAGCTCTCGGCTTCACGGCGCCGGAAAAGGAGGAGGAGTTGATTGGGAAGCTCGATACGACGTCGTTCTAGGTGTGGCCCATGCGCTTGCTTATCTCCATCACGATTGTCTCCCAGCAATAATACACGGTGACGTTAAAGCTATGAACGTCTTGTTGGGCCCCCAATTCGAACCCTACTTAGCCGACTTCGGTTTAGCTAGAACCGTCTCCGGTAATCCAAATACCGGAATTGATTTATCAAAACAGAGCAATCGGCCTCCTTTAGCTGGTTCTTATGGTTACATGGCTCCGGGTAAGCTTGTACTCTTATCGAATTTCGGAATTTGGTTTACTATCGATTTATAATTTGTTTTGTTTGTTGTCTTCTTGTAGAACATGCTTCGATGCAGCATATAACCGAGAAGAGCGATGTTTATAGTTACGGAGTGGTATTATTAGAGGTTTTAACCGGAAAGCATCCGTTAGATCCGGATCTACCCGGTGGTGCACATTTGGTTAAATGGGTGAGAGACCATTTAGCCCAGAAAAAAGATCCGAGTAAGCTTCTTGACCCGAGACTCCATGGACGGACTGACCCGGTTATGCATGAGATGCTTCAAACTCTTGCGGTGGCGTTCCTATGTGTAAGCAACAAGGCAAGTGAAAGACCTCTGATGAAAGATGTTGTGGCAATGCTCACGGAGATTAGGCAAATTGATGTCGGACGATCGGAGACTGATAAGATCAAAAGTGGTTGTTGCGGAGGCAAAGAGCCACGTTTGATGTCGCATGAGAAAATCATTTCTCATGGTTCTTCTAATTGTTCATTTGCTTTCTCGGATGATTCCGTTTAAACACAAAGACAACAAAGTAATGGTGAAAAGCGTGAGTTGTCGTTTACAAAGTTGTGTGAATATTTTTCTGTTGTTGTAGCTTGAATTTTTTTTTTGAAAAGTTTTTGTATAATCAACTTGAGAGTAACAACTAAAAGCTACTATGATTGCAGTAGGTTTGAATAAATGATTTCTGTTTCTTGATTTGCAAGTAATGTAACCAGCATAAAACAAGTTAAAATGAAGAGTACACATGTGTCGGAAAAGTGTCATAAAAGTAAAAAACACTTGGTAGAATCAAGAGTTCTCTTTTCTCTATTTCCCCTCTCTATATTTTGTCTTTTTGTTAAGAACTATGTTCTTCTTTTATTAGTTACGTTACGTTTATTTTCTATTTCGTCCAAATTTTGTCTCTTTTTGGATAAGCATTAAGCAATAGTATCTGTACACAGCGCATATAAGTATATTTTTGGATCAAATTATCTTATTATATGAATGTCACTACAAGAAAGATCGGCTTTTACGTCAGCAGATATCGACGTAAATTCGACGTAAAAGAACATTTACGTCGAATTAACGACGAATTATAATTCGTCGTAAAACGATCGTCGTAAAACCCAAATCGTCGTAAAATCGTCGTAAAATTACCAACTCCGGAAAATCGTCGTAAAATCGTCGGAAACAATTCGTCGTAAATGCGACGTAAAATTTCCAACGGATGTACAACGAAATAACTCCATCATAAGAACGACGTAAAATCGATGTAAAATTACATCGATTTAACAACGATTAGGAGACGAAGAATTTCAATTAAGGGAAAAATAAATTTTTAATTATCGATGTTAAATCGTCGTAAATTTTCGACGTAAATCCGACGTAAAGATATTCGTCGTAAATTCGTCGTTAAATTTTTCGACGTTAGAACGACGTAAATTTACGACGAATTTACGTCGATTAATTCGATTTAATTCGATTTTAATAAATTAATTATTTAATTCGATTTTAATTTAATTAATGAATTTTTTAAATAATAAAAAAATTAAAAATAGAAAAAATTTGAAATTTAAATTCAAAAATAATTTATAAATAAAAAAAAATTACTACAAATTGTTTTTTACAAAAAACCTAATCTATACAAAGTCGTAATCGTCGAGGTTGAGATCGACGTCACGAGGAAGCTCTCCGTCTTGGCCGCCCGTCGCTGCTGGACCGACGTTTTCCGTCTGCACTACCGGAGCCGAAGACTGACCGCCCGTCACTACTGGGACCGGAGCCGAAGTCTGACCGCCCTGCGTCTGCGGGTCCGAGGGTCCAGTACCCGAAGTAGCTCCGGTCTCAAAAACCCTCCGTGCTCGCTGTTGCCTCGCTCGGATTGCGGTGGCCAACTGCGGAACCGCTTCCGCAATGATGTCGAAGAGATCATGGATCTCGGTGAGCTCCTGCTTCTGGGCCACTTGCTCATGCCTGAGAGTGGTGATCTCAGCATTGGCCGTAGCAAGCTCCTGGCGAAGCTGCGGATCCTGCGGGCGGTGGAATCCGGAAGCCGTGGCGGCAGGACAGTCTCTAATAGAGCCCATCCCTAATGTTCGGCCCTTCTTCTTCGGAGCGACCTACAAATGGAAAATAAAAACGTTAATTATTTATTAAGTAATTATAAATATAATAAATTTTTAAAAAATTGAAATAGATCATACCTCTTCGAAAATCTGGTCTTGCTCAGCGACGGTCAACGGTACGTGGATAGTACCGTCAGGTGTGGCCTGGGTCTCCCGCTCGGCGATCCGCTGCATAGCGGCATTGTAGATCTCCTCGGACCGAGCGTCGACAAAGCTCCCGTCCTTCTTCCGGTGAGTGGTCTCGAAGAGCTTCGTCATTGGAGGTAGTTCTCCTCCGTTCTCCTCGGCCTACCAATTAATAAACATTATTAGTCAAAAATATTTAATAAATTATAGTAATAAATAAAATTAAAATAATAATGAAATAAATTATATTTAATTACTTACCATCATGAGACGTCTTCCCGCAAAAGATACTTGGCCAGAAGTGTGCGGGGTCACTAACTTCTCACCAGTCACCGGATCGACCCGGTTTTGGACGGCCGAACACTTAGCAGCGGTGGTTTGGGCATGCGGGTCCACCCAATACGCCTTCAACCCGTTCCAACACCAAGTGGACATGGAGCTCGGCTTTGCGTCGTCGCCGTCGGTCTCCCATTTCCGCTTCCAATCGGAAACGGTGTTGACTAGGCGTTTCTTCGCCTTTTCCACGAAAGCATCGCGGACCGTCTCGTTGATCCCGATGTCCCAATTCCACCGTTGCTGCAAAAGAAAACAAAAAATTAGATAAACAATATAAAAGTAAGATTAATTAAATTTAAAACAATTTAAAATGATATAAATAATATTTAAAAATATTACCGCGAAGCACTTGTAACAGGTGTCGCACGTCTCTTGCGACACCTTGCTCCAATTGTAGTGCGGCTCCACGAAATGACTCTTAATGCAGTCGGAAACGCTCCGACCGACACAATTATCCAAAGTAAACCTATGAAAAAAAAAAAAAATTATTACATTAATATTTAAGTAAATTAAAGCGTTAATTTAAAAACTATAAAAAACAAAAAAGTTTACTTACCAAAACGAGCCTGGTTCCGCTTTTCCGGGAACTAGACGTCGTAAAGCCCCCCGTCCCGGTAAGGCTAGTAAATCCTCAACCGTAAACTGGGCATACGGATGAGGAGGGACGGGTACCGGTTCGGCAGCCGGGGCGGGTACCGGTTCGGCAGCCGGGGCGGGTACCGGTTCGGGAGCCGGTGGAGGAGGCGGTGGTGGAGGCGGTGGTGGAGACGGCTCCGCGGTATTCGGAACCTGAGAGGCTCCGGAAGATGAGGAAGGGACATCGGTCCCGGTGTTTCCCGAGGCAGACGCCCGGGAAGAATGTCCGTCCGCCATGAAATTGATGTAATGCGTCTTCCGTCGAGGCATCGTCTGCAAAACGGAAAAAAATTATTTTTCAAATTAATTACAATGTCGATCCTAAATCTAACAAATTCCGATCCTTAATCTAACAAATTCTGATCCTAAATCTAACAAATTCCGAGCCTAAACTAATTCCCGACCTAAACCGTTTGAATTTCTAAACTATTTAAAATTATTATAATTTGAAATAATTAAAAAAATTATTTACCTTTTTTTTTTGCGTCGAAAGGAGGAGGTGGGAAGGAGGAAGCAGAGACAGCGAGAGAGGAAGGAGAGATGAGCGACGAAATGAGGAAGGGGCTAAACCCTATATATAGAATTTATATTTGTCGTAAATTCGACGTAAATGTTACGTCGAATTTACGACGAATTCGTCGTAAATTCGTCGCAAAGTTCCCACCGTACACAAAGCGAATAAGACAAACACACGTGGGTGTATCTGGACTTTGCGACGAATTTACGACGATCCGTGTTATTCGTCGTAAATTCGTCGTAACATTACGACGAATTTACGACGAATCGTATAAATCATTAAAATTAGAACGGCTGTGTATACACATATCGTCGTAAATTCGTCGTAATATTACGACGAATTAACGACAAACTATACAAAACTGATGAAATTCAAAAATTGAAACATCCATAAGGACATACAAGCATGTCTATTCATGATAAATGTGGTGTGTATAACTTTCTAACATGTTTACATAACTTAATGAAGGTTTTAGTAAGATGTAAGATAAATCCATACATCTTGTGTAAATGTATATAACACCTTAAGATTACTTGATAAACACATATATGTCAATTTTAGAATTTTTTTTTTTTTTGTTTAGAAAGTTGTTTTACCTTATGAGATGGTAAGCCATTTCATTCTCTTCATCAAAATCCCCCCAGAACCCCATAAAAGATTGATTTAAGATTTAGGGGTTACATTTCGTCGTAATCTCGATGGTATATTACGACGAATTTACGACGATTACTCCCATTCGTCGTAAATTCGTCGTAATAAAAACCACATTTCTACAAGTTCTTGAACCTTACAATACAGACCCTTATATAATACATCAGTTTACTTAGGAAAATGAACCTAAAAACCATTTTGTAAGTTGGGAAAGCTAAACCCTATAGGGTTTAGGGTTTGCATGTTACGACGAAGTTACGACGATTTCTTAATAATCGTCGTAAATTCGTCGTAAAAGTCAACATATGTTCAAGTCAACACATAAACAAATTTTCAATCTTCATATTATAGAGGTATGGTGGATCACTTGATAAATTTTCTAACCGGGTCCCCAAGAAATGAAAACAAGAAGCTTATATAAACAAAAATTTAAATTTGACAAATGTTACAGTGAAACGTTCAAATCATGCAATTAATTAATGTCAATATATTTAATTAGTCTTCATCAACATTTTCCTCGGTGTCCTCATCATCATTGTCATCATCATCACTGCTTGTCGTAAATTCGTCAACACCTTCTTCAGTTTCGTCCCCATGTAGATCTTCAACTTGTCGATTACGTGGATCAATTAAAAGAACATTTTCTTCAACATCCGGTTCTGTAATGTCGACACAATCATCTTGTTGCATTGGCGGGAGATCTACACCATCAATTATACCCCGTGGAGCAACTTTGACAACCGCCAGCCATGAAATTCCCGTATTCCGAACTCGAGGATATGGAACAAAGGTGACTTGTTCTGCTTGAGATGCAAGTATAAATGGCTCGAACTTATTGTATTGCCGAGATGCGTTTACATCTACCACTCCAAATTTGTTCATGCGCACTCCACGACCTTTCGTAGGATCAAACCAATCACATTTGAATAGAACAGTTTTCATTCTGACTAATCCGGGGTATTCCACTTCAATTATCTCTTTGATGATCCCATAAAAGTCTACTTCACCTCGTACACAAACTCCATAGTTTGTAGTTGCCCGTTGAGTGCCATGACTATAAGTATGAAAAACATAGCCACGTGTGAAATACATAGCTGCAGTAGTTATCTTCGAAATAGGACCTAGGAGCAACTCATGAAACCATACTGCATATGTCATGTCATCATGCTCAACTTGACCTTTTAACCACAATGCATAATGTTGGTCTTTTCGCTTGTTAATTTCATCTTCTGAAACACCGTCAATGCATTCTCGGACTTGACTGACGAAAGTGCTGAAATTTTAATACATTGTTAATGACATTTCGCATGTTCAATATATCAAATTTTAATCATACATGGTTATAATTATGTACCTCTCGTAAGGTGCCAATTCCTCGCAATTCAGAAGTATATATGTATGTGCGCTGTGGTAGTCTTGTTCGTTTGACCAACGGGTTTCTTTCAGTTTCCCACTTAGACGTCCAATTGGTGAGAATATATCAGGCACACATTCTACTGCGTAACTTTGTCCTACACCCCCATCGTCGTAACGTCTTGGAGCCCGTTTGCGTGTACGAACCTTTGGAGCAAAGTAATAAGACGTGAAATGAGAAGTCTCTTCTGTCAGACTTCCCGCCACGATAGACCCTTCAACTTTTGCTAAGTTTTTGGCCTTACCCTTCAAATGCTTCATAAATCGTTCAAACGGATACATCCACCTAAACTGAACAGGTCCTCCCAACTCTGCTTCATGAGGGAGGTGTACAGGTAAATGTTCCATAACATCGAAGAAAGCAGGTGGGAATATTTTCTCTAAATTGCACAACAATATTGGAATATTTGTAGACAGTTGTGCAACTACATCTTCTGATAATGTCCTTGTACTTAGATCACGGAAGAAAGCTCCAATGCCTCCTAGTGCCTCATGGACATGTCCCGGTAGGAGTTCAGCAAACGCAAAAGGAAGTAACCGTTGCATAAACACATGACAATCATGACTTTTCATCCCTGAAAACTTTTGTCCTTTATCCACAGATTTAGCCAGATTAGATACATATCCATCAGGAAATTTCACGGCTGATGATACCCAATTAAACAAAGCTGTTTTTTGTTCAGCACCCAACCGAAATACAGGAACAGGTGCTTTCCCATTACTCACCATATGCAACTCAATTCTGTTACATATATCGGGTAAGTCCATCCGTGATTTAACGCTGTCTTTGGTTCTTCCTTAGACGTTCAAAACAGTATGCATGATGTTATCGAAAAAATTCTTCTCAATGTGCATAACATCAAGATTATGTCTAAGCAAATGATCTTTCCAGTAAGGCAGATCCCAAAATATACTTTTCTTGTGCCAATTATGATGAACCCCATATCCGTCAGGCATATTCGCAGGAGTGTGCCAATTTCCTCCAAGGGGGACCGTTTCAAGTCCACCCCAATGATCTATTTGCGCTTCAAGCTCTACTCCAGTTAGGTACACTGGTGGAGGGAGACGAACCAATTTGTTCTTTATAAACAAACGCCTATTTCTTCTATATTGATGGTTTGGTGGTAAAAACCGACGGTGGCAATCAAACCAACAGGTTTTCCTACCATGTTTAAGCTGAAATGCATCAGTCCTATGAAGACAATAAGGACATGATAACCTCCCATGCGTTGTCCAACCTGATAGCATTCCGTATGCCGGAAAATCGCTTATTGTCCGCATAAGCACCGCTCGCATCGTAAAATTTTTACCACTCGAACAATCATATGTTCGTACTCCAACATGCCACAACTGGTTTAACTCATGTATGAGTGGTTGCAAAAACATATCAAGTGCCCGCTTCGGGTGATTTGGACCAGGGACTAATATACTTAGAAACAAAAACTCTCTTTGCATGCACATATCTGGAGGAAGGTTATATGGCGTAAGAATCACAGGCCATAATGAATATTGCCTACCAGACATACCAAATGGACTAAACCCGTCAGTGCAAAGACCAAGATAAACATTTCGCTTAGACCTAGCAAAGTCTGGATGTACGGTGTTAAAATGTTTCCAAGATTTCCCGTCAGACGGGTGAGTCATTTTGCCATCTGTTTGTGAATGTTCTGCATGCCATCTCATCGACGCAGCTGTCCGTTCGGATTGATATAGTCTTTTTAACCTATCAGTGATAGGAAGATACCACATTCGTTGGTAAGGAATCTTCTTACGCCCAGCAATTTGTGGTCTATATCTTGGCTTTTGGCAGAAACGACATTCTTCAAGCTTCTCATCATCTCTCCAAAAAAGCATACAATTATCAACACAAACATCAATCATCTCAGAAGGCAATCCAAGACTAAAAACCAGCTTCTGAATTTCATAATACGTTTCAGCAGCCAAATTATCATCTGGCAAATACTCTTTAATAAGATCTGCCCAATCGTTCATGCAAACTTCAGATAGATTGTGATCTGTTTTTATTGTCATCATCCGAGCTGCCAATGATAATTTTGATAAACCTTCCCTACATCCCTCGTACAGAGGCTGCTTTGCTGCGTTTAACATATCATAAAAGCGTTTCGCATCTGCATTGGGCTCCTCAACAGTATCAGCATGTGTTTCATGAAATGCATCAGTAATCATTTCATGCATCCTATCATGATCTTCACCCTGAACTTGACTACTTTGATAATCATTGGACGCTACAAAATCCACATGTTCTTGATGATTACTAGTACTCCGTGCAGCCATCTGACCACTACTTTGACCATATCCCTCTCCATGCTGATACCAAATAAAGTATTGGGGCATGAACCCTCTATTCAATAAATGCTGCCAGACAGTGTCAATAAGAATATGTTTCCTATTTTTGCATTTCACACAAGGACAATACATTTTGCCGCTTTCAATTACAGTTTCCAGAAGGCCGGCTTGGTACATGAATATTTCCAATCCGTTTTTGAAGTCTTCAGTCAACGACCCATCACTATTTTTGGGCGTATACATCCACTTTCGTAGATCGTATATAGACATTTCAAAAACAAATATTTGACTTTTTGTTTCTGAAATTTGATAGAAATTTCAACTACTAAAAATTTTACTTAAACATTCAAAGACTCAAAAAATTTGTGTCTTTATATGTTTTTTTGGGTTGATGGAATAATGAGAGAAGAAGGGGTATATATAGAATTTTTTGTTTGGTTACCAACATATTACCATTGCATTTTTACATGAAATTTACGTCGAAATAAAATTTACATCACATTTACATTGATTTTACGTCAATTACAAAATAGAGGACAATTCGTCGTATTATCGATGTAAATATTACGACAAGATTACGACGAAATAAAATTCGTCGTAATCTTGTCGTAATATCGGTCGTAACATTACGACGATTTTACGAGGGTTATTTTTTACGTCGAATTTACGACGAAATTTTTGATCGTCGTAAATACGACGTAATGTCGTCGTAAATTTACGACGACTACAAATCGTCGTAAATAATTCGACGGAAAAGCCCCTCTTTCTTGTAGTGTGTGGATGAATATAAATAAGTAGCATAGTTATCATCAAGGAAATTAAATCTTGAGTTTTTGGTCCACAAATTTTTCAATATCTGACCAGCCATTGACAAGTACATGTGACAATTCCATTATTCAAGTGTCATTTTTCCTATATCAACAATAAATTAGTTAGATCGGAAGTCGTTTGAGAAATAAGTTGTGTATCTTTCTAATTAAATACGACGTGGCTCTAAAATTCGATAATATGAAATGAAACATGTGAGTCCAAGATATTCATGTGTATATAGACGCATACTCTCTAGCTAGATCTTCGGTAAATATTTATTAGGAAGTTTGGGCTCATTGAGGTTTATCTTTTCTAAGACCTGCGATGTTCCATGTTGATTGCAGCGATTTGTGTGATTCAATCGCGGATCTTTTGTTGATGTTTTACTCACCCGGATGACCCGTTGAGCTACCAAATTAAATTGTTTTTTTGGTAAAGCATATTAATATTAACATTACAACTTTCTTTCATTTATGTATTGGAGCTGTTCCATGTTAATTGCGGGGATTAGGGAACATTACGTAGATGTTAACATTTTTTTTAATATCTATATATGTGTGTTGAGACTTATATTAACATACATAACTCAATAAAATATATACTTTAATTTAATCAAGGAAATTTGAAAAAACGAAGAGCCAAGGAAAGAATGATAAATTTGGTTTTACATAAAAATTATTGAGATTTGCGAAGGGAGTATTTGGAGTTACATACGAGAAAGATTCGTATTTCGTTTTGTTTTTGTCGTTGTTTGCTTGTTAATTTTGATAATTTGTTAAATTGCGAAGAAGAATAAGAAGAAGAAGAAGAGAGGCTTAAGACAGAAGCGATTGGATCACGTGGACCCTTGCACCACCCTCATCACATGAGCATGTGCTGTCTCGATAACAATTACTTTCCAGCCAAAATAACACTAATTTTATGAAAATTAATGTTAATAATCGTACAAAACCAAAAAATCATCAAGGTTAACAAACAAACAACGTGATCCACTCGCTTATGTCTTACTCTACGTTCAACTAACATTCTTATGAGGGATGACCCTAATTTTATAAAATTATGTTATGGAAAAAAGTCAAATATTTAATTTTATAGAATTTTCAACCAAACAATTCTGTAGAAAATTCTAAAATTATGTATAAGATCATCTTTAACGGTAGTATCTCAATATGAGTTTTTCATTTTAAGTGTGAACATAATTTATAATGTGAACACAAATTTAATTGAAAAATATTTTGAGTGGACAAATCATAAAGAGACAAGTGTCAAATAAGTCTCTCATAAAAGTTTTATAATTTCTAAAACTAGAATCGGTTTTCAGCCTTTCTCTTACTTTTTTAGTATTTTCATTATTTTATTAATGAGAAACTCTCCTAAATACCACCATTGCAGATGGTCTAAGTCTCTCAGGTAAAGCGAATTATTTGTGAAAACTCCCCGAGTAAAAAAAAAAATTAAAAAACAAAAAGAAAACTCCCCGTGTAGGACCCACTTAGAGATATTACCGAACTTTTGAACAAACCGTTATGTCATGGCGCGAAAATATTTAAAGAAACCATCACAAGAGGGCATAGAGACACAGCTTAATAACATCACGCAGTTTGGTCAAACGCTAAACCAAATCGAAATACATTTAAACAGTTAAAACGCCAACGAAACATTTCATATATACCCAAACCGCATCAGAATCAACTAGTACTTGTATCCTTTGACAAACAAGCTCTCTGAGGCGTTTGAGTCATCGGAAGCCCCGCCAGTGTATTTCCCGAGGGTAGCGTCCGAGTTGGCCTTGCACCTTGTCAAGAACGTGGCCTGAGCTTTGGCTACGTTCTCGGTCTTCCCGGCCCAAGCCTTGAGTGTGCTTTGCTGGAGGGCTCGGCCAAAGGAGAAAGTGAGCGTCCATGGCTTCAACACATCGAGCTTGTTCATCGCGTTCAGATTCAGCGTCGCTTCCTCTTCGCTCTGTCCACCTGAGAGGAACACGATTCCTGGCACCGCTGGTGGGACCGTGCGGCGGAGAGCTGTCACCGTGTGTTCCGCGATCACTTCCGGTGTAACCTGTTAAAAGCCGGCTTTAGTGTAATCGAATCAAATCAAACCAAACTGAACCTTAAACCAAACTGTATTTGGTTTTCAGTTTCACTGAAACCAAAAAGTCGAGAACACTGAAGTAAATAACCAAACCGGATTCGCTACACTTAGTTTGGTTACCTTTGGGCTGTCGGAGCCGGGAGTGACCATGTTGGGTTTAAGCAGAGTGCCTTCGAGGAGGACGTGGTGGTCGTTCAAGGCCTTGTACACAGCAGCAAGAACCGTCTCGGTCACCGCCGCACATTTCTTGATGTCGTGGCTCCCATCAGTCAGCACCTCTGGCTCGACGATCGGAACCAGTCCGTTCTCCTGGCAGATGATGGCATAACGAGCCAGCCCCTTGGCGTTCTCTTGGATGGAGAGCTCGCTTGGCTCGGTGTCCCCAATCTTGAGGACAGCACGCCATTTGGCAAACCGGGCTCCTGCTTTGTAATACTCCTGGCAACGTGCACCAAGCGAGTCTAGACCCTGTGTAGTGGTCTCGCCATTGGTCCCTGCTAGCTCAACCACACCCTTGTCCACTTTGATTCCGGGGATAACTCCGTTCTCCTGATACAGAAAAAGAATCAGATTAAGTTTCATTTGAGTCATGTCAAGAGCTTCAACTATGCAACTCTTGAACACAATGATTAAGACTAGAGCTGGAGTTTGGTTTCTCCGGGACGGACCAGGAGGAAGTCGACGAAGGGTTTGCCATCAGTGGTTTTCTGGTAGAGGGTTTCTTCGAAGAGGATAACACCGGAGAGGCAAGGTAGAGCGTCAGGGGAAGTGAAGAGGAGCTCACGGAGAGCTTGGCGGTTGGACTCAATGTTCTCAACATTGATGCTGGAGAATCGTTTCCCGATGGTTCCTGTGCTCTCGTCTGCCGCCAAAATACCTTTTCCCGGTGTTGCAATGTACTTGGCCGTCTTGATCAGCTCATCTGAACTCAGAAAGCACGTAAGAGAGAAGCTGACGAGACTGAAACGCGAAGAGTTGTTAAGAGAGAAGAGTGCATGTTAAGTGTATGTACCTGCGTATTTGCCGACAAAAGCAGACATGGTTACTTTTTGGAGTGCAGGAGAGATTTTGCTGAAGGACGAGGAGGCCAAGACAAAGCCTTAAGTACCTGCAAGTTTTGATTATATATAGGTAATATCTACGAGGAATATACTGTTCGAATTCTGACATACGTGTCAGAAGGAGAGCCCGAGGAAGATTATCAACCTCAGATAAAGCAAATGGGTGATAGCTTCTACTACCAAATGGCAGCCAATGATCCCAGCTTTATCCCCAAAGTCTTGGATATGTGGAGAAGAGAAAGAGATAGGTACAAAACAAAATCAGAGTCTTTTGTATAGTACCTCTCTCACACACTTTAACCACACGTGTGTCCATCCAAACTTACAAACACAAACAAGAGATATTTTTGGACGTTGAAGCCAAGAGTTCCAAGGATATTTATACATGCCATGGTACATAGGAGTTGCAGATGGAGTAGTTCCAAGGATAATTATATATGGTTATGATACACAGGAGTTGCAGAGTACCCAGTCCCGAGTTCGATCAACCCCTCACTTGGGAATTCATAAGTGAATCAAAACTGTTCCCAAGAAGAACTTGAGGGGGATTAAATGGAAATAAACATAGTTAAAGGGAATTCATTCGATAGTTTGTGTAGCGGTTGTAGCGGATAGGATGTTGAATGCATAGATAAACTGCACTGCAGGCCATGGAAGGGACAACTAATGCTGTAGGACCACAGTGTCCTAGTCGTCGTCTGTGCCAAAATATCGGTCCCCAAACTCGCCCATTCCAGGAATAACACGAAACTCTTCGTTTAATCCATTTTCGATTTCAGATGTCACTATCTTCATTCTTGGAAATCTTCTGCAGACCACATGAACACCTTGAGGTGCCTGGTTAAACAAAGAGAAAACAAAATATCTCAATCCAGCTCCATTCTTTGGATAAACATGGATAAGGAGTAACCACAAGGGGTATAGATGATATGCTAAGGGTATGTGTTAGCTTACCGAGATAAGGTTTAGAAATACTATGTTTCCCTCGGGTACACCCTTGCTTATAAGGAGATTGATAGCTTGAACTGCGGAATTTCCTGAAAAGATGTTCAATTTTAGTGTCATCAGGTACTCAAAAGGTCTTGTACTGACAAACCGTGTGCAATAGAGCGAGAAAAATAAGGAATTAAAGTGTTTTCAGTGATGAAGAAAGACGGTTTAATCACCTGTGCCGAGAATAGGATCCAACAATAGGACGTGCCTCTCCGAGATATCATTTGGCAGTTTCTCATAGATGAGCTGCAGAGTGACTTAGACATCAAGTACCGGTGAAAGAAAACCCCTGAGATGCAATAGGAGTGACTCGTTTACCTGTTGACCATTGTCGCCTTCTCTGTGAATTAGGATCTTCCCGATCTTGATACCTTTGCAACATGCTCGCAGTGCATTCTCCATGCTCTCACCGCTAGCATTATTTCAAAACCGTCAAGGTGGTGAGAGAATGAGATATGTAAGGAGCCAGAGTTTCTCTTCAATTAAAATTAGGATAACGGAAAGTACCTCCTAATCACAGAGACACCACACAACCGTTTACAGAAATCCACACCAGAATATACACATCCTGAAACAGGTGACGGGGATATCTATGATCAAGTAATCATTGTGTTTAACCACTACATCTACACATAAAGAATCTTGTGAATTCACTAACAACATTGGACAACAGAAAGATCATTCCCATAAGCGTACCGGTTGGAGTAGTCACTTGCTTTTCAGTAAAAGGAAGATGTCCAAGACCATGTTCTACGACCTGATACATGTAAAAAAACAATCACACAACGGAAAAGACATAGGACAGGGAAATTTGTTCAACCATTTGACAGAGCTTTAGTAATCCAACCAGCCGAATCAATCGATCAGAATAAAAGACAAAATCATGTTTGGTTGTCTGAGAATCACGTATAAGGGTGTGCATCCCTCTTATCTGCAAGAGAAAGCAGTATGTAGTGAAAGTTCTATTTGGTGATTAAGAGAATACCAAATGCTGTACTTGTAGTTCGATGAGAAAGATATATTAATTACCTGAAATGTTGACTGTATAACATAGAGATTAGGATATATTTTACATAGATCATGTTGACCCAGCTTGGTGCAAATATGTTGCACAATTAAGTCAATAGCTACATGGTTATCCCCACCACGAGGGATTATAATATCTGCATATTTCTTCGTCGGAAGAATGAAGTCATCAAAAGCAGGCTTCACAAACTTTGAGTACTGCATTAAAATATTGACATCAATATAACATATCGGCAGAAAACATATGGATTTCAAAACTTGAAACTAATATGGTTATGAGAGCAACGGAATATTCAAAGTGCCATACGCAAACCATTTCTCATTGTTCTTGAGGATAATATATGCAGTAACAAAACTAACAAAAGCTAACCTGGTCAAGTACTGTGCCGATATCTCTACCATTCTCGACAGTATCTCTTCTTATCCTTCTTGCCAGACGAACGTCAGCATCTGCACATGAATAAAAATTGCAATGTGAAATAGCTGAATTGCTAATTTTAAAACATAGAGCATTTCTTAAGTTTAAGAAGTTGTTCCTTCATGTGGAGCCTTTCTAGCAGAAAAAAACAATTGAGGCTTTAAAAGGAAATAGAATGTAGTATACACAAGAGATTACAGTAATTATCATGGGAAGAAGCAACAAATGACCTGTACAGACAAAAATCTTCATGTTCATCAATTTTCGGACGCGTGGATCATGGAATAAAAGTATCCCTTCAAGAATTATTACATCCGTAGGATTTACCTGCAGATTTACATCTTTCAAAATCAGAGCATTGATAAGATAAAATATGTAAATCCGCCTAGATCCTTAACCAGATAAAAAAGCCAGTGACGACATCTAGGACATTGCTATTGTCACAGGAAGGGACAGCAAGAAAATGAAAAAGGCATCTCAAATATCCATCACTATCCTAAGATCATTGATATCAATTAGTACATAATATGAATTATGAGTGATGCTGAGAAGGAGATGGTACCCTTCTGAAAACACTGCTTTTGTAAGTTTTGAAATCGTATTTTGGAATATCTACAGCTTCCCCTTGCCTCAATTTCTCCATACAAGACAACAAATGCTCTGTGTCAAATGCGTCTACAGAAACAATAATAAATCATTAGAATCAAGATCAACACAAGTATACGGAGGGTGACAAAGAGTACTACGTAAATTTTTGCTCATAATTCCCACCAACCACCAACTAGTAAGGTAATGTCAGGGATGAAATTCCTATAAAATCACGAGATATATAATAGAGAATACACCAATCACTGGATGTCACTGAAGAATATGGGTGTTGGTTATGCCTTAATGATCCCAAAGAAGACGGGAAATACAGTATCCTTTTGAGACTTTATTAGTTGACAAGAGCAGATTATGGGAAATATAGCAGCCCCATTCCAAATATATTCTCACCCGGATGGTCAAAGTTGTATTCATGAACTCTAGCAAGTTCTTCTTCAGTCAAACTATGATAGAATGAGTCCTGCCAAATTATTTATTATTGGATATTTAGTGGAGAAATTTGTAGTTTATTTGAGAATTGGATACAAACACTGACACACATATCCAAACAATAGTGACAAGGTTGAACCATGTTAAACTTCAGCCATATACACTTTATTAGCAGGTGATATTGTAATTTTAGATCTTTAAATTGTGTGGAATTCAATTGACTTTATATACATAAGAAACACGGATCAGGCCGGTGATTATTACTTCACATCATGAAACTTCACCAACGGAACAAATTTACCTGGTTAACAAGTACAACACGCTGATCATGCAGTTGCTGGATAATCATATCACAAACAGTAGTCTTTCCCGATGCTGCGCCTCCAGCAACACCTAACCATTAAAACTCAAGCCACAACATCTCAAATCAAGACAGTCCCGGCAAGCTTTCCTTTATCCACAACAGTCTACTCAGCAAAAAATACAGCCTTGTAAAAGCAGAACTGACCTATTACGAAAGGCTGTCTTTGGATCTCTTCTGATGCAGAAGTGGTTTCCTTAACTGCTCTTGGTTCCAACCCATTCACTTGCCCGTTCACATGGAAACCAGAAAAATGAACCCCTGAGGAGGCTTGTATCATGTCAACCACGGACTTAGAACCCATCCCTATGACAATTCTGGACATTGAACGTAGGAAAGCCATATAAAACATAGGTAAGCCACATAAAATATCTTACTATCTGTCATAATCATGCATAGCAAACAAAAAAAACAGAGAATCTTACACCATCTTATTAGGGAAAAAACCTGATTTTTCAGAACCCTTCAACTAGATTTCCATGGCTCTCAATTCACAAAGTTTTTATATCATACAATCATTGTGAACATAAGAGTTTTTACACGTAGCGATCAAAGATTCTCCTGCAATTTACTTCTACAATCCAAACTTACTATTCTTATTACAATGTGAATCGAACCCCACTTTATCCAGCAAAACAGAGAATATAAGAGTGAAAATTTAGCTGCAACCAAAACATATAAAGAAGCATGACTAGCACTGTGAAATCGAACTCATTTCTTTGCATAGATGAAAATAATGCGAAATCCATCCAGCAATCTAAAACCCGCTAGTTATCACATGTACTCCTATCGGAAGAAAACCAAAGCCTGGACCAGAATCACCATTATCGAACATCTCAAGGTGAAATCGTGTTATGTACCAGAGACACAGATCATTTAAGAGAGAAACAAAAGCAAAGGGCTTATCAGAAATTGCAATGAAGTCACAAAATGAGATTCAAAATTACCCAGATTCAGCTCCGCTCTAAAAGATCTCAGGAAAACTCAAATGAAAATGGAGATGCAGTTTCTATGGAAGTTAAAACAATAGAATCTCGAAAGGGACAAAATTTAATCTTATTAATTAAACTATACATAAACTTTTAATTGTTTGGACAAGAAAAAGCCGGATTCGGACATGATTGATTTAGTATAAAATATTAGCGGAGCGTGGTGAGGTGACGACGACGAACGAAGAAGAAGGAAGGCGAAGCTAGAACGGAAAATCTAAGATATCTTTTTCTTTCTTTTTTTTTTTTTTGCGAAAAGAGTCGTCTACTTTCTAATGGTTCAGATCACACCCCGCAACTGATTTGGATTTTTTTTTTTGTTTTCGGAGACTCTCAGCAATTCCGGTATATTTCCCGGTTTATCCTAAAATTGGAACTTCCATTGCTTACATACTCAATTGGCGATTGTGGTTTGATTTGGAATATTCATTCATTCATTCGTCTCTCTCTCGAAGCTTCAAGTCGACTATGGCAGCAGCGATGTCTTCTTCTTGTTGCGTTTCTTCGCTTCGCTTAATTCCGTTCAAACGAAATTTGATTTCTTCCGTTCATTATCCGGCGAAATCCCTGATTTTGCGGCCAATTCCCTCATTTCTTCGGACGATCGTCACTTTCCAGAAAATATCAACCGGAATCGTTCCTCCGCCATCGGCTTCATCATCTCCGTCGAGTTCCGTAGACCTTCAACCCATCGAAGAGCTTCCTCCGAAGCTACAAGAGATCGTCAAGCTATTCCAATCGGTACAGGAGCCAAAGGCCAAGTACGAGCAGCTTCTCTTCTACGGGAAGAATCTGAAACCGCTCGATTCCCAATTCAAGACGAGGGAGAACAAAGTGGAAGGATGCGTTTCTCAGGTATGGGTTAGGGCTTTCTTTGACGAGGAACGCAACGTCGTGTACGAAGCTGATTCCGATTCGGTTCTCACCAAAGGGCTAGCTGCTCTTCTCGTTCAGGGTTTATCTGGAAGACCCGTGCCTGAGATTTTGAGGATAACGCCTGATTTCGCGGTTCTTCTCGGCTTGCAGCAGAGCCTTACTCCTTCAAGAAACAATGGATTCCTTAACATGCTCAAGTTGATGCAGAAGAAGGCTCTTTTTCTGGAAGTCAAAGCTGAGGAGGGTACAAGCTCTGGAGAGGTTTCAGAATCCAGCTTCGCATCTACTCCTGAAACAAACGACGAAGCAAATGTTACTGAGGCGGATTCGGAGTCAAGACCTAGTGTAGTTGAGGAGGATTTGGGAACAGAAAAGATTGAAGATTCCGATAGTGGGTCAAATATCGTTGCTTTAGGCGATAGAGGGATGAGGATTAGAGAGAAATTGGAGAAGGAGCTAAGTCCTGTTGAGTTAGAAGTTGAAGATGTGTCTTACCAGCACGCAGGACATGCTGCTGTTCGAGGTAGTGCTGGTGCTGATGGGGAAACACATTTCAACCTGAGAATCGTCTCGGATGCTTTCCAAGGTAAAAGCTTGGTGAAGAGACATAGGATGATATATGGCTTGTTGCAAGAGGAGTTGCAGAGCGGGTTACATGCTCTCTCTATTGTGGCTAAGACTGCGGCTGAGCTTTGAGGGCGTTGCAATGGAAGAAGTCGAGATCCACATTATTTTTCCATTTGCTTTGGATTTTGTTCTCTGGACCTTTTAATAATCTTGACGCTTACGAGCTATATATCAGGATCATGTTTTATATGGATTCTTGAATTGAGAGATATGTATTGCTTGTGCCAACGGATCAGATCTTTATAGAGGATATATATATATATAGTTTTCACTTCATCTTATCTCCGTTTTCAATCTAGAATCCCTTTTTTTTGCTAGCGTCAAGGTCTTGATTGTTTTGCTATGGTTTCTGGGTCCTAAGTTTTCATGTCTGCTGTTCGAGAGATGAATAGGATCAGAGAATGATCAAGGTTGTTCCCCATATGGCGACGTTTTGAATCGCTAGGATCACAGCATCTAAGGAAAGTAAAAGGTGAAGTTTCTTGTTCATTTATTTTTTCGTCTAGATAGTCAAAGTTGGTACTTTTTAATCAATTGATGCAAGTTGGATTGAGGGGTTACAGAGATAGAAAGAGATTTGGTTGCTTTATTTCTTTCTTTCTGATAAAAGAATAAAAAATGTGAAAGGGGTTTCAGTTGATCCCTGTTTAAGTCTACCGTTAGACATGTGATGTTTCTTAAAGCCCCCATTAGGTGAGACTTGTGTGGTTTTATATACAAACAACTTTACATGACTGACTACTGAAACCAGTTGCGGTTTTAGCTAATCAATTTCTGCTGAACTTTTCGATGTGAGACCATTGTATCTAATTTTTGAAGTTTCTTGTACAAAGTATTAGTCTTAGTTGAGATTTTGAATTTTAAAATCCTCTATCTTGGCTTATGCTAGAAAATCGGTTAGCTTACTTTTCTTTGTTTGTGCGTTTTTGATTACTTTTAGCCCTAAAGGGGAACCAACATAAGAATCTAATGTTTGATACCTCTTTTGCTTTTGGTCTTAAATCTTTTCTCTGGTGGTTCAGGTATGTTCAACAGTACAAAAATTCACCACTGTGCTTGGAACTGTGTCTACTGGTTTAATTGTAAATATGTTGCCTAGAAAGATAAGATCTTTCCAATTTCTTGATCTTGGAAACAGTACAAACTTCGTTCTCTGTTCTAAGATAGAGTTCACTTGGTCTTGTTCTTTTAAACATTTTGTAGGTAAGCAAAACGAGATCTATATATACTTGACGAACATGCCAAAGCTAGAGACTTTGAAGATGACTCCGAGAACCGATTCGTCTTCTTCATCGTCTCTTTGTCGTGCAGTTACGAGAAACTAGGATTCCAATTGGCGGACCGGTCATCTGAAGATGGCACCTCGCGTGCAGCTGGTAAGAGTAATGAATCATCCCAAAATGAACTCTGACTTTGAAGGAACTTATAATCTCATATTCTATTTTGTTGTTCTGCATCTGTCTCTTGAGCTCCACCGCGTAGTTTAGAGGCAAGTAGACTAAGCTCGAGATCAAACGGATTGGTTCCAATCTCGTCTCGCGTCTTCTCTGCGAGAATGGCTGGACCCCTTGCATCGCAATCGATCTGTTGAAGAAAAAAAGCTCTATCTTGAGCTGTTCAAACTTCACTCCTATCTTCTTATTAGGGTTTGTAAAATTCACCAGCATCGACAAATCGCCGTTGAAATACACCAGTGAGTCAAAGTAGATTGTGTGTAGGTTTGCGTTTGGGATGTCAAAAACAGGGGCTCTTGGTCTAACCGCAAGAAACACAATCAAAGTAGCGATCCCAAAGAAGATAAGCAAAAGGCTGAACACAAAACATAAACCAGCGACACACCATATCAACAGATTGGTCCTGCTTCTTCGTGGCTGCCTGAGAATCACCGTATCTTTCCTCGGCTCTGGATCAAGACCGTTGAATTTAACCGCCGGTGATTTAGTTGAAACCATTTGGTTAAGTGGTGTGGACTGCGTGCTCCGTGGTGTTCTCCATGGCGTAGTTCTTGGAGTATACCACATAGACGACGGCGTGTCCCATGGCGGCGTTTCCGGCGGGTGCGACTGCGGTGGAGGAGGTAGAGGAAGTAGATTTGACATGGGTTATGTGATCAATGATAATGAAGGGAAAGTTAGAAATGTGTAATGGTTTTGGGTTAAATAGGAAAAATTAAAGTTTCGTTTTTGTTGTGTGTAAAAAGCGAAAGCGAGAGTTTGGGCAAAAGAAGGGAGCTTTTGCATAATGGGGTTTGGTTTTGTAATGAGTGGGACCATGCGTGTCGTTTTGAAGAACTAGCAAAGCAAATCTCTTCGTGGCTTTAAAGTTTGAAAACTAAATGGGTTTCGACTTTCGAGAAAAATAAGAGTTCTTCTATTTTTATTTTCAATTCTTAACAAGTGGCTTTTCCTAATTACAAATATAAGAAGATAAAAAAATTTTGATTGATAAAGTTTTGAATGATTGTCAGGGGACATATATACTTATGAGTTATTGAAATAAAACCAAATTTGTTTTTCAAATTTGTTTCTCTAAAGTGTCCCAAAATACTAGAGTCTCTAATAGATGTCCAACTCTAGATAGACATTGATATATCATGATCAAGCAAAGTTTGGTTTGTCAACATTCTACAGTATGCAAATTTATATTTAGATGATAATGTAGTGATTGTACTAGTCTACACTTCTAAAGTAACATATCATGGTCAATGAAATAGAGTTTTTTTTTTTTTTTTTGAATGAAATAGAGATTTCATTTGACATGTAATATATCAGAAGCAATATTGGGTAACCAAGTTTTTTTTTTTTGATTGAAAACCTCTAGTGTTTGAAATTCTTTAGAAGTGACATGAATACAAATTGATTCTTTAAGTTGCTTTTAGTTTTAGTCTAAAGTTTGATAATTCATCTTTCAACTTTCTTTAGTTGTATGAAAATAATAAAAATGAATTTATTCCTTGGTTAACTGTGTATTTTCTTCTCTCAGTTTTGTTGGTAGTTGTGCTGAGGATACACAAAACAAAACAAAACACATCAACACTAAGAAAAATCTTTTTTTTGTTCTTTCCAATTAAAAGATTATAACTAGAAATCCTTGATAATGATAATGTTTTTCATTGTGATTTGATAAAAAAAAATTTGGTCGAATGATAGTCTTTTGTTTATTTCATTAAAATAACATAAATTTCACTTGTGATTACTCTGTAATTTATGGTCAACCTTATTTTTCTGAATCTAATTTTAAAACAGATAACATATACCAAAATGGGTATTACAAATATTTGGTTCAATCATCTTTTGTTAAAAATGTGTAGATTAGAGATGGATTGAGAAGAACATTTTTATAACATTTTCCATATGCGAATGTACCAAATTAGTACAAGATTTAATATGGAAGTGGAAAATTCATGTGGTATGGAAGTGGACGACCTTTGCTACTTGGTATGCATGATGCTAAATTGCTTTCTTTGATTGAATGACCGTATCCAATATTTATCTAGAAAAGGATAACTCTTTTCAAATCTGTTTGATAAGGTTATGGGTTATCTAGGTTTAGTCTTCATAGCCACAGATCATAAAATCATAGGATAATTAATTAGAGTACAAAAACCAATTTATTATAGTGGAAAAAAGACTATTCAATCAGTAATATCTTGATCAAATTAACGTCATGTAATGTTTTTGTAGATTGGCGATAACTCGTTTTATTTATTCCGAATTGAATGTTTCAAATCACATTTAGGAATAATCTAATTATAAGAAGGGAGAAATGTGATAATGGTTTCATTAATACAAAAAAGGGTATATGGAAGGTTTAGTAACTTCGAATCTATACAAACTCGCATAGAAGTCTAACAGGCAAATTCAAAATAAAAATTAACAATCAATGAACCCAAAATTAAATGACATTGACACAACCTCTACGTTGTGACTCTATGACTGTGTATATATTTTTGGATTGTGAAATTTTAGTCTTCAGATGTAAATGGAGGATTCAGAAAAAAGGTTAAGACATTATAGTAGTAAACACGAAATCCTTCTCGTTGGAGAAGGAGACTTCTCTTTCTCATTATGTCTAGCTTCAGCTTTTGGCTCGGCCACAAACATCACAGCGACATCTCTCGATTCCGAAGGTACTAGTTATATATGAACATATACTCATCATCTCACAAGTATTATTATAAGATCGAATTGAATCATTAAAATCTTACATGAATGTAGATGAACTGTGCACAAAGTATATGGATGCGATGGATAATGTAAGCATATTGAAGAGATACGGGTGCAATGTTCAGCACGAGGTTGACGTTCACACGATGAGCTTCGATAACAATCTTGGCCTGCGACGCTTTGACCGCATTGTCTTCAATTTTCCACACGCAGGGTCTCGTTTCTTCGGCCGTGAATCTTCCGAAACAGCCATCGAGTAAATATATTCGTATATAATACTCTTCATTTTTTTGTGTTAAAACGAATATAGTTTTAATGTAATTGATATGGATCTACGTAACGATGAAACGCTGCGTTTTGGACACAGGAGTCACCGAGTGCTAGTTCAAGGGTTTCTTGAGAACGCTAAAGAGATGTTGAAAGAGAATGGGGAGATTCATATCACACACAAGACAACGTATCCGTTTAGTGATTGGAGGATTAAGACTCTGGCTAAAAAAGAGGGTTTGAAGCTGGTTCAGGAGTCCGAGTTCGAGCTGAGTCATTATCCTGGTTATACCAACAAGAGAGGGAGTAGTGGACGAAGACGGAAGAGTGATGATTACTTCCCTCTTGGAGAATGTTCTACTCTCATGTTTAAATAACATTGACCCAATTCCAATCCCATCTTCTCTGAATTTGCCTTTAATTTATTACTTATCGTTAGACGTTACTAATAAAATTATTTTGGTTTCTAATAAGTTTTCTTCATTTGGCTCTACCAGTTCCAATTTATCAGATGTTCTAACTAAAATTATTGAGATAAAATATTATTAAAATTGTGTGTTTTCATTTCGTATACATAAGATTCTTGATACCATCTAATACATAGGTAAAAGTATTTTTGGTACCCATAAACAAATAGTCACAAACTCATAAAATATCCAATAAATTTCGACTTTTGCATAAAAAGGTATATATATATATATTCTCTTCCGCTAAAACATTAAACGAAAAGCTAAATTGGTTGAGATTTAAACTTTAGTTTATTGATTGGTCCAAATTAAGAATATTCTTTTAAAAAATATTATATCAGGGACAGGGGTTAATCCCAAAATATTGTAAGAGATGCATGCAAGTTTGAAATTAATAAACTAATAGATGTAATAGACGGTTAAATATTACTCCTATCATAAAAAATGGATTTCCAAAACGTCATGGACACACGTTGAAAGAATGGAACTGAGACTCTAATCCATCATCCATATGACATGGACACACGTTAAAAGAATGTAACTCGTGAGCATTAAGAACCATCATACATTGTCTTCAGAAAACCAACCCAAACTTCACATATTCTCCTAATGGCTTGCCAAAAGATTCAATTCGAGAAGCAAATTATCGACTTGTACGACCAAATATCCAAACTCAAGAGCCTTAAACCTTCCGAAAATGTTGACAACTTGTTCGGACAGCTCATGTCCACGTGCTTGCCCACGGAGACTAACATCGACGTCGAAAGTTTGTGCCCAAAAATCCAAGATATCAGAACCAATCTCATCAAGCTACGTAGTGAAGCCATAGGATATTCTGAGCAACACTTATCCACGGTCCTGGGATCTCTCGAAGACAACCCACTTCATCATTTAGATCTCTACCCTTACTACAACAACTACCTCAAACTAAGCAAGGTCGAGTTCGATCTCCTCACGCAACACACGAGCCATGTTCCAACCAAGATTGCGTTCGTGGGCTCTGGTTCGATGCCCTTCACATCCATCATCTTGGCTAAGTTCCATCTCCCAAACACGACGTTCCACAACTTCGAAATCGACCCTCAAGCCAACTCCCTTGCCTCCCGACTTGTCTCACGAGATCTCGACCTCTCCAGACGCATGATCTTTCACACAATGGATATACTCAACGCCACAGAGATTCTACGTGACTACGACGTCGTTTTCTTGGCATCGTTTGTTGGGGTGGACAAAGAAGCAAAAGTCAAAGTCATCGAACACTTGGAGAAACACATGTCTCCTGGAGCTCTGCTCATGCTTAGGAGTGCTAAAGGCCTTAGAGCTTTCCTATATATAGACATTGATCCTTGTGGTCTAAAAGGTTTCGAGGTGTTGGCGACCTATCACCCGTCGTTGTCAGATGGATTTGTGAACTCGGTGATGGTCACACGCAAACTCAGCGATTAAGCCACGAGTGGCGTATTGGAACTTGGTGATCGTTGCGGAAACTTTGTTGTTTTTGATTATAAATGATCCACGAATTTTATGAAATACATTCTCTAAAATACCATCAGTGTAAGATCTTTTCAAAAATACCACTGCTCTACCGTTATATTCTTAATGAAATTTGTCATAATTGTTTTTTTAATAAGGTTTGATAGATGAATAGAGCATTTTTTTTTAACGTTTCTTGTAAAAAATGGTTAAGAGTAATTTAAACAGTTTGTATCTTATGGTCCAAATGGTAGTCACTATAGTCGAATTACTAGTGGATGAGTGGAATATAATTGAGTGAAATAAATAAACTAACCCATCCAAGTAATTCCTCTAATTCTCTCTAGTAAAACAGTAGAGGAATGTTTTCCTCTGAAATTTGTTTATTCTTTCAATTTTTGGATAGAACAAATAGAATTTTCTTTATGCTTATTCTGCTAATTTTGGTCAAATTTACAATCATTTATACTCTTAACTAGTGAAAATTTTGAAAATAGTGCTATTTTTAGAGACTATGCATATTTGTGATTTTTGTAAAGTAAACGCGAAAGTCTATGAACAATTTCCGTTATTTTAGAAATTCTCTTGATCAAAACAACATTTTCAAGATTCGCTTGATGAATCAAACATTCTTAAATCCCATATAAATCAAATTATTAAAGTACAAGTAACAACATCTTGACAAAACCACCAGAAACCAAATTCACCTCTCTGTCTTGCTCCAACAACAGGATCCAAGTTGGTAGATCATAGATGATTATATATAACATTCATATGATTTCAAATCCGTCCTAATAGCATATTCATTGGAGGTTTTAAGTGGTTACGTAGATGGATTAATAATTGTGAAGTAATCATTAAATTTTAGCTAGATCAAGTTTGGTCAAGAAGAGTTTTGGATGGTGCTAGGGTCAAGGAATTAGCCATTACTTGTGTAACAAGTCAGATGATGTTTTACTTCATGCGGCTCACTCTTCCTAGCTCCAAATTGAGAAATTTTCTGACCTATACATTCCTCTTTCTCTCCTGCGCTCTGTCTTCTGTAGTAAATCTTTCTTTATTAATTGTTGTTTTTTTTCTTTCTCTGTGCGCTAATTGCTGAGATTATGATGTGATGTCTCTGTACCGTACCCTATTCTGGTTGACTATTTTCATATACAAATATTTAAGAATTTCAGTTAAATATAGGTATTCGACACTATCCATATTCCATTGAAAAAAGAAAGAACATATACCCATAAAATTAAAAAAAAACATCAATGGTCGAATGTACATGACTAAATTCGAATTGTTTGGTTAAAACTTAAACAATTTTGTGCCACTAAAATTACTTGCCACCGAACAAGATATGAAATATAAAAATCCTAAATAATTGGAAAAAGAAAAGCCGCTAAGCTGCTAAAGTAGCAAGTAAGCGTATATTACATAGCAATTGCGCTTAATGCAACGGATCGAGATATAAATCATAGTAATTGCCGGTAACCAAGTGAATGACAATACCGAACCGGTTCCAGAGACGTGAAAGAAATAGAAGCGGGCCCGGTCAAGTAGGTAGCCTCACAAATCACAATGATTTAAGAGGTATCCAGCTGGATCCAGAGACTCTGAGTCAGTAAGAAGTTTCTTAGGAGGAGGACAAGAGCGGTAAGAAAATCAAATAAAAGACTTGTGTCCTCCTCCGTCTAAGGTAAAAACTAAAAAGCTAAAATGAAACGAAACATTTACATAATCATTTCAAGAGAGTCCCACACAGCTATAAAGGCCCAAACAAACCAAAAACAAAAATAAATTCATCCACCGACGTGTGTGTGTGTGTTGTGTGCTGCAGCAAGATTTAGATTTTGAGGGCTAAAACTTGTGTGAGCCAGATTCACTCCTCCTCCTTCCTCTTCTGATCCGCCGCCGCAACCATCCTCGATCTCCTCCCAGCTTTGCTCTTATCTCTTAAGTACTCACTTGTTTCTCCGGGATTGGTCTCTCTCCATAAGCAGCTGAGGAAGAACTACAAGAAGCCGTCTTGGTGATGATGATGATGACTTCACTCGGTGGTGGAGGCGGAGGAGGTGGTGCCAGTGGTGGTGGTGGTGGTGGTGGTAGATTCTTGACGTATCCGCCGCCTCTTTCTGTGCCTCCCTCGGCTCCTCAGTCACCTAACTTCTCTGGTGGTCTCCGATCACAGCCTTCTTTCCTCGTTGAGCAGGAGAAGTAATTTAAATCTCTGTTTTTTTTTTCCTCTGTCTCTCTCTCCCCGTCTTGTAGTTGACTTGTTTTTCTCTGTTTTTACTGATTGGATCCTGAAGTTTTAGTTTTTATTACAAATCTGATTTCTTTGTCTATTTGTTTATATCGAATTTTTCATTTCTAGTTCTTGTTACTCGTGCCGAGATCTATGTTTTTCATTTCTGTTGCTTCTGTCGATTTTCGATATGTTTTTGAGTTGAGCTCCTACCTACTACCTCTGCAAAATTAAGCTCTTTATAGCTCAATCTACTTCAGTTGTCCCCTGTATTTTGGTAAAGTAATATACTTTCTTACTTGAAAAAAAAGTTCTGAATCTTTAAACCCAGTATGTCTCTCATCGATTGGGAAATGGCTTTGTAAGTCTTCACCGCTGGAGATTAACAAGATCCTGTCTGCCTAGGTGCTGATGTTTAGAGCTAGGATTTGCTAAAGGAATTGGTTACATGAATCTAGTTAAAAAGATTTGACATTTAAATTCGCTTATTGAACGTGATTGTTGAGTGGAAATGAGTGGATCTGCTTGGTATCTTGTGTGCTCTTAAGGTCATACTGATTTGGATAATCTGCAATTTCTCTTTTGGCAGATATCTTTCCGAGTTACTTGCAGAGCGTCACAAGCTTACTCCATTCTTGCCTGTGCTTCCACATGTCTGCCGGCTGATGAACCAAGGTTAGCCATACAGTTATGATAAGACCAAACTTTATGGTTTACTTTCCTCATAAGATTGTTTATATTTTTTGTTTCTTGCTTCAGAACTACAATCTTTGTACTTTTGATAAGCATTTTAGTGGTGCTACTAAGAGAGATCATTTAGCTAGCTGTTAGAGAAGAATAACATATGACAGATTAATTGCATAGTCCCGTTAGTAAAATATCTTACAATCCCAAGTCTTTCTTCCCTTACAATGACATAGAACCTACAGCGACAGTGCGGGGTATTTCAGTTGAATTGTGGTCTAATAGAGTTTAGAAATGACTTTCCACTGATGTAGATTTGATTTTCAGGTCATATTACAAAAAATTACTAAAAATCTAATTTCTTGGAATTCTTATTCAAAGTTATTTCGTAGAGTTCCTCATAATCAATCCTTGTGTGACCTTCGTAGAGATCATAGTACAGTTGTATTAGTGTCTTTGATTGCTCTGTTACATTCTATTTAACTATAGTGTGATAGTTAATATTCACTAACTTAGTTGAGACTAAGCTGTCTCTCCATTCCACTATCATTGGTGATGGATTTGTTGACTAATTCTAACTGGTGCGTCTTACTCTTGAAAATTGACATTTTTTGAAACAGAAATTTTGCGTGTAACCACGCTGTTGGAGAATGCCATAAGTCAGAGTAGGTTTGATCACCCTAGCCCTCTGGGTTCTGGAGGGATATTTCAGAATGCAAGAGCTGACATGAATGGATGGCCCTCACAGTTTCCATCAGAAGTATGACTACTAACCATTAACATAACTCTTTTCATCTAATTCATACTATAGCTTCTGTTGACTTGAGTTGTACTGACATAACTTGCTTTGACTTACTTTTAATCCTAGTTCATCATGACAGGTAGTTTGGGCAAACACTGATAATCAGTATTGTTGTGCAAGGTTTTTGCCTTAGGTCAACACACTAACTAGATATATTCCATTACCTTCAAATGCCATATAGATGTTAGGTGCAGCTGTGAAGGATCAAATATAACATGGTCTGATTATTCTGTTAATATTATGAATTAGGATAAGCAATTGCAGGTTGCAAACTTGCAACAACGCGATACATTGCCTCTTTTCCGATGGAAGAAACATTTGATAAGAATTTATTTAATGTTCTTCTGGTTTTGATTCTACAGTCATGTCTGTAGCATGTACGTATGCTTTGAGGTTGACATGGCTTCTAAGTTCTAACAGGTTTTTGGTTTGTCATTTCATTTGCAGAGATCTGTTTCTTCATCTCCAGCACCAAATTGGCTAAACTCTCCTGGTAGCTCGTCTGGTCTCATTGTCAAGCGAACAATCAGGGTGGATATTCCAGTTGACAAATACCCAAATGTATGAACCTCAATTTCCTTGCTGAGATCCTAAACTATCTACAGCCAGTTTATAACTTGTGATTCGATTATCTGCAGTACAATTTTGTTGGTCGCCTCTTGGGTCCTAGAGGTAACTCCCTCAAACGAGTTGAAGCTAGTACTGATTGCCGCGTTCTGATAAGGGGGAGAGGCAGCATCAAAGATCCGATCAAGGTTATTACATTTTTCTCATCTGTTGAGATATAATAATACCTATCTGCATATATCTGTATATTCATTCTCTAGCATTGTTGCAGGAGGATATGATGAGAGGGAAACCAGGTTATGAGCACCTGAATGAACCACTCCACATCTTAGTCGAGGCAGAACTGCCCATTGAGATAGTGGATGCACGTCTCATGCAAGCTCGTGAAATACTTGATGATCTACTTACTCCCGTGGTTCGTACATAGCTCTTCAACGATCTTAAACCATATATTGGCATAGAATTTGTCTCTGTATAACAACGCTTATTTTTGTTTATGTATTGCTTTAGGAGGAAACGCATGATTTCTACAAGAAACAACAGCTCCGTGAATTGGCCCTTCTCAACGGTAGTCTTAGAGAAGAAGGGTCTCCAATGTCTGGTTCCATCTCTCCTTACAATAGCCTCGGCATGAAGAGAGCCAAGACAAGGGGCTAATAAACACGTCTCAGGTCATGTTATCTGCTTAACTCTCTCACCTTTCCAAGAAGGTATATATGCACCGTAACAGCTTCCTTCTTCGGACAAGAAGGCTTATGAGATTCTGTCTCCATCCCATCCTCCTACTCCTCCCTGGGCTACCGGTACTGTCTCTTATCCCTGGAATAAAAAAAAAACACCTGTTGTATATGAATCTGTGTCTTATTTATAGTGTCCCGGAGAGATTTCAGACGACAGAAGTACAGGCAGTGCGAAAGGGATGAGTCCGTCTCTGTTCCTGTCTTGTCTGTCTCTGTCTCTGTCTCTGTCCGAGGTTAATTTTGGCTTGCTTTTGCTCTTTTCGTTATTTGTTTAATTGTTTCAGTGGAGACCCACTACTAATAAGGTTTGTTTAGTTAGAGCCAGTTTTTGGGAAAAACATCATGGTTTGTGTTTAATAATGAATTATTCTGTTTGCATTACATAAACATCAACTAATATATTTTGTTACTACTACATTATGCAAGCACACACACAAAATATATAGACTTAGAAACCCACAAACATCAAGCCTTGTCAATTGTTGTCGTCGTCTTCTTCATTCTCATCTATCCCGACCCACTGAGTAAATGCGAACAAAAACTCTTTAAAGTTCACCATTCCATTTTTGTCCCAGTCCATTTCCTCTGCAAACAACAAAATGAATCATAGTCAATATTCTTGGTTCGGAGAGAGAAAGAGAGAGAGAGAGAGAGAGTTAAAGACTAGACCAAATCTCTTCATTGCAATCCGCCCTGAGGATCGTTCTCCAGATTCATCAATGGCTCGGACCATCTCCTCGCGGCTAACATATCCATCCTTGTTCTCGTCCAGGAACACGAATGTGTCCACTAGCGTCTCAAACGTCGGTTCCAGCTTAGGCATCCCCAGTCTCCATTTCTATTCATCGTTCGAAAAACTCTCATTACCAAAACGATCAAATCTAAACCAAAAGTCAAATCGAGAAGAATGTGATAGTATAATTAAATTTTGCGTGTTACCTTTTGGAGAGTGGAGGAATCGTCCTTAAGAAGATAGACGAGGCAGAGAAGAACAATGAACTCAGTAAATGTGATCCCCATATCCTCGTTAATATCACAAGCCTCGAACAAATCATTTATCTCTTCTTCATCGAACGAGATCTCTAGCTTCCTGAAACAATTCTTTAGCTCCGTGTGATCAATTGACCCATTCGAATCCTCATCTGCACAAACCAACCAAGTTAATAAAATCCATGGAGAAAAAAAAAGCCCGCTTTTTTAGAATTTACGCGTGCGTGGACTCACCGAACTCTTGGAAAATGGCTTTGCAGTTTCGAAGACCGTCATCGATCTTTGGGAACTTGAGAACAATACTGTTGAAAGATTTCGTTGTGGTGCCCCTCGATGCCCTGCGTCGCACGGCTTCTATGATTTTGGCCTCTAGCTTTGTCTCTGGAACCCATTCTTTTTGCTCAGTTTCAGATTTCGTCACCGCGCCTCCCATGTCTCTTGTTAATGCTTCGAGATCAGGTCGTAGATTCAACACACAGACGAATCTAGTTTCTTGGAAGACAAGGCAGCTTAACTTCTTGATTTATTACAGAAGAATAACGCTGTTTGATGATTCCAAGATCACAAAAATCAGATCTACTCGGACATTCAATAAATAACTAGGGAGGAAAACTAAATCGAGACAACATTTAAAAGGACAAGTTTCACATCAGACGATGGATGTCACAAGAATCAGGACGAAACAAAAAAAAAAGAAAAAAAGTCAGAAAGAAGAGAAGAACCTGTAGTAATTTCTTGTTTGTTTGTCACGAGATCAAAACACAATCACAGATCTGTTTTGTTGTTATTGTTTGACAGGAAAAAGTAATATTAGATGTTTGAGAAGAAGAATTGGACGAGTTTTTATTAATGGCGTGAAGAACGCTGTAGATTCCACGTAATTGCGCATCTTAGTCAAACGCTTATTCATTTGTCATCTATTTATTAATTTAACATTAAGTCTCCATCTTCTCTGACTTTTCGCTTCTTATTATTTTTCTTTACTAATTTACAAAATGAGATGGTATTACAGTTACCACTAATCTTTGACTATCGATCTATGATTTTTTTTTTGTTTGCCTAAAGTAAACGTACTGATTATTTAACTAATTACTCGTCCATTATTCAGTTGAAATGTCCTACCGTTTAAATTTGCAAAAACATTAATTTCTCCTATGTTCTCTGTCTCTCCCTCAGTTTTTCTGTCTCTCCCTCAGTTTTCCTATAACTCCTTTCCTTTGAGTATTATTCTTTTAAAGTTTCAAGTTTTTGTAACAACAGTTTCATGGAGCTAAAATTATTATTTCTTCTGATGGCACCATTGATAACTTTTTCCTCATCAAGTTCCATATCGGGTACGTTTTTTGTGTTCTTTTTCCCTCTCAAATTTGTTAATTTTGTTCTCTAAATTTCCAATTCAAATTAGAATTTGAGTTTATGGAGATGATGATATTTTTATCTATCGATTCACTTTCTATAGATAGTGTGTTAGAATCTCAGACTTCGGTTACAGTTGCTGGAAGAAGCCTACTTTCTGCCAAAAAAGGTAAGTATGTTAAAAAAAAAAGGCCAATTGATAAACCAAATACTGTATTTGGTTATTTGGTTATGCTTTTTCTTTTATGTATGTCAATGTATGAACCATGTACATATATTTGTGATGTATCTATACCATATAGATTTATAACAAAACCAATTGATAAAACAAAGTTTTGAGTAATTAACAAATAAATACAATTGAACCAAATAATTCAGTCTCATCTTGATTTCAAAACTATATAATAAATAGTTTAGTCCAATCTTGATATCAAGAAGTTTTATTTTTAATCGTTGTCTGAAATTTTTAAGGTAAACTTCAAATTCTATGTCCTATTTATTGAAGTTCTTTGTTTGGTCATGTATAGCTTGGCTTGTATAGTATATCAAGACACAACTCTTGCTTTTGTGACAACAGAATGTGAAGTGAACTTCGAGTATATGAACTATACGACCATGACAAAACGGTGCAAAAGTCCAGCGTTTCCAGCGAAAGAATGTTGCTCCGCGTTTAAAGAGTTTGCATGTCCCTACGCCATTCAAATAAATGACATGAATAGTGACTGTGCAAAGACAATGTTCAGCTACATGAACATTTACGGAAACTATCCTACTGGTCTTTTTGCTAACGAGTGCAAAGAAACAAAAAATGGACTTATTTGCCCTCCTCCACCTCTCAGTTCACCAAGCCTAAACTCCTCAACCGCTGCTTCGACCGCTACTCGATTCATCATGCTGTTGATCTCTGCTACGACCGCTGTTTTGGCATTTATTGTGTTGGCTTGATGCAACACTCTCATAAAGTGATGATTTGTTTTCCCTTAATCAGTAGATAAATACTTGTAAAATGTAGCAATCCAAGAAAATAAAAGAAGAAGCGAGACTTGTATTTGCTTTATTCTATCACCAGAGGCAAAACTTATAGCCGAAATGTTAACAAGAAATGCGAAAAGCCAAGAAAACAAAAACTCAGTTTGCACACAAAAAAAAAAAAACAAAAAAAGGATCATGTGGGTACAACAATATCTGTGTCCGGCAAAAATTGAGGCATGAACAACAAAACTACTGTTAGTAGTAGCAATACTAACTGTATAAGAAAGCATGAAGTGGTCTTACATGCCTTCTTCTTGATGGTTCCAGTGGTTTCTCCGCACTCCTTTTGTAGGTCTTGAGCTCTGTTTGTTAAATTTTCTGCCTTCGTTTCTACTTCTTTGAGCTTGTTCAGTGTCTCATGAGCTTGCTCTCCTGCCAATGCCTCTTGTTCTTCGGTCATCTTCAACTGACTGTTCAAGTTATCAATGGATCTTGAATATATCAGATATTCAATCTCGGACTCAATCCTTTGCCGGAAGATGTCTTCGACAACCGCCTGAATGTTTCCTGTTTCTCCCCATGAGTGTTTGATTTGGTTGGTACTTGATTCAAGCTCACGAATGTGTGATTCTTTAACCTCAATCATGGATCTTGTTTCTTCTAGCTTGATCTCCAGCTGTTCTACATTGTTCACAAGGGTTACAGTCTCCGAGCGAGGTGAATTTACTTCACTGGCTCCTTCATGATGTTGTGGCATCGGTTCCTTCCCAATCTCCCGGAATTGCTGAACCTCTGCAAATGAAATTGCATAAAGAGTCGCATTAGACTTAATAGACACTTATGTGATAATATCAGTCGATTCCAACATGAGAATACAGAGTCAGAACAAGAAATGGCTATCAAAACAATCCAAGCTTAGTTACAATCCGCTACTAAAAAAATCAGAATGTTTACCTTTTTCAAGAGCTTCTTGCAAGCTGAGGAAACCGTAGCTGGTATCTACTAATGGATCCAGTTCCTCTGAAAAACGACTGTCTTCACCTTCTCCTCCCGCATAATCATTTCTCTTTGAAGTTTCTCCATTGATATCGGCTTCATCGCCATTTTTTCCATTGTAGTCCATTATTCCACTTGGCTTTCTTGAATCAGATTCCAAGCTGGAATGAGAGTTTTCCTTTTCGATTTCGACACTATCTCCTCTATGCTTTTTACTATTCTCTACCCGAATTTTCCCTCTCTGACCTGAACTAATCATTGGCTTTTCATACCTAATAACCTTGGGGGCTCTTGCAGCAGTCGAGGACTTACTACTCCGATCATCATCCTTTTCTAAATCCATACCAGCTGAAAAACCAACCCCAGCCATAAACCTAGAATCATAACCAGTCCTAAGTATCTCAAAACCATCAACGACATTTCTTAACATGTTCACAGACCCAACAGATCCTTGACTATCTTGCTCGGCTTCCGGTGACTGAAACTGCATTTGTTTACCATGTGAATGAGCAGAACCGGACAACCCTCTCTTCAGAACTTTACTATTCTCCATATTCGCAGACGTGTCTTTAACAAGGTCTCTCCTAAGCCGCCTCCATTTTCTCAAGCCACGACCTTTTGATACCGGAGAGTAAGCACCACCTGGTGAATCAAAATTCACCGGTTTAGCGAGTTCGACAGATGTTTCGTTCTCACTGGTTGTCGCTGTAGAAGCCGTAACCAGTTTCACACTCTCATCTGAGAAAGACCCGTTATCCAAACTCCTACCATCATCACCAGTGTTGATGGAGCTTTGTTGGATCAAACCATTATCGTCAACAGACTCAAGCGCAGAGCTTTCACTCTCCAAATCCATTGGACTCCACACAATTGAAAAAAAACACGATTTTCCAAAATCACATCGGATCAAAAATCAAAACGAAAAACCCATCATTTCCGGAAGTAACGGAAGCTCGAATCAATGAACCCAAAACCCAAAATCAATCATACGCAATCGAAAGTCAACTCACCAAGTTACAATTCGCTTCTCGTCTCTACGATTAAATATAAATAACAAAATTCCAATAATTTTCTACCCGATCAAGAAGCAATGATTCTAAAGAATCAAAATTCAACATATAGAGAACGTATAGATAGCCACACAGGGAGATGAAAAGGAGGGTGAAAAGCGAAAACCCTAATCCGATGATCGGAGCAGATCTATAACCCGTTCAATTGTGGAAAGTTTCGCTGCGGGAAAAAGGTTATTCTTTTTTTTCCATCACCGATCAATTTTCCATTTTTAAATTACGGTTATTAATTTATATATATTATTTTACGAGAAAACATGGACGTGTGTTTGGGTGGTTGGAATAGAACACGTGGTTAAATCCTTGCTCTCTCAGCAACAAGTTAGTCACTTGTTGCCGTCAGATTCGGCATCCTCAATATATACCGTTAATTGGTATTTTCAATATAGTATAGTGTCTCTTCGACCAAAAGAAAAAGTATAGTGTCTCTTTTTTTTTTTGTAACAAAATAGAGTGTGTATTTTAACTTCTTACAATTACCAAAATTTCCCCATCAATTTAATTTGGTAGATTTCTAGAAAAGAAACAATCACTTTATATATATAGATTAGAAAAAAGCTATATATTATAGTCACCAAATAAAAAGTTATGTAACACGGAAAATTTTTCTTATTTATCTGACTCTCTTGGTTAGAAAAAAATATTATCTATTTGAAGTACAACAAAAATTATTTAAGTGGGTGCAATGCAGGGAAACATAATAATAACATTAAGTTATATTACAAGAGGTTAAACAATATTAAAAATGTAAAGGGTGTCTGAGACAGAGAGGATTAGCACAAACGAAATGGCTACACACTCACTACACACAGTGACATAATAATTAACACACAAAAAAAGGCGAATCAGAAAGGCTTCTCGTAGCCTCGAGCCGGAGGTTGGTCCCAAGCTTGCAAGAATGCTGCAAACACACAGAAAATGAATGAAGCAAGCTCTCAAGTAGCCAACAGAAAAGTGAAAGAGAAAAACTCAAAAAGTCAACTGATGTGGCCTTACTCAATGGTATTTCTCCGAGCGACATGAATATCGAATCATCGTCTGTATTATTTGGTACTTGGTCATCTCCAAGAGCTCCCTGAGACGTTTTTAAGGGAAAGTTAGCACCAAAACCCATTCTATATCACTAAAAACACTTGACAAGTAAAGTAAGTACCTCTCGGTCTTGAAGAGCAACGTCGTTATTCTGTGGCACAGTACTGATTCCCGGGTTTATTGGAGGAATGTTTCCAAAGGAATCAAGATACTCTACCATCATTAGCCCTTCATTGTAGTCTGGAACGTCATCGATGCCCATATATGGGGCAGCTTCTTGCCTGTTAAATGTTTCAGTCAAGAACTCATTAGCCAAAAATATAAAAGATGTGTATATATATATGAGTAGAGTGGGACTTAGCCGTACTTTCTCCTGGGATCATTGCTGGACTTGACCACTTCTGGGGAATCATCGTTGTCCAAATCAATCACTTCTATCTCTTTACCATTGCTCATCCGAGTACTAGTACTGAACTCAAGAGACTTGCTAGAACCGTTGATTGAGAGATCAAAATCAACAGCTTGACCGGATTCCCTTTTGGCATCCTTCACATCCGATGCTCCCCCTAGATTTAGGTCACACATCTTAAACGAAGCAGGAAACAGCTGATGCTCTTCTGCATACCCAGGACCTGATTTTCCCTTGTGAATACTATTGCGTGTAGGGTTATTAACCAATTTTTCATGGCTGGCCATTTTTCCAACAGCACCATCAACCAGTCTCCTGTTGAACGAGCTTTTCTTTTCTTCTTCTTCTTCAGGATCGCATTGAAGTTCGCTTGTTTTAGATATGTTGAAGCGTTCATTGGCTTCAGAAACTGGCAAAGGCACCCAAGCTCTCTGCCTTTTTGCTCCCACCTCCAAGTCACAGCCTTCAGCACCACGCTTCTCGCCTCCTTTCCCCATCAAATGTGATCTGTGCAGATTAGACAACTCTAATCCTGAATCTTTCTCACTATTGTCACTGAGAATGCTACTGGGGAAAGACTTAGACCTAAGACATTTACTGTTCTCAACAAATTGAACAAGAGCCAAATCTTCTACTTGGTCGTTCAAATTTTCACCGCCAGTATTATCGGCCTTTCCAGATGACTGGCCTCGAGTCTCGCATCGATTTCCGGTTTGACCTTCTTCTATAAGTCCAGAATTATGAGAGGTTTCCTTCATTTTCTGACTCAAAAATAGCTTTGGGCCTTTCGCAGTCAGGGAAGAGCGCGTCCTCGTAGGCACCTTCTCAAATTTACACAGCGTTGCCAAATCAATACCACTCTTGGTGAATGATTCATCAGCAGCACAATGTTGATCGATAGATGCATCTTCACAATCTTGATGGATAGATGCATCTTCAATAGCAGTCTGGTTCTCATTCTCTCCACCATTACCACCACTCCTACCTTTCATCTCCCCTGATCCAGCACTCAAGCTAGAAGAACCTTCAGATACTTTTGAGATTTCAAAATCCTGCATTATTTCTTTCCCAGCACTCGAGGAACCTGTCTTAGACTGTGCCTCATCCTGGAGATTGTACTTGTCCAACAAAGACTCGGAATCACCTGCTCCCTCACGCTTTCTCATAAATTCACCGGAGGCAGACCTCTGAACCGAGCTAGCAATATCTTCAGCAAGTGTTTGCTCTTCTCGATGCCCAGACACAGAGTCATCACCAGTCTCGGCCTCAAAACCTTTACTTCTCTCTGACCAAGATCCGCTCCTCCCAAATTCCGAGTCATAACGATGAGACCTCTTTCCTTTCAAACTATTCCTGGAACCAGCTGAGCTATAGCCATCAACATACCTCCTTTTATCTGCAGCAGGAGCTGAAACATCCGCACGAGCTGCTTCTTGTGACCTGGAACTCTGAAACTCACCACCCTGTTTCCTGAAGTTACCATTTTGCCATTTGCTGGAAAGCACAGTTTGTGGTAGAACACCCTGAGAAACCAAGTACTCTACTGCTAGACGACCTGCCTCCATGAAAACGCCGCCGCTATCGCCACCGCTTCTACGTTGCATCGGTGGAGGAGGCAGAGGCGGAGGCAGAGGCGGAGGCAGCTGATTATGGTATGATTTAGAGCGTCCTCTGCCTCGTCCATATCCACGGTTAAACCCACGGTGCTGGTGGTCCGAACCATAGAACCCATGACCTCTCATAGGACGGTCAGGGGAAATTCTAGAGCCAGACATCCCCATTCCAATCGAACCAGATCTGTACCCATTTCCAACATTGCGTTGTCTACCATGCATCTTTGTCTCTAACTATACAAAACCCTAATAACAGCTCTTATTCAAGGAATCACAGTAGTAGTGAAACCAATTGTCTCCAAACCCCAAAAACCTTGGACACAACTTTGAAGACCTCAAATCAGTCTCATCTTCACTGAAACCAAGAACACAGTAGCTTCGAGTTTAACTTGTACTCTTCGAACCAATCCTTCTTCAATCACAGCAAAACAACAACAAAAATTCAGAAAATCAAGCAAAATGATGGATCTCGAGTTCCAGATTCGGTAAAACTTTAACCTCCCTCTTACCGATCATTTGATCTCCTTGTCCGATTCCGTTGAATCAAATGAAAACATCATCTGATTGGAGATTAAAGGGTCATTTCACTTCAGTTCTTCGACAGTAAGAACCCTAGAATTCCCCAGGAACCCAATGGATTTTCCAGTCCAAAACTTAATACAGCAAACAGAAATCACGATGTAAATAATTCGGATCAAGGGTCTTCGATGATGAGGAACACGAAGCACTACTTTCAGTTCCCCAGAGTTCAGCGACGGAAAATCAGGAGCGCCGATTTGGATTTTGGGGTTTTCGCAATTTATTTGCGTCTTGAAGTTTTTCTACGATATTAGCAAAAAGACGGGAAAAGCATGAATTTGCCACGTCAGATTTTATGGTAAACTGGCACTAAGTTCACATCCACTTCACGCGTCCTACGTTGCGCGTGAGTTTCAGTCTCCTGCACACACTTTTCATTTTCTATCTAACTAGGTGTTTAGCCCGCGCAGCGGACCGTGAGTTTTCAGAACGTAGTCGTGGTATTAAGACATCTGAATTTTTAGAATTCATTAATTAGCGGGTAAATAATACGTAAGTTGATATATAAGTTTTGAAGAAAATGTATAAGAAATTCATAACAACTATTTGAAATATAAAAAAAAAAAACATCATTCAAAATTAAAGATTCAAAATGCTTACTAATGTAAATAAATGTATGAAACTCATAAACCAACTGAATTAAAACAAATATCAGTTCTTCATCTTCACATAATCGTTTTTCATCTTCTTTTTCTTTTCTTTTATTTTATCTTTTGATTTTTCTTCTTTATTGCTATGTTTTTAAAAACCGGACCAGATCGGTGGTCCGATCAGGTTAAACCGTGAATTGAAAGTTTAGCCGGATTAGATTAGTACCAAAATCCACATAAGGTTATACCGGTTAAAAAACCGGATTGAACCGCCAAAAAAACCAGAAAACGACCGAACTGGCAAACCGTATAAAACCTTGTTCAATTAAAAAATGCTCAAGTTGTTATTTTTTCTCATTCTATAATTCAAAATTTTAAAACATTTAATTCTATAATTCAAATTTTAAAATATTTCATTAATTTGTATTTTGTTTTTATGTTTGTACAAGGTGGTAAAGATTTGGGCAAGGAAAATTGAATGTGCTACTCTATTTTACTGTGGTGTTATTTTTTATTTAGACTGTTAAAGTTTTTTTTAGTTATTAGTACTACTCCATTTTATTTCGGAGTTGTTTTGGATATAAATTATGAAAGTTTTCCCAAATAATCTAATTATTAAATAATTTTATTTAATATTTAATTAATTACAGGTTGTAAAATATTATCAAACATGGTTGAATATAGTCGAACCATATTAACCCACGACCCAAGAATTTTTCCGGTTTGGTCATCGGTCTGGTTTTAAAAACACAATAATTTCTTGTCTTTTCCTTATTTTGTTTCATCGTTTTCTACATTTATCTCTCCTTCTCTCATCATCTTCTACATTTTCTTTCTTTTTTTTTTGTTTTTTCTTCATTCTCCTCTTTATTATTTATGTTCTCTTACTTTTTTTTTGTTTATGGTTTTTTTTTGTAACGTCATCTTCTTCTTTGTGTTTCCACATATTTTATTTATCGTCCTTCTCTTCTACTTCTAATTCTTCACTGCCTTCGTTTTCTTTGGTCTCTCCAACTTCACAGTTTTCTTATTTTCTTTTGTCTTTATATCAATCAAATACATGTATCTGATTTTTCTATTTCTCTTTTCTCCCCTTTCTCTCAAATACAGTCTTCCTAGTTGTTGATGGTGTTTGTATCAAACTCTCTTCAAGGATCTTGTATCTTTTTTTCCATGCATCTAAAAACTTAAATTCACCAATCCAATCTTTAAGGAGCATGCATTTGTAGTAAAGCTATACTATGAAACTCAGAAGAGAAATTTAAGACAGTTTGAAATGTTAGATTATGGAATAGTAAATCTTAACTTAAAATTGCCAGAGTTTTTTTTCTTTATCTTTAGCTTTTTAAACTTTTTATTCATTTTTTTCTATTTTTTTTCTTCAACTTCTATATTTTTTTATCATTATTCTTCTTTATTATTTTGTGTTATCCATCTTTTTTTTCCTAAGTTTTGTATGACATTGTCTTTATCTTCTTCTTCGTCTCTTTCGACATCTTCGTCTATCTTTTTAGATTTTTTTCCCTCTTAGTCTTTGTCTCCTTCTACTTCTTATTATATTTTTGATACTTGCATGGATTAATTTATAAATAATCAATTTCATTAAAGATAGTATAATTTTTTTTGTGAAATAAGGAAAAAAGGATGTGGACTAACATATTTTTTGGTAACTATCCAATTTTTGATTCAAATATCTTTTTAATAAATAATTTAATTTTTTGACGTCCTTAAACCTAATCTTTTACATTTTAAAAAAGATTGTGTAGTCTAATATTTTTTTAACGAAGGATATCAAAAGAATTTTGACCAACATAACCGGTATCATATAAAAACAGCATTAAGCAGTTTTCTCATATCTTACTTTGCAAAAACAACAATTTCAATCATGAGAATAGGGAGTACAAAAAAATAATCTAAAACAAACACACAAGATTTATAATTCCATAAAATAAATCACACTATACCTTTATCCACATATCAATAGACAAAAACCAGAAAACAAAATATTTTATCAAACTAAAGAAAAACAAAAAGTAAAACCAAGCATAACCTATCCAATTACAAAATCAAACCTAATAATATCCCAAACACCAAAGAAACCGAAAAAGTGATCTAAGCAAAAAAAATCCAAAAGATACAACAAAAAAAACCGATCCTGTCAAGAACCACCAGCATTAGATCTTGATCACCAGCAAAAGATGAAACGATTAAAAATGCTGCCGGTTCTCAGCGTTAACAAATTTTCAATACTTAATATCAAATCTTTTTTCCCCAATCTTTTATCAGGTTTTAGAAAACAGAGAAAGGAGCCACTCATCGCCCAGTCATATAGTGTCTTCATCTCACCTGGGTGAAGTAAAATGGGGATTGATTTCTGACATTACCTGTTCCGGACCAGGATTTTAAACGTCCCTCACTAATCTCCAAAAGCCATTTAGTTACATAAGTAAAAGCTAAAAGCAGATTCCTTTAGTTAGAGAAAAGAATATTCAGAGGGAATTAGGAACAAGAGGACAGTTGAGAAGTTTAACTTCCTTATCATCTCCTTGTCTGAAATCGAAAGCACCTGGACCATCAGTTGTTCCGGCAGCAAAACCAAACCCCATTGCAGCTGGACATGTTTTCACCGTCTCAGAGCTGTCTGCTTTAGGAACTGTGACTTCAATATTTGAGAAATCTACATCCGCATGTTGGTAACCAATTTTGCCTTGTAGCTTCTCTGTAGCTTTGTTAAATGGTTCGACTGCCATTTTGAATTGCTTCTCTAGTGATACGTGTGTATCCTCAAAACACAAAAACTATCAATAATTAAAACATATAAGAACAAACAAGCGAAACACATCTTTGGTCAGCCCCAACTAAAAACGGAAAAGCAAAGTGCACCAAACCCCGGTTAACATATAAAAGATAAGTGCTAAACGAAGACAATCACAAAATTAAAGACGACCCAAAAAGAAGAAGAAGGAACCCTAACCTTTCAACATAGCCGCTAGCTAAACAATCACCGATCAAGTCAGTCTAGCTAAAAACATCGCCACCTAAACAGCAAATAAACAGCAAACAAACAGCAAACGGTATAAAAAATAAGAAGAATATATACATATATATATATATATAATTCAACTTTTAATAAATACCAGAAGCAATTTTGAATACCCGAGGGTCCTCAACTCGAGATACTCACGATTAGGGGTCATCCAAGCGCCACACTATCTGTAAACAATATCCTCGTTTAAGGAAGATGAAACGGAAAAACGTGAACACGTTAACACAAAAAAGACCAAACGGGGAAAAATTATAAGAACCTACGAACTAACAGAATGTACCCAACACCTAACAGAGAAACCAACATAAGCAAGATATAAAAGTCAATATAGGTACAAGCAAGTTTACCTCTCACAACCATTTTCAAAACACTTAAACAACTCTCACAGAATCAAAACATGAGAAAAGAAGATTTGGTGGTAGAACAATTAACCACCGCATCAAAACGCTCAAATGAGTTACAAAGGAAACTCATACCTGAAGAGAAGAGAGTCGAAATTTAAATCCTTGAAAAAATCGAAAACAGAAAAAAAGCAACCTACAAGAGCAACATCCAAAATAAATTTAAAAACCGCCGATCAGTTAGTACGTGAACAGAAAGAATAAATTTGGAGAAACCATAATCAAAACCCATAACTTTTTTAAAAAAACTTTGATATACCTCGAATGATGTTGTTAGCTCCAGCGGTAACAACCTTCAAGAGGGGAAAACAACGAAACAGATCAATGCAAAACTAAACAATTAGATACAAATGATAACGAAAACACATCAAATAACATTAAAAATATGTAGAAACCCATAACCGAAATTTTGAAGCCGAAATTTTGAAGCCCTAAAAAAGTTGGGATATTTAGTCATTATCGACCTAAAAGCAAGTTAAAAGGCAAACATCAAGAACCATAACCCCTAAAAAATTATAGTAATAACTCTAAAGACGGACGAATCTAGTCAAACTCGAACTCAGAATAACCTAGATCGGCCTAAACGTATTGTATTTATAGCCTCTAGGTCAAAGTAGGTTTGAGATTATCTATATTGGAAAATCTAATACAAAATCACAAATGATAGATATTGAACGTTCCACAACCAATCTATTGTACGTAAAAATTTAGTTATGAAAATTTTGTAATTTATTTATTTTTACTTTGCTTTTAATATATATGATATGATAAATCATTGTTTTTGGTTTTTTTTTTAATATACGATATGATAATGGTTTGTTAACTTAATTTAAACCATTATTTTCGTTTTTTAAATATATATTTTTATAAAAATTAATTTAAACTAATTTAAGGAGAGGTAAAGGGTAACTAGCCACCCTGAAATTAAATGAGAGAGCTTTAAACGAAATTTTTACTTCGCTTATAATATATATGATCGAGTCCCAACCCATTACCCAAATGTGTCAAACTTTTATTTCTACCAATCAGAGAAAAATATCTATCTATGGTGTTGAATATTACATTGACTTGCTCTTGAACGTCAATAAATAAGATTTTCTTTAATTAATTACATTACTAATTTTTAGCAATTGAATAGAAAGTTTTATAGTTAGTCAACAAAGAAGCATTGAAATAAGAAACATTGTAGTTCGTCAAATCATTTATTTACCATATCAGAAATGTTAACTTTATTATATCCAGAAAAAAAATTCATGACAAAACTTTAAAATAGATTTCATACATGACACATTCAATAGAACAACAACAAACAACTTTCATCAGTTCATATTATAAAGTCCACGACTTGTTGGTCAGAACAACCAGTTGCAAATATATAATATTTTTTTGTTGAGGACATTTTTAATAAAATATATATTTTTTTATAATTGGAGACAATTTTCTATAAATTCATTTAAATATAATACTAAATTAATTTTTTTTAAGATTTATTTAATAAAAAAACAAAAAAGAGTAGGGGGCATGTGACCCATAATCTCCTTTCTGCCTCCACCCTGAGAACAACAACAACAAAAAGTTTACAGGACTTGAACTGAAACGATAAATTGTGAAGATTTTACAATCTTTCAGAAGAATCAGAACTATTAGAAAGTTTGAAACAGTAATGAAAAGCTCATAGACAAGTCTGTTTAACAAACTGGCGAGAAGCTCTATATATGTAGAACAACTAAGCTAAAACAGTTCTTTTGCCAAAAAAAATAAATAATAATAACTAAGCTAAAACAGCAAAAAAAAGGTCTACCCAAAAGAATAAAATATAATTTTTAGTGGTTGGAACATTTTCACAATTAATGTCCCTTAAACTTAATCACTAATATACTAAAAATAGTCAGGCAAGTTATATTTTCTACTCCATGTTTTTCTAACGATTTTAGTAAAATTACTGCATTACTAAAACTTTTTTTTTTCAAGCGGAGTTTAAGTATTCCCAATTACTAGAACCAGTATATACACAATAGGCTAACTGTGATATAATGTAACTTTTTAATTTGGAAAATTCTAAATATGCCAATAATATCCGGCTTTTAGTGTAGAAAAATGGAGGACCATTCGTTTTTGATCACATGTGTATTATTGATGAGTCTATATAGTTTACGATCGATTTACACATGGCATTGTATGAAGAAAATAGGAATCGATATGTGGAGAACAGTAATCGTCGTCATATACGATCTCAAACAAAATGTCCCTAAATCACTAATGCGCAATCCTCTATTTTCGTCTCGTTTCAGTTTAAATTTATAATAGCCGATAAGATTTTATTAAAAACCACAAACTGTTTATATATTTTGGAAATTAAACATGCTCATATTTTGTTAGATTCATTTTAGTACTAATAACTCAGCACTGATTTTTACACCATTGACTTGACGAACGTTTATAGAATTAGACACATCATAAACTATATACTATGTTAGCCAAAAAGAAAACAAAATTGTACCCCTTTTTTTGTCAACACTGTATTTTGTTTTTGTTGCTAACAGAGTTAACCATGTTTCCAGTTATGCTAATGTATGTTAAGCTGGTGGTGTAAAAGACAAGCATCATGATGAGTTTAGTTATTTAAGTGAACTAAATCTAAATGTGTGTGTATTTTAAAAAAAAAATAAATACACAGGGTATATTCTAAAAATAGTTAAATTGTTGGTGAATTTTTATGGAATACATTGTAGAAAAAAAATTTGAACTTTTTTGTTTGGATTGTGAGAAAGTTAAGGAGAAAATTTATCTAACCAAGCTGTATTATCTCTTGCAGTTTTTTGCCCATATACATCTTCATTGTGTTTAGGGGAAACGATAATCAAGAAAGAGAGATTTTTACAGAAAAATTCTTCTTTTCCTTATGTTCACTTTCCGAAATAACCCATAAGAACAGAGACAGAGATAGGAAGAAGCAAGAAAAAGAAAAAAAGAGCAGTCCCTTGTTTCGATCTCTCTTACAGTACTAAACGGCCAAAAATATTTGATCCGTTAAAAAATCAGGTAATGGTCGCCATTCTTATATAATCACTCTTTTAATGTCCATCGTTGTAACATTATTCTCAAGAGTTCTCATGTTGTGTTTTTTGGGATCATAATACGGTTAATACCACGTTTTATTGCTTTTTGAGGCATATCCTGTATTTGTGTATCTTCATGCCGTTTATAAAATTTTCAGGTTGAAGCTGAATCTTGGCTTTGAAATGGCTGGTTTTGATAGTAAGATCGCTGTAATGGGAGAATGGTTAGACCGTAATCCTCCTAACCACAAGAAGAGATCGAAAGCGGAACGTGATCACAGAGACGTTTCTTTAGAAGACATTAAGAATAAGGATTTTCTACAAACCAGCTTTCAAGAGACACCATGTTATTCATCACGAGGTGGTCTCAGTGAAAGGATTGCTGCGAGAGCCGGGTTTAATGTACCAAGGTTAAACACTGAGAGTATTCTTCAGTCTCCATGTTTAACCATCTCTTCTCCTGGTGTTAGCCCTGCAACTCTGCTAGAGTCTCCGGTTTTCCTCTCAAACCCTTTGGTAACTTTTTCCTTTTCAACATTTTTCATTATCGTCATGTCCCTTTCACGGATCCATTTTCTGAAATCTCTTATCACTTGGAAGCCCAGCCATCTCCGACAACAGGAAAGCTCTTATCACAACCTTTTGGTAAAGCTAAAGATGAGTTCTTTGACGACATTGCCACATCTTTAGCCTTCCAATCCATTTCAAGAAGGAGTCTTGATCCTACAAACATCGGTTTAGAACCTCATGATTCACAAGACTATGAGCAAACACAGCTCGGTGGTTTAGGAGACTCGATGCCAAGTGGTGCACCAGCAGATGATGGATACAACTGGAGGAAATACGGACAAAAGCTAGTTAAAGGAAGCGAGTATCCACGTAGCTATTACAAGTGCACACACCCGACTTGTGAAGTCACGAAGAAGGTTGAACGGTCCAGGGAAGGTCATATCACAGAGATTATATACGCAAAAGCTCATAATCACCCTAAACCTCCACCTAATCGCCGCTCAGGCATTGGATCATCCGGAACATGCCTTGACATGCAAATAGATGGAACTGAGCAAGAAAGCTTTGGTGGAACCAATGAGAACATAGAATGGACATCACCTGTATCTGCAGAGCTCGATTACGGTAGCCATTCTGGATCAATGCAGGTTCAAAACGGGACTCAGTTCGGGTATGGTGATGCAGTAGCTGATGCTTTCTTTAAAGGTGAAGATGAAGAAGATGGCACGTCCCACATGAGTGTTTCCCTAGGTTACGACGGAGAAGTAGATGAATCCGAGTCAAAGAGAAGGTTAGAAAATTGTTGCTCAAGTAAACCATTTAACATACTCGGAAAGACTAGACCGTTCTGAATTCTTTCTGATGCTATTAACGTAACAGGAAACTCGAAGCTTATGCAACGGAAATGAGTGGATCAAGCCGAGCCACCCGTGAGCCAAAAGTCGTGGTGCAGACCACAAGTGACATTGACATCCTCGACGATGGTTATCGCTGGCGCAAGTACGGACAAAAAGTCGTCAAAGGAAACCCGAATCCAAGGTTCTTGCTTGTATTCAAATGTTCTGTTCTGTTCTGCTCTCTCTGTTGCACCTTTTTGTCCAAGAATTTCATCACAATCTGTTTTCTATATAAACAATGCTTCAGGAGTTACTATAAATGCACAGCTAATGGATGTATCGTAACGAAGCATGTGGAAAGAGCTTCTGATGACCTCACATCCGTACTAACAACTTACATAGGCAAGCACACTCATGAAGTACCAGCAGCACGCAACAGCAGCAGCCATGTCAGTCCAGGCAGCTCAGGGACCCTCCAAGGCAGTTTAGCGACTCAGACCCACAACCACCATGTGCACTATCCAGTGCCACATAGTAGACCCGAAGGACTGGTCACAGCCAACTCATCTTTATTTGACTTCCAGCCACACCTTAGGCCTCCTTCGGGTTACTCGGTTTACATAGGCCAAACTGAGCTTTCGGATCTTTCAATGCATGGTTTAGCCATCGGGCAAGAGAAGCTTCCCGGCCTGCCAGGGCCTGCCATTGTTGATTCAGCTGGGCTGATGTTGCAGTTAGCAGCAGAGCCGAAGGTGGAACCAGTGTCGCAACAGGAACTTGGATTGTCTACGAGCTCATTGATATACAGAGATATAATGAGTAGGTTACCACATATATGAAACAAATCTCTTTGTTCACTGATTGTTCGTTTTTTTTGAATAAATGGTTCTGAAAATTGAGGGAATGTGAAAGCTAGTTTGTTTGTTAAGTCTTGTCGCAAGATTTAGGAGCTACAAAACAAAAACAAAAAAAACAAAAAAAACTTGGCTTCTACCTAAACAAAGCCTTTAGCAAATCGAATTTCCTTCGCTGTCTGGTCCCGAAACTGAGTTCTATATTTCTCTAAGGAACCGCCAAAAAAAAGGATTTTTACGCTGAAACTAATCTTTACAGGAATGTATTCCTACCGCCTCTTCGACTGTTTCTCTCGTATGCAGTGTTGAATTTGTCAACCACCTCGTTCATGTTGCTGCATTTTGGTACAAAAGTGAGAAATCAAATAGAAGAAAAGATTCTCCTAAGACATACTTTGGTTGTAATTGACATCTGGATTGATCAAAGTATTAACATACGATTGATCAAATAAAAGTTTATATTTCCTTTAGACACTATAGGTTTTCACTATTTTGATTATAACAAGGATGGTTAAGCAAGGTCACTATCTCCGGGTCAGCTAAAAGCAACTACTGGTGATTTCATCAGTCTAAGCATCGTACAACATAGCACTATCAACCAAAAGACAAAAAATTTCATGCCTATCCTTCATTGTTAGCTAAATGGAATTTCCATGTCGAGCACATACCTGGTACAATTTGTGAGCATTGCTAGGTAAGACATCAGCAATTTGTCGTTGTACTCCTGCAAATAAGAACGTCACATATAGATCATTCAGAAGAACAAGCTACATTAAGAACTTAAGAGAATAGAATGCTATTTTTCTTAACGAAGATTGCTAGAAAACAGTAAGGCACTACTTACCATCAAGAAATCATCTCGAAACTTTTCTGATTGTGCGGCAGGCAAACTTCTAAGCAGACTAGATACTTGCCTCAGAAGTGCGTTCTCGGAAGGAATATCACCTAGATGCAGTATTAAATAAGTCATTAGAACCAAAGGGACCCTTGGAACCTAAAGTACACAACTACAGAACTTTTGGTCAATATCATCGTCTGACCCCTATTTATCCATTTTTCAGTGTAGAATAACACAAATGCATATAGCTACGATCAAGAAATGGTCGATGAACAAAATGAAGTAGGACGCAATAATAGAATATACCTTTCTGCATTGTGACAAGATACTGATAAAGAACTCTGATTCTGCTAGTTAGCATCTTGATGGCACTGTGTATGCCAGTAAGATGAGCAGCCACTGCACAACATCGAGGAATCAGCCTAAATTCCATACAAGTGTGTAAGAGGATTATCATAAATAAGAAGTGTACAGTAAGGCTTACATTGGGTCGCTGCTGAGCCTCCATCGGATGGCTTAAGGTGTGCAACATGGTCGACCGATATTCTTTCAGCTTCCACTGTCTGCATGTGTTACATCTTTGCTATGTTATTAAAGCGCCACTCTCATATATTAGAAAGATTACATATAAAGCAGCCCAAGCGCATACCTCAATTGTGTAGCTTGTATGCACGAAAATTGGCTGAGGAATTCCATCAATGACATGAAATTCTTGAAGTTTTGAAGACAATCACACCACATGATAGGAATAAAAAGGTTAGAATCTTTAAAACAATCACGACAAAATTAGAGGTCGAATAAGATAAAAAGAAGAAACTAGTTATAATCATGAGCCAATATACGATCTGCGACTGTATTTTTCATACAATAAAGCAAGAGGATATGGAAAACCAAATTACCACTTTCATAGATAGTCACTGGAAGATCCTTCTGTGCGTGATTGATAGCCGGATTTAGAAGGACATAAACAGGAGATTCATTAATGTCCATCAGCTGTAGAAAACATGATGCAAAACTCACACAATCAGTACACTGAGACCTAAACCTCAACCATACAAATCAACAATGAACCTGCACTTACAGATTTGTGGATATGCATATCAGATTCATTAGCGTCGCTTCCCGTAGAGTACCATCCCAATATGTAGAAGTCAGGAAACACCTTCTTGTCTAACGAAGCAAAAGAGAAAAAAAAAAATCGAGTAACTCAATACATAGCAGCAACAATCGAGAACAAAGTAGAGACGAAAACGAGCGAGAGTATAAGCTTACAGAGCTCTTGCTTCTTCTCGAGGAAGGATCTGTCGAGAGTATCAGTAGAAGGATCAAACAAGAGCTCGAAGCTGTTGAAGATCTCAACCGTTCGACCTCTCTGGGCACCGATCACGCAGCCATAAACCCTAGGATTCTGCAGTAACATCGCGTCGCCGGTGCTGGGACCATTCCCGGTCGCGCAGGAAGAGGCTGGAGGATTAAGCTGAGTTTTAACCCTAGTGAAGTGGTCCGATATGTTAAGCATCACCAGAGGATGTAGCTTGAAGGTGAGGCCGCTCGACGAAGAAGGCGCCATTGATGTCTCTCTCGATTTTTTCCCGGCGATTGTCATTGTCGCTTCGCTTGATTCTTAAAATCCTAAAATCGGGGATCTTAAATAAATGTCGTCAATTCGGTCATCATACAGTCTTGGGCTGCCTTTCAAAGCCCATCGCATAATTAAAAATAAATAGTTTTGGAAACAATTAAACCTTTACGAATCCTTATCTATATTTAAAATATTATATTTATTGTATGTTGAATAATTTTGATTCTTTAAAAAATGATTCTATCATTTATATTTTTTCAGTAATAAGAAATCAAACTTTTAATTTAATTTAATTTAATATTATACTGGATATTTTAAAAGATAGTATATATTTAATGTGTTTTGAAATCATTTTCATCATTTTATTGAAACGGAATTGTTTTTTTTTTCAACAATTGAAATGGTTTTTTTCAAAAATTGGAACGGCATTGTTTTACTATATAGCAATTCACTAAAAGGACGTCATTGCTGGTGTGGCATCCATTCATAATCCATTCTCGGTTTGACAAAATCTGTTAGTCTGTTACAGTCATATATGTATATGTTTAAGCTAAAAATATTAAGGTTATGTATGAAATGGCACAGTTGTACAGAGTATGTATGTACTATGATCACGCCTCTAGAGTAGATAACTACTCAATCGTCTACTTGTTGAAATATAGTTGTCGATCTTGATGGATAGTCAATTATTTTCTAGATATAGGCGTCTAATTGTGAAAACATTGTATTTTGATGAGTAGTAAGAGTAATCAACTTTTCGACAGAGAAGCTCCTACCATTTATCTGAGCATCTTCTCTTTCTCTCATGCAGTCCTTTTCTCTCCCCTTATACAGTTGTTTCTAACAGCTAGTACCTAGTTTATCATCTTTTCTTCTATATATATGTGCAGTGAGATTTTATATTCTCTTTATATTCCTTTTCTGCATCATTTTCTAGACATGTTCCTGAATTCGACTTCCGAAAGTAGCAACAAACGAGTAAAGGAAGAACATAAACCAATATTTTGTTGACATTGGGTAAATAATACGAAGTAAGAATCAGTGAAGTGACATTATACCGGAAGCTTGCTGGTTTTGTAAAGCATCAAAGAAATTAAAATTCTTTCTTTGTTTGTCAAAGAAGAAGGAATACAAAATAAGAGTTTGTTTTTCTTTTTTAAAAAATGCAAAAAAAAAGGAACAAAGTTAATAGCGAAGATGACATTTTAAGGATTGTATTAAACATGTCATATACACATTGTTTGTTTGTCTTTACGTTTGTGTTTCCATGTTATACCATTCTAATCATATAATACGAAACGAAAATACTTCAAAACAAAAAATTTCGTTTAAGTATAATTAGACACACAAAAAATTGTTAAACGCGTGCTATACATAGCCTATAGTAAAATGTGAACGAACACGTTGATTATATGATTTGCTTAAGAAAATGAAAAGTTAAAACCATTCTCTCCATTACCGATATCAGAAGTAGAAGTGTAAATAGCGAAATTGGTGATCAGGATGGTGAGAAAGAAATAGCGAAACTTCAACTAGAAAAGTAGATATACGTATACAAACTTCGGAATATTGTGTTACTTTAGTTATATGTGTATATCAAAAGAAGAAAATAATCTTTTAGGACAGACATGAGACAACGACTTGTATTACAAATAAACATCTACTCATATTAAATTATAGATACCAAAGTGAGAACGCAACTGCTAATCACTTTTTCTTTTCTATAGTCAACCAACTACTAATCTCTTTTAGACTCTAGAGAGCGACGTATCTTCATTACTTCACAGTATGGATACAATTTAGTTCAAATTGCGTGGATAATTATATCATTGGAAACGTCTACTAACAGAAAGTTTTGTGAATTTGAAAACTTTCTCTTATTGCCAATCTCGGAATTTTTGTGTTCTCTAATGCTTTGCTTTCTCCTTTTTCCTTAAGGTAAACATTATCTTTTACACGCTATAACCTATATATATATATACACATATATACATATATATATACACATATATACATATAAGTATATATCCATATATCAAATTAACTAATTATTTCATGGATCGAGACTAAATATTAATAAACGAACGGACCCCACAATATTGAAACTCTCAGCTCAGAAATTTCATTCGATTAATTTATTCTCCAACTTGTTCCAAACTACCAGGCCTGCACAGTGCACACTACGATGAAGACGTTTTCAGAAGGTTCTCTTACTTTTGTAGTATAAAAGAAAAAGGCGCTCAAGAAAAATGTCATAAAATACACACACCCCCCCCCCCCCCCCCAAAAAAAGGGTTAATAAAAGTTTAGTAAAAGTTCTTGAATCGTTTGGTATCAATCCTAATCTTAAAGGAATCATTTGTAAACCTAAAATTTGTTATATACTTATACCTTTTAGGTTTGATTGGTAATTTTTAGAATTGACCATTGGGTACATCAACATTTCCAAGTTATTTAAAAATCGCGTGAGTAAAACGACGCCGTTAGAAACCTTGCAGTGCATAATGTGGCCGAATATATATAGAGACGTTTGTTTCCCATGCATCTTCATTAAGACCAAATAGAGAGTCTCCTTTATATCACTTAACTAAC